ACTTGCTCTCCCCTCCGTACCCTCCACGATCCCGCCACCGCTTCACTCCATGTCGACAGCATCAACTCAGTCCCGAGGAGTCAACCGACGGATCAACAGCATCCAAAATGAGGGTCGCCATTCGCGCAACTCCTCGGTCTCGCGCCGCCGTCCTCTCAGCGCCAACGTCGCTAGCAGCCACGCTCTCCGTGTAGCCTACCTGGCCTATCTCCTCAGCCCTCGTTCACGTCGCATCCAAAATGCCCCAGTCGCCCCGACACGCCCGAAGCGCTCGTCCACCTCAATCCACGATTTGATGAGTGATTTCTCCTTAATCAAGGATTCGAAAAGCACAAAGATTCCCCATGGATTTGTCGGCGAGCTCGAAAAGCGGTTGACGGGGGTCTTGATGGGCAAGGAGAAGAGGAAGGAATACCAAGACCCTCTGGTGGTGCGCACCTTCGCAGCCTTTCTCAATGCGCTGAAGGAAGACTCATTCCGAAAGCGCATGGAAAAAGATCGTCGCGCCGAAGATCTCGTTCTCATCTTCTATTCCAACGCCATCAAGGAACTGAGCAAGGGGAAGGAACACGATGATGATAGCTGGAAGCTCATGGTAGACCGACACGTTGCTCTCTTCGTGCGCCTTCTAGCGCTCACTCTCAAGGGCCACGGCCACGACTGGGCCAAGGACCGCCCGGAGCTGGCGAATCGATTGTCGGTGCTGGAAAACAAACTTCTACTGCAGGATCAGGATCTAATGGAAGGTAATGGCCCAGCCACAACGGAGGTCGTGGCCCAGCTGAGTTACGATGTCAAGGACATGCCGCTGGTGCAGCATGTAGCCAAGATCTTCGGTATGACACCAAGCCAAGCTCAGTCCGAAATCGATAAGCATAAGTCGGTGTGGAACGAAAAGGCAGCATTGCAAGACCTGAAGACCTATCAAACACATCTCAACCTTCAAACTCACAAAACTTTATCGAGAGACGACTTTGAGACGGACGAAGCTTTCGAAGCATGGAAGAAAAGCGAAGGGCCCGATCTTTCTCAGATGATGCTCGCCATTGTTCAATCTAACCCCGATCTAGCAAGGAGTACACCCGGAGGACTTCCTGGAATCAATCCAGCTTCTGAAGATGACTTATCGAAGACGTTCTCTGGTCGCTCGGCTCGGATGTCCCATGCCTTCGACCAACCCGTCGACTTATCCGCGCTCTCGTTAGGTGGAGCGAGCGATTCTGACGAATCAGATACGTATACATTTATCCCATCCGATCCCCGAGAGGTATACCGGCACATTCTCTCCCAAACACTGAGTCATGACTTGCGGGATCGAGAATTGGAGGCTAGCCAGGCCTCGGCTGATACACCGTCGATGAAATTGCTGTCAAAGCATTCTACAGAGCTGCTTAATGAAATATGTCTCCGCTGGCGGATTCCTAATTTCTCCCGCATCGTTTTATTCCTCGAGGTCATTCAATCCAAGTTCGTCGACAATGAAATCGATCTCACCACACTGGACTCGGCCTTCACCTTTGTGAAAGAGTCGCCGGTCAGCGAGCCTCGATCGAAGCGCAGCAGCATGGCAGTTTCCTCTGTCTTTGACCGACAAAAATGGACCGTTCACGATCTCCAAGCGATGCAGGTGTCGCTCTCCAAGCTTCATGAAGCCATGCTACGCGAACTCTACGACGTGATGATGGACTGCTTTGAGGCTAAACCACGTCCCCTTGGGCCTGTGATGTACATTCTTGAGAACCACATCCAGGAAGATCCAAGCTATACAGAAGACCCGGAGGATCTCGATCGGTTCTCCTCGTATGTGCAAGATGGTCTCGCTCAAAAAGCGACGGAGAAATATCAAAGTTTCCTTAGGCAGCTGGTGCCTGTCGACGGAGACACTTGGGGGTTCGACAATGTCATTGAGTTGGGAGACGCGCTCACAAAGCTTGCGACCAAGATCCAGAAGCGGTACAGGAATAATCCTGAGATCATGGGGTAAGTGATGAATACACATTGTTCTCTTGTCTATATTATTCTGATCTAACTGGAACAGTGTCAACCCATACACAACGCTCTGCACCAATGTACTACATCTCTTTGCCGAGGATGCGCATGAAATGATCATCCGAATCCTTGAACGCTCCAAATCCAGAGGAGAAGAAATTGACATTGATGAAGGCATGGATTTGTACAAGCAGCTTGCGAAGGTTCGCCGATTATTCCATAATACTATCGAGGGGTATGTACCAGCGAACGTGCAATTTTCCATATACCCTTTGCTAACGCTGGCTGTGCAGAACTGAATTTCCTTTCCACGTTGAAACTTTGTTGGAAGAATTTGTTTGGAGGTGGCTTCGTTTAACGGATCAGAGTGTCATGGAATGGGTTAATCAGGCGATCAAAAAGGATGCCTTTGGTATTGGTGAGGAGGACCCGGCCAATTTGCCATCCGACGATAATCGACACAGTGTCTCGGTAATCGATATATTCCGGTCATTCAACGAAACCGTGGAGAACTTGGTGAATATGGAATGGGATGACGATCTTCAATATGCAAAGTTCATGACTGCCCTCTCCAACTCGATTGGCAAGGGCGTGGCAAAGTATTGCGAATCTTTGGAGCAAATGTTTGCCCGGGAGCTGGATCGTCTTACTCCGGAACAGGAGGCAGCTTTGAATCAGACCACTCAGGAGAAGCTCATGCAGTTCGCCAAGGACACATGGACTAACAAAGACAAAATCGAGCCATTCCAATTCTCCTCCGAGGTATGGATACTATGCACCTACCTCTATACTTTCCATTTTGTGTCTGACTGCTAATCGATAATTATAGTCACTGGTCAAATTGAACAACATCGAGTATGCGCTCACCCAATTGGATAGGCTTGAGCGTGAAATCAATGTCGACGGATGTGCGGATGTCATCGCAAAGAACACCCCTCCGCAGCTGAAGAAGGTGCGCAAGTCTACGACCTACGTTTTCACAATCAAGGTAGTAGAGGCCGAAGACCTGAAAGCATGCGACATGAACGGTGGAAGTGACCCATACGTGGTCTTGGCGGATGAATATCAAAAACGAATCGCAAAGACTCGCATCATCTATAACAACCTCAACCCCCGGTGGGAAGATGCAGTGGACATCACAACGCAAGGTCCTTTAAATATCATTGCCACAATCTGGGATTGGGACGCGGTTGGTGACCACGACTATGTTGGTCGAACATCGATCAAGCTTGACCCAGTCCACTTCAGCGACTTCTTGCCAAGGGAATACTGGCTTGATCTTGACACCCAGGGCCGTCTGTTGCTGCGTGTTAGTATGGAAGGTGAGCGCGACGACATTCAGTTCTATTTCGGCAAAGCTTTCCGTACATTGAAGCGCACGGAAAGGGACATGACGCGCCGGATTACTGAAAAGGTATGCGACGACTCTCCACGGGAAACGTATTATATCGACTAACCTTTCCTTTTTTTTTTCTGCTAGCTTTCTGCCTACATCAGTCACTGTCTGTCACGCCGTACTTTGAAGTCTCTGTTATCTCGAGGCATCACCATGTCAACTGTCTCGAATTTCTTGAACCGGAACCGGGCACAACAGGCCCCAACCGGACCAACACCAGCAGACGTGGAAAATGCCCTTGACCCTCTGTTCAACTACTTCAACGACAACTTCGCTATAATGAACAAGACACTTACCGGCGAAGCCATGAAAATGGTAATGGCCCGCCTCTGGAAAGAAGTCCTAGCCACGATCGAAAGCCTCCTCGTCCCACCACTATCCGACAAACCATCCCACCAAAAGCCCCTAACAATGCAAGAAGTTGACATCGTCTCACGCTGGCTCCTGCTACTATTAAACTTCTTCCACGCCATCGACGACGAATCCGGCGAAGCAGGCGGCGTGCCGATCGACATCCTCAAATCCCCCAAATACCACGAGATCCAAAGTCTCAACTTCTTCTACTTCGAGCCAACAGAGAACCTGGTCCGCACATCGGAGCGAATGGCCTCGGCAACTGCAAGCCGCCAACAAGCGAATCGCAACCGCGCCTCTGCACCTGCTCACCTCGGCGCCACGGGCACCGGGCACGGCAGCTTGGGTATCCCGGCCGCCCGCCGCGCAAAGAGTATCATGCTGTCGCGTAATCTAGGCACCATGAAAAAGGTCAAGGAGGAGAAGCGCCGCGAGGCACAGGCTGATCCGAATGACGATATGATCTTGCGTATTCTCCGCATGCGGCCTGAGGCTGCGGGGTATTTGCGGGATCGGAGTCGTCAGCGAGAGAGATTGGCGGCGTTGGCTGCGGCGGATGCTATTGTCAAGCAGAGCTTGATGGCCGGAGTGGGGAGTCGGATGAGTGGGACGATTCCGAGGCGCTGATCTGGAGTGCTGGGCAGAGCTGAGCTGAGGTTTATTCTTATTTATCATTATTTTTGGTGCTCTTATATGGTTCGAGTGTTTCTCTTCAGCGAGGGGGGGGGGTTCTTAGGATACCACGCCTTTGCTCGTAATTGTCTCTATAGGAATGAGTATGTCAGTATAATCATATCCATGATACTTTGGACGGATATAATCTACAGTGTTTCGCGGTCAAAGTAGAAAGTAACAGCAGAAGCAGAAACCAAGTATAAAAAAAAGAAAATAGAAATAAACATACACCCCCACTGCCAAACCCCCGCAGAGCTGACTCAATTCTCCACCTTGGGATTGTATAAAAGCCCAAATACCCAAGCCATCGCACGCAATCACTCACCTCACCTCATCACATCACACCTCAGTTCAACCAGACCTCCCTTCCAACCTGAAGCTACACCAACAAGCACCTCCACCTCCAAACTCTATACAACCCCCTTGAAAATCAACAACCCAAAACAAAAAAAAAAAACAAAAATGCACCTCCAAACCGACCCCATCACACCCTCGACCCAAACCCCCCCCACCAGGCCCAGGCCCAACCCCAGCACCAAAAAAGCACCTCTACTTCGCCTACGGCTCAAACCTCTCCCCAACCCAAATGTCCACACGCTGCCGCAATAATCCATCCTCCTCAATCCCGCTAGCAATAGCCTTCCTCCCGCACTGGCGCTGGCTAATCTGCCAAGCAGGCTACGCAAACGTCCTCCCACCACCGGGCCAGCGCGTCGGGAAACAGAAAAGCGACGCCGCGGACGAGGTTCCTGTTTCGTCACCCGGGTGGGGTGGGGTGGATGGGGTTTGGGGCGTTCTTTATCGGATGGATGCGCGTGATGAGGGGCTTTTGGATGGGTATGAGGGTGTTGATGTCCATGCTGGGAGTGCGGGAGGGGGGGGAGGTGGGTGTGGATGTGAGGCCGAGGGAGCAGGGGTTGGGGGATTATAATAAGTGGTATTGTAGGGCGAGGGTTGTTAGGTGGTTGGTTGGGGATGGTGAGGGGGCTCGAGGGGATGGGGATGTTGATCTTGATGCTGAGGATGCTGAGGAGGTGGATGTTTTGGTTTATGTTGATGAGAATCGGGTTGTGCTGGGACCGCCGAGGGTGGAGTATATTGGAAGGATGAATCGGGCTATTAAGGAGTGTGTGGAGTTGGGGGTTGATGAGGGGTGGATTGAAGGGGTTGTGAGGAGGTTTATTCCCATCGAGTGAAGCTGTAATATGGCAATTGGTGCAGATGGTGCGGTGTTATATGGTGCATTCCTAGTATACCTAGGTACATAGCTGCTTTTGATTGTGGTAACAGTAACAGGGATACTCGACCTTTCCTTCAACTTGATATAATACCCTACTGCGAAGACGAGGAAACTTGGTAGATGGCAATGATTGCTATTGCGGAAAACAAGAAGCGAAAGGTATCTGTCTATAGAGTATGGATTGATTAGATTTGATCGTTGATGTGATGTTGATAGATGTTGATCAGGCATGCGAGCCCGGCTCTACACACCACCGATGGGAAACCGCAAAGCGTAGCCAAACCAAGCCAAGCCAATCAAGCAAACCAGAACAAACGAAGACTATAAGGATAAAAATAGAAAGCACGCCAATGTGGTGACATGTCGGATGAACGTGGGATGGGCCGTTCGGGAGCGGGCGGGTTAGGCTACGCCAGCCCACCAGAAACCGAACCGAACTGAATTGAATCAAGGCTGAGCTGGCGCGAACACACCGCCGGATTTCGGCTGGGTCGGGACATTATGGCGATCTCGGTAGATCGCGGGAAGCAAAGTGAATTTGGTGAAAACTTTTGTTTAAATGCGGGCGGGATGGTACGGTCGCTTCTAGAGTCGAGCAGAGTCGAGTCGAGCCGAGTCGATGTGGAAGTCGATAGCAGTGCACTGGCTTAGGCCTGGCCGGTCAGAAGGGTGTGGACAGGGGCGGGGAGCTTGTCGCGGCCGTGGAGGAATTCAAGCTCGAGGAGGAAAATGAAGCCGAGGATTTCGCCGCCCATCTTCTGGATCAATTCGCCACCAGCTTTAGCAGAGCCGCCTATGGGAGTCATTAGTATGGTTTTTCTTTTCCCCGGGGATATGCGATTGCGATTGCGCTAGGAGTAATGCGCCCGCGCCCGCGCCCGCATAATGCATGTGATTGCACATATACTTATATACATACCGGTAGCAATGATGTCGTCGACGACAATGACCTTCTGACCGGGCTTGATAGAGCCAGCCTGCATCTGGAAGAAGTCGGTACCGTACTCCTTCTCGTAGCCCTGAGTTTCACAGGGGCCGGGGAGCTTGCCCTGCTTGCGAACGGGGACAAAGGCAGCACCAAGGCGCAGGGCCAGGCTGGGACCCATCAAGAAACCGCGGGCCTCCAGGCCGACGATGACATCGGGCTTGACGCCGCCGGCGTGCTCGAGGATGTGCAGCTCGAGGGAACGGATGAGAGCCTCGTGCAGGGTCGGGTCGGCGAAGATAGGCAGGATATCCTCGAAGAGAATGCCGGGGGAAGGGAAGTCCGGGAACTGACGCAGAGCACCGCGCAGGCTTACTTTAAGACTGGCGAGTTCGGCGGCGCTGGAGGCATGGGCGGTGGTGTGTCCGGTGACTTGGGCGGAGGCATCGGGGGCGGAGGATTGGGACATGATGAAGAGAGGGAGAAGAGGAGAAGAGAAGAGGGGGAAAGGAGGGGTAAAAAAGGGTAAAAAAAAAGGATGTTGAGATAATGGAGGAGGGAAAAAATCAGCGGTAAAATTACGGTGATAAGCCCCTCTGGTGGTGCCCCTCTGCCCCTCTGCCCCTCTCTGGGAATCTAGATTATTTCTAGTACTATGTATGCTAGTATGCCTCAGTTTGTATCAAATATGATATATTATATTATATTCTGTTATATTATGCTACTACAGTATATCATATATATTATATTCTCTTATGATATAATACACTGTGGTATATTATCTATTCTATTATTTCATACATGATAACCATACCTTACTCTACTATCGTATACTAACTATACACTATACTATACATACCTTAATACAAACAGCGGTCTATCGTATCATAAACTTCCTGTATCCTCCCGTCACGCCATGCATTCGACCCGGTTTCTAGAATCCCGCCTATCCATAAGTGGGCGGCCAGCGTAACAGATCGACCAGGACTAATGCTGCTCTTCCTGCAGCGGGCCAGGGCAGTTCCGCTCCCCAGCCAATCACAGTCCCCGATCTGCTCACCTTTCGTGCCTATCACACCATACGGGGCTGCCGGTAGGTTTGGCCTATTTGGCTGTACGGAGTACGGGATGCATACATACATTCTTACTTTGTGGGTGACTCACATGGCTTACCTTAGTTTAAGCCTACGGGTAACAGAGTACCTACACAGTATTGATCTAGAACCTCTAGAGCCGGCCTGTCCGAGTAATCCCCCCTATGGCGGGGATGGGCGTTCTAAGACCATCAGGCCACAGACCCATGGTGAGGACAGGCTTGACACCAGTCCAATCAGGTGTGAGGGGATAGGCTGGTGATTCTGAAACTCGACTGCGTGCGTTAGTTCTGCTGCGAGGCGATCGGACGTTGCACGGGTCCAGATGAATCGGTTCCGACTGCAGTGGTACATTAGTCCGATGGGGGAGGGAGTACAAGTGGCAATACAGGTGGTAAGTAAATAAGGGTAATCGCGGGCACGGGGGAGGGACTACCTAGGTACTGGATATACATATAGACATACATATACCAGCGCCTAGGAAAAGTGCAAAAAATATTGAACAAGTTCTACATCTAGTAGACTAGAAAATTGCTGATTTTAGAAAAGAAGCAAAAAGATATCTCAGGTACATGTTTGTAGGAATAGCCGAACGGGGGGGGTCGAACCCCCAACCTTGAGATTAAGAGTCTCACGCTCTACCGATTGAGCTAGCCCGGCAGGGCTTGTTGAAGGAGCGAGCTAGCTATGGCTACATAAGGCAAGATAATGAGGAGATCCCATATCAGGGCCTAGAGTGTCAAATTTGGACAACATACACATAGCTGGTATGGCATAACCTTGAAATTTTGCGAGTATTTTTCAGGTTACTGAAGATTGACATAAGTATCACTACTAGTAGTTTGTACCTACCTCATGCTGCTAGAAGATCATACACCTCCTCCCTACCTAGGTACCTAGCAGGTAGTATTGTTGTCCAAGATACTAATATTAGCCTGGAGTATATATCTCGGCATAAATCAAGCTAACTACCTACTACCTACTAGTAGTACTAGTCAACAGCATTTATCCCAGGTTTCCAAGGTTATACTGGATTTCTCCTTGGAGCAAAATAGGTGAGCTTCAAATTCAAGTTGACTTCCACTCTCTTTAATATTAATTCCCCAAGTACTCAAACTACTTACCTAGGCACTCACCACATGATGCCTGGTATCCACGTGACTGCACGGACCACCTCGCTTAACGTTTTTCCGGAGCTGCGCCCTCGGTATAAATCTGCCGCCTGCAGCTTCTTCCTCTTTCATCTCCAAGCGTGGCTTTCCCCTGCTTCTGCTCTCAAGCTCAATGATGCTTTTTTCTTTGTAATAATATTATTGGATCTCACGACACCATGCCTGCCCCGATCGAGGACCACCCGTCTGATCCGCATCAGGTCCAGCTGCAAGCCGTGGGCAAAGCCTTCGATGCTCTCCTACTAACCCTCTACCGACTTACCAACAGACACAATGACCTCAAACAACACTCTGAAGATGTTTTCAAACAGGTAAATAATCCTCTGTTCTTTGTTTCATTCATTACCCCCTTTTCCCACCACCCTCCCCCAGTCTCACATGACGAGAAATTAGCTCTAGATCAGGAGCCACCCATGTGGCGATGACCGATTATCATGTATTATCTGATTGAGACTTGCTTTCATATGCCTATTTTCTGAAATGTTTCTCTCATTTTATGACCCTGGCTAACTTGAAAACGCAGTATACAGCCGTGACGCGACAGCTGGCCCCACAGGATAGGCCGCATGCGATGGAAGTGCAGCAAAGGTTACTGGATCAACAGAAAGAATTGTGTCTAGGCCTTGTGCAGCACAAGTCCTCAGTCGAAGAACAGTCGCTCAAATCAATGGATGTAATCAAGACGCTCGTTTCACACCAAAATGTAGACGAAACTGCCTTCCGGGCCATCGTGGACGGGGTGAAGGGATATAAAGCCTTGCTCCGCTCTCAGGATGGCCAAGGCTCCTCCCCTCCCAACTCCACCACCAACTCGTGCATCCTCGCCAGAGGCTCCGAAGATCCTCCGGTGTCTTTGGAAAAAGACTTCACCACCAACGGGACTCAGGGTAACCTGCACTGTCCTTTCTCCAAACCTCCACGATCACCCCACCCAGCCTCGATGCAGAACGGAGGATCTGCGAATAGTGAGGGGCCTAAGATCCGCATCGATACCTGTGGTAATCCGGACTTGGACCCCATCAAGGCCGACTTAGAGGAACGACGCTCTAGTACAACCCCCTCGGCTCGTACCTCGGGGAGTCGATGCCCCGTGTCTCGTTGTCCGATCCGGTACCTGGACAAGCATTCGCCAGAGGAGATCGCTGAATATGTGGAACGTCACAAACACGAGATCCCCCGCAGCCATGCCATCTGCGTCAAGCGATATCAGCGAGACCCCCAGAACATGCGCCAGCTCGACGCCAAGTATGGTGGATTAATCAACATGATCAGCGGTCTCTCTGCCAAACACCAAGCTTTCCTCCCGCAACAGGCCAACGGCAACGGTATCGATGACCAGGCCTCCCACTCCGCATCCACCGAACGAGTTGAGAAATGGGCCGAAAACGTGGACCCAGTTGCCCCCGAAACACCGAACACGAACACGAACGAGAATGGCAATGGCAACGGCCAGGAGAACGGACACGGACACAATGAGGAGGATGGCGGGGAGAATCAGGATGATGATAACAGCCGCGAGAGTCGCTTTGACCGGCCCCTCCGAGAGGTCCGAGTGGGTGAATCCCCGAGCAGGCCTTGGGGAATTCATGTCCCACTCGCCGAACAGTTACCTGCCCCAGTACCCTTCTCCGGATCAGCGTCTGGCCCTATGTCACCACCAGCCCCCGTGGGTCCTCTTGATACCTCACCCGGCGATGCTCCGTTAAAGCCCGCTGGCCGTTGTCCCTTCGGCCATGACGCTCCCAAACCAAAGCCTGAAGAGCCTGTTGTCAAACCCGAATCACTCGGATCACCCTGGGCCAACTGGGGCAAGTCACTTGAGAAGCCCGTGGATATGGGTACGGTTGGCGTGCAGCAGCAGCAGCAGCAGCAGCAGCAGCAGCCAGAGGAATCCACCTCGCAGTCACAGTCAGAGGCCAAGCATCCCCCACCACCAGCACATATCACCTTCAACGGCCCTGTTTTCTTCGGATACTCTGCTGAACAAACAGCCAGCCTAATGCAGCAGCTGGGCAACCTGGCCAACTTCAACAAACCCACTTCCTAATTTATTGGTCTCTGCCTGACTCTACATTTCTTTCATTGTTTGCTTCCCTTAGCGATCCGATCACGATACCACGACCTACTTATTGTACTAGTATTCTAGCGAACCATCAATAATACCAATCAATTTCACCAAGCAAATCAATAAGCAAACCAATGTAAACGTAAAACTTACCCCAAACAAGCATCCTTTTCCCGCATTCCCTCATTCCCCGAGGGAAACCATTAGAAACAGCTGGGAAAGCAGAATCCCCCCCCACTAACCGCCCCGCCTTCTTATTCTCCGCCTTCCACCAACATGCATCGTTCTCGTCTCTTCTCTCGTCTCCCTTTCAAATCAACTCTTCATCTATCCTCCCGTCCTCAATTCATCCCATTCTCAAGAATATCCCCCATCATGTCTGCCAACTTCACCGCCGTCACTGCCCAGGATGCCTGCCCTCGTGAGTCACATCTCCAGCTGGAACTGTGCCAGCCAGCCAGCCAGCCAACCAACCCAGAAGAACCCAAGCTAACAATTGACTCTCCAGCTGCCGGCCCTTACGTACGTCCCCCAAAGAATTGAACCAAACACCCCTCCCCACCTTCCCGCAAACCCTCCAAAGCCCAAGCAAGGAGCTAGCTTCCTTCCGCCCCAAAGCACACCCAATGTCTGCACCGCACAAGCTAACCCTCCCACAACAGTCCCAGGCCATCCGCGCCAACGGCACAATCTACGTCTCCGGCCAAATCCCCGCCGACGCCTCGGGCAACCTCGTCGAGGGCAACATCGGCACTCTGACCCAAGCCTGCTGCAACAACATCCAGGCCATTGTGACCGCCGCCGGATCCAGCGTTGGCAAGATCGTCAAGGTCAATGTATGTGTCTACCCTGCCTCTGCCTGCCCCTGCTCTACTGCTCCGCTCCGCTACACAATTGCTAATCTTCGCAGGTCTTCCTTACCGATATGGCCAACTTCGCTGAAATGAACGCTACCTATGAGAAGTTCTTTACTCACAAGCCTGCTCGCAGCTGTGTTGCTGTTAAGCAGTTGCCCAAGGGTGTTCCTGTTGAGATCGAGTGCATTGCTCTGGAGTAGATTTGTCCGGTGTGGTGTGATCTTATAGAAAAAAAAGATTCTATGATTCAATGAATTTCTTCGATGCTTCCCTGGAGCGGGGAATGTCTTACAGTGTAATCTAGAGGAGAGTAGAGTTGTATAGGGTACTTGTAGATTTGCTCCGACTCTCTTGACTAAGAGTATGATGTAGTATACCTACCTAGGTAGGTATTTATAGATAACTCGCAATGAATTGAGAAGTATGTACACACCACACCTGGGCACTGACTCGAATAACCAATATACGGGAAATGGGATAGAGAAACAGATTCCAAAAAAAAGGAAGCAGTCAAGTTCAGTCCAGTCCATTTATAAGATCTCAGGGTATACATGTATCAGAATAAACAGCCAAGCAAAGAAAGAGAACCAAAAAAAAATCAAATTATGTGCAGATTTGTGATAGGAACACCCTGCGAGCGCATGGTATACCTCCTCTTAATCCCAATACCCGTCGAAGACTGCAAAAGCGCATACGTCTCATCGCCGCCGCCAACCATGACCAAGCTGACGAGGTGATTGCGCGGAATGCCGCTGGCTGAAACCTGGCTCTCGTCCAGATGGGGTCTGATGAGAGAAGACTCGGCGCGCAGGGCTGCCAGCGGCGCAGAGCCCCTTTCGATATTTTCTTGCGGAGAGCTGGGCGAACCGGATTCGAAGTCGGATTCGTCTGAGGAGACGACGATGACTAGTTTTAGTGCTGTGCGTGCGGGCCGGAATGCGGCTATGTTGCGCAGTTTTTGCGAGAAGGTGCAGCCGCCGCGTTTGAGGACAAGGACTTCGTGGGTTTGGGCGATGGAGCGGAGGATGCGGTCGTCGCAGAGTTCGTTGGCGAAGTAGATTGTTGACCAGGTCAGGTGGTCTTTGGAGGGTTTGCTGAAGAGGGAGGTTGTGATTGCGTCTTCGACGTCTGGGAGGGGTGCGGCGCCGATGCCGGTGGGGAGGGTGGCGGGGAGAATGAGGCGGAGGGGTGTGGATGGGTCGTCTTCTTCGGGGGAGGAGTCATCGCGGAGGAGGGCCGAGACTGAGTTGACGAAGTTGGAGAGCATGCTTCTCATTGTGGACTCGGGGGAGTCGACTGGGCTTTCGTCGTCGATGACGGCGGGGGCGGGCTTGTGACGGCCGAGGTTGAGCTCGGAAGCTTCTTCGCTTGATGAATGCTCTGCTGCAGGTGGTTCATCTCCTGGAGTAGTTGAAGCATTGCGCTGGCGAGAGGTGTCTGGCAGAACGTCAATGACGAGGTCTAGCATGGCTGTGTCGCGGACCCGGGTGAAGTTTGGATCATAGGGATCAACGACATCAAAGGTGACCTGGCGAGAGATGTATACCTTCTCATCCTTTCCTAATGGCACATTGTTGATCACTTGCACCCGGTATCCATCTTCGTTCCCGTGGCCAAGAGAGACGTCCTGCACCATGCTCAAGCGGAGTCCTCCGATTGTTTTGACTAGGATACCGTCTCGCACCCGTTCCAGCGCCCCAGGGCCCAAGTTGACTCCACCGGGAAGGGATGGGAATGAGATGTCCAATGTGGGACGGACGGCCATTGGTGCACTGACTGCGTCGAATGGAACGAGTTGCGGGGGGAGCGTCCAAGGGTAGAAGGTATAGTTTGTTGGTGACGATAAATCGGAAACAGACACACTCTGGTGCTCGGACGATTTCCCTAGGATAGGACCCTCGGATGCTCCACGATGAGGTCGAAGGTGCAGGCGTGCCAGACTCGCAGCATGGAATATGTCTGGCCGAGAGGCTGTAAAAGACACACCACCGAAGATAGGCGAGGTGATTGCTTGACAGGTATCCTGAGGGGGATTTTCAGAAGACCATTGTTGCGTCTGGCGGGAGGACTGCCTCGGGGTAGATGTTTTCTTCGGAATGATTAAGGGGTGGCCTTCAGTGTTGAAAACCCATGGCGCATCGATCTTGTTTAATGGGTGATCAGGGGTGAAAAGGAGAAACATGTACTTGGCCGTTTCACCCAAGAAGAAGCTCTCCATGCGATCGATCATCTCGCCAGTTTGGACATTTCGGAGACCTGCCCATCCGCATTGGGTCCAACAGCGCCTCTTAATGTCGCGAAGAACCATTTCTCCAACATGCAGGTACCAGGGGTCTTGTGTAGACCGGTAGATGTAGTAGGTCGATTCAATGAATTCAGGTCGACCTCCATACCAGGCGAGACCACCGTCAATGTCACCTGTGGCCACATTCCACCGCTCGGGAAGAGCCGAGAAGCGCGTCCAGACAGCAGTGGTGAGGAGATGGATTTGAATTGCTTCGTCTACCTTGCCGTCCAAGGCAAGCAGACCAGGATAGTATGCACTCAAGCTGTCGATCCAAAAGGCCCGCGTCGCGCCGGTGGAGACATCTCCAACGACTAGATGAGGGTGCTGGTACCCCTCCCCACGGTACAAATGACGATTGATCGAGGTATGGGAATCTTCCCAAACCTGAAGAAAGGCGTCTGCAGAGTGTTGGTATTCTGTCAAAGGGAGGTAATGATCATCCAGCAGACTCCAAGGGCTGGAATTGTCAAAAGGTGGGCGCTCTCCCTCGGAAAGGAGAACGTGTGATTTGACTGCATATTCAAAGAAGCTATCAATCCCAGCACCAATCTGTCATGATAAGTCAGCCTTGATCTGTGAACGTTAAAAAGCCTTCAATATATCAACTTACTCCCGAATAGGGTCCAACCCATTTCCCCGATTCTGCATCGATCCCAAATCCGACGAGTCCAATCTCACTTCGACGAGCCCAAACTGCCCAGAATGCTCTTTTGGCCAATTCCTCATACCGGCCATCGCCAGTCAATCTACTCAGAACCGTGAATTCCAAGGTGAGACTGCCAGCGCCGGCACTACATGTCTCCGTGATTTCAGCAGAGTTCATGTACGTGTACTTCCGCTTTTTGTCCTTCTCCTTTTTCTTGGAGTTGGCATTCAGAGGAGAGTTCTCGTAGAACGGAATGCCGTGTCGCAGATTCACTCGAGGGTAAGGGAGGCCGGTTTCTGTATAAAAAGCAGGGAGCAGACGATGCGCTAGATCAACCGCCAATCGAAGTAACTGCCCGTCGTAGACGAATCCATCCTCCCACAGAATACCATGGTCTTGCTTGGAGAATCCGCTTTTGTCCCAGGCGCTGGCATATTCGATGTCCTGTTCTGGCGGATTATATCCTGTGATGGGTAGTTCACCGACAGCGAATAGATGTGAACTTAAGAGTCCGCCTGGAGAGTGTCAGCTAAGCTTTCAAACAACGGTCGAAATAGGATCATACCGAGCCCTCGAATCACACTCTCAAATACCTGCACTTTACTGTCGATATCAAAACCTCTAGCTCTCTCACCCTGGCCAGCAGGGCCCTCCGATCCATCACCATAGAGCCTCACAAACTCCTTCACACCGCCCTGGAAATGCGACAGGGCGCGATCGCCACTCTCCGGACTTGACGACAGGATTGCCAACGTCGATAAGCTGTCGATGAGCGTCAAGGAGTAATTTCCAAGGACATCGTTGTGTTCATTGTTCTTTTCGTCACGGGTCAAGGGGCCGCAGGTCAACGGGCGCAATTCGTCTTCGGGAAAGGCGTGATCAAGGTAGTTCTCGAAACCATGGTAGAACATATGTTCTGTTTCTTGTCTGCGCGATTCACGGGATAATTAGCAAGGGCACGGCCGTAGCAGCAGAAGAATCAGCAATCCAACTCACCTAAGCTCTTTAATTTGGTAGTCTCGCATACCCTGCGCCGACGTGAGCCATAGCGACAGCAGGAAGGCCCAGACCACCATCATCCACGTGCGACGGGGGTTGAACATCTGTAAGCTCCAACATCGCGAGCGCATCACCGAAAAGGGTGGCCACCGAGGGGCATGGACGGGCCAGTGAGGTCTGTTAGGTTACAGAACTCGAGCGCCGATTGTGGGCGTTGTAAGGCGTGGCGGACGGGGATGGCGGAGGGAAAAGTGTCCCCGTGGATTTATGCGGGTCAATTCGGTCGATACGGCCAGATAAGCATTGGCCACCCGTGATGTTCTTCAAGTACGAGAGAACACCCTGGGTATCTCCAGGAGGGTTTAAATATGCCTGTACGATTACGAGACACATTTATTTCTCTTTCCATTTTCTAGAATTATTTCACTTTATGTAGAAGAGTATCACTTAGGTGTCTGTAGTGGCGACTCCACCATCCCATGTGGCAGGCAGTTTTTATACTCGGGGCAGGTTGCATATTTCCGTAGAAATTCATTTATTGGATTATTTAAATAAACTATTAACTCAAACATGACCCTGCAGAACCTTGGAAGTAGATTTAAGCAGTCATATTAGTGATTTACATAGATTTTGGGCGATCACAAAAAAGTATGTCAGAGCACGCAACGTGATATTTAGGATCAATGTGATGTGTTGTAAATACTAAGTTTATCAGCTCAGTCAATAAACGACGGTATTGTATTGAGAGTCTGTATAAAAAAAAAAAATAAGATTCAAGCGAGGGCTAGGCAAGAGACTTGAATACAGAGTGTCCCCATCCGCCAAATGGACTGTACTCTTTATAGATTCCAACCTGCAGGTTTGTGGATATTGTCAAAATCCCGGGAGAGACTCTCTGGTCAAATACACCATGGTTGTGTCTTATTGCTCAAGATCGGCTTTGCTCCGAGCCTCATATCTACTAGTATAAATATTACTTTTCGAGACACTTCCACCACTAGGTAATAATAAAATTATACTGCCAGTGGAGGAGACCGAGATGTATTCAATAGAATATCTAATAAGTAACCCAACCGGTAATCAATCAAATATATAATAACAAGATTTCTGAGGCCTTAGGGCTCAGGCCCCAGGCGACGGTGGCTGCCAACATTCACTACGATACAAAACATCCAAACATCTTCAAGACGATCCACCTTTCTGGAGACCACCATTCAACCTCTCTCTCTTCTTTTCCCATACCCCAATATCTCCCTTTCTCACCTGTCTCTTTGTCTAGTATCTCAACATGAAGCCATACCTTCCACCTGAAGTAGTAGAGGCCGTTCTCACAAATCCTCCAGCACCAGAGGATGGAGTCGGATTTGCCTTGACCTGCAAGTATGCTTATGCTTGCTTCCTCTAATTTCTAGAGAGCCGTGACATGAATCTCTCAAAGCTTCTGCCTATTGAAAAGGCCCTTCACCATAAACCCTTCGATGCCATGGAAGACCGCCGTGGCCTTCCACGAATCAGACTACTTCCATGCCTTCAGACCGACTACTGGAAAACTTGCAAGCTATGCTTGAAATTACACCCCGCCGCATGGCTATCTTTAACCCTCGTGCTGTGTTGATAAGTAACCAAGGCCCTAGAGTCATAATAACTGGCGCACCACGTCTCGAACTGGCCGATGAAGCCATAAGTCGAGTTAATCTGCCTCATCCTCGCCATCCGATGGTTGATACATGTCCCTGCATTCGAATTATTTTCGACGAAGCGTTGCATCTTCACCGTGGCCTATCGAAGAATTCCGAATCGTGGGATCCCTCCACTAATCCACCTTTCCAGGTGGGCCGGCGAGAAAATTGTGAAGTCAAATTTTGTTCAAGTCCTCCAGGGTTGTCAAGTGCCGCTTGGCCTTGTCAATTGGCAGTAAAGAGGGGAAGGAGCCATATCTTGTGAAAAAAATGTCGAAAGATATTGAGCGTTGTCAGATATGTCGCTTGGCCGGATTCTGCTTCGCCTTATTGTAGTCCACCATTTGAACGTTGTCGGATCCAGATGGCCAGGGTCTGTCGGTCCGCTCGCGTTCCACCAAGCCTGCATACTCCTCGGCGTGCGTACGGTCTGCTGTATTTATAATTATAACCTCTGATGGCTCTGCTAGCTCAATGGCGGCAAATTGTCGATAGAATGTAGGTTGAACCCTGTCTTTTGTGAGACATAATCGGGGGATGATCAGAGAAAGCATGCTCACTCTTGCATGTTCCACAATTGGTGAACAAGCCAAAGAACGAAAATTACCATTCTCGGAAGGCAACAAGCTCACATTGCATATCTTGGAATAACGTGAGTTTAGCACGGCGACACTCCTCGTCGGGTTGGTACCATCCATTCGAGCAGATTTTTTCCCAAAGCAACCCCGATCAAAAGTTGATAGATTTAAACCCGGTGCCTCAAATTCTGCGATCAACCCCTCACGACGGACCGCGTTCTCCCGTCTCACTCATTCGTCCTCCAGTGATCAAAGGTATCATAGAACACTTGATATTTAGGGCTTCCTCGATGGCTCTATTTTGATAACATTTTGGGTGTCATCGAGGGATGCTAAAAATTCGATGACAGCCTCATCGCGCTCTGAGCTCTTAGCCAGGAACTTGAGGACATGGTTATCGGTGAGGGGAGGGGGTCGGGGGGGTCGAATATGATGCTGACAGATTCTGCAGGTGGCGTCCTTTTTGCAGCTTCGTTATCAGAGACATAATTCTGTAGCGCAATACACAGTTAGTCCTTTTAGTACTTGTTAATACGATGTCCTGAATATCTAAATACCTTCACATAGCCTAGCGTTCTACTTTTCTAATCATCGTCATATTCAGGGCCGTTTGGGTCTCAGAAAGTCCCTCGAGACTGTCTCCGCTTAATGCTTCTTCTTCGCTTTCCATCGTTGGCCGAGTGCGTCCGATAGGTCCTTGACTAGCGTCTGTTTCCGAATAGCCTCGCTGTTTGCAGCCACCACTTCCCTCACATTGTGTAGTGCTTATAGCTCCGACGCGACGACGAATAGACGGTGCATACTCGGGGCGTATGATATGACAGCCTCTGGGATCTCACTCCGGATGACTTCATACTCCTTATTCCGTCGAATAAAAGTCGCCTCATCTTCAGTCAGGTGTAGGGCTGGTTTGGTTCTGCGTGAAGATGCTGACCTCATTTGGCGCAGACCGTCGTCGTCGTCGACGATGAGTTCGATCGGCCTACTCGTGCGCATGACAGTATATACATTCAACAGGCTGGCAACTGGTTGTTTCCGATGCTTATCCCCACCTGCGAGCACTCTAAAATTCCATGGAATAGCATATTTATCAGCTCGTGCTTTGAAATGGATAACAAGGTGCATATTCGGTAGAGAGAGTGCCCGAAGCCAATACTTTCCATCGTTTATCAGGCTATCAGCTTTTTCGATATTCCAGATTGGCTCTTCCAGACCAGAGACAAGGTTGAGATATCGTCACTGTGTCAGCGGCGATTGTTGTTGGTGTTGGCGGGCATAATTCTAGGGTGTTGTTTAGTTATCAACACAGCATGGGAGAAATAAATATAATACTGACCGTTGGTCGAGCCACTCTGCGGGATGTAGAGTCAGGCACAGATGACAACACGTCCAGCGCTCATTTGGAGCGCTGGAAAGAGTCGCAGGCGAGCAAACTCTGTCCTATCTCTATTCTGGGGACCATGATTCAGGGCTGTCTTGGTAGGTAGAAGCTCTTTGAGCTTTTTCCCTTTTTGTTCTAGGAACGAAACAAAGCACATGTTGGTGTACTTAGAGGCTGCGAGGCCAACTCCATCTTCTGGCATTGGAAGATACACCATTGCTCTTGGGTCTTGCTGAGGCTGTCATTGCCCTGCTCCCAGACGTTGGAGTCTGATCTGCGGTGTCTTTCTGGTGCCTTGATACAGAGTCTTCACTGTGTGGCAGTGGTACTACTAGTAGTATTTGTGACTTGGCTTTAGACTGGCAGGCGTCGATGGATTCCGGGGCCTCCTACCTTCACCCCCAGCTCCAGTGTATCACAGGAGCACTTTTTGACCAATAGGAAGCTAAAAGAGTTATAGTTACATTCTATCATTGAAAACTTGGATCACCTGTTGAATTAATTATTAAATTATGTACCAGATATATCGCGACTGCTTATGTGGGCGAGAGGATTTTGTTTTATCAGTGGAGTAAGTGCAAGAAGTGACACTACTAGTATTACTTATACTGGCCTCCAACTTGAGTGTAAGCAGTTTTACAGTATTTCCGGAAATCGGTGTCACCCCCCACACTCATTGTTCCCCAGACCCTAAATGCCAAGATACACTGTGTTACTTTCGGACAAGCTATATCAGCCTCATTTGTTTTTGGAACGTAACGTAAATTACCGGACTATCGGGGAAATTGTTTATTACCTGTAAGGCGAGAAGTTGCAGCTTAAGTCCTCACGTTCACTTCCCCAATCCCCACACTGAGCGGTGCAACGAACCATGGCTCCCAGCAAGGTTTAGCGCCCGGCGGTCACCTGAGAGCGGGGCAAAAGACAACCTTGACTTTCAGGAGGTGGAACTTTCGCTCGGTTGAGAGCAGCCCCATTCAAGGCACTGAATATTCAGCATGAGCCTGACATCTTTTGGTAGTGCGAACAAGGGTCTCCAACTTGGAAATAACTATGGGACAATCGGGACAATCAACATTTCATCCGGTGTGTCAGAGTCCTTGGAAAGCCGTAATAAGGTGACTAACACTTTTTGGCCCAGACCAGCCGGAAGATCTAGTACAGAGGACAGACAAAGGTTCGCTCCGCCCTGTACCAGTTAAAGACAATCTGACTTACCACAAATACAGAGCTGCTCAGGTCACTAGCATTCCCACAGATGCTAGCTCGGAGGGACAATATCGAGCTATGTCACATGAATACCTGCCAATGGATTTTAGAGTTGGACGAGTATCGGTCCTGGAAGAATCAGCCCTGTGGTCTACTCTGGATTAAAGGCAAACCGGGTGCGGGTAAATCTACCTTGATGGTATTCTTGCATGATAGACTCAAAGAATCACAGGACGGCATTCATGGTATTACTCGACTCGATTTTTTCTTTACCGCCCGGGGTACGGAGATGCAACGTACACCGCTAGGAATGTTCAGATCGTTATTGAACCAGATTTTTGACCGTGACTCGACTATACGCCCTCGGGTGCGCGAGATCTATGAGCAACGATGTAGGCAGTTTGGGGGAGAACGCAAATGGGAATGGCCGCAAATAATACTTGAAGAGTTATTGGCAACTGCTATCCTAGCATCAGCCAACGATCAGCATGTGATTATCTTTGTGGATGCTCTAGATGAGGCAGGGGCTGAGTCCGCCCAAAAGCTTGCAGCATATTTCCACCGTCTTGTTGACCGTGCTGACAAAAAGAAGCTAACCCTTCAAGTCTGCATCTCATGTCGACATTATCCTATTGTGGAAAGTGCCCAGACAGTAGCGATACATGTTGAAGACCACAATCAAGATGATATTGCTACATATATCAAAGATATGCTTCTTGAGACGGAGCTGGGAGATATCTCTAGTCAAGAGATAAAAGAGGTACTGGCGGAGGAATTAACCCAGCATGCCAAGGGTGTGTTCCAATGGGCGCATCTTATGATACCTCTTGTCAAGCGAAAATTCAGCGAAGGGGAGTCAATCAGCGACATCCGTGATTGGTTGAGCGATGTCCCAGCCGATCTAGAAAACGTCTACGTATATATTCTGAGCAACGTGATCGCGGCTAGCAATCGAGACCAGTCATTCCTATTCTTTCAATGGGTGTGCCTGGCCGAGCGACCCCTGACTCTAACGGAAATTCGATACGCCTTAGCAGCGAAGACTGCTCCAATAACGCCATCTGGAATCAAATGGGAGAAGCTCCACGGCTTTGTCGAAAGCAATAAACGCATGAAGCAGAGAGTCAAGGCTCTTTCTGGTGGAATGGCAGAAGTAGTCTCAAGTGGGAATGACGAGGAGACTGTACAGGTGGTTCACCAGTCGGTCAATGATTTCTTGCGGGCAAAAGGACTGGTCCTTTTATACTATGGCATCAGCGCGAGCATAGGGTCTGAGGATCAAAACAAGATTCTTTCTCAGTCTCAGGCAACTCTCTACCGATCGTGTCTAGTATATCTTGCCATGATCTGTTCAAACAAACAAATGAGTAAATTTCAGGTATCAAAAGAGAAGCTTATCTGTGATCACCCATTTTTGAACTATACGACTATCAATCTCTTTGTTCATGCAGAAAAAGCCGCCGACGCTCGAGGTGCCTTGCTGCACAATGAAATAGACATTTTACACCGAATGATCAGTTACTGGGTTGAATTCTATCAACACCTTGATGCTTATCACAAAGCATGTCCACCCAGAGGCACAAACATTTTACATATGGCTGCCGCTGCCAATCTAGTCGATATGATAATATCTGTATTGTCGGATGAGGAGGACATAGAGAGGAAAGACGAAGTTGGAAATACAGCGTTACACTTCGCTGCTCAAGCAGGGCACACGATAGCCGGCAAAATACTGCAGGAAAGAGGAGCAAACCGAGAAGCGAAAAACAACATTGGAGCGACTCCTTTAATGGAGGCAGCCAGATGTGGACATTTGGGGTTTGTGGGATGGCTTTTAGATGAGGGTGTGGAGATTGAGACAGAAGGTGGGGGCGCTCTACAAAAGGCTTCATTGGAAGGTCATAATACAATTATAGAGATGTTGCTCGGGGTTGGAGCGAATGTCAATGCCCAGGGTGGCCGATACGGCAATGCCCTACAGGCTGCTGCATGGAACGGAAATGCTGAGACAGTCAAAATACTGCTTGATGCTCAGGCAGAAGTCAATGCCCAGGGTGGTGAATACGGCAACGCCCTACAGGCTGCTGCATGGAGAGGAAGTGCTGAGACAGTCAAGATACTGCTCGACGCTCAGGCAGATGTCAATGCCCAGGGTGGTGAATATGGCAACGCCCTACAGGCTGCTACATGGAGAGGAAATACTGAGACAGTCAAGATACTGCTCGACGCTCAGGCAGATGTCAATGCCCAGGGTGGTAAATACGGCAATGCTCTACAGGCCGCTGCTGCATCATATAATGGAAGTGCTGAGAAAGTCAAGATACTGCTCGACGCTCAGGCAGATGTCAATGCCCAGGGTGGTCAATACGGCAATGCCCTACAGGCCGCTGCATCAAGAGAAAGTGCTGAGACAGTCAAGATACTACTCGACGCTCAGGCAGATGTCAATGCCCAGGGTGGTGAATACGGCAACGCCCTACAGGCTGCTGCATGGAGAGGAAGTGCTGAGACAGTCAAGATACTACTCGACGCTCAGGCAGATGTCAATGCCCAGGGTGGTGAATACGGCAACGCCCTACAGGCTGCTGCATGGAGAGGAAGTGCTGAGACAGTCAAGATACTGCTTGATGCTCAGGCAGATGTCAATGCCCAGGGTAGCTATTACGGCAATGCCCTACAGGCCGCTGCATCAAGAGGAAGTGCTGAGACAGTCAAAATACTGCTCGACGCTCAGGCAGATATCAATGCACAGGGTGGTGAATATGGCAATGCCCTACAGGCTGCTACATTTTATGGAAGTGCTGAGACAGTCAAGATACTGCTCGACGCTCAGGCAGATGTCAATGCCCAGGGTGGTCAATACGGCAACGCCCTACAGGCTGCTACATTGAGAGGAAATACTGAGACAGTCAAGATACTGCTCGACGCTCAGGCAGATGTCAATGCCCAGGGTGGTAAATACGGCAATGCTCTACAGGCCGCTGCTGCATGGAGAGGAAGTGCTGAGATAGTCAAGATACTGCTCGACTCTCAGGCAGATGTCAATGCCCAGGGTGGTCAATACGGCAATGCTCTACAGGCCGCTGCTGCATCATATAATGGAAGTGCTGAGAAAGTCAAGATACTGCTCAACGCTCAGGCAGATGTCAATGCCCAGGGTGGTCAATACGGCAATGCCCTACAGGCTGCTGCATGGAACGGAAATGCTGAGACAGTTAAGATACTGCTCGACGCTCAGGCAGATGTCAATGCCCAGGGTGGTGAATACGGCAACGCCCTACAGGCTGCTGCATGGAGAGGAAGTGCTGAGACAGTCAAGATACTGCTCGATTCTCAGGCAGATGTCAATGCCCAGGGTGGTCAATACAGCAATGCTCTACAGGCCGCTGCTGCATCATATAATGGAAGTGCTGAGAAAGTCAAGATACTGCTCGATTCTCAGGCAGATGTCAATGCCCAGGGTGGTAAATACGGCAATGCTCTACAGGCCGCTGCTGCGTGGAGAGGAAGTGCTGAGACAGTCAAGATACTGCTCGACGCTCAGGCGGATGTCAATGCCCAGGGTGGTGAATATGGAAATGCCCTACAGGCCGCTGCAGCAGCATATGATGGAAGTGCTGAGACGGTCAAAATACTGCTTGATGCTCAGGCAAATGTCAATGCCCAGGGTGGTGAATATGGCAACGCCCTACAGGCTGCTGCATGGAACGGAAGTGCCAAGACAGTCAAGATACTGCTTGATGCTCAGGCAGATATCAATGCCCAGGGTGGTGAATATGGCAACGCCCTACAAGCTGCTGCATGGAGAGGAAGTGCTGAGACAGTCAGAATGCTGCTCGACGCTCAGGCAGATGTCAATGCCCAGGGTGGTGAATACGGATCACCTCTCCTGGCGGCTATCTATTCGGGCCACGCTGATGCTATTGAAATTCTTCTTCATGCGGGTGCAGATATTGCCCTTACAGATGAGCTCGATCAAACTCCTCTTCACATTGCAGCTTCAAGAAATATCGCCCATGCTCTCTCTCAATTCCCGCAACTTGCTTCAGCTATCAACAAGCGCAATAAGTTCCTGCAAACCCCTCTCCACCTAGCTATTTACTTTGGCCATATCCACTTCGCTATAAAACTTCTTTATCTTGGTGCCGACCCTTCTCTTCCAGACGGCTATGGCAAACATGCTATGGACTGGGCCATCGGGCAAGAGACTTTGATGCGCAAAATACGTGAATATTGTCCTCAGCTCTTATTGACACCGCATGAAAATCAAGAATCAATTGTTCCACAATCTATCTTCCACCTCTCCGATAATCTTCCTGAGCTCAGCCCGAACCATACATGGTTAATTTTGCAACAGTTAGCTCGGTATTTCCTATTTCTCAATAACACGACCAACGCACGCTATCTCTTTCAGATTCGTCTTTCTCGAAATAACTCTTCTGTCACTGATATGTACAAGGCTATCTGCAATTTCTGTGATAGGCCTATCACTGGGCCTCGTTCTGTATGCAGAATCTGCGCGAATATGGATATCTGTTCTTCCTGTGTACCCAAGCACCCTTTTCATCACAGACTAAATCCAGATCAGAAGCACGAAGTCTTTGAGGTGCCTGGCCTGCCTGATAAGGAGTCTCAACTCACTGGACCAGTACCACAGCAACTGATTTGCTTCCTCAATCAACATTCTCATGAGACTCTCGGGGGAAACAGTAACCAATCTGAGATGAAGCTATCGAAAGACTCCTCATCTTTACTATCACGGGAAATGAAAGCTCTGGTTCCAAACACTTTGTTAAAACCGGTAGTAATATTCTCTGCGATCTTGTTCGGGCTGCTAGCTACTTTCTTAGGGTCTTGGTACTTTTAAAGCTGTTTTAACTTAGTCCGTGCGCTCAGTATGTCCCTTTTTACGGCATAGGCTGTAGGGAAAGTACATCTGTATAGGGGGATTCCGGCTATAAACTATTCTGTTTGTCATTTGTAGCTAAGAATCTTCTGTACAGCCTAATGTCCAGGAAATGCCAGTAGCTGTTCAGTAATGCAGCCATTCCCCATGCTTTATTTCTTAGAAGTTTACGTATTACAATATATATTACAGTCTAATTATCAAGAAACGTGTAAAGCATAATAAAGTAACAAGACAAAGGAGAGAGTGACGAGCATATAACAGATGGCGGCCATTCACGGCCAGGTGTACAGGCATACGAGGGAGTCGGGTATCGTAGATTGGGCTGACGAGGTCGGTAGATGTCATCATTATCGAAAACAGTGTAAGCTATCCCCTCAAGTAGTAGATACTACTGAGAAGCCTATTTATGGGAGTGTGTCAGCCTTAGGTGTAAGGCATCTCAGTATGCCGCCTAAGGTGACTGCTCGGAAGGTTCCAGCAATACCAATATCTGACGTACATACAAAACCGGATAGTATGTAACTTAAATGTATTTGTGAAAACCGGAAAATTACTATTTTTGTTCATTGATTAATAAGATCTAGTGTATTTTGGCATTTAGGGTCTGGGGAACAATGAAAGAGTGCCGGGGGTGACACCGGTTTCCGGAAATACTGTACCTCTAGAGCAATTACTTCCTCCATTGATTCCTCCATTGTTCGCTCCATTGCTTGCTCTATTTAAATTACTACAAAGCATCCTTTACCAAGGATGTGACTATTTTCGCCGCCACAAAACGATCTTTTGTAAACTGTGCCTGCTTTTGCACCCTTTTGGTGGCTTCATGGACCAGGTGGAAGATGGGAAAGATAAAAGCCATAATATGAATGTGACATTATTTCTTATTCCAGTCAAGATCATATCTGCTTGTTTTGTATTCGCGATACCAATAAACCTGTATGTGGTTGGGTACCATTGTTGCCTTGTTGCCTTGATAGGTTGGCATCAACACATGCACCATTCACTCATATTTATTTCCTGCTTCCTCTTCCCCCTCTCCCCCCAAGCTTGTTACTTTCGTCGATCCACTTTTGAACGCTGTCTGGTATTTAATCGCATGTTCATTTTCATCCTACCTGAACATTCTCAAAACTTGACCAGCCTTACTGTTACTGGACTTGAATGTCTTGGATCACCAATCAGATTGCTTTAAGAGCAGATCAGCATCACCAAGAGCAGTGAGTACAATTCAATCTGCTTCAAATACAAGCCAGCTAGTTTAAACCTTTACTCAGCTTCGATCTCAAAATTTTCGAAGTCTAAAGTGATCGGAGAAGATTCTTCTGCATCACTCCAAGATTTTGGGTTAATCGGATGGATTTCACAATGGTGGTTTGAGCCCCTGGGTATTGAGTCCCTCGTTCGTGCCTGATTTGAGGTGAGTGAAATACGTCTCTACGCAAGACTTCTAGAGACTAATCTCCCTCTCCAGGCTGGAGGGAGTTTCAACCCCATTACTTGAGTCTTCCGTCGGGAAGTTACCCCGGTGGTCTCACTCGACCCGAATTGAGGTGGCCACTTTGATGCTTGATCGAAAGTAAGTTGACTCCGGGTCTACGAAAGACCTACATGAAGCTCAGGCTAATCTCCAACTTCAGGCCGGACGACTCAGGATACTTGGCGCTGGCTCAAACAATAGCCTCCCGCCCCACCGATTTCGTTTCGACCTCAGGGAAATCTATCTTGAGTTGACTCGGCGAAGCTACAACCTCGAATGTACCTTGACCACACATCAGAGGTTATCACTTGGTATACCGAAGACCACAGCATAAAAAGGAGACATTGTGCGTGCCTTGAGCTTCTGGACTCTCATTGGAGACCTTATGTTGGGCAAGCCCATATACGACAATCAAAATACAAATGCTCAGCCACTTGCGACCCAGACAAACGCATGTCAGGTTGCTGCAAGGCGTTGTCCACGTTCTTGGTGGGCATCATGTCCAGGACATCTTCATTGACTGGCTCACATACTACTATCAACGTAGCTCATACCGGAGAGCCAGCGCAAAAGAAACAAAAGCGGCTTACTACCCATAAGTACATCGCACATCCAGAAGCCACGGAGTATGAGCAGACTCATATTTCAATGGCACAACCCATCGACAAGAATCTACGTTTCTACTACCTTCGCCATTTCCAGGTCACATAACTGCGTACCCTTACATCGCAGCGCCGAATCTGACCGGTCTCAATCCGATTTTCGCATAATTTCTTTGGCCAAATTGGACTGGCTTTTGGAGTCGTGGAGTTTCCTCATGGGAATTCGACGAAGTCAAGTACCGACCCTGAACTCCTCCCTCAAGGGCGCCCATCAGCATTCACTGGGGGGCTTCTTCGAACTACCTGGATTCCTTCCTCCTTTTGCATTCAGAAAATACCGGAGACACAGATTCCCGAATCTGCCATTTTTCAGATTCGAAGGATCCCAAACGCAGGCGGATGACCGGACCTTCATAATTTCCAATCTTGTCCGATGCCAATAAGGTAAATCATCACTCGGCTGGAAATAAATGAGAAATAGCCTAGTGTCCGCATAAAATTTTCCGAATGAGATTCAAGCCAGAAATCGCATGCTGCGCAAAAGGCGTGAAGATCATTCCGGAGCCAAAACAGGAGTGTCACACCCGACAGATGTTGGGCCTGAAACGTGCTCAAGGTGAAGGCTGCCTGCCTGCGACAGACGAGGCTCAGTGGATCGTGACCTGAGGCACATACGAATCAACACAATTAGTATCGAAATCAAGATAATACATTTTGACACCCAGCCCAATGAGTATGACATTAGATAGCGGCCAGGGGGGAAGAAAGTATTCTTGACGGGCAGAATCTTGGTCTTACCTTTTGCATGAGCCTTACGGGTGATGGCTACTAAGTACTACTTTTGATACACGATGAAGCAATTAGGCAATACCTGGGTAGCTACTGTAACTAACTACTGGTTAGTACCTAGTGGGTACGTGTAGGCAAGGGTAATGAACTAGTAGTATACAAGCTTAGGAACATTACAACCATACCGCTACAAGAATTTAAGCGATCTTGTTCAAGTAGCAGAATTAGTGTAATTAGAGCATACTACTAGAATCATAGAGAGGGAGCTCAAACAGAGACATAGGAGACAGCAGTGCCGGTCTAGTATCTCATAATTTCGACCCCCTTGACCGCTATCGGCTGCCATGGCCTTTGCCAGTCAACTGAACGTTTAAATTGACTCCGAGTCTATCCCGAGATTGCGGAAATAGTTCTTTTCTTGATCCTCGGGTGGGCGTATCACAGAGACAAGATGACTGAGAATGACCTTGTAATCGTAAACGCCAGAGGCTAAGGCGAGTGTGACCTGAGGGAGGACAAGTGTCTGGTAGTAGTTATCAAGATGGAGATAGACATAGTAGAACTGGGCTTTGGCACTGCCGATGGCTTGACCATCGACTGCAAGTTTGCCTCTTATGGCAGCGTCCCATGCACCGAGACTTTTGTTGCCAGTGAATCTCTCGGGATGCGGAAGCGATGGCCTCGGGGGCTTTGCTTGTCGAGGTAGATCTTGAGCGACAAGTTCGGGGGATGCTTTGGATTTGCTGCCTTGTACCTGAAACACATCGGACTGCGCTGGCTTCTGCTGAATAAGGGCGTCGATATGGGTTTGAAGCGAGGTGATCGATGCCCAGACGGTCTCGTGGTTCGTCTTTATCGAGACTCCGATACGTTCAAGTTCGGCCAAAAGTATGCTGCAAGTGAAGCACGCTTCGATATCCGTGTCGGAGTTTGATAAACGCATGTTTGGTATTATGGAGATCGAGTGTAATTTGATGGGAGGCGATGAAGAATGAGAAGAGAAGGCGAGAAGTGGGAAGTGGGAAGACGGAAGAGGAGGGAGGAGAGGAGAGGAGAGGAGAGGAAAGGGTATCTACTAAAAACGGAAGGGACGAGTATCAAAATCAACATGACGTACTCTTGTCACGAGGAAAGTGATATCTGATCACCTTCAACCCTTGGGAAAGATCAAGTATCCCCCAAGACTCTTACACCTCAATAACAGATATGCAATACTTCGTAATTCTCACAAACTGCCCCAATCCTATCAATCTCCAGAACCAGCCAAATCCCTCCTCACAGCCCGCTCAACCGCCTTCAACTCAACATCAATCTCCTTCGTAACAAGAATCTGCCTCGACCTCCTCTCATCCCCAGACCATCGATTCCTTTCTCCCAAACTCGGACACCGCGTGATCTCAGTCCGACAACCATCCACCGGACCAAGCCTCCACAAATCCACATCTGCATCCGCATCCACATCCCCACTCGCCTCTCCGCGTATTTTCTTCTTCGCCGTCGAATGCCGATCCTGTTCTCCTTGATATCTATCGTTATCATCCAGCGTTCCCTTCTTACCCGTCCTCCCACCAAAACAAACGCAACACCTCCCCCCCCAAAGCCTCCTTAATAGAAACCCTCATCACAGGAAGACAAGTACACACAATCCCCGTCGAAACCTCAATAATGTGCATCATGCAAGGTTTGGCATAATACCAAGTCTTATCCGGCTCACCTTCATCTGGCATAATAATAATGCGCCCAATAGCCGTCGAACAATCACTATATCATACCCATCCGTCAGTAGAGTCATTCCGAGTCATTCAAGTTCCCCACACAAACATAACATAATCAAACATACAAGAGCCCCAACATAAAAACCAACGAAACAGCCACCTTCTGACCCCGCGGAAGATTCAACCTCCAAACCTTCGGAATGGGCATAGCCCAAACAACCAGCGTCGTAACAATATTAATAACAGCATAACTATACGGATCCAAATCAAGACACTTCCCTTTCCCCGTCCAGAGCGCGGAAATCGGCACGCAGAAGAATATCACCAGGAACAGGTTGGCCGTGCACCAGGTCGTTATAATCGCCATCATGGCGTAGATCAGCCACAGGAAGCGGGATTGGGTGTATTTGAAGATTCGGCGGTATAGGCAGAGGAGGGAGAGTTTTATGGCGGGTGGGGCGGGGATGTAGGCTATTTGCATGAAGTAGAGGTTTTTCGTGAAGGTTTTTATTTGGGATGGGGTTAGGGTTGAGATGTGTTTTCCCATTCCGTGGATTTGCGCTGGTGGAGGAGTGGGGGATTAGTTTACTAGTAGTACTGGTAGTAGTTGAGGGGGAGAAATGATTCCGAGATAAACTTGAACCTTGAAGCGACGCGAGCAAACAGTGGCATTGATGCAAGTGGGAACTTGAATGGAAATAGACGGGTATACGCACCTCTCGCAGCGAGGGCGTACATTGCCCAATTTAGAAGCAGGGCAATACATATAATCCAGTCGTCTGCGCCGAAGGACATTCGGCGAACTTTTCGAGCGGCGAATCGGCCGAAGACCGTGGCTGTTGCTACGACGGCGAAGACGGTATTCACGGCCCAAAGCGTTGTTCCTAGGTCTTCAGTGAGATCGGTCATCGTGAGTGGAAGGGTAATATAGTAGAATCATCAGGACCCAGTTTGATTTGAATAGCATTGGGTGATGATGGGGAGTTCCACCTCCGATTAGATAAAATTTCAGAAGCAGATGGATGGATCGTTTTTTATTACTGGAATTAGTAGACGCAGCACAGCACAGCACAGCACTGCCCTGCCCTGCCCTGCCCTGCCCTGCTTCATGACCCCACCGGAGAGAAAATAATCCCCCCAAGGAGGCAAAAAGGGCTAGAAATGCACATCACGGCGTGGTGTAACAACAGCCAAGAGGCAGATGAGTCCGCCAAAAAGTTAGCAAGCCCTTGTTTTCCACCTGGCACCCTGGCCCGTTCAAGTTTCAGGGTAAGTAAGGTAAGCGGGATCTGATCTAGCGATGGTGAGATACTAGTAATATGCTCACTGAGGGATAATTGTCTCTAACTACGGGTATCTTGGCAACCCACGCGGATTATCGACGGTGTTGCACAACATGCTGGGATGCAACATTGGTCGAAAGCTGGCATTAGACCCCCGAATGCACTACCTTGATAGCTACTCGGTGCCAGTCTGCCAGAACTGTAGTTTGAATCTAACTGTGTTTGCCGCGCCGCGAGATGGTAGTTGTGTGTGTTCTTTTTTTTTTTTCGTAGGGCTGGACTGGGCTGGGTTAGGTTGAGTTGAGATCACTCCTTTTCTAAATTGCCAAGAGCATGAATCCAGTTTCATTTTTGGAAATGTCAGCTTCGGATTTAGATTCGGGCACCTGTCAAATCAACCTGACCACCTGGGCAGACCACCCCCTTGTACAGTGTAGCGATTTGCTTTCTTCCGCTTGGTTACTCAGTCCAATCACCAACCACGGCGTGCACATACCTTATTCCGTACTCGGAAACAAAGAGTTTATGAATGGCCTGCTGAAAACATATAAACCGTCTTCAAGTCTAAACATGGATTCAACTGCGGTGCGCGGATAAAAACTTGAAGCGAAGCTAAGCCAATCGATACCGAAAGTAGTATCGGGAGTGGTGAACTTAACTTTATCGGCTCCGGAGATAAACATTTCCATAACCAAATAGTAATACAAGGAAGCTATTTCCCCAAGTGGGTCTGCGGAGTCCCATCGGTACTCCAAGGTCATTCCAGATTGCGGAGCTCATAGAGACAGGCGCCTCGGTCGATGGGCTTGCATGTCTTCAACCGACACACTTCTAGGGCTACTGTAGTCATCAAGTGCAACGCATTCGATTGGAAACTCAATCCAAAAAAAAAAAACCAGAAAACATTCAAGTATGCCAACAGCTCATGCTCATCTCGTTTCGTTCGCAACCCTCATCACGGGATAGTTGTCGTTTGACGTTCGTCATATTCCCGTCGTCCCGGCCAGGCCTGTATAACCTCAACTTGGAATCCTCCATCCGGGCGAAAAGTAGTTTGTTTTGTTCCCCTCGCTACGGTACTTCGAGGCCATTTATGAAGTTCGTCAAGGAAAAGAGAAAAGAGAGGAAATGAGAAGTAGAAGAGAAGATAGGAGGAAGAGAAAAAAGAAATAGATTCCAGGCCCGAATTAGTTGCACAAATGCCCAGCATTTCAAATGTTCAGCCTTGCAAGACAAAAGTAGGGATAGAAAAGAAAAGTGTCACAAAGAGGGGGAGAAAGGTTGGGTGTTTAAGAAGAAGAAAAGAAAAGAAGCCAAAAGAAGGATATACAGTTCCAAACAAACTGGAAGCGTATCAAAAAGAGAAAGGAAAAAAAAGAATGGTGAAGAGAAAGAGCAGCAATTTTCACCGCTAGTATACTGGATCGAGCATCAACACTGGACTGGAAACCAAGATAAACTCAGGTCCATATCGAAAGAAGCAAATGGCAATGGGCGGGGGGAATTAAGTTAATCACACGAGTCGAGTAATAAGTAGTAGTAATAGAAAGAAAGAAGAGAAGCGAATCGAAGCTCGTAGGTCACAGTGCAACTAATCTCGAATACAGAATCAAAGTATCCGTCTCCGGTCAGATCCCAGGATCGCATCGCATAAGCAACAACGATCCTTGAACAGAGTAGATCAATGGAAAAGGAGGGAGGGGGAAGAGGAAGATGCAACCACATAACTAGGAAGACAAAGACACCAACGCCAATCTCACAGCATGCGCACACGAATAGTCCAAGTGTAAGAAAATGGTTGTGGGAAAAAGAAGAATGACCAGGCCAGGGGTGAGAGTATCGTATCCGGTGGCAAAAGGGAAAAGAAAAAGGAGAGGCAAAAACAAGACAAGACCGCAACGCACTAAATCGATCAAATATACAAAAACAAGGGTATATCGGAGAGGGTTAAACACCTGAAGAGAACCGTCAAGACTTTTTAATCATCCCAGGTCTGGACCCGCGGCATCGACGGTGTCCATCAGAGGCATATTTGGATCGAAGCCAAAGCCAGTCCCATCACCAGCATCGGTGTTGAGGAAGGTGTCGAAGTCGAAGCTCTCCAGGAGATCAGGGGTATCCAGAGGGCCAAAGTCAAGATTGAAGGCATTCTAGAAGAGCGGGAATTGTTAGGGGGGGTTCCAAAACAAACACGAGGATTTCGGGGTTCTCACGAGGCTTACATCAGGCATTGAGAGATCATTGTAAGGTTGCGGGTTGGGATCCATGGTAGGCTGGACCATAGTTGGGGGAGCTGGGGCCGAGGTGGGCTGGGATTGCGCGTTGGCACCTCCGTTGACACCGGCCTTGTTGAAGGAATTAGGATGTTGTGGAGTGACAGGGGTGGATGGAGTAGGAGTCTGTGCCGTCTCTCCAGCTTCGGTAGCTTGAGCATTGGCGGCATTGGCAGCGGCAGCAGCGCCCTTCTTGGGTCGCTTGCGGGTGTTCTCCTTGGCGCCTTCTTTCTTGCCTTTGCCGGGAGCTGGCTTATTGCCCTGCTGAGGGGTGGGGGGAGCGTTTGCCCCCGTCTGGGGAGATTGGGGATGGGTGCGACCTGCAGGACCAGTAGGGGGGGGCCTGAGGAGGCGGCATCGCATTCCGTTCTTGGGGAGTGCCTGCTTGGGGCTGAGATGCCGGTGAGTGCTGCGGCGGCATTGGCTGACCGGGCTGCTGCCACTGCCCACTGGGCATGCGGCCGACACCGGCAGGAATGGGCTGACCCATCTGGGGACCAGTGAATTGTGGGTTAGAGCTTGGGGGACGCATGTTGGGGTTGCCTTGGAAGAACTGAGCAGCCATCTCGGGTGGCATTGGGCCGCCGTTTAGATTCATAGATCCCGGAGATCCACGGTTCTGGCCCATATCGCCGGCGCTAGGGGAACCAGGAAGACCACTCTGGGGCATCTTAGGTGTACCCCGCTTCATTTGTTCACTGGGGTTTGGCGAGGCACCTGTGCGACTGCCCTGTGGGGAAGTGCCCGGTGGCAGCTGTCCCTGACCGGGCATTGGTTGACCATCACGGGCCATGCTGTCCTGCTCGGCACGAGCCATTTGCAAACGCCGCTTATTCTGCTGTTCAAGCAGCATGAGTTGCATTTGATAATCCTGGAGAGCATGGTTGCCGTGACCGCCTTGCTGGCCGTTTTGTTGTTGCATATTGGCTCGAGGCGGCATTTGACCGTTTTGATAGTAATCGGGACCCACCGTGAACATTCCTCCATTGCCATCCGGCATCGTCACAAGATCCGTTTGATTCGGCATGACGCCGGGATTCATCATACCACCGTTCGGAAGACCCTGAGGAGACAATGCTGAGCGAGAGTGATGAAGGGCCAAGTTTTGAGCATATACCTGCATAGATTTTTGTTGCGCAGCCTGTCCTTGCTGGAACTGCTGGAATTGCGCCGGGTTCATGCCCCTGTTCATTCCGTTTTGCATCATCATAGCCTGAGCCTGGGGGTTAGGCTGTCCTTGCATCCCTTGTCCCTGACCACGTCCGTTAGGTGCGAGCTGTTGTCCGTTGACGGGGCCTCCTTCGAGGCGCGGGCGTTTCGATGGGGATGGAGCGTTGTCCGCAGATGCTGGGGACTGCGGCCGATTGCCGTTCATGTCCATGTCGGGCTGGTCACGTTGCATCTGCTGCATGATCTGCAACTGCTGGTTCTTGTGGAACTGCTGGGCCAATTGCTGCTGCGAGCTGTGTATAGAATCGATGTGTCAGTATCACTTCACGTTCCCTTGAAATGGGAGGGGGTGAACAGCATCTTTGTACTGGACGTACAGGCCAGTGGTATTTTGCAACACCGTCTTTTGAAGGTTGGCAGGTACCGGGTGCATGCCATTGCGACGCATGTTAAGCGGCATCTGGCCAGGCATCATCGGCTGTTGCCGCATAAGTTGATTCTGTTGCTGCTCACGGACACGCATAAGCGTCTATTGAGCAAGTCAGTTCGATTACCAGGGCGAGACGGGCTTCCCAAGCAATTGTATTAGGACGAACCTGATTGTGTGAGAGATATGTCTGGACGTTGTGGTTATTTCCTCTCTTGCGCTGAGCCTGGAAGAACTCCCAGAAGAGACCCCACCAGTCCAGCAGGAAGGCTGTTTGTGTACTTTCGTTGGGAAGCATAGCACGGGGCAGATCATCGGGAATTTTGATCTTCTCGCCATCCTTGCCGTCGGTCATCATGTCGCCGTCGATACCGTTCATATCGTTCTGGCGACTTCCGGGACTCGTCTTGGTACCGGGCTCCGCCGTGTTGACCTTCATTGATTCTTCGCGGAGAAGAGCGCGTGCACAGTCGTGGTAACCGCGTTTCAAAAAGTAATCGTAGATATATGTGTTCAAGTTGTTGAGACTCCCATCGGAGTTGTTGTTCATGTTTTGATCGTTACGAGGGGCAGTGGAGCCGTTGCTCATCATGGGGATACCACCGACGGGGCCTCCGACCCCGGGATTCATCCCACCGGCATTCATCTGGTTCATGGTGGCGATCGGGGGGGACTGCGGCCGCCCTTGCCTATTTACTGTCGGATGCGAATTCAAATCGAGAGGGATAATTAGTTCCAGGCGCGCGTCCACCGACTCAGGCGATAAAGCCTAGGCGCGGGGGTGGGACGTGCAACGCGTGGGAACGGGGGAGGGGGGAAAGGATGGAGGGAGACAAGACGAAGACCGAAGCGGTGAGCGCTTCGAGTCTGGTTTGGATGGTATCAGAGCCGACCGAGAGTCCGTGACGATGATACGCGTGCGGTTATTCGGGGGCGCTAGTCAGAGATGGTTGATTTATATCACTGATGGTGGAATGCGATGAAGAAGTGCGGCGACTCGGGGAGGTCCTTTCCGGATGGAGACACGCCACGCGATGATGTGATAAGAGAGTCTCGAATGGATAATTATTGGGCGCAATCGACAAACTGGGACGAATACAACTGTGAAGAAAAAGTATAAGCGATCAAGATATCACTGGGTGAGAGGCTCCAAAGGGCCAAGAGAAGGGAAGAAAGGCGCGATCGATGATAACGGCAGTACCAAGGAGGCGGGAAAAAGCGCACAGGCTGGAGGTGGCTGGTAGAGGAGGGGTGGGGGGGGGGTAGGGTGGGGATGGGGGAGGCGGAAAGAAAGAGAAGAGGTGCAAAGGCGATAGTGAAGTCACACACCAAGTAGTAGAACAGGGAAAGGTTTACATACAGAAGACCAAAGATTGGGGGGGGGTAAAGTTGGAAGTTGAAGTCGAAAGGGAAGTGGATCTCAAGGGGACCAAAGTGAGAAGGGAAAGAGCGGGTTCGGCCTGATCGCTTGTTCGGAATCGGATTATCTTCTTCCGGAGAGCGCAGTCTGCGTATTTTGCAGTACGCCTACCAGTATATCGGATATCTATACTCACTGCGTGAGTATAGTGATATAGCAGTGGTGTATAGGTAGTGGTAGTGATAGTGGTAGGGATAGTGGTAGTGCTAGTGGTGAGTAGTGATGAGTGTAGTAGAAGAAGAAGAAGAGAGGAAGAAGAAAGAGGCGATAATGTAGGTAGTAGGGTAGGAGGTAGGGCAACCTTAGGAAGGTCTGTATAGATATGATAGATGAGATCCTCAGATCGGGAATGGCGATCGGCCAATCACTCACGGCCACTATCCAGACCCAGATATCAAAATGCAGAACCAAATTCGATCTGTAGAAAATCCCGTGAAGAAGGATGAGGGGAGGTGAAAGGGGAAAGATAGAAGAGGGGCCCAGTATCAAAGCGGTATCGTTACACCACTTCAGATCTGATCATTGCTTCCCTACCTAGCTATTACGGCCACACATAGTCCAACAAATAGAGACCTTATACCTAGGTATACAATTACCTTTACCGGGGAGATTATCATTTTTTTCTCTTCCCTTTCCCTTTCTCTTCTTCTGAACTAACGGTGAAACACTTACCCCTGCACACGATAAATCGCGTGGCGGGGAGTGCGATACATCAGAAACCTTACCATAAGGACGATCGAACCGGATCGAACTATATTCCAAGAATACAGTTGAGTAGGAAGTACGCAGTATGTGTAAAGTAAGAAGAAGAGTTTTCCTCCCCTTCCATCGTTGCCTCTTTCTAGTTCTGAACAGTGTAGAAAATAAAGAAACTAATATTGTCCCAACCAACGCCATAATACATGCAATCCATCCCCTCAATCCTCCTCCGGCGGCATCTCGTCCTCAATGTATCGTATCAGCGACACTCGCATCTCCGTCGTGTCGTCGCCGCGGAGCACATCGCTCACAAAGTGCGCCTCGATCTGCATTTGAACCTGGATCCCGGGATCAACGTCAGCGCGGTCAGAGCGAGCAGCAGCGATCGGTCCCGACGTAAAGGTTAAGGTGCATGGGTCCGAGCTGAAGACAGGGGAGGCTGGGAGAGGGAAAAAAGGGCAAAGCGGAAGACAAAGTTTGTAATATAACACATACCATCTCTAGCGACCCACGCAGCACACCGCAAAGGATATTCGAGAACCACAATTCGTCTTGTGCGCGCCCGTCATCCGGTAACTCGACAAAGTCCGCCAGCGGGTTCTCGTCGAAAATTAGGGAGAACTGGTTATTGTCGCTTGTCCAATTGGTGACTGTTGGCGCTACGTTCAAGAAGATCTTGAAGCCGACCTATTTGGTTTGGGTCAGCCATTTCAGCACTCTTTTACCATTCTTCGTCTAATCCAGCACTCCGTAACCCTCGCAGGGAATTCCGCTGTGGCATTGAAATCACGTTGAAAGTACCCACCTTCGCAATCATATCAGCCGTCTCACGGAAATTGGCGCATCGACCCACTCCCGACTTGGCCAGGAAGTCCTCAATCAACCGCATCCCGATATTGTAGCCCATCTTCTCCAATTGTTTGTTCACTTCTTGATAGTCGCTATCATAGTCCTGGCATAGTTGCGCAACGATAGTACCGTAGGTTAATGTGACCAGCTCCGCGTTGACTTTATCGATTCTCGTCCTGGCGTAATTTGTTTGTTAGCCCGAGTGTTCGCGAAGTATATAGGCAGTAGTGGAGTGGAACAGCGCGGCGCAGCGCAAAGTAGGCAGAGGAGATTATGATGGACATAGCGCTTGACGCGCCATCATTGTGGGATATGTAGATATAAACGCAAATGCAATACTGACTTCCATATTCTGTAACAACCAAGTTAGCGGAAACTCCGACAGAACCGTCAAGATCAACTCACTCCTCCCCTATTCTAGAGGCCTTTGTAGCCGACATGATTGCGCGTCAGGGACACAGCTGTAGCGAATTCGAGTGAGAAAACGAAAACTCAAACACACGAATGCGACGACTGAAGATGCAAGGTGATTGCGGGGAGGAGGGAGTAGCTGGAAGAGCCCCCGTACACAAATCAGATTGACCGCCTTGGAACATCGTTCTTCCCGCAGCTCCCAGCGGGTCCTTTCAAGGTGAATCTTTCGTTCCTCCGCGCCGCACATCGACGTCCACGACCACCAGCTTCAATTACGACACGCCTTGGCCCATTTTCTTGCCCTTGCCCTTGGTATTCATAGCCAAGCACTGCCGCGATCATGTCTGGAGAAAAACGTCCCGCGCAGGCGGCTTTTGGCTCGGCCAACCAGCTCGTCGTCAAGAGGAATAAGCCCGATGCAGAGCTCAATCCCGGCACTGCGGTGGTCAAGGGCTCGTCTCAGAGCGGAGCTCTTGTGCAATCGGTACGCCTTCTCCCTCGTCCTTCCCCTTCTCAACTCTGGGATCAAATTGTGGCTTGACCGGGGAAGAAGAACTTGAACGTGGCTAACAATACCCTCACACAGGTCCCGCGCACCAGCGGACTAGATGCGCCCATCATGGAACTGACAGGGCATTCCGGAGAAGTCTTCGCCGTCCGATTCGACCCCAGCGCCCAACACATCGCATCCGGCTCAATGGACCGGTCAATCTGTACGTCCACCAGCTCCGCAGAAGAAAGAAAGCGAAGAAAAAGCTCGAACAGACCCCCACTAACCCGGAAACAGTACTCTGGAACACATACGGCCAATGTGAAAACTACGGCCAACTAACCGGCCACCGCGGCGCAGTCCTAGACCTTCAATGGGCACGCGACTCCCGAGCCCTCTTCTCCGCCTCCGCCGACAAAACCCTCGGAAGCTGGGACGTCGAAACAGGCCAGCGCGTCCGCAGACACATCGGCCACGAAGAGATAATCAACTCCCTAGACATCAGCAAGCGCGGCCAAGAACTACTCATCAGCGGCAGCGACGACGGTTGCATCGGCATCTGGGACCCGCGCCAAAAAGACGCGCTGGAGTATCTAGAGACAGAGCTTCCGATCACAAGCGTCGCGCTGTCCGAAGCCGGCAACGAGATTTACAGCGGCGGCATCGATAACACCATTCACGTCTGGGATCTGCGCAAGAAGGCCGTCGTGTACTCCATGACCGGCCACAATGATACCATCACCTCTTTACAGATTTCGCCCGATGGGCAGAGTCTGCTGTCCAACTCGCACGACTCGACGGTGCGGACGTGGGATATTCGGCCCTTTGCGCCGGCGAATCGGCAGCTTCTTACGTTTGATGGGGCGCCGGTGGGGCTGGAGAAGAATCTTATTCGCGCGAGCTGGGATCCGAAGGGCGAGAAGATTGCTGCTGGGAGTGGGGATCGGAGTGTTGTTGTTTGGGACGCGAAGACGGGGAAACTTCTTTACAAGCTTCCTGGTCACAAGGGGACGGTCAACGATGTGCGATTCTCGCCGAACGACGAGCCTATTGGTGAGTATATGCGTGTAGCTGGTCTTGCGCGAAAACGACCCTTTTCATCCTATGGGAAACAAAACTAATGATTTTTTTTTGCAGTCGTCTCTTGCTCCTCCGATCGCAACCTCATGCTCGGCGAGCTTGGCAAGTGAGCCCAGCCCAGCCCAGCAAAAATAATTCTTGTAATGATGGTTAAGCGGGCGTTGAATTATCTTTATACACATCATCTCATCATTGGACTCTACCGATTCTATTCCGTTGGGTAGAGGTAGATCAGATCCAAACCCAAACTTAAATCTTATGAATATCAGCTGTACTATAAACCCACACCATATGCAATCTAGCTTGATTTGATGAATGTTTAACGGGAAGTTGGAGTGTTTGATGGCTTCACAATGTTGCTTGTTGTAAGTAGTAAAGATGCGGACGAAGTCGATTCTCGCCTGTGCGAAGCCCAATAATCAAGACCAAAATCCATCATCTACGGTAACGCTTGGAAAATCTAACTTATCAGAGTAAATTTATCGACTGCCAGCCACCTCGACCAGTCTATGTCAATTTTCACCGACTAGACGGCGTATACCGAGCAGACCAGCAAAGACATGCAAGCGAGAAATCTACACAAAGTAATAATCAGGACATACGAAGAAGCTGTAAGAAAGAGGTGGTATCAAATTGGAACCTATCGACCGTCGAGCTGACTTCAGCCGACTCCAGATCCCCACAGCCGATGGCATCCGCTGCTTAATAGTCGACCGAATCCCAACTCCATTATCCAATCCCCAGAATTAGACCCATCCGTGAAGACGGGGGATAATAATGGGGATAACAAAAGATACAATAATAACAATAGGGATGGATATTAACAAAGGGGTCCCCCGCAGCTACAAATCAAATCAAAGTGCATAGACCCGATTTGATTTGGTACTGAGAGGAGTTGAACACGAAACACTGCACTCCATTTGAAGCAGATGTTTCGCGATGGAATGCTCAAACTCCTCCTTTCCACCATGGTATGCTGCTCGGGTATCACCCTCCATTTTGAGGATAAACTTTCAGATTCTTCGAGTTCGTCAAATTCAAATGGAGAGCCACTGTCAGGTGCAGAGTGACTCCCAAGCTCAAAGTGGGAATGTTTGACGAATGAGAGATTTGCGGACCATGATCTTCCCCTCGATGAGGGGATACTAGCCACGAGTGGATGAGAAGCCGATTCGTCCTGGTCTCATCCTACCCGACATGTAAAGACAAAAAGAACAGACAAGGATCACAACATCAAAACAGCCTTGACAAACACCATCAAGACAAATCCAAATCCCCAGATTATTCACAACGGTCGTCGGTTCAAGAGGTCCATCAGGGAGATTGGGGCTGACATTGCACGATCGCCCTGATCATGGACAAGAAAAGCGGCAACAGGCATAAGAAAACACGGATCAAGTTGCCCGTGAGCAACTTGAAAGCAAAATTTCAAATAAATTGAAATCTTGCATGGATCCAACAACTTGAGTATCACTCGCACCATAATGAATGACAGGCACGGGCACATCCTCAACCATTCTCAGATCGAGCGCTCAATCTGAAGCTCAACCTCATGCTCGAGGTCTTGTAGAACTCTCAGATCCTCGATATACTCAGGATCCTTGCGTTCCAAATTTGCGTCCTGGCGCATCATGTTCAGAAGGTACAAGATGACCTTTTTGAAGCCTAGGGATTCCGCCTGGTTGGCACCCATCTGGTTGACATTTAACAAGAAGATGGGACTCGCACGGCTTAGGAAAAGGATCGCTGTCGTCGAAGACAGCGGATATGCTGAATGGTAATGTTTCTCTCCTTGAGTGGCTTGCAGCGCGACCTTGTGCGGTGTCGTTGTGATTTCTTCCCACGAGCTCGTAGCGGATTTCAGGGCAATGGACGCCGAGGATTTCGCAAATTGCTGTGTTTTGAGATTGAAATGTCAGTCACGGAATCGGCCAGAAAAAGAAGAGAAGAAGAGGGGGAGGGAAGAGGACAGGGCAGGGGAAGGCTGTTAAGCAATTGGGTGTTTGTAACATACCGGCCATCAGGTCATAAAAAGAAGCATTTCCAGGAAGTTGCTTCAATTTTTCCTGGAGAGCTTTTAGGGTTTCGAGTCGATCGGTTACTTTCTCTTCGACTTTGATGTCGCTCAAACGACAATTCTCGACCGGGACACGATTGGACCTTGTACCCTTGACTGTAGGATCGTTTGCCGTGAATTGAAACTCGCTAAATGCCAAGTAACTCCGGTCTTCGCCCTTCGCTGGGATAGGGCGATAGATTGCCATAGTGCTCGACGACGACGGGGTCGGCTTGATCCTCTTCGCCGGTGGAGGTCGATCATGGTTTCGACCCTTTTTCGGAAATCTCTTTCCCTTTGAACGCCGTGATTCCCCCCGGATAGGTGAGCTCGGATTCGAGTACCGTCCTCGATCATCAGAAGAGGAGTGACCGGCCGACAACCGCCGACCCCGAAGCTGCCCAAAGATGTCTTTGGGTTTGACCTCGGGCAAGAACTGAGATTCGGCCGACAGGATGTATTGATTTTCATCGGTAATCTCAGACAGGATCAAATCTCGGAGAGCAATATGGGCAGCCCTGCTTTGCGCTTCCTCCTCCGAGCGGTACTCTCTGGTGGTGGGGAAGCGCTTCTTGTCGACAACTACCTCACAGTGCCACTGGTGAAACCCAGGGGTATGTAAATGGTAATCAGGAGTTCCCAAGCCTCTCTCTTGGCAATATCCTTGAGATGAAAAAAGAAAAAAAGAAAAAGTCAGCTTCAAACTAGATTCATTTTTTCCAAGCAAAAAAAGTATGAAATGGAATGGTAGGGGGGGGGGGGTTCTCTTTTCTCACCAGCCAACAATGACCTCCAGCTCCACCCCGGCTCAACGGGACCATCCGAAGGAAGGGGTGGAAACAGCCAGTTTGGGTTGTACTTCTTGAGCTTTTCGAGAGCAAGACGACAACCCTCAACCCTGGCCCTATCAACCGTAGCGTAGATCGGTTCGACCAGGATCGTATGACCGTACAGTGTGAGCCTTGCACCTATCTTTGACTCTTCCTTATTGCCGAACTTGAACTCGAATCTCGGACGCAGCTTAGCCAGCATGTCGATGACCCCCAAGGCGAAGATTAGCTGGCTTTTGGAATGGAATCTCGGGTCGATGGAGCCAAGAGTAGTCTATTTAGTTCAAAACGTAGTTAGCGACAGGCAACCAAGACAATAACATTAATAACTCATGGGGACGGCACTGCCTAGATATAACTCACAGGTTCGATATCTCCGAAGACAAAAGGTTGATGATGGTGAATAACAGGCGTGGAGACGCTTCTGACCTCGCCCGGCTCCAGGCTGCTCTCGGTCTTAGCAAGAGGGACAATCGTACCACTATTAAAGCCACCGCCAAAACCAGAGCTTGGAATTAAATCCAGTACTGAAGATACAGAGTGAGAGAAATCAACTGCTGGAGGAGAATGAATTGAAAGGGCCTGAGTTCGCATCTGTAAAATTCGTTCCGGGCGAGAGAAAGGGACAAGCGAGTAGTCCTGTTGACCACCTGGCCACAGGTTACGCAAACTGTAGGGCTCCCGAGACTCGTGCTGGGATGTTATTGTATTGTGAACGCTGCTCGAGTCCACAGGATTCATAGCCGAATGAGTATTTCCCAACGACGGGAGTTGGTTTAGGAGCCCCACTGACCAAAGACTTCTCGAGTTTCCGTTGGCCTGATCGGAGTGTGCCACTGAGCCTGTCTGGGGATTTCTGTTCGGGCTCAAGGGACGCAAGGCCGTGGGATCAGTGTCAAAAACTGAATGTCCATCGTAGTGCATCGCGAGCAATCTGGTCGGCAAATGTATTGGAGTCATCTGTATTGGCTCAAGTGTAGTAGAGATATCGCTTGTTATATGCTGTTCGGAAGTAGTGCCGCTGTTCGGCTCCGACACAATGGAATCGGAAGACTGGAAGATGGTCAGAATGAGGTTGAAGCAAAGAGAGAGACGATGGGGAGTGTAGAGGGACCGGTCAACTTACAAGCCCTGATCTGACCCAGTGCTCGCGGACCGTGTTCCTGGAAGTCCCTGCGGCGATACCATGAGACTCCTCAGAGGTAGCCTTGATGTGCTTGCTCTTATCGTGCGACATTCTGAATGAAAGATTGAGGCCTGCGATGTCTTTTTGCGGACTGCTTTTTTTGAGAATCATGGGAGGTTTTGGGCTGCGCGAGCATCAGTAAAGGTATGAGAGGAATAAAAGGGAACACTCACAGGCAACGTTAATCGGAGTCTGCCTGACTGGCAGTCTAGTAGCCTGAAAGACGAATCCAGATAAATCTGCACGTATTGAGATTGAATGAGTAGGTGCAAAACGCCAGAACTTGGAGTACAACAATAGAGAATGAATGTACGGGTGTTGGAGGTCAAGAAAGCTGATAGAATCTGCGGGTGTGGAAGTTGCGGTTTTTGGATCCGGTTTAGACCTCAGAGACTTGAAGGTCAAGATCGGAAATAGAAGCTGCGGGTGTAAGAACTCGCAAATAGTTAATGTAGATGGTAGGAAATGTATTCAACCTTCCGGATGGCCTTCAATTTGTATTCGATTCAATTTGATGCTTGTGTTTCGAACACTGGCCTGTTCAAAGGCAAATATTATGAGAAGCGGCGCAGATTGACTGAGAGAGTGTTCTCCACCACCGAACAATAGGCTCAAACCCAAGAAGAGGATTGATAGATGAGGGTGCCGATTCGAAGTAGCTGTTGGGCTGTACCCGAAGAACGTGGTCTAGATTGATTGAGAGCAGAGAACGCCGCACTAGCGACAAAAAATTCGAGAAGGTTGACAGAAGCGGACGTGAAGGTCGAAGCAGGCGATCGAGAAGCAGGTGAGCATGAATGGCTCTCTCCGGAGAAATATGCTGAGGCAGTCTTGGGCCGAGTTGTTGACCTTTAATCGTGGAATTTGGACAAAAATCGGGGCAGGATTGACAGTTGGAGTGAGTTGAAATTCAGTAGGCAGTTGCAAAATCGCAGAAAGAAGCCGCGAATATTTCTGGTATTCGAGCTTGGACTGAAAAACTGCAAGTTGATGAAATCCAGTCCGGTAAAGGCTGACAATAGACCGAGCTTTTGTTTGGATCGTATCCTCACGGAATTTTGCTTCAAAAGACCTGTCTCGGACGAGATTATCGTGTGAATTGAGCAACTTCTGAAGATGAGGTTGTATAGATAGATCCGCGTAGGTAACAAGTAGTTCCCGCGGACATGAAACGTATGATGACGGAAGAATGGAAAGACCCTACAGATTTTGGGTAATATCCCTGGGTATTCGGTTTCGCTGGAACAGAGATTTGAAGTTAGTTTTGGAGTTCTTGCGAGAACGCTGACCTGTAGGGCGGAAAGGAACTGACTTTGATCAGCCACCTGAAAGTTGTAGTAGCTAGTTAATGGGGGCTGTACTAGGCCTCGAATTGAAGAGGTGGGATCGAGTTCAATCGACCTCCAGCCAGCGGGTCTGGAAATCCGCAGAGAATCACGATTTCAAAGCTGATATCCGCACTCTGTGATGAAAGTGGTGTCAGACTGTCAGAAAGAAAGCAAGAAAGTCTGTTTGAAAGGTGAACTGTGATATGCGATTGTGAAGAAGAAGAAGAAGAAGGAAGAAGGCGAAAGCACGACTGAAATAGGCGAGGTAAACAAACCATCACGAATAATTGGCAGGTACGCGGGGATTAGGAAGGCGCGAGTGAATGGCACCGTCGGGCTCGGAGACGCGGGATACAGTACAATGATATTAGGCACCTGGGCGAGTCACTGGATATAGATGCCTTCGGGAATATCTTACATTGTTTATTGAATATCTATTCTCCAATTAGGGTTGGGTTGACCTTTGATATTGGATATCAATTGCAGGAGGCTATACGCAAGTGAATAGTTCGGCATTGACGGGGCCGGAGAACATCGCGCATAGGATCGGGAACGAGGCAGCCTGGACTCGGAGATAAGAGATATCATTTCGGCTTTTGGAACTGCCTGGGACCGGGGACTAAAAGCTATAGAATACACTGAAGTATACACATTAAGGTATCATTAGACCTTCTTGGGAGTCACCTTGTTGTCCACCTTCTCAATCGCGGTTTCGACCACATTCTCAGTCCCTTTGCCATTTTCATTCTCATCACATTTGCTGATTCCCTTTCCAATTGAGCTAATCTTCTCCTTTCGGCTCTTCACAATGGTACTCGGGCTGCTGAGCGTCACCGATTCCTGCAGGACACTGAATTCTTCTTCGTCCATGAGAGTTGCCATGCTTGGTTGTTTGCTGTGTTCGAAACTCATCCCGGTAACACTGGATATAGCACGGCTATTCGAAGAGCTGTAGTCGAGCATCGGGATATCGTCGCGGGAGGCACGGGCACCCCGGTGTTGCCAGGTGGGATCCGCTGGTAAATCTTCACGGGATGAACGGGCGGCACGATACCGCCAGGCAGGATCAGGCTCAGTGGTAAAAATATCGTTCTCCTGACCGATATCCCACCGAGGATCGTTTGGATTATATGCAGGCCAGTGGGAGATTGGAGCGTCAAAGATACTGCTCGTAGTCCAGTTGGTATAGAATGTCGGCGGGGGCACAGCTCTGGGAACAACCTGGCCGTGGATAGGCTGCAAAGGAACACGAGATTCCTTGGTAGGGGTGTTATGGCCGTGGCCCTCTGCGTCTTTGTCGATCGAGATTGAGCCGTATTTGAATGATGCGCGCGGACGATGCCACATGCTGGGGTTTGGCCAGGCGATGTTTGAATACTCGAGGATATCTGCAAGGCCACCGTCAGTCAGGTCATGGGATAGAAGTGAGTGTTTGAGATCCGACGACTTACTCAGTGGAGCATGCTGGAACGCAAGGACAACGACGTCTTTGACTCTTTCGAACGGCGGCGAGCGATGGGGACGGGAAAAACCCTCTGCGAGAACGATCTTAATTCTGCCGTACGAATCACCAGCATCCCAGTGCCGTTGTTCCAGGATGTCTGGATGGAATGGAGGGAAGCGCAGGACGTCTTGATTGCCGTCTCGATCCATTTCTGTTTGCCTTTGTTAGAAGAGGAATGAATGAACGAGGGGAGGGTATTGCATTCGCCTGAACGCCGACGCACGAGAACTAAGATCTAGACTCGAAAGATTAGCACCGTCGTCAAATCAATATCGATCATCACTCACTTATAAGGTAAGGCCAATCCGCCCGTTGCGAGAATATACCGCCTCTGGATTCCGCGGAAGATGGTCAACAAAGATCTGCCACGATATACAGGACCGAGGTCCCATGAAGAGACAGGTACTCACCCGACACAATCTCCGTCAACGTACACCCTAGCCTCGTAGAGCAACATATCATCCGGTTGCATGACACTTTCAATCAGACGGCTCGGCCGAGGCTTCTCCCAATTATGAATCGATACTCGAAACCCGGTGTCCTTGGGTACGCTGGGGATGAAAGTTGTAAGAATTGGTAGCTGGCCGACATTGCCAAGGTGAGGATAGAAGTAGGTATTTGCTGCACCGAACGTCGAGTGATATTTGAGATAAGGCGAATCGAGGTCCTTTGTGACAAAGCACTGGGTTTTGAATTCCTGAATCGGAGCCTTGGATTCGGCGGAGAAGAGTAGCACATCCCAGTTCTCGTAGCGCATTCTGGAAAAGCCGTAAGCAATACGGCGGGCTTCAAGTTGAGATTTTGGGGCAGAGAAGTAAGGGGTCTCGAGCTTTCGTAAATCAAGACCTCCAAGGCCTGAGAGTAAAGAGTATGGAGAGGAGAGCTAAGAATTGCGTGGAGAGGCAAAGGTCGAAGGGGAGAGTTGACGGGAGTGGAAGGTTGTTGATTCCGCGATCTGATAGACGGAGAAGGTGCAGCATTAGAGGAAGGTGCATCTTCTGCTACACTCTAACTACCACAATGCAGGCATAATATACTACTATATGATAGACATAGACTATACAAGACAATCAAGTCATCTGCATTACAATCTTACACCCCAAACTATAGCCATAGACCGACGACCAAACAGATAGGGGAAAGAATGACCAACTGGCTAAAAAAAGAAAAAAGATTGTTACAAGATAGGACACCTCAAGAAGCGTACAGACCAAAAGAATGCCAACCAAGTTGAGTACACACATCCACAATCTAGTCAAGTCCAATGCAAGAAAAGGCAAAAGTCAAAGAGTAGGACCTCCCAAAAGGTATGCGCCAAGCGAAACAAACCCTCGTCAGGACACCGGGCAGAGTGAGTGCGAACAATGAACGCGAGATGGGGAATCAGAATCCAAAGCTACAAAAGAACAGGAAGAAGGAAAAGACGAGGAAGAGTCCAGGGCCTAGCAGTCAGTTCCAAGATTAATACGGGGCGCAAAGATGTGGCAAATGCAGGATGCGTATGCATGCCGGTTCCAAGCAGCTCTTCAAACGCCCAACGAGGCAGACATCAAACAAAGAGACCAAAAATAGGAACCAAAAAAAAGACTGAAAGTTAGAGCCATTCCAAAACTGGCGGGGTGTTCCAGGGGACGAGAAGGAAAGCAGAACGCATCTTCGAGGCGAACATAATTCAATTTGACTGCTTGATGGATTGTGGAGGGGAAATGAAGGGTAGTAAGAGATGTAGATTGGGTGTTAAAGAAGAGGACATATGAAACGTGAAAAGACTGGATGAGAGATAGGAAAGAAAGTAAAATGAGAATTGGAACTTTTGCAGAATGCCTGCCCAAGGAGTATAGTAAAGAGAACCGCATAAACAAATACGCACTTTCGTTACACGCGAACATGACCCCCAGGGCGGGGTTGGATAAAGATAAAACAGAAGCACATTTAACCGTGAAAAGTTCGAAGGATTCCCATCAGTTCATCGAAAAGAGGCAGATTGATAGAGAAAAGGCAGATTGGATAAAGGGGAGAAAAAAGAGAAGAGATCCGTACGAAAAGTGGTGGGTGTACAGAAGATAAAGAGAGAGAAAACGAAGCAATAGCAGCAGCATCAGATAAGAAAAGTGGAATAAGAATGTGGGGGGGATTGGGGATCGAAAGGAAGAAGAAAACGAGCTCAAATCTTGCTAAGATAAAAGCGCTCAAGGAAATGCGTGGCAACAGGAAGGAGAAAGATGCTCATCAAGAGCTATAAGAGCGCATTGATGAAAGTATCGGTAGGAACCAGGGAAAAATAGCAAATTTGTTATGATAACACGGGAACCCATCATTGGAATGACGCAAACAACTCCTGCTGGTGCTTTTCAATCAAAGGAACGCTTACTGGAGAGAACGTGAAGAGTCAGCCGACCGAGCCTGTAACTCAAGAGTGTTCTGGGGCCGGGCTGCCGGGGTGACTGCTAACCTTCATCGGGGCAAACCCGCCATACTGGTGAGCCGGGGGCATGCCCATGGAGGGGTACATGGGGGGCGGCGGGGGAGCGGGGCGGTAGGGGCTACCGGCAGGGCCGGAGTTGTTCTGAGAGCGACCCCAGCTCAGACGCACGCGAGAGTTACCGATGGGGTATCCCTGCATCTGGTTGATGGCCATCTCAGCAGCGTGGCGCTGAACGAACTGGACAAAACCGCAGCCCTTTCCAGGGGGGGATCTTGACGTAGGTGATCTCGCCGAATCCCTGGAAGAAAGAGCGGAGCTCATCCTCAGTGACGTAGCCAGACAGACCGCCAACGAAGACAGTGGTGTTGTTGGGGTCGGTGAACTGGTTCATAGGCTGGGGAGCACCGTAGAAGGGCATGGGGGGGACCGCCCATGGGAGGGTACATTCCGGCGGGGCCGGGACCCATACCCATGTTGGCACCAACACCGGGGCCCTTGTTCTTGGGGGTAGCGGTGGAGATACGCATGGGGCGGTTGCCACAGTAGACACCCTGCATCTCGGTGAGGGCGCGCTGCTGGTCGTTCTCATCGGAGAAGCGGACGAATCCGTAGCCGCGGGACATGCCGCTGATGGGGTCGGTCATGATCTTGGCGGACTTGCACGAGGGGAAGCGGCTCTGGAAGAGAGAGACGAGAACGTACTCGTTGACCTCGGGGCCGAGGTCACCAACGAAGATGGAGTACTCGGGACCACGGTCGTCACGGCTGTAGATGGATCAGTAAAAATGTTGCGGTTATTAAGAAAAGAATGTTACTCACCTGCGGTCAGCGAGACCGCCGCCGGTAGCCCAGTTCAGCTTGAAGACGCGGTTGGTGTTGGGCATGGGGGTGCCGTTCAGAGAGAGAGCCTTGGCGGCGGCAGCAGGGGAGGAGAAGTCCACGAAGCAGTATCCAGCATTGCTCCTACTACCACCATTAGTATCCTTTTGGCAGGAGACGGGAGGAAACAGTTCTTACCCAGAGAACTTGTCACGGATCATCTTGACGTTGACCTGCTCACCCATCTGGAACCAGAGGTTGCGGATGAAGTTCTCATCAATCCATGGCTCAAGCTCACCCATCCTATATTGGTCAGCGCTTGGTCCGCAGGAATCCGGGAAACAGTTTCGACATACCAGAGAGTGGTCTTGCCATCGGCGCCCTGCTGAGCACCGGCGGCGTTGGGCTCACCAGGAGCGGGACCCTGGAAGGAGGCAGCGGCCATATCGGGCTGACCGGCCATGGCAGTGTCGGCATCGGGAGCACCGGGGCCGGGAGCGGCACCATCGGCCTGGTTGGGGAAGGAATCGAAGTTTTGGAAAGACATTTTGTAAAGCTCAAACTTGTCCGAGAGTCGACGTAAGAATATAGAACGGCCTGCGACTGGAAGTTCGTAGAGTCGTTAAGGGAGAGACGTGAACGAGCAATTCGTGATGAACCCGGAAACGAAGAGATGGGCGTTAGGATTCCTGATGAAAGAGATGTTAGAATGGCTGAGTTGAGAGAATTGAAGCCCAGAGCAAGCGATGCGAGGTGAAGTGAAATGATGCGGTGCGGTGCGGGTCTGCACACGTGCGGAGCGCAATCAGGCGGGCTGTGAGAGAGATGCAGACACCCGACGAGCGAAGATGTGAAAGCTGGAAGTGATCGAAGTGAGGGAAACGAAGGAATCAAAGCTAGCGATGAGATGATTGTGATTCAAATCGACGAAGATCTCAGCCAGAATGGATCCTTGGTGGTAGGTGACCCGGGTGTGCAACGATCTGGTGGGAGCTCAGAGGGAGGAGAGGGAGAAGATGGAATCGCCGAAGGCAGCGCCCGCCGACATAAGCGAATGCGCCAGGCAGCGAGCGCGACGTTGATGTGCAGTGCAACTGTTGTTGTGGAGTGGGAGGTTGCGGTTGCGCCGGCCGTTTCCGTCCAGCGCTCCTCACACACGGTTCGGTGATTGCGACCGTCTTCGCCCCCATTGTATCCACTCTTCGCTCCCAACGAGACCACTCCTAGCTGACGCGACCCGATGCGACCATATTTTCAATGCTGGCGACGAGCAGGTAACGATGGTTGGGGGAGAATGACCGATGGAGAGCCGGAGGTGAGCGGCGCGACATCCCGGCCACGCAAAAGGAAAGTCCCGGCTGGAGCGGCGCGCGGGCGAAAAGGCGAGAACACAGCGACCAGGAGACCCCCACGACCGAAGAAGAATGGAGGATCGAAGATCGAAGAGGAGAAGATGGATGCGCAAGTTGCTTTGCTTGGATGGCTCTGGGCGGGATGGAATGGGAAATGGTGGGGAGGGAGTGGGAGATGCATATAGGGCATTGGGAAGGGCGATGATGAAAGAGGCTGATGAGGACAAGAGGACTTACCAAGGGGAATTTGGAATAACCTGTGCGAGAAAGCTCAAAGCAAAGGACGAGTGAGACCTGAATAAAGCACAACTCCCGAGAACGGCGCAAGACAGAAACAAGCAAACCGAAGGGAACAATAGGAAAGAGGAAAAAGTTGGAGGGGAAGTGAAGAATGGAAATCTCTTGTGAAGAGAAAGTCGCAGAGGAGGGGAAGTGGGCTTTTGCGCGAATTTGCCTGGTATGTATGTATCGTGGTAATCACTGGTATTGTATATGTATTACTGTATTGCACTTGGCCGTGATGTGCTCAGCGGACTCCAGGGACCACAGTAGCTAGAGGGACTGTATACTTAGTCTGGTCAGGCTGCTCCGCTCCATAAACCTATTACTTCTACTACTGTACACTCATAGCTCCTTCTGCAAGGAATGTGAGTTTGTCGCAGGCCCTAGCTTCACTGGGTATTCACAGTACTCACAGTATTCACTGTACTGTACGTATCTCCGCATATAGCCTTATTAACCAGGTCCAGCTGATCAATAGAGTACCTATACATCTAGAAACGCTATGTACCCACTGACACCCTCATCAGCTCTTCCTCTTCTTCCTTTCCCTTTCAAGCTGAAAGACTGAAAGAGGGGCGAGCTCAAGAGCTCCACAACGCCACAGAACCATGGGAGAGTAACATAAGCGATGTGTTTCAGTACAGTCCTGCTATAATGATGTCGCCAGGATGCTCTATACTCTGTACTCTGTACTAGCATTGCCATTGCCATTGATCCATGCAAAGTCTAATATTGTCAGAAGAGTACTGTAAAAGAGTCAAAGAGAAGATAATGAACAAACAACATGCAAGGTATCCGATCCATCCTTGCTGACTCGATACGTCACCCGCAGCAGACCCAGATCCGTGGGTGGAGTGGCGGGGTCCATACAATACCGTCAGCTTAAATACTCCGTACAGAGTGTAGAGTAGTAGAGAAACCGGTTTGGAGTCCGCTGGTCATGAACAGGACAGCCATAGCCGTGCACAGGTATGAGCAAGGAGGACGCTGATCCCACTGCTTCTGCTTCTCTTCTGCTTCGATCGTCTCGCCTCCTTGGTTTGAAATATGAACTCATATCCTTACCATTCAATTCATTTCCAGGCACGGAGTACCCTGTATCCTGGTGTTAGTTACCAGTCACCAGTTACCAGTACCAATCACCTACCAGTTCCCTACCCGCTCGATCGGATCCTTGCATCGCATCGGCTAATTCTTCGCATGATCGATTCTTTTTCTCGACCTTTTCCTCCGACCAGAGCTAGCTATGTACTTCTGCACTCTCCCTGTCGATTTAACCTAGTGGATTCGCTGCGACCCCTGCAGTATGGGGGAGGGGAGGGCAGGGGAGGGGGATAATACAGACCCTATGTTCTGCAAGGCGATACTGTATACTGTATAGTTACTGTATCTAACTGTACTAGTAACCACCCCTACCTCATGTACATTACTAAATAGGTACTAACTAACTACCCCTGCCCTCCTTATAGTGCTACTAGGTTTGCGTGGAGTAGTGTATAGTTCGGCAAGGTCCAGGTAAATTGAAACTGAATTGAATTGAACTGACACGATTACAGCTTAATAATGTGTTTTACTCTGCGAACCATGGAACGAACCTCGGGCATTCGGATTGGTAGGGTAAGCCCTAGCTACTGTATAATTACAATAATTACAGGAGGTATGTATGGATCCGAATATCAACAAAGACCGGGAATAAAAAGAAACCTTGGAAGAAACGAAATATTGGTTCTGGCAAAAATATCTTTTTAAAAAATACATATCCTGTACATCCTTAGGTACACTCACAGAGAACACCGTGGCTCAGGCCCGAGGCTGAGTCGAAAGTGAAAAAGAAACTCCACTTTCAGGGCTCGCATCCACACTAGTTCGCGACGCTTCATCCAAAGAGAAGCCCCGGACTCGCTTCGTTCAATACCGCCTGTGCTCCTCGTATTCCCCTTTCCAAACAACCACACCATTACGCCGAAACATGTCTGTGTCAACTTGAAGTTTTGCTTTTTTCGCTTTTGTTTTTTTTCGGCATGGGGAGCTAGCTCCAGTAGAGCTGGACTTGGCTTGGCTTGGCTTAGCTGAGCTTCCAAGGTTGGACTTTGATTCCATTCCCGATGGCCTGGTACAGTATGTACGTACATACTGTACCTAAAGTACCTAAAGTACCTAAGGTACTGTACGTAACCCCAGCCCTCGGGCTGCTGGGTTTTTTTCGTGCCTGAATTCAGCTTCCCCACTGTATTTTCTTTTTTTGGGCACGTCTGGAACTAGTGTCTTCGAGAAGGTTCTTTTGTTCGCGCATTTTTGAAAGAGTGGGACTTTTACTGTGATGGGACTCAGAGTCTAGATCTTGATTAGAGGGGTGGTCATTAGCGTCAGAGCTACACTAATCTTGGAAGTACACCTAGATACTACTACTAGTAGTACTAATCACCTAACTAATGGGTAGGTAGTACTTCAAGTTACTACTAGTAACAATCTTCGCGTTGGAATCTCCAGGGCTCCAGGGCTTGCTCTGGTCCGAGTCTCTTGGATACTACTACTAGTAGTACTAGGTAGTGTACCTAAAAGATACCTAGGTACCTAGTAGTTATTAAATAGTGAATGCCTGCTTGGGCACTGGCAGGTGTATATATATCTACTAGTAGTAAGTATTTTCCAAAACTACTACTCCAGGGCTAATATTACTACTAGGTATTACATACCCAGGTGGTATTAGAAACCACCTGGGCACTGGCACGTTTCCAAAATCAATTACCAACAAAGCTTCAAATGCAAGATTCCATGGACAATAGTACATATCCAATAATTACCTTCCAAGGTTGAGAAGTGAAGTACAACTAGTAGTACTAGTATAAATCACCCCCCCCTACTCATCATCCGCAAGCAACATCAACGTCCGATCATAAACCCTAGTCGCCTCCAAAACCCACGGCTGTTCACCAGCCTCTTCCTCCTCCCCACCCTCCTCCTCACCATCCACCGGCAGCACAGAAAAAACCTTAAACCTCGTCGTCTCCGCCAAACTCCGAATCCGCACCTTCTGCGTCTGCGTCACCAGAACCCGGCCCGCCAATGCCTCACGAAGCGGCTCCCCCGTCAGCGGATGAACACCCGTGCAAAGCGCAACGAAGACCTCGTCAAATTTATGCAAGAGGGTTAGTGCGGCGGGACCGTCGAAGGGGTGTGTTGGCAGGGCTGTTTCGGTGATTCCCGCCAGTGTGATTAGACTTTCTGTTTGGATTGATGCTTTGTTTTGCTGGGTAAGTATAGCTTATTCTGGAATATTAATGAAGGGGGAGAATTGAAAATACGTACGTGATGCAGAGGCCCAAAGCAGGTCGATCAATGCGTTTACGTCGGCGGCGAAGTCGGCGAAATTTTCGTAGCGACGGTGGGAGGTGTGGGTGTCTGGTGCGTCCATGCCCATTTCGGATTTCATTTGTCGGTATGTTATGCGTTCGATGGCTGTGCTTACGCGGCCGCGGAGTTGGGTTTCTTCTTCTGAGCCTGGGATTGGGGTGGGGTTTTGGGGTGGGAGGGTGAGGGTTGGGGTCCATGACTTGGTCTTTGTAGGTTGGGCTGGGCTTTGATTTGAATTTGAAAAGAAGGGCGATGATGTTCCGTTTGAGTTGGAGTTGGTTGGGTGTTGGATGCCAGGGACGTCTTCGAATTCCTCGTTTAGGTCCGAGTCGGAGTCACATTCGCGGTCTTGGGTGGACATTTTGATTTGATTTGAGATTTTGGTCGTGATGGGCTGGGATTTAGCGGATTCTGAACTTATGTCCTGTGTTCCGGCGATCTGATATCGGATGTACTGTAGGATGTCTTTGATAGCTTGAAGCTTACTGCGGGGTAGTGCTGAGCGGGAACGGTGGAGTCAGCGCCCACGGCAGACGACAAGCTGTGCGGAAGGAATAAGGTATTTCCTGTGCACCCGGTCTCAGTTAGAAGAAAGGGGTTGTGCGACGAATTTGTTCATGAGGAGGTACGAAGCTTGGAGCTTGATGTGGGATGTCATGCCAAGCCTTGGTCTGTGCGCCGCATTGATGAGATCTATTCATGTCGTTGTACCAGGCCACTCTCTAGATCCAGACGTGCTTATATCACCACTTAACCATCCATTGCAAGATAAAGGGGTAGATATTTTGTCCGAAATGATACCCATATAAAATTACTCTTTCATATAAAATCAATCCTAAAAGCACAACTATATTTGCCGACAAATAACCCAGCGTTGTTAGGGATTTCAAAAATGCATATATCCACTCTCAAATTTGACTACAAGAATCCGATGGCACAAAATTAGAATCGCCTTACGGATGAAGCTCTACGTGAAGATTGTATTTTTCAAAACAGAAAGATAAAGACGAATCATTGCCATAACCCGTGTGCATATTTTCTGTCAAAATATTCTTGCCCAGGTGATTTGGGCGACCTCGAGAATCCCCCGCGATTAGAGCATAGCAGAAACAGCCAGAGATTACAGCCCCTCAAACACCGACAGCTTCTGTTTCACACATAGCTTGAGTGACTCGAGCCCTAATGCCTTAATGGTCAGTCACTTCCACTTCAAAGTCATATTTATACCAACGATCCCCCTCCCACTTCATCAATTTCCCAAAATGGTTATATTCATGATGACTGTGCTCTGGCTGAATCTGATTACTGGTGAACTTCCCGTTGAACTGATAGTTATGGCCGTGATTGTTAATCAGTTTCGATCTACGGCCAACTTCGACACGAGCGGCGTCGGGATTCTCACACAACTCCCGGAACATCTTGTCCGTGGCGGTCTCGTATCCACGCAGATCGACCTCGGCCCAGTCTTGCGCATGATTGCCTTCCCAGTGGGCGTGGACGTCTGTTGTATAGTGCTCGATTCGAGGATTAGCCATCGTGATTTAGTATTTTGGAGATCCACGCGCGGCGCCTCGGATTATGTTTCACGATAGGGTAGCTTTTGGAGAGAGATTGGAATTCTTCTTGGATTTATTTGAAGATCCGTACAGCTTAGGGTGGGCAAAGTTGAAATAAATCTGATTATCTGAATGCATTTAACAGCTATTTAGTAGTATACTACAGTAGTAACAAAGTCGTGACGTCAACATCAAAACATCAAAACCTTCGCGTGGAGATCATATGATCTTTATTAAGAATTAAACCAATGAAGCGATCTCCGAGTCAGCTGATCAGATCAGCGACTCGGAGGTATTTTTTTCTCCTTGTATAGTCTATGCAGGTACAGTACAGTAACGCACATGACGCATCAAGCATGTACAGGACTAGCTCAAGCTTCTGAGCTACATCATCTTTATGTTAGTTTCTGGCCAGATAATCAAGTAGTTCACGTAATTCCGGCCAACTGAAATCCCGCCAGGAAGCGCGCCTTTAGTTGTATTTACCATCTTCAGCTAGTACCTAAAATTCCTCCCGAACGCTTCGGATCCTGGCAAAAACCAGCCAATCAGCGAGGAAGGGTCAAATTGACTGTCGGATATTCAACAAGGTCAAATGAAATTCTTGTTTCAGGCAGCGAAGCTACGTAACATGCCCTACTTTGTCTACACGGGCTTCAGGAATATCCTCAAAGGCCTACCTGTAGATTCAAGTTACGAAGCGGAAGGATTACTTCATGTTAGTTCTGATTCTTTACTTTTAAAAGAAAGGACGAATACTTGTCAGCGGTGTATATTACTCGCTTTCAACTATTCCATCTTCACTTTATGCCCGGTGGTTCAGGCGAAAGTACTAGTAGTTTACGATCTACGCTCAGCATAAAGCAATTGTAAATGGAATCTATATTCATGTCTTGATTTGATATTCGAACATTCGTAACTATTCAATAGACAATTAGCACAGGTCCGACCAACGAACAAGATCGTGAAGATAATTCAGGAATGCTGCATATCAGAGGTCGAGAAGATTTGATAATGCTGGTTTTTGTTGACATGGCAGACAGCGGCTAGCGCGTCTTGCTACACTGGCCCCAGCGTACTCATCACAAAGCGAAGAAGGAAAGGGAAAGGGCAAAAAAGAGGGAGAAGGAGGAGTGATATCAAACTCACCATATACCAGAACAAAAACAACCCACAACGTAAACTCGAACTCCAGAAAACGCCCCATAGATGCCAAATCACTCCGGCTATTATAAAAGTTAGCACCGCTATCAAAACCACCAGCCCAAAAAAGGAAGAAAGAAAGACTCACCCTAATCTTGCCCCTGCGCTCCTTAATATCGCGCAATTTCCGCTTATCCTCATCAAAGGCCCTAAGTAACTGATTCTGCTTCTCCTTCCTCTTCTCCCGCGACTGGAACCGATAAAAGTCCTCAAGACCCTCATTCTTCTTCTTCTCCCGCTCAACAAGAGCCTTAAGCTCCTCCTCCCTCGCCAAGCTATTAAGCTTGGGCCCATGCGAAACAGTAACGAAGCCATCCTCATCCGGCTCAGAAAGTCTCCTCGCCTCCTCGCGACGCCGCGCCTCACCCACCTGCTCGAAAACAGTCATAAAGTCATTCACGGACCGCAACAGCGCCGCCCGATCCGGATACCGCATCTTCTCGTGCGCGATGTACCGCGCGATCCCGAGGTCCGCGACACGGCCGGCGGGAACACCGACGGCCCAGGGAATGGGCGTGCGCTTTTTCGACGCTTTGAGGGCTGCTTTAAGGCTTGCTTCCATTGAGGGTTTGTCGGCGAAAATGACGATGGCGTGCGAGCCGGATTTTTGCAGTTGGCGGGTCCAGGTTGGTGGGAGGGTGATGTCGTCCAGGGTTTCTTGGAGGTCTGAGGATGTTGCGAGGGTGCGGGCGCGTTTGCGTTTCTTGCTGTTTCCTCGGGAGGAGTTGATGCCTGTTTCTGTTGCTGCGGCTGCGGCGGCGGCGGCACGCTTTTTGCTCGTGGGGATGTTTTCGAATTGGACTTTTTCGACGCGGCCGGATGAGAGGGATGTGGCGAAGAGGGCGCGGATGTGCGCTTCGGTTGTGTCGATGGGTGTGTTGACGAGGAAGAGGGAGCGGGTGGAGTCTGGGTCTGGGATTCGGGGGTCGTGTGGTCGGATGTAAAGGTAGTGGGTTGCTGGGTTGGGGTAGGCTTCTGTGCTCGGAAGCTCGAGGGCCAGGGTGGTGTACCCTGCCACCTCTACGGAGTCTTTCTTCATTTTTGGGGTGGGATTGGGTTGTTGGAATGCGGGTTGCTGAACTTTTTTGAAGGTTTTGCGCTAGCGTTGGATTCTGCTGGGTTTTTTGGGCGGTGAGGAGAACGTTAGGCGGTGAGATCTATATAAACGTAGTGTGTTGATGAAAATGGATGGGATGGAAAGATAATTGGTTCATTGATTGAGTTGGGGTAATTATAATAGGTTATAGGATGTCGTAGGCCGTAGCTCATAGTGATACATAATTGTCGTCTGTCGTAATACTCCGTTCAAATCATGGTCATTTTGCATCGGTAGTATCACACCTTGTCGGGATCGTTGATACCTCCATTCGTAATGACATAAGTTGCCTCCCGCTCAGGGCAGTCTAGAGCAATCAGCATGATTCACTGCATATCTTCGACAGGGTGGTCACTAACCAGGTGAGTCTTGAATCTTGGCCACTCGCTCTTCACCACGACCCTTGCGGAGAAGAACACGGGTAGTCGACGCATGCGCAAGAACATGTCCTCCAACAGGCTTGCGGCCATCAGCTCCAGCAAACAGCGCACTAGCACCAGGATCACTCTGGACTTGATTCGTCTAGTCCACATCAGAATCCATCTCCCCATTCCCAGTAAGAAAGCCCAAGGGCAAAAGAACTCACCATAAGAACGCACACATTGAACTCTGCATCAAATCAGCCAAGACCCCCCAAAAACACCAAAAAAAGAAAACATCTCAACTCGACTCGCACCCACTCACCCTCAGCCATATGCGCCAATTTCATAAGAAACTGATTTAGCTTCTGCTGTCTCTCAGCAAGCTCCCCCCGCCCACAATAATCCACCCGAAAACAATTCATAATGGAATCAATAACCAGCAACCGAAACTCCCCGCCCGCAAACTCACAACTAAGCGTATTCAGCAACTCAAGCTGATGCTCGCTATTCAGGGCCCGCGCATACGCAATATTTTCCTGCGCCGTTTCAGCGTCCACGCCGAATCGTTCCGCTATTTGCGCAATTCGTTCGGGGCGGAATGTTCCTTCGGTGTCGATGTATGCTACTTTTCCGCCGGCGCCGCCGAGGCTGCGGGGTAGTTGGGCCATTACGGACATTGTGTGTGAGAGTTGAGTCTTTCCGCAGCGGAATTCGCCGAAGACTTCGCTTATTGACATGCTTTGGAAGCCGCTGGGAAGTCGGTTAGATGGATGGATGGATGGGCCCGGGGGAGTACTTTTTGGATGGAGGTGTGTGGGATGGATGGGGGAATAAATGGCTTACCCGCCGAGGATGGAGTCGAATTGCTTGCTGCCGGTTGAAATGCGGACGACCTTTTTGCGTTGGTGGAAGAGTTCCATGGCGGTAATGAATCCTGATGCGGATGGCTGGGTGGGATTGATGTTAGAAGGGTGCTGTTTTTGCTTCTCTCTTAATCTGGAAGAGCGGGTAGACCCTGATGTACCAGACATTTCTGAATTGCTTCTTTGACCTTTTCGACTTTGATTTCGCTGAATCCTTTGATTTTCAGAAGGGTTTTGCGCGTGGCGCCGTGGACGGACTGGGGGTGTTGGAGGGCCGGTGTTAGTGGTGTATAGAGTAGTCTTTGTCTTGCACGAGATTCAAGCCAAGGCTTACGGCAACGGTGTAGAATCCATTTGCTTTTAGTTTTGTGATGTCTGCGGCGCCGATCCCGTGGGCTTGGATGCTGTCGATGTCGACGATAAAGTTCTGGGCTGGGTTAGAGATGGTGTGGATGGGATGAGGCGGGGGGAGGGGGGGGGCGTACTTCTTCATTGAATTCGTCGTCAGAGATGGAACCTGTCATTGTGATGGTTTGGTTCAATTGGACGTGGTGGGTGCGGTGGTGGTTGGAGGTGCGAGACGACGAGAGTCGAGGTGGGAAGGTAGCCTACCTTCCTACTAGTAGTACTAGATACCAAAGGGCGAGACCCGGCTCCTTTCCCTCAACCTTCAAGTCACCCATCCATACACCTCTTGCAAGACAAGCACTACAGCTACAAGTAAAACATAGAAGAAAGATTTGCGTTTTCATGTTCTCAGCACCGAGGATCTTCTCTTCCACCAAAGGCCATTCCAATAAACTTCGCCAATATTCTCTCTGCAATGCACACCACACATCCATATCCATATCCATCATCACACCTGCTTCACACCACTTGTCTCACATCTCTCTCTTTCCTCTCTTCCTTTTCTCTCCTCTCCTCTCTCCTCGGCCCTAGGAAAACCGAACCGCAATCAAGAGTAGAATCGAATCGAACTTCATCATATAGAGAAAGATTCATCCATAGGGAAAACAAATAGGACAAAAGACGCCAATCATGAGACTTGACCTTGAGATTTTTTTTGCGATATCAAGTCAAGTCAGGAAGAGGGGGGTTAGGGTAGGTAGGGTTGGTTCGGGGGTCGTGAATCAAAAATCAAAAAAGTGGGACAACTTTTTTCCGTTTGATCGTCGTATACATGATAAAATATAAGGAAAACAAAATGAAAGAAAGAAAGAGAAGGGACTGGTACGATGTCGGCCTTCTGAAAGGGGAAAAAAACAATCAAGAAAAAGGCTCGGAGAAAGATAGGCTGATGTGGTAGGATTTTTTTTAGTTGTCGAAAATCACCCGGGGGAGGAAGTGGTCAATATATGCAAAGGAGAAAAAAATGGGCGCAGAGACTCCGTGAAGTTGAAGAAAGGACCGATCTGGTCTGGTCTGGTCTGGTCGGCTCTCGCTCTCGCTCTTTATGCGACAGCGGTGGTAGGAGCCGCAGGCGCAACGGGGGCGGCATCGGCATTAGACTCGACAGCGGCGGGAACGGCAGCTGCAACGGCAGCAGCGGGCGCAACAGGGGCATCAGCCGGGATAACCGGGGCGACGGCATCGACAGCGGGGACGGCGACACCAGCAGCACCGGCCTCAGCGTTGGTCGGGCAGTCGCGAGAAATGTGGCCAGCCTGAGCGCACTTGTAGCAGACCTTACCGGCGGAGCTGAGAGGGCCGCCGTTGGGGGCGGTGCAGTCACGCGAGATGTGGCCCAGCTTGCCGCAGGCGTAGCACTTCATGGCCTGAGCCTGGCAGTCACGGGCGAAGTGGTTGGGTCCGCCGCACTTGTAGCAGGTAGCGGCGCGAGGGTATCCGCCAAAGTTACCGCGGAAGCCGGGCTGGAAGTTGCCGCGGGGAGGACGGGGAGGACCGCCAGCTCCAGCTCCAGCTCCAGGACCAGCGCCAGCGCCGGGAGCGGCGGGGTTGGAGCAGTTGCGGGCAAGGTGGCCGGGCTGGCTGCAGTTGTAGCAGCGGCCGTTGGCACCGCCGTTCAGGCGGAGGGTTGGGCAGTCGGCCTGGACGTGGCCGAGACCCTGGCAGTTATAGCATTGCTTGGCTGGAAGAGGTCAGCATGGCTGAGCAGGGAGGGAAGTATGGCTATGTGGATATTTCTTACTCTCGGTAGTGCGAGGAAGAGGGCAAGCGCTGGACTCGTGTCCTGTTTTGAGATCAATAAGAGCTGGCGGAGGGATGGTTATAGACGACGAACATACCGGGCTGCTTACCTATGAGAAGCGGATTAGTAGGGAATTCCAGACAAGGCCAGGAAAAGATGGAGGGGACTCACAGTTATAGCAGAGACGCTCGGAGGAGGAGCAGACCTCTACGTCAGTTAGCGACATGGTTCAGGATCGGCCGAAACATCATGATATGGTCTAATGCCGGGTTGTAAACTCACCAGCGTAGTGGCCAATGTTGCCACACTTGTAGCACGCGCGACGAGACAGCATCATCTTTTATATTCTATGCAAACGGTTAATACCGAGGTAAAACACCCAGTTGCACCGCATGTCGCCGCGAACTTGTTGTGCCTGCGCTCCCCTCGCATGGTGTAATATTATGGTATGCGCATGATGCAGCGAATCGATACGTCCCAGTTCCGAGTAATAATCCAGCTGAGGCAGTGTTGCGCTCGTCGAGTCGGAGATATTGGGGTTTGCCCTCGTGCAGTGCGGGATGGAGGGGAGAAACGTCGATCCGCGGGGTGCAGCAACCCAACAAGCTCACGACAGCAAGGGCATAAATAGAACAAAAGGAAGTCGACAGTTCTCACATACCCTTCCGAAAAAAAAACACTTCGATACCTTAACAGAGCTAAGCGGGGGGAAAAAAGAACTTTGGTCAGCAAACCGAAAAACGAGATGACCAAAAAAAGAAGCACCACGTTCTTGACAGCGGGGAGGGGAAAACGAAAGAGAAAAAAAAGAAACACACAAAGTGGGGGTACACCGCACAATGCAGAAGAAATCGAAGAAGAAAGAATTCAATAATCAAAAGCTCCAAAGCTCAAAGCAACTCACCTCGAACACAGTTGAGTGGGTTTTGTGGAAGGAAAAGTTGCAAACTCGACAAAACTGGCCTGCCGGACTTTTCCGCATTGCGTAAGGCCTTGCTGATTCACCCACCTTAGCTTTATAAACATTATTTACTATATTTACATTATTGAATATTACCATTCGACATTCAGGTCATACTAATGCAATTCAGTTAATGTGAGTTCATTCAGACTACATTGACACGAAATGAAGGAGGACTGGAATTGGGCTGGAATTGACTCCCTGCATTCCCGCTGCAAATATGATTAATGCAACGCCGCTTCATTCTCCGATCTGCGACACCCTAACCTGGGGCCAACCTTGACGATGTAATTCATCTTATCAATGTATTTCATTTCTTCGTTCTCAAGCTGCATTAAGCCCGAGATGTGCCTGCACAGGGCGCGTACATGTTTTTAACTTCAAATAAAAGAATATGGAGTGCTTCAAAAATTCAACTGTGGGTGTGTGAGGATAGAGGAGATCGACACCAGGCCGAATCTACTCCTTCTCCAGGATGGCCGGGGCCTTGACCTCGCGACCAGCCAGGAATTCAAGGTTCTCACCTCCCTGCAAAATTGGGATCGGATTAGTCTTTGTTGGAAAGGCAAAAGGGGGAAATGGTAATATCACATACATAGCTGATCAGCGGAGAAACTTCCACTCCAGACGCCTCGGCATCGGTAATGACGATACCGCCAGCAGCCTCGAGCCACCGTTGACCCTGCTTCATGATGTCGTCGCGGCTGGTATCGGGATCATCCTGGCCGGTACCGCGGGCGTTCTTGAGCGGCGAGAACTCATCCTCGCGGCGCACCTCAATGCTGGCAAACTTGTTCAGGGGAGTCATGGGGAAGACGTCGAAGACAAACTGCTCCAGCTTGATACCGTTGGGCTTCTCGGGCTTCTCGGCCTCGCCGGTCTCGGTGTTCACGAAGGGGATCTTCTTGCGAGCGACGTGGTGCGGGAGTTGGTGCGCCCAGTTCTCGATGGACTCGAAGAAGCGGAAGGAGTAGTAGTGGTTGACGATGTTGGCGGCGCGGTACTTGAGCAGGTCGGGGTTCTTGGGGTCCTTGGCTTCGGCGGTCTCCTTGTCGATTTCGGAGTACTCGACGACATCGGGCTTGCCGTTCTTCTGCAGGATCAGGCCGACGGACTCGGTGGCGTCGCGCTTGCGGACGACCTTGGTGGCGATGTCGACGTCGTGGGCGGCGGAGAATCCGATGAAGACGGGGTCGGCGACCTTGACGAGGCAGTTGTCGACGCAGTAGGCGTGGATGTGCTTGATGCCGCGCTTACGCATGTCCTCGCGGGCACCGGAGGTGATGAGAGCCTGGTAGATACCACCGTTTCCATCGGGAGCCACGGCGGCCTGGTGTTTATTATGTTAGCCAATGTTTCAAGGGCATGAGAGGGGGTGGGGGATTGCGATTGTAGTAACTCACCTTGCCCTTGTTCTCCAGGATAATCTTGCCATCGTTCGAGATACAGGGAAGAACACCCTGCTCAAAGATGAAGACGTTCTTCTTATCGAGACCGAAGTAGTTGCTCTTCTCAAAGAACTCCTCGGTAGGACCGCGGGTAGGCCCGCTGGTCATAACATACCAGGGGATGGTGGCGGAGGCGACACCGTTAGCCTTTGAGGCCAGCTCCTGCAGCTTGGCGATACGCTCAGCCTGGAGCTGGAAGAGAGACTTTTGGCTCAGTAGACCGATGTCGAAGCAGCCCTTGGGGGCGGAGCTACCAAGACGGGTTCCCTGGCCACCAGCCATCAACACCACGGCCACCTTGTTATCCGCCACCTCCTTGAGACCAGCATCGTACCACTTCTTCAGGTCGGCGGGGTCAGAGTCGAGAATGGAGGCGGTCGCGGACTCGGGCAAAGGCTCGAGCGTCACTTCGGTCTGCTCGGTCTTGGGGGGGTTGAGGGCCTTGTCGGCCAGCTCATTAATGCGGGTAGGGTCGAAGGTGGACAGCTGGTGGAAAAGACGGGACTTCTCAACGGTGGACAGCTCATCAATGAAGGCAAAGACTTGGCCTTGACCGGCATCGGAGTACTTCTTCTGTAGTTGCTGGAGCTCTTCGGCGGAGGGTTCGCGGGGAGCTTCCTCAGCACCAGAAAATTTTCCAATTAGATTGGAGACGGTTTCTTTGATTGCAGCAGCCATTGTGAAAGGTGGAGGGTAGAGAGGAAGAGGAAGGAATTAAATTGGGAGGAAGGGAAAGAAGGGAGAGAAGGGAAGATAGAAAGAAAGGAAGAAAGAAAGAAGGAGGGGGGAAGTGGCAAAAGTAAATAAATTGACACGGGGTGAAGCTGAAGCACCCAAAGTGGCTACACCGTAAGTCTCATCTCACCTACAGTACTCCGTACACACATGTACCCAGGTACCCTCTCAACTAGTTGGACTTATTTTTAGCGTGAGACGAATGAAACCCATGGATGGAGGCACTAGCAATCAATCGGGCCTGAGACCTGTCCACTCGCCGATGAGGTGGGACCCGCTGAGGCGAGGCTGTCAATATTTGCATTTGCTGGTCTTTTCATGGTCTCTGTTGGAATTATTTGGCCTATTGTATGTCAATTTAAGTATAGTGTATTTGTAGGTAGATATACCTAGACTAGGTATAGGTATAGGTATAGGTATAGATATTGATGCTGATATTCATGCTATGCTGATGCTGATATACACGCAGTACTAGTTACCCCCACTACAACCAAACCAGTCGCTATGACAACAGGAAACCCCAATTAACCAGAGAACAAGTTGGCAAATGGCATTATTTGCTTCATAAATTCTATTCTCTTTAAGTTTTCAAATGTGCCCCCAGGGCTGTTGTACTAGCCACCCTCCAAATGCTCATTCCAATGTAGTCGACGACTTTACAATATTCTCAGCTCTTGGCTATTTCCATCCACTGGCACTAGTACTGGCAATATATACCTAGGTATACCTAGGTACTACTACTAATCTTTATGATCGTACTATCCCCTGGTAAGTATATAGACCACTCAATGCAAAACTAGTCACAATCGTTAGCGCCAGTAGCGCGGGGTGATCGGGGTGATCGGGCGGGGCACAATAATCCCACCACACATTGTCTACCTAAAAAAACGACCTGGACCATGGCTAAGACCATTGCCCGTGAGAATGATTACTAGGTATACTAGTATCATATGGTAACATAAAATGGACCCCCTCTCCATATCCAGCGGCATCGCAGGCCTCGTCGGCCTAGGAATTCAAATCGGCCCCGCCATCCACGACTACATCGCGACTGCCAGAAAGGCCGAGCAAGACGTAAGCTGGTACGCCGACGAAGTCGACGCCCTGATAGAAGTCTGTGTGTGTCTGGACGACTTTCTCAAAGCGGACGCTGTGTCGCAGAGGAATCATTTTCGGACTACGGACTCGGTTCTCGGTCGGACGGTGACGTCTTGCGATGCGTCGTTGCAGAAATTGGGGTCTTTGCTTGCTGTTCCGGTTGAGTGGACGCAGAAGTTGAAATGGCCGTTTAAGAAGAAGAAGGTTGATGATATTATTCTCAGGTTGGGGAGGTATACGGCTTTGTTTCAGTTTTCTTTGACGGTTGAGGGGCTGTAAGTTCAAGTTCTTTCTGGTGTCCCCGCTTAGGGCTTTCTTGGATTGGATATAGATTGTGTTCTAAATATCGGCAGGACGGTCCTTTCTAATACACCGAGAGATGTCGAGGATCTTTTGAAATTACAGGTCGAGGCTTCGCAGAAGCTTCATGAGATTACGAAGGGTATTGATGCTCTCGCGGCTAATTCGGAGACATACCGCACCACGGCGGAGAACATGTCGTCTATGCTTGAGGGTATTCAGTCGTTGCAAGATGCCTCTGATCAGCTCTCTTCTATCCAGCGGGATGTGGGTAGTATCAAGAGACAGCTTACTGATACCTATGATATGGAGATCCTCGAGTGGTTGTCACCCGAGCAAGGACGTGGACGACACTCCGAAGTACGCTCAAGAAGAACGCCAGGAACGGGGAAGTGGCTGGCGGATACGTCGAGCTTCCAGAACTGGCTTGATAAAGAGTCTTTACAGAAAATTCTCTGGCTGGTTGGTGATCCGGGATGTGGGAAGTCGACTTTACTGTATGTACACGTACAACCCCAGCGCGAAGGCGTGCTAATTCCCACTAGATCTTTCGTCGTGGATGTTTTGAAAGAGTCACATGTCGGAGATGAGAGCGCCATTGCATACTACTACTGCGACTACAGGGTTCAAGATACAAATCCACTTGGTGCTGCCCTCGGGTCGCTCCTTCGCCTACTACTCGAACGCAAGAAGATCATCCCGCCAATGCTGCGCGATACATATGAGAAATCGCGACACGAAGGAAGAAAACCATTTCCCTCAGAGCTGAAGGAGATTCTCTTCTCTGCCACGGCATTATTTGAAGACTGTTTCATCCTTATTGATGCTATGGATGAATTCAGTATCTCGGACACAACACATCTGCCCCAGTTCATCATCACATTGGACGAACTGGCTGCATCTGGCGCTAATATTTTAGTAACGAGTCGAGCGCCGCCAAGTCCGCCGCTGAAGAGCGAGCATACTGTCGAAACAATTCATGCAAATGAGGCTGATATTAGCAGTTATGTTGCTCACGCTCTCCATACGGATGATTCCTTGCTCGATATCCTTGATAAATCTTTGGAGAGAGATATTAGTCAAACGGTGGTGGAGCAGGCAAAGGGGATGTAAGTGGCTATCCTGATCTGATGTGATCTGATCAAATCTACAAAGTGAATATTTACATTTAACATTGTCAAGGTTCCTCCTCGCGGTACTCCACCTCCAAAACATCCGCGGCCAAGTAACCCGGTCCGGCGTCCGCAAAGCCCTAAAATCACTCAGCGGCGGTCTAAGCGACGCCTACAAAAAGACCTTCGAATGCATCCAGCACCAATCCCAAGCACGGCAAAAACTCGCTTTCGACTCGCTCATGTGGGTGTCAGCTTCCCACCGCCCCCTGAAAAGCCTTGAGCTCCAACACGCACTGGCAACACAACCGGACGACAAACAATGGGATCCAGAAAATATCCCATCCCTTCGGCTAATCATCAGAAGCTGCTGCGGTCTTTTGGCAGTAGACGATCTCGATAGTTCGGAATCTGATGTGCGATTGGTACATAATACTCTGCACCACTATCTGTATACATGCGAGCCGGAATGGGCGAGGAGAGCGAATCAGCTCATTACCCAGACCAGCCTGACGTATCTGCGTTTCGCATCAGAGAGCGAAAACATCAGAGACACAAGTGGCTGCGAAAACAGCCCCAAGAGCAGAAAGCGAGCACCTAGATTAATTCTCACGCCCTTTGTTCGCAATAACTGGGGCCACCACGCTAAATGCCTGCCTGCATCCACATACGAAAAAGCAGCCTTAAACCTCCTCTCAAACCGCGAGAGATTGGCCGTGCTATACCCGAAAAGCCCACGGATAACCGGCCTGCAAATAGCAGCTATGTTCGGCTTAACGACCATCCTAACAACTCTGCTCTCGCAAATGCCCAAACCGGGAGTCGACAGATCGCAAGACTCGTCCACAAGCACGGCCCTCTACAAAGCCTGCAAACACAATCATCTAGACTGTGCTTCATTGCTCCTGAAATTCGGCACGAAGCCTGATCCCAGAACGCCGACTATCACACCGCTGTACACCTGCGTAAGCAACAAGAATCTCGCGCTGGCGACTCTTCTCCTTGATGCGGGCGCTGATCCAGATATGCACTGCGCGGACGGGTGGACGGCGCTGCATAAGGCTGCTGATGATGGGAGTTTGGAGATTGTTAGGTTGCTTGTTGAGAGGGGGAGTTCTTTGCGTCGGGCTTCTGCGCGTGGATTGACGGCTTTGCATCGGGCTGCGGGGCGAGGTCATGTTGATGTTGTTGAGTGTTTGCTTGGACATGGGGCGAGGGTTAGTTATACGACTTCGGATGCGTGGACGCCGCTTCATGGGGCTGCTTCTGCGGGGAGGACGGAGGTTGTTTCATTCTTGATTGAGTACCATGAGAGGAATTCTGGCTTTGGTAGTGGAAGTCGGGCTGGCGGTGATTTTGAGGGAATGCGGAAATTGGCAGATGCGGCTGGTGGTGTGAATTTTCGGACGAGGAAGGGATGGACGCCGCTTCATCTTGCTTGTCAGGGGGCGTATGTTGATACGGTTGAGGCGTTGCTTTCTGCTGGTGCGAGTTTGGATGTTGCGGATGAGGAGGGGGATTTGCCGTTGCATATTGCAGCGAGGGAAGGGAATGCGGGGATTTTGGAGGTTCTTTTGAGGAAGGTGGAAGGGAGAGATAGACAATTGGAGTGTATGAATTTGAAAGGGTGGACGCCGTTGCAGGAGGCGCAGTTGAGTGGGATTTATGAAGCGGAGCAGATGCTTTGGGGGTTGAGTGGGTTGAATCTGGAGAGTATTCGTGTTGATTCTGATTCTGATTCTGGTCTTTATACTTCTGATGCTGCTGTTCGAGCGGAAGAGTTGGTCAAGGCGATTCGAGTGGATGATGTTGAGGCTGTTTCTGGGATATTGGGACTTTCTGGTGGCCAAGAGGAAGATGGAGAGCCGGTGCTCGAGAATCTGGCGTTGGAGGCGAGGAATCAAGGAGGTCGCTCGCCGCTTCAACAAGCTCTTCTTTTTGGTTCGTTGAAGGTCGCGAGAATGCTTCTGGCTTCTGGAGCGAGTGTTCATGCGAGATCGGATCCGGGGCAGTGGTCTGCGATCCATTATGCCGCGTTGTCGGGGAGTTCTGGCGCCGTGGAACTGTGCTTGTCGAATGGAGCAGATGTGCATGACCAGACTCAACAGAAACAGACACCCTTGCATCATGCTTGTCGACGTGGTGCAGAGGACACGGTCAGGTTATTGTTGGATCGTCATGCACGGGCGGATGCTGTAGATGATCGCGGTTGGAAGCCAGTGCAGGTTGCTGCTTCTGCTGGCCATGAACGAGTTGTCCGGTTGCTACTGAAAGATGGAGAGAAGGACAAAACTGCAAGACTCATGAATATAGAATCGATCCAGGCGTGTGCAGCACAGGGAGGACATCATGGGCTGGTGGAGCTGACTCGGAAATGGAGATATTCTTGGTTGACATAGTCATCTCAGGAACATTTTTGTGATTTAGATGGGGAATTAGGATCATTAGACTAATGTACATGGACATGGTATATATTTTGTTCTGCATTTACTATGCTCATCGTCGTCGGTCGTACCGATCATCTCGGCGTCGGTCATCTCGACGATCCCGATCACGTCGCGAGTCTCGGCGTGGACTGCGGCTGTTTGATCGCCGACGGTATCGATCGCGGCTGCGGTCTCGTTCTCGTCGAGGGCTGCGGTCACGGTCGTTACGACGAGGGGGCTCAGTAGGTTTGAATGCCTGCTTGGAAGCCTGGTCTTTATTTTTGCGGGATTTGTCGAAAAGCATGTTGTACGACTCGTCATCCTCAAATGAAGGGGCATCGTCCGTTTCACGGTACTGGCGTTTCTGTTCAAGGTCATCAACACCACCGAAGCCACCGCGGTGGCGGCGCTTGGTGACAGTAGCGTTGCGCCAACTCTCTGACAGCTTGGAGACACTTTGGGAGAAATCGACATGTATGCGGTGGTCGTCGATAAGAACACCCTGCATCTTGAAGTAGGCCTGCTCACAGTCCTTTTGGTTATCGAACTCGATAAATGCATATTGCAGACTGTCGCCGGTGCGCTTATCGCGAATCACTTCGCATGATAGGATTGTACCAAAGCGACTAAAGATCAGGTTGAGATCCTCATCTAGAGTTTCGATTAGCCGCACCATTCCCGCTATAAAGATACAACATGACATACCTTGTGTGACAGGATTCAGTTTGCAGACGAAGAGAATATTCTCCGGCGGTTTGACATCGGCAAATGGCAGATCACCTACCATCTCCAAAGTCAATGCCTGCGCGCGAGCTTCGCGCTCGCGGCGCAAATTCTCCATAGCCTCCTCGTCCATATTATCGTCGAGCTCCTCATCATCCGCAATGCGCACCGTAGCCAGTTGGGCCTTGGATGGAACCGGACTCTCTGGTGGCTCAACCAACCCAATGGGATCCGCGTAGGGGTCATCAAGCACGACGGTATGGCGAATTCGAATATCCTTCAATGGACGTTGACGCTCATCCACAAATGACTCGTTAATCTTCTCCAGCACGTCGAAACCCTCGACGACCTTTCCAAAAATAGCCGCTTTCCCATCCAGATGGTCCTGATTATCGCCCAGAGTGATGAGGAACTGGCTAGCCGCCAGTCTCTGGTCAGGGTCGTTCTTGGCTGCAGCCGTTGCCATGCTCACCGTACCGCGTTCGGTGTGCTTGAGCTTCGGCGGCAGGTCGATTGGAAAGGTTCTCTTCGACGGGCCGTCCAGCACACCCCAAATGGAAGAACCGCCATCGCTTTCGGGGGCGCCAGGGCCGAGTGGATCGCCGGTTTGGAGGGTGAAGCCTTTCTGAACGGTATGGATTGGAGAGAAGTTGTAATATTTGAGCTTGCAAAGCTTAAGGAAGCTATCAAAAAGGGAATCACAGTCTTAGCATTTGAATTCAGATCAAAGCACAGCAGCACAAGTGACAAGGGGGAGTCGCAAGCTAAGGCTGGTTCTGCAGGAAAGCTTGGGCACTCACTTTTCACAGGCCTTGGGCGACTCGTCAACTAGTAGGTCAATGACGATATCGCCCAAGGAGGTTTCCAGGAGAGCACTCATGGGATAAGCCCGATTGGTTGAGAGGAGGTGTGGTGCGAGTATCAGAAGCAGAAGCAGAAGCAGATGAAGCGGAGAGGGAGGAAGTTGCAGAGGCAAGTCGCGCAGCGCAGATCAAACCGGAGCTCGGGCCGCAGTCACCGCGGGGGAAAACCCCCAGCCAAGCTTGTTTTGATCTTCCCTTTCCATTTTCCTTTCCTTCTCCCTTCTAGTTTCTCCTCCTCCTCAGTCCAATCAAATCTTTAGTTTCTTTGCTTTTTGGACCCCCATCGTGCTGGGTATTCGGGGGGGATTTTGATCAACATAATGCCGTGAAGCTCTCTCCGGATGATGGGCCCGGGTGCATGTGCGACATTACCTTGTCAATCGAGCGGCATATCTTCCGGCTGGTCCCTGTTGGACAGTCCGAATTTACTCCTCCGATTAAGATGCAGATCATATTAAGGAGCTTTATCGTGTTTGTCCTAATACACCGGCTCTGTGGCTGCATCGGCAGTCCTGGCTAGAAGGGTCGATCCAGAATTTCCCTCTCTCTCTCCCTACTTCTCTCTCTTCCGGAAAAAGAAAAGAAAAGGAAGAAAGCGCAAGGAAAATCATGGTCCATCCATGTTTTGCCGGAGTTTGTGCCGCTCGAATCTCCCCGTGTTTATTATGCCTCAGACGGGGACTGAGATCACGATGACACTCCCCCTCCCGTCCATCCTCGGCCAATATGGGTATACAGTACTACTGGGCCTCAGCGTATTGGCATCCACATCTTCTTTCCCGGTGACTGGTTTCACCGCAGAAACCCCCAATCCAAAAAAAAGAAGAAAAAAAAACGGGCGGGGAGAAACGGGCGGTCTCCTGCAGCGGGCTCTAGCGGCGCCGTCATGGCGACAGCTGTCACCGGGGAATGGTTCTACATACACATGGCATCCTGAAGGAGATCGCCTATCGAGGTTATCAACTTCTTAAAACCACGCTACCTCAGCCCCCAAGCCTCCGATCGCCTTGATCCTGGTCAAGAGTCTAACTCTGGCCTATGGATTGAGACCAAGAGAGGCAGGAAGTGCAGGGGGGGTTCACAAGAGGAGCAGGAGGATTGAGGGCAGGAAACCCCTTCGTTGTGCAAGATGAAGGGCTGGCCTCAATTCCAATGAGCGTTCCTGGCGATTCGTGAACAGTCAGCTGGCCTGCCCCCCCCCTCCCCCAATTTCATCTTTCTTTGTTTTCATTACGTCCTTTTTTATGTGAATTTTATTTTTTTTTACCCTTTTCTATTTATGCCCCATGTCGTGCATCGTCAGACCTAGAGACTGCGTGGTTGAAACTCGACCCAATCCCATGAACGTTAGAGATTTGGTTCTTTCAAAGATGGTTTGGGTACAGAGTACGGAGTACTCCGTCTAAACCTTCGTCTCGTGGGGACTCCGTTTGAGGGAGTGGAATCTTTACTTCCCAACATGGGGTTAGAATGCAGGGCCTCAGAGATCTAGATCCAAATCCGGATCCAGTTTCAGATCCATCTACACATATCTCCAGTAAACGCCCCCGCCTACTCTCATCCATGTGTAGCAAGAATTGGATCTGTATATCACGGGACATTCCGCATTCTACCTACTTCTTTGAGACTCAGACATGAACCTCAGAATCCATCCGTTGATGTTTTGTTTTGTTTTGTTGTGTGTTCTGTCCCCATCAGCTTCCAGGCTCTTTGAGACCTATCCTTCTGTCTCAATTTATGGTTCGCCCCTTTTTGCTTTTTTCCCGGATTTCCATTTTGATCTAGCTGCGCCCCGGAAGCGCTAAGATTCCCTCCCATGTCGTCGATCAACCTCTCGACCACCGATCCTTGCCGACACAACTCATTCCAAGGTTCGAGAGACGCCGTTGCGGGGCTTGCCAAGATTGAGATATGCGCTTGTTTGTGCCCGTCGATCAAATTGACAGGTGTCAACTCTTTCTTTTCTTTTTCTTTTCCATTCCATTTCCTTCCTCGCATTGATCTCCCTATCCACTCCTATAAGCTCACATATCATTCAGGCATTTGTCGTGTTCGTGGTCTGAGACAGTACAGAGCTCAAAGAAAGAAACAAGACACAGAGAACCAGAGAAACAGAAAGACACAAGAAGGCCTTTCTGGGTCGGTCTGGCGTGGTCTTGTGGTAGAAACCCCAAAGACCCCCCCCCGGTCCTTTCTTTTCCAGCCATCTCAACTGGGGAAGGTGGCTATTGCCTGAACTCAACGTCCCGAGCCGAGCTCGGAGTGTTTTAGCGCCCTGGGTTTGATTCATCTATGGAAATGCTTTGACTTTGACGACCAGGGGCCTCAAATTCAACGCTACTTTCAACACTATTTGCAGCACTATCTCTCGAACTAACCATATGTTGTTAGGTGCATCAAACCCCGGTCAGACCGGGCGCAGCACCCACGCCAATCAGCTTTTAGACCAAGCCAACTGGGGGACAGCAAACATTCTCTCACCATCGATCATTCCACCCGGAAGCATTTCCGGATCGACACCAGGATCATCTTTGCAAACGTAGGCGGCGGTCTGCCGTGCCTAGTTACCAGCCGATTGAGTCAACTAGGACGTCGCTCCACATGTTCGCAGGGACCCTCCAAACAAAGTCAGGGACCTCCACAAGCGCCTAAAATGAACAACGACCAAACCATGATGAAAGGCGAAAAAAAAGGAGTTCATCCCCAATTGGCTGAAACATCTGGGCGGAACAGGCTCTAATCTCCCCGCCTGGACTTGTTCTCGTCATGGCCATCAGGTCATGTTCCGTGTGACGTTACTTTGTGAAACAAAGCCTGTTAAAACGCCGGGGGCGGTCTTGCTGGTCTTTCACCCTGGCAGAGAGAGAGAGATAGAGAGAGAAGAGAGAGACTGGAGGAATCTGGATTTCGATGCACCACGGAACTGTGCATATCATTTCCCCTGGGTACAACGAGTGTTAGAACAGAAATAATTAAAATAATAATATTGATTGAAACACACAAGAAGAAAAAAGAGCCCCAACTGGGAAAATCGCCATCGCGTTCATTATAGTACTTCCGGGGTTTGTACTGACAGTGTACGCCCAGGTCTAGGCCTCATGGCGCTCCCAGGACATAATCTAGGTAATTGCAGCCGTAGATGAAGGGGGGGTCAAGAAATGATCCAAAGCACAAGAAAGGGAAAAAAAAGGAACTGAAATTCAAAATAGGTAATAATACGAAAAGAAAAAAAAATCCAAAATCCAAATGACCCGGGGGTGTGTTTAGCCACTTTCTGTCCCCCCCCCCCCAAAATCCACATCTCATATAGAAACCAAAAAAGGACCAGGCAATCACACCGACCGCCGATTGTTACCAAAACCTGGGCTTAAAAATCTAGCCCTACATCTCCCAGACAAAAAAAAACGATCTTCCTTTTACTTATGTTTCTTGTTAACATGCCGACTTTCCTCTAATATCTTGCTATTCTTCCTTTTCGCTCTACGGATCTCGCACATAAGAATCTCGGAGCTTTACGTTTCAGTAGGTGCATATTTGAGCAAGCTATCGTTTGATTCTGTTACCGAGCTTTCATTGATATCTTCAGAAACGACAAATGGACTTCTTCTACTCCGAGAAGACTGGGTTCGAAACGGCTCGGCACGACTCTACTCTCTCCATGTCCCGAATACGAAGTATGAACCAGCACGAAGTGGCTGATCGATCCAACTATATCAGTCCAGCAGGAGACATGGATAGCAAGCGTAACCCTCAAAGGCGCCGAGTTCCAGTCGCAGTATGTCTTTATTTCCCTTTCTCGCTTTGATCGAAGCTCATTCTTCTGATACCGTTTAGTGTGGTCGATGCCGACGACGAAAAATCAAGTGCAGCGGGGATTCTGGTGATGGCCAGGGCTGCTCCAACTGCCGAAGTGCTGGAAATACAGACTGTCAGTTCTTACGAGTAGGTTTTTCTCCTCTATTCCTTCTTCGTAAGAGAAGAGTTATAGTGTCTGCCAGAAAGCAAAGCTAACTTGGATAAATTCTAGGTGAACTCCAGTGCCGTTCTTCCCAAGGGAACAGGATGGCCATACCCAAATGCAGGAGGAGTAGCGGCTTCTCCCAGAATGAGGGTGTATTCGCCTCATTTACCTGGCAAGTCGACGCTCCTTTCTATGGGCTCGCCGCAGACTCGTATGTCCGGGTTCCAGCGGACCTCGGATTTCGACCTAGGTACCGACGTGCAAGGATTTCCGCGGCCAGTAGGTCTCGATTCCATGCATTATGAGACTGAGCAAGGTAGCAGCTATAATCAGTCCCCAGCATACATTCTTCCCAACGGTCCCTCAGGGATGGTGGACTACGAAGCATCATCATGGAGCCCTAAAATCTGGGAACCTATGTTTAACGTCAACAGATCCGCTAATGGGGGTATCTATTCTGACACTGAAACAAACGGCTCAATGGCACAGTCTCCTTATAGCTACATGCTTCCAAGCCAAGGCATTCTTTCCCATGAAATTCCTCAAACGGCTGCTGCTGCCATGAATATGGTTTCCGTCTCAGAAGGTCCGGGGTCAGACCGAACACTGCCCACACCTACTATTCGGCCCCAGCAAGTCTCAGGCAATACGTCCTCCATAAAAGCTTTTCCAGAAGGCATGCCCGGGCTCTCCGTTCCGTCCGACTACAAAGGATCCTTCTGGAACCAAAGATGTACAGACCCAAACCAAAGAATCCATCACGTTCCCAGCAACGCATCTTTCCCCAGCAGTCCAACCCAATCTACAAAATGCAACAGCGATAACAGCAAGAACGCTGTCCCCGAGCTCGTCTTCTCCTATCTACCGCTCTCCTCCTCTACAACCGAGGTCTCTTCTCCATCTCTGTCATCTGCAGCTCCAGCATCCTCCACAACTAGCAGCAGCAATACCTCATATGCTGGACTCTCGATGGAAACAAGTCTCGACACTCCATCCCAAGACTACCGCACCCTGCCAAGTGATACACGCCTAGCACGTAGCTTTTCCCGGGATGAGAGCACCTCAAGCCAACGTCTCCTCGTCTTGTCAAACGAGTGCTCGCCAGATATCTACAGCTACAGCAGTACCGAGAAGAGCAGCAAAGCCCGACCCGATGAATCGGGATGTTCTGCAACTCTCATCAGCGGGCTGCCCTATACAAGAGTCCAATACGCCGACCCCCCAAACAACATGTTCCCCTGCGGTATGCTCCCGGATAATATACAAGAGTACAACCACCGTGGTGTAGTTGGGAACATGCACCGAACTCCTGTCTCGCCGCTAGGCAATCAAGGTGCTTACTAGAGGGTTCTTGTTTTTCTCCGTGGCAATTCTTCTCTGCTCGGATTCCAATTTCCGTGGTTGATGTGTTAGACAGGGAAGATGCTTGTTCGTGAGATACTTGCTAGCTTGAGCTTGTGCACGTGTCTCGGATGCACAGAACCGGCCGAAACGGAGTAAATCAAGGCTCCTCCTTTCCCCTCAATCTAGGCTCTTCTTCGAATTATACTTGGAGTCGATGGGGAAGGACTTGCTTTGACCGGTCGAGAGCCCGGCTGTTGGACGAGAGACTGGTACACTGCAGTTTTGGTACCTGTTTCTGTCACTTGTTATGACCGACCCTTTCTTTATTGTTGGACCTGTCTCTTGCATATGGCGGCTTATTTTGTCCCTGATCTTGTATTTATCGTTTGGTTTGGTTTTGTTGCGTTTGGTTGGGTCGGCTCGTGTTCTATTTTTTGTTTTATTTTTTTGTCTCCTTTTCCTCTTGTGTTTCTGTCTTTTTTGTCCTCCTGTTTTGGTTTGGCCTTTGTATTTTTGCTATGTTGTTTGCTTTATTTTCACTCTATTTCCACCCCTTTCATGTCTTACACTTTCTACTTCTTACTGCAACGACAGCCCAATTTTTGATCCCACTTAATACCCCCCGTCCTGCGAGCCTGTGATTTCCGTGGTGGTTGTCTATCTACAACATAATTTTATTTCCCTCTCTCTGTCTTTGCTTTCTACTTCTAGCTTTGTATATGTGGTCTTATCTCAAGTCTGTCCTTGATCAATTCGAACCAACTCATACCATTTTGGACAGCCCTCTTATCGCATTATATCGAGCCTGTTTTCGGGTACATACGCTCGGCCAGAACCATGTGTCGCTGCAATACCGACTTCAATCCAAGGATATGCCGGACAAGAAACCTTGCAAAGAAAGAAAAGAAAATTAAGCTTGATCTTGTGGTCACTGTCACTCACCGTACCTGCAGTGCGGCGTGCTCTCGTGCCTCGTGTTTCCCCGCCATACAAAATACAACTTTTCACCTTCGACCAATGACCCGAATCGGCAATTCTCTCTTCCTAGATTCGGTATGTGCTAGCTAGACCGCTGACAATTCAGAGAAACCAAGTAACTGGGCCGGGTATCTATTTCTGATTGACTTTTTCCTGTCTTGGTGGGTATCATAATCATTATCCAAGGATTTTCCGTTGGCGCTTTATTGGTGCGGACGGGGATAGGAAATCTTGTGTGATTCTTCTTCTTTCTCCTTCCATCAGTGCAGTTCCCGAGATGCCCGAGAATCCCGAGCAAAAAATAATAATAATAATAAAAAATGAAAAGGAAAAAAACAAGACAAGGGCCATGTGAGAGAGTTGTTTTGCGTTGGACAGCAGGAAGACAGATCCATACCCGCGGGGAAAACTCATTTTTATCCGCTGAGTTTCGTGGAGGCTTACTATTATTATTGTTTCTCTAGCATCTCTTCTTCCTTGCACTCAGGGGTTGTTTTTGGTAAGTTGAAGTATTTGAGATTGATTTTGTCATGCGGTTTTTATTTTCCTCTCTCTTCTTTTTGGATCATTTACTTACTTACATTTTGCCTTGCCTTGCCTTTTATGCTCCTTGTCTCGTGAGCGATTTGTGCTCTCGAGTCATCCATTATCCATCTAATAATAAATTAATACAAGCTAATTAATCCAATCGTTCTTTATGCTGAATCACTTTTGATTATGCGTAGATATGCTGGGTGGACTTTCTGCGTACCAGCGTAACTGTCCCTGATGGCGCTATATACTTGAGAGATACTTTGATCCCATGTACCCATGTAACGTACCATGAGATGTACACTACCTAGTAATCCGGGGAGCAAGATACCAGCGACCCGAAAGACGGAAATGAACACACCAGGGCCAACGAATTGCCAACGAATTGCCTCCGAATTACCAGTAACCCAGCTGCAACCGAGGTCGTGTACAGTCACCACCCTTGAACAAATTAATTTACAAGCCCTGGAGCCTATCTCGATCAAGCCAGCCCAGCACAAACTATAATACAACCCCAATATAACACACTCATTCCAGTCCTTCAGTTCGAAATCTGGCACGAGTAGACGAAGAGGACGCTGGCTCCCCCACCACTCCTTCCACGAGCTGGCTGTGTAATCCTGCACAACACGACCCCACGCAGAGAATAATTTGGAATCATTAGCATAGACCCTGCATTAGGTAACCTTTCTCTGTTTCTCTGCTGAAATATGTACCAGCACGAGCGCATTCGGGGGGCTAGTAAGAGTACAAAGAGCCGCCTGGGCTTGGGATTAATTTGTAAGAGGGCAAACAGGGTCGATATATTCCGCAACTGGTACTTAGGTACTCCCTGTCCTCCAGGGCCTCTGCTTGATTTCCCGATTGAAATGAGATCGTGATAGGAAAATGTTAGAGGGTTAATTGGTTGGATCGGAGTGCTGGATGTACTACGTACGTTAGTAAAGTTGTCAAACTATTCTGTCTTTCAAGTTGTTTTAGACCTGGATGACTGTCAGATAGGTCGAGCGAGCATCATAGTCAATATCCATGGATAGCGCCAGTAGACCGGCCCATGCCGGCTACGTTCCAGTACTGATTCAAGTCAGTGTTCGACGGCAGATGTGAAGCTGTGTACAAACCGGTCAACTGCATCATTGTCTCTCGCTGGCTTTTCGGACAGCGGATTGCCGGTAGCTACCTGGGTACCTAAATATGTATACGGTGGAGTTTACTTCAATTTGAGTTGAGGGTGTGCCTGGGTGGGCTGTACGACACGATAAGAGTTTGATCCCTTCTGATCCCGTCTTGATTTTCTCTTTCTAGAATGCGCCGAGATGGGAACCCTAGACATAATGCTAGTAACTGGGGAGTCGAGGTCCAGGCCCACCCCGGATTCTAGGTGGGACTGAGGCATTGAAAGAGGTTAGGGTTGGAAGACTAGCCAACGCATATCTGGATAGTACGGAGTAATAACATAGCCAGATTGTGTAGTCCACTAATATCCTAGGATTACCAGTACTGGCGAAGCAAAGGAATGACTACGACTACAACCTACAATACGAGAACGAGGGAATCGATGAACAGAAACAAAATATGTAATTCATCCGGGACGAAGCCCGTTCTCATATCCCTCGCTGTTTTGATTCGAACCCGATTATCCAGACCACATAGAACAAAACAACACTGACGCCTTTCTTCTTTTGAAAAGGGGATCATCAGATCACCGACCCTCAGCAGCACAGCATCAGCCATCCCTGGGGCGCCGGCAACAGGGGTAAAGAGTTCCACATCCATTCGGAGACGGCAAACGACTTGTAAATTTTTTGGGAGAAAGCTAAATGCAAATGCCGAGAGCCATCTCCGTTTGACACACCGACCACGTCCTATCGCTTATCCCAGTTTTAGGAAAAAACCGAAACAGGCGGGACTCCCAAACCACCAGGCCACCAAACGTATCCATCGCGCCATGAAAATCCATGATTGTGAAGTTATGCGGTGTGAGACATTTAGTCCTTGCTCTTCTTGGGGCCCTTGGTCTTGGCGGTACCGCGGAACTTCTTGGAGCGGTTCTTCCGTTGCTTGCCTGTGGGGGAAAGGGAATGTTAGCATTGGGGGAATCGTGAGCGGAAGGGGAGATTGGCGGTGGGAGGGTGGAGATGGAAGACGTACGCTGCTGGCGGGAAGCCTTCTCGACCTTGGTGGCGGCACCAATGCGGACCAGACGGTAGGCGGGCTCGAACTTCTTCAGGGCCTCCTGGGAGTCGTAGACCAGGGCGAAGCCGGTGCTCTTACCACCACCGTACTGGGTGCGGAAACCGAAGACGGAGACCTGGTCCTTGTTGGACTTGTACAGGTCGGCCAGCTTCTCGCGGAGCTCGTCCTTGGAGACGTTGGGACGGTTGGGGTGGAGGACATCCCTAAGCAAGCACAAAAGTCAGTCGCGTAGTTCTGTGTGAAAAGTATTTCCAGGCGATGGATGGATGGATGGATGGGTGTTCGGATTCGGTGGTGCGATTCTCGATTTTCAATTCTCAAATTCTCGATGTTGGATGTTGGATTCTGGACTCTAGATGCCGTCGGATGTTCTTGTTTTCTCTTCAATCGTCCTGGTTGTATATATGTACGTGTGTTCTGATGTCGTGTGTGGTTGTGTCGCACCTCCCTTGTCCAATCTTGAATTTTTGAATCTCGAATCTCGAATCGTCCATGTTTCCTCCCACCATCGCAGAAGGGGAGTAAAGAAGGGAATTCTTACACGACCATCTGCTTGCGAGCCAGCAGAGGGTTGCGGATGAACTTGCGAGTCCGCAGTGTGACGGGAGAATCGGCCATTTTGTCGGTGGTGAAGGTGATGCTGGAGAGAGAGAGGGACGCGGTGGGTGGATAGGCGCTGTTAATTCAATTTGCCCTGTGTGTGCTCGGCTAGGGCTTGTGCTAGCCATTTTGGGCCGTGACTAATGGGCTGTCTTAGTCATCGGATACATCAGTCACATGATGTCACACCGGGCTACCTTATGTAATCAGATGACCCTTATCGATAAGCAATCTAGGTACCGGCCCTAACCATAGAAACTCTAGCCTCGGAGATATTTCTGATTCTGCGGGGATAACTGTTGAAGCAGAAAGACATACACAGCATAATGTCGCACTTCATTCACACCCTCCGCAAGCAGTATTTCCAACTAGTCGACGTCCCGAAATTATCCATCCCTCCCAACAATGTCCTGATCCAACCCGCCGTACAAGAAGCCTTGTACGAGCAAATGTTCAACGAAGCCCTCACCCCACTACCACCACCAACCTACCGATCCCGAGTCCTAAAGCTTCTCCTCACACGCATGGAAGATGGAATCCTTAACCCAGAAGAAGACGTACGTCAGGCTTCCACCTACCCCCGAAAAGCGCATCGCACCCGATAAATAAGACTCGACTCGCACGTGCCGTCCAATCAATCCCATATCTAACTCTCGCAGGAAATCCTCGACCCATTAATGGAATCATGGGCAAACCTCCTAACAACACCCAAACCAAGCCCCCTAGACACAGTCCAACAAGTCTCCCAAATAAAATACACCGCCCCAACACTCGCTACAAGCTCCAACAGCACCAGCGAACGAACAGTAACAATCTCCGAATCCCGCGGCGTCCTCCTCTCAGCCGGAACAACGGGAAACAGAACCTGGGAGCCGGCACTACATTTAGGATCATTCCTCGCAACGCCCGCAGGCGAGTCTCTCGTCCGCGGCAAACGGACCATTGAACTCGGCGCCGGCACGGGCTTTCTCTCGCTATTCTGCGCGAAACATCTTGGTGCCAAGGCTGTTGTTGCGACGGATCGGGAGCCGTTTTTGATTGATAATATGCGTGCTTGTGTGCGCGTTAATGCCAGAGAGAATGAGAATGGGTGGGGGGATGGGGATGGCGGTGGGGGTGGAGATAAGAGTAGTATTCCAATGTATCCAGCTCTCTGGGACTGGGGTACGAAATTAAAGACTACAGAGGGAAAGGGAGAGCATCAGGGACAAGAGCAGGACTCTGTCTCTGATAGTTTTGATATTGCGCTCGGAGCGGATTTGGTACGTTTGCCCCCCCCTCTCTCTCTCTGCCACGAATGAAGGGGATGAGATGAATATGACCTGTCTGGTTACGATTTGCTACTGACAAGAATCCCAGATCTACGACGCAGACATAATCCCACCCCTCATATCGACAGTCCGTGATCTCTTCGAGAACTACCACATCGAGCAATTTATCATGGCTGCGATGCTGAGGAATGAGAAGACGTTCAAGACGTTCTTGGATACTTGCGGTAAGTTCAATTTTCAGCCTAGCCGCTGGCTGGGATAAGTGTACGGAGATGATTCTAATCGCTGCAGAAACGAATTCTTTTTCTGTTGAGACGCTGCCGTTTCAATCTGCGGTTGAAGAGGAGCAGACGGGGTTCTTTCATTCGACTAGTATTCCGATTCATACGTATCGGATTGTGCCTTGTCGATGAGAGGGGAGGGAGGGAGACGATATCTGAATATCAAGATCATTTTGCTCAGATTAGACATGGTAATTACTGATAGGACTGGTTGATGGATGCTTCAACAGATCAGGAAGAACATTGCAATGTATGAGTCTTAAGAAAATACCAAGGTAGAAGCTCAAGAGCGGAATATTGAGTATATCTTGGTTGGATATTGGTTTTTCATTGATGCTATACCAGCAGGACAACACAGGACAAGACACATGTCCAGCAATAGTATCTAATAAACGAATGTCTCGGGGTATCACGAAATATCTGCAACGCCAGCAAGCACTATTAAGGTCCGAAGGGGTAGATGGTAAAACCATGAGAAAGTTAATATAGAAATGAAATGATGGAACCGAAAACCGAAAACCGATGCAAGCCGTCCATGCGAGTGTGAGTTGTGGGGAAATGCAATGCAATGCGAGATAGATGTGTGTGATTGGGTATTGAGATCAAGGAGATTCATAAATAAGGAGTAGGAGGGAGTGTAGGAAAGCAGCCCCAGTCCTGGCCCACTCAGCCATCCTCAGCAAGACTCTCGCGAAGCAGATTTTCGTCAATGCCTTGTGGGTGAATTGAGATTGGGGCGCGGGGCGGTGGTCGGAAACCGAGTATTGGGCCTTTCTGATTCACGCCTGTGAATCGGAAGCGAAATTGGGGCGGAGAGTCGGGATTGGGATCTGGAGTCGCGGAGACGGAGTGAGTTGTATTATCGGGTGATGGTATTGGTTGGGAGGTCTCTGGTTGATGACTTGGTTGTAGTTGAGGTGGAGGTGGAGGTATAGCTTCAGACTCAGGCCCATGTCCAGCTCCAGGCCCGGGCCCGGGCCCGGGCTCGTTTGGACCTGTCGCTTCGTTCGCTCCGTGCTCATCACACTCCGCCGGGACAGGTGCTGTACCCCACTTCCCCAGAACCCAGCCTCCCATGCGCCGACCTAATGTGGTCTTCCGCGGGACCGGGGTGGTAGAACTGGTGCTGGCACTCTCTGCCGAAACTACCGACGCAGTTTCCGACGCCACGCCGTTACTAGCGGCCATGGAGGCGAGTAAAGATCGAGATGACATTTCCGGAGCCCTGGCGCGGTCGACCGTGATTATCGGGGCGGAAAGGACGGGTGGCGTGGAGACCAGCTCCACGCTAGGTGAGACGATGCGTTGTGGGATGCGCATGCCTGGATGCCAGGCGCCCATTCGGGAGTGGCGGGTTAAAGGGGTGTGGATGTCCATGCCGGCCACAGAAAGTAGACTGTCATGGGACGATGATTTGCGGAGTGAAGGTGAAGGCACTTGGATACCGAATGGATTGTCTGTGGGCTGGTCGCCAGGTACCTGTCGAGACCAAATTCCAGATGACGATGGTTCGGATTCTTCTGGGATGACAGGTTCTGCTAGATCCAAGTAGCCTGTTCGCTCATAATGCTCGCCATTGAAGACACCGGACGAAGCCTCAGGCAGTTCGGGAGAATCGAGGCCTGGTAATGGTCGGAATGGCATGTCGAGACCCTTGAGGGCTCGCGCCTGCATGAGAGGCGATGAAAACACAGTGCTGTCCGGGCTTGTAGGTTCGGAGAAATCTGTACCGCGATCAACACGGTCGAATATGGAGGATGTTCGGAACGCAGATTGCGGCGAGCTGGCCAACGAATCGGCGGGAGGTGATTGGTAGGACCAACGGCGAGAAGAAGGTGGTGGGATGGAGACGGAAGTCTGAGAAAGGATCGTATTCATAGATGAACCAGACGATTGAGAGCGATGGATAGATCGACGAGGTGAATTCGTTCCCACCGCCGAATGTAGAGGAACCGGGCTACCCAGGGAAGGACGCTTCTTCTTGAAGCGACGATTAACCGCGCCCTTGTCCTTCTTCGTCGACGGGGTGTGGTAATGGTGGTGAATATGAAACTCCTGCGAGACACGACGTTCCTTCGACTCCAGCTCCTCACACAGAGTCGGCGTGCGGGCCCCATCAGATTGCTCCTCACCTATGCCGGCCAGCGGCTGATGAAACAGAACTTGATCGCGGAGATTTTGGACCTCCTGGTTAGAACTATCTAACATCTCACGCAGCTCCATAATGCCAACCTGCAGATTCGCATTGTCCTGCAGGATATCCTTAACGAATCGCGAGACAACAGGAGTACCGGGGTTGCGGCCAATTTCGGACGCTGCAGCGGCCCCTTTCAAGCGACTGGCAGCATTATCCAGCTCGCGCTCAACATGTCGTTTCCGTTCCATGCGCTGAACAAGCTCCTCATGCCTCTCACGCTCCTCTCTCGCCTCAGCCTCGATGCGCTCAACCTGATCATTCAAATCACGCAGCGCACTCTCGGCATTCCTCCACCGCTGCACGGCAGATTTCTCATCCTCGTGCGCTGAATGAAGACTCTCCTGTAATCTGGACTGCTCAGTCTCGATGAGGACAAGCTGGGCCTCGAGCTCAGCCGCCCGCGACGCGGCAACAGTCAACCGGCGCAGTTCCGCCTGCGTACTTGCCAGCGTAAGCTCCAGCGACTCGACACGATCGTCCGACTCGGCAACGCTCTGGTTCAGACCCTCGAGCTGCTCGAGCAGACTTCGGTTCTCCTGGACGATACGCGCATTCTCGACCTGCACCTGGCGCTTCTCGCGCTCCAGCGCGTCGACACTATCGACTAAGCGCTGGCGATCCTCTTCCGCCTCGGCCATATAACTCTCATGGCGATGGAGAAGAGCCTGTAAAGAAAAAGTCAGCGACGTCAAGCCCAAGGAATCTGCATCTGCATTTTCATTCGCATTTGCAGAGTAATCATAAAAAGAAGTGGCCATGACGGACGCCAACGCAGTGGGTGAGGACAGAAGACCTCGGTAGGACAGATGCCATGGAAGGATGTGGATGTGGGTTTGGACTGGTAGAGGAATGCAAATGGAATGGAAAGAGGAATGGTCGCGAGATTGGATTGTTATGCGTTCCGTCATGAATCCCTTCGTTGAAGAAAAGGCGGGAAGGAATCTGATAAAAACACCCGAGCCCAAAAAGCAACGATCTGGAATTTGAAATTGATGCATCAAGCATGCAGCAGCCTCAGCCAGCCAGCCCAGCTGTGCCACGTCGATTGACCCACGACCCACCGCACATCACATTTGCGCCCGACAGACCAGGAACATGAAAATCAGAAAGAAAAGATTTGCCAGAAGCTGAACGTACCTGTCCTAAGCGCGCTGCCGTCGCGAGATCCTTCTCCAAACCTTCCAGAGCAAGAGAATTATGCTCTAACAGGGCGCAGTCTTGGCGCCCACAGCAACAACGCAGATTCGCCGGGGCATTTGAGTAAGTTGGAATGCCGGGGACTATCTCAGGCTGGGCAGTTGGGCCACAACTACCAGTGCCAACACTGTTGGTGCCAGTTGGGTTGTCGTTGGCGGAGGACATGGCGGAATGCGGAGAGGAATCCCTCATGAGAATGTGGAGCTGGAGCTGGCCCCCTCAGGTTGACGGGGGGGCGGATCATTCAACGGGATTGGTGAAATCAGCGCCGGTTGAGTAGGGCCGAGCTCAGCAAAAGGAATAGGAATAGGAACAGGAATAGGAACAGGAAAGAAGACGGCGAGGAGGCGGGTGCGGAGCGATGCAGTTGCAGGTGGATGGCGTCTTTGGGGTTGCACAGCGGAGAAGAGCTGATCTGATTGGCTGTACCTTGCTTAGTAAGGTAAAGTTGGAGATGTACAGCGAGGAACAGCTGGGCAAAAGATGAAGTTGGATGGAAGAGTATGGATTTCTAAAGAGTAGAAAAGAGTGATGTATCAAATTACGTGATATCACAAAATACTTTATTCCCAGGTATTTCGCCAGCCTCAAGGGTGATTGATATTCTTGCCACTAGACTTGGAATGAGCCCTGGAGTAGATGCCAGATGGTGGACCCTTGCATCGCTATGTACGGAGTACGGAGTATACGCAATAGGGATACTCTGTACATATGTGAGAGATCTAGTGGGGTGAATGTGAAATGGGAAAGGGGCTATCTTAGCTACCAAACCGGGACTGTTGTGCGACATGGATACTGGGGTGAAGATGCATCAGTTTCATCTGTGGAAATTAATGCCTGGGGGTTATTAGACTTACTAGGAGTATCGCAAAACCCCGATGATCGAGTCTACCCCAACTAGGAGTAATATACAACTACGACACCACTGGGGATGGATCGAAGTAAGTAGGGAGTATATATTTTACAGAGTAGACAAAATTGTAACATTAAGCTTCATGAATGTCCAGTATCCTTGTGCTCAAAAAATGGATACACCCGGCATATTCGATCTCACCTTCGCAGCACATTACTAAAAGAAGAATAATTTGCCTCTGTGGCCCAGTGGTTAAGGCGTCGCACTTGTAATGCGAAGATTCCTGTGTTCAAATCACAGCTGAGGCATTTCTTTTTGTGCTCCATCTTTTTTTTTCCCAGATTAGTCACCACTTCACTTTCCAAAGAGGTTTCAGATAGTCTATCGCAGGCAGAATCTTTCCGGTATCTATAAATCAATAAGGGGTGCCTGCACTTTCATCAGATTGACATTTACCGCATATATTGTAGAAACCCCATGTAAAACTTGAATTAAAGATGTGCGAAGTACTTCCATGATTGGAGGTCTATTGCACTGTTAAGCTTCACAAGATAAAGGTCATGCCATTCAGCATAGACTAACCACCTAACCGAATTCATCCACCTCTTGAAGAAAATAAATCAAAGATCGACCAGCCAGCTCCAAGTCGAGAAGCACATCACATCATTAGGGTAAACAAGCCACACACCGGAATCAAATACCCCCGAGTCACTTCCCTTCTCTTCTACTTACCTTGGCCAAATCATCATCAGAACTGAGCCAGCCTGCTCTAGATTCCAGCCCACAACGGAAAACACCAAAACATTCTCGAATGGGGTCCGCGTTCGGGTGAATGCGGAGGCGAGTGGCGTCTGTGGAAGAGGGAGGTATCTATCTCATCCATAGCGGATATTCCTTCACCAGCAGGGTGCATGGGATACCCAGGCCAGCCCGCAGAAGCCGCAATACATGTAGATGGGCAAGGTCCCTTGACTAAGGTCTCGACACGCCTTACGAAAAATTACGCGATAGAGCGGGATGAAATCCGAATAAATCATCTTCTCTCAGGTTTGGTATGGCACGACAAAGCAGAGAGAAGCAGAGAGTAGAATAAAAGATACTATAAACCCAAGTCTCGGGAAATTTCTTAAGTGAATTCAATTCGGTTCGAAAAGGATCACAGAAGAGATAAGGGGCAGGGAATGGTAAGGGAGGGAGAAAGAGAGGGGGGAAAAAAAGGAAGAACAGATGGAGAAAAACACCGAGCGCCTTTCGAAGCTTAAATTCGAGCTTAAGGAACTTGAAGCTCAAGGGGAGGAATAAATGGAATCGGTTCAGTCCGTACAAGTTCAAGCTGAGGGTTGGCTTGACTGGACCGGACCGGCTAAACTCATAGCAAAAGATCATTCCGAACATTGATGAACGCCCCAGCGCCGCCCTCGCTGATTTCATTGACTAGCACCTCGGTCTGCTGATAAAGCCTTTCAAGAGCTGCTTCGGAGTTTTTGCCTAGCGAGACTGGTTTGAAATGTATTAGCTGGGTAAAGAGAGAAGAAAGGCTACCCCCGGGAAATAGCATGGCGCGAAATATAAATTCGGTCACGTCGAGTAGAAAGAAAAGGGTAAACATACCAAGAATAGCCGAATTCAACTCTTCAGCAACAGCAACCCTCCCCTCAGGATCAAGGTAATGACCATGCGGCGACCCCTTCGGATCAGGATAACATACCAAAGAAAATACCTCATCAAGCATCTTCAGATCAAGCCCATCGTCGCCAGACTGATGATAATCAAGTCGTAACTGCTGCCCGTACTCCACAGCTTCGGTAAGAAGCTCATTAAATCGTTCGTTCATCTTAGGGCTTTCTTCCGTCTCCATCCCGTCGCCGTCGCCGTCTCCGTCCCAGCCTCCATCGTCAAGTTCCATCTCCTGGTCGAAGACGGCGTGCTCGTCTAAGCCCGGTGAGGCTGAGCGGCGCCGCTTGGATGCAGATGCAGATGTGGGGCTGGACGCTTGGAGCAGGAGCAGTTCTTGTGATTTGCGCATCATTTCTATAAATTTGCGGCAGCGGAGTTTGAAGTGGATTTGCGGGTGCTCTTTAAGGACGTCGGCGTAGTAAGCGTTTGTATGCTTTAGGGCTTTGTCAATGTCGCCGTCCAAGATTGCAGCGCGGATCTCTGGGATGTTGTTAGTATTTGCATTTGGATTTGGGTTGGCAAGGAGTGAAACGAATGGAGGATTTCCCCTCGAATTTTTAACTTACTATTCCGATGAACCGCATGATGATCTTCCTCCACCTCGTATTTCTTCAGCGGCGCACCGTGTCCGCTTTGCAAAGCCGCCGTTTCCGTGGCGACTTCTTGCGCAAATGCATGTGCCGTCTCGACATAGCCATCATGAGCCAAGAACTGAGCCACCAGCTCCTGCAAAAGCGATGATTCGTCGAGGGGCGGTTGGAGGGTATCCGTGCTTGTGAGGTTGATTTCAGCCTGGATTGATGCTCGCTCATGCTGGGAACGGGTTAGCTGTCCGCATGGATATGGATAGAAACATTCCAGCCTTCAAGGCTAGTCTCAACTAAAATCAGATAAACTCACCTTAACCATCCCATCAATATCAAAAACAAACGGCTCCTGTCCAAAATTCGTCTTCAAACAGACAGGCGGCTGCCGTTTCATCCCAACAGAAGGATATAGTTGAATCTCCGGTAACCCAGAGAACGCGGTGCCCAAAAAGACGCCATTCTTGGTGAAAAAGGCCGAGCGCGTGGAGAAATTCACGCCGCAGCCGACGGTGTCACCGACGCCATAGGTCGGCCCATAACTCCGGCCCTGGCCCTGCGATTCGCCGAAGAAGGACTTCCCGTCATCGCCGTGGTAGGCCCAGGACTCGGTTTCCCAGCCGGGCAGACGCTCGATCGAGGCCTTGGGACTTGAGAGGCCGATCGCTACCATCCTGCAACAAGAGCCGAGATCAGTACGGATTCCACTTGCGCCTGCTCCAGAGGCAGAGGAGGAGGAGGTGTTATTGTTATTGCTGCCGCTGCCGCTGCCGCTAGTGTTATGATTACTATTGTCTGCTGGCAGTGGCAGCATCGTTCGGACATACCCTTCCTTCGGCTTCGACTCGATCTTGATCTCGAAGTAGTAGATGCCGCATTGCGGGGGCATGGGGTTGTCGGCTCGTAGGGCGGCGGCTTCGTGCTCGTTTGTCTTGTGCTGGGGTCCGGCTGTGTAGCGGACTTCAAGCCCGTCGCTGGAGATCTCGAGGATGTCGTGGCGGTCGTCGACGCCCCACTGCGTTGGTAGGGGCATCGGGGTATCGGTTGCTGATGTGGGGGGGGGTTCCTTCTCGATGATATCATATGTCATCCCGCGGTGCGAGGGCGCCATCCGAGGGAGGTGGACATTGCTGGAAGATGCGGAGAGGGGTTGTTGCGGGTTGTTGTTCGAGGTGGAGGTTGTGATAGCTGAGGCCTCACGCTGTTGAGCTAGGAGCTTTGCTCGGTGGGCGGCGTCGAGGCGGGAGATGTAGCGGGAGTCACGGAGGTAGGAGGGGGTGAAGAAGGGAGGGGAGGCATCAGGAGGGAGGGAGAAGGAGTGTGGGAAGTCTGCTGGTCGCAGGCTGGCATATTTGCGGGAGAAGGTGGGCAGAGCGTCTGAGGACGTCATGTTCCTCCAAGCGGAGTTCATGTGCATGTCGGCATCCAGGCCGGATAGTGGCCGATAGGGACGGCCGTCGTGGTGAGAGGATGTGACGGATGGGTAAGAGGATAAGTTGGGATCGTGGATGAGGTTGGTTAAGGAGCCTGAGATTGGAGGAGAGATAGCGGTGCCCGACAGGACGGAGGCGTAGGAAGAGCGGCGTGGTGGGCCGGAGGTGGAGTAGGAGGTGCCGTATGTTGGAGCTCCACGAGCTCCACCAGGAATATCGGTCATTAGGATCTCGTGCTGTTCGCAGTCACACCCTTCCCCCCGGTTATTCAAATGACGCTCAGGATCCTCCAGTACAGTTTAACATTCGCGCCTGTTTCGTGGACTGAGGGGTCTCTGCTGACGTTGCGTGACAAGCGGGTCATCTGGTGACCGGAAGCAGCGCCGGATAACGCTTGAACGCGGACGAGAGCAACCTTTAGGAAAGTCGTATTGTGTAAGAGAGTGGGACCGGTCGGAAACGAGTTCCTTTTCTATGGGAATCCAAAAAACAAGAGGATAGTGAAGATGTAGTCCAAGACTGCGGGGAAAGGCCCGGCTAAGAAGAAAACGGAGGTTTGCGATTGCGACAGTCACGAGGACCCCTCTCCGATCTAGGCGTTTTGTAAACTGTTGTGTATTCCAAGGTTGTTTCGAGGGTAATTGGGCAGGAGATGGATGGGAGATAAATGTTGGATCAGATTTATATTCGAATTTAGAGAGAAAGTGTTCCAGGGTTTCTTTGACAAAGGCAGGGCGGACACATACCTACCTAGCCTAAGTAAATAGATATACCTACGAGGTACAAAGGTAGTTACTACTGATCTACTCCGACTACTCCGACACGCGATGCATGGTATAATCCATGGATATTGTTGACAATCAAATTTTGGAGAAAGACAATAAGAAATACTAATAATAAAAGGGTAATCCTTCACCTTTCCCATCAAACACCGAGTCTCAAACATGATAAAATATGATACAGTAAAAAGTAGACTCCCAGAATGAGAACAATCCATCCAAGCATGACAGGCCGGGATCATCGACCGAGGATAAACGAAATTTGAACCAAAACTTCCCTTAAGACGCCAATTAAACCTTAGATCCGTAAAAAAACACAGACACGAATAGCCCGAAGAAAGAAGTAGAAAGAGAAAGAGAAAGGGGAAGGGAAATGGAAAGGCCAGACATAGGGCGCAAACACAACGCGCAGTTAATGCGTAGATGCGTTAGAGAAAAAAAAAAAGAGAAGAGAGCCAGAGAATCCCCTAGATGTAATGTACACAACGACCGCTTCAAGCAGCCATCGCGATCGCCGGTGATGAAGGCTCGACCAGATTCGAGGGAGCCGGAGTGATATCGCCGTCACCCGAGTTACTCTTCTCACTCGGGACAGCACTGCTGCCGTTCATTGTGTCGGTACCGGGTGCCGTCAGGGTTGGCTTTGTGTCGCTGTCACCACTCTCCAAGGCGACAGTGACTGTGCCATCGACATTTTCCGATTTCGCCAGGGCATGCGTTTTCCATGATGGGAGCTGCCACAGGATACCCGTGAAGCTTCGCAGGCGGAGTGGTTGCTTTTCCCACTTACGACAGGGAGCTCCGGTGCGGTCTAAGGCGCGGAGACCGGCATTGATGGCGCCGGTGTTGGCTTTGGGTCCTAGTCGGTGCGCGGCGGCCACTTTGCCCAATTCGCCTTCGTCTCTGTTTTAAGCGTTAGTTGGGTTCGTTCAAGTGGTGGAGGTGGTTGGGGATTGAGGTTCTGCGCAGGTCTGTTACTTACAGTCTGGGCTTCTTCTTGGGACCGGGTCGACCTCTTGCTTTCGCGGGCTCTGTTTGGCCATTTGCGCGTTTGTTGCCGGGCTTGGGACCCGGAACGCCCTTCCGACGTGGTGTGTCGCCAGGAGTAGCGCCGGTGGCTGGCGTTGAGGTCGCGTCGGCTTCGGACGCATTGTCGGCGGATGAAGGACGCGGTACAGGGACTTCGGAGGATGAAGCTGGGGAAGAGTGTTCGTTGATCTTGTCGTCAGTGGGGGTGGGCGTGGCAGGCTTCCGGTCGGCCGGGTCTAGGAAGCGTTGTAGTAAATCGGGGGAGAGTTTCAGTGTGAGGACGAGAGAGTTGGCAGGTTTGGCGGCGGCCCGGTTGGAGCGACCGTTTGGAGTGCTGGCGGGCATGATGAAGATGGTGGTATGGCGAGTGGGGGAGGTTGGATGGAAGAGAAGGGATTGGGATGAGGGTGAATGTGGTGAGAATGACGGTGATCGTGACGTGGTGTTCCACCGCCCGGGGCGTTCAGAGATGGTATTTCAGGTCAGTGGTAGGCAAGTCTGAAGTCGCGATTCAGGGTTGAGGCGAAAGTCGAGGGTGATGGGGTTGGGAATGAGAGGATGGTGAGAGGAGGGATGAGATGAGTGGGATGGAGGGGAAAGGGAAAGGGATGGAAGGGGGGGAAAGGGGCGAAGTGGACTGGCACAAGGCCGTGTGGATGCCATCTCGTCTAATTCTGCGATAGAAAAAGGTTTCTTTGCTCTTGCGTTGCGTGGTTCGTTTCGAGAGGATCGCGGGTGTTTTGTAATTACACTCACTTAGGGTGGTTGTCCACCATACCTGCAGGGGGTGTGACTGTACTGTTACAACAATACAGATCTATATCTGCCGTGTACAGTAGAGCAGAGCAGAGGAGCAGTAGAATAGAGCAGAGCATCTAGGTAGATTGGAGTATATATACTGTAGATCAGAATACTATCATCTATTGTATTCACTCTATATCTATATCTATAGTCTCCAGGGCTATAGCCATAGTCTGTAGTCAACCTAGTACACTACATACCTAGGTATACACATAATACTGTCAGCACTCCGCCATCTCCCGAACTACCCTCGCCCTCGCACTGGCCTGCTTTTTTTTTTTCATTTTACATTTTACATTTTCCATCTGTGTGCTCTGTACTCCGTACAGTAATGATATCCACATACCCAGTACAACAAAGACTTCACTTTCTTTCACTCACCGCAATTTCTATATTTAATCCATACCGTATTCATTTTCAAATTTACATTCACTTTACATACTAGCACTATTCAGCATCTCGAGTGCCTAGTATATACTAAGGAGTCCTAGTAGTAACACCTCCAGGGCTCTTTCGAGAAATTTTCCCCTCTAGCGTACCGAACTCCAATTGGACTCGTCATCACCATCTGAGACAGCACTTACAGCTCACATTTCATGGAAATAAAATAAAAATAAATTTTAAACCCGGATATCTCGATGCCTAGCTACCAAGAAGAAAACGCGAAAGTAGTATACTGGAACATCTCCACTTATTTACTCGCTATCTATGCAATACTCTATGACCAAATAAGATATTTCCACATGACCACTGGCACCACCCTTCCTACGAAGACCCATCCCCATCCCCGTCCCCACCACCATCCCCAGCATTAATCTTAGCCTGTCGCCGCTGAATAACCTCCCCAACAGCCTGCTGCACCCCGGGACTCGACCGCACCCCGGCCAAAACAAGAGCCTCCTGCATCCCGCGCCGCAACCCAGAAACAGTCTCGCGATCGCCGCGGAACGGCGCCTGAGCCAGCTGAAGCGACCGCGTAGCTTCCAGATCCGTCTGCTGCGCCGTCTGCACCAGCTTCACCACCTGCTGCATCGTCTGCGGGGAGACGCCGTTCGGGACCTGGGCCTGGGCCTGGGCCTTTGGAGCGATTTGCGAAATGAAGATGTGGATCGTGATTGAGACGCGGCGCGCGATCGTCAGGATTTGGAATGGGAGGAGGTGGAATGATTGCGCCGGTAGCCAGGCGCTCAGTGCTGGAGGGAGATAAGCTGCGGGCATGAAGACGGCGCGGGGCCGCGTGATCAAGGCTAATTCGAGGACGACCATGGCGGCGAGGGAAAAGAAGCGCCACTGCGGGTTATTAGTATGGGGCTGGAAAATGCGGGAATAGGAAGAGCCCGCCGAGTTGGTGTAGGGACTTACGTAGCGTCCAAATCCTCCCCACCAGAGCCAGTTCAGGACCAACATTGCGCCCAGTGACAACACGTACTGCGGCAACACCAGGCGGGTGAGCGAGATCATGAAGAACTCCTGCGTGGTCTTCAACTGGCCGCCCCATTTTAGGGCGTCGGGGCCGAAGCGATCGTAGGCGAAGCGCTGCACTGGGTCGAGGAGGGTTTCTTCCGCCTGGCGGAGGAGCATGAAGAGGATGTCGGCTCCATCTTGGTGGCCGATTTTATCGGGGTGGTAGCGCGCGGCGAGGCGGCGGAACTTGGACTGGATTGTCTTGTCGCTGTCGAAAGGTGTTACGTCCAATAGGGTGTAGTAGTTGCCTGCAACTTGTACTTGGTGGAAGGTTTCATAGAGGGTGTAGAGGAGGTAGCTGACGATGACGAGGATGAAGATGCGACGGCGGTGAGTTTCGAAGCGGGGCGTTTGGGGCATTGGTTTGGGATCCCCGGCGCGAATTGTGAGGCCATAGTAGACGTTTTGGAGGAATGATGTGGCGTACTGTGTATTCCCAGTGTTAGCTCTCCTCTCCACACAATAACTCCATGTCAACTTACGCCGGGTAGCACTGCCCATCCGATGAGCGGGAGAAGCGACATGGTCTCCGTAAGTCAATCGACTTAAAAGTTCAACATGAGACGCTGAAGAGTGTAAGATGCTCTCACAGCATCGCACGGGGGAAGTAAAAGGGACTCTTTGATGCAACAGCAGTAAGTACTAGTAAGGTAGCCGCAATGATGGAGTGTCCAGACCCACATCCAGCCATCCAAAGCGGTGAACATTCTGCCCACCGAAGTAGAAAATAATTTCTAATTTTGCGCCGACTTCATTTTTGGAGAAGAAGAATATCCCCCAACAGCAGATCCCGCTCCCACACACGACAGCTCAACTGCCGCAATAATGGCAGTCGACGCAATGGATCTGGACAGTTCTCCCGTGGCGACCACTGACGTGGAGCGCAAACGCAAGCACAAGAACAAGGACGTCTCGCCCTCAAAGAAGCGCAAGCAGGCCGAGCTCAGCGAAAAGAAGAACAAGAAAGAAAAGTCCGGCAAGATTGACGCCAGCACTACATCCGCCACGGCCGAATCACCAGGCTCGCCATTCTCCCTGGTCACCGCTACGATGTATCTCCCACTATCGCCCATCTCTATCTCGCCCACTCACGCCTTGGCCTCGCTGCTTGCCGAGCACCTCTCCCCACTGCTATTGACATACTACCCACCCTTGAAGGGAATCATCATGGCCTACTCCAACTCCTCGATCTCCAGCACCAAACCCTCATCCACACCGCGCCCATCCTCCGACCCGAATCCGCAGCCGCTGACGCTGGCCCGCACTGCGGACGAGTACGGCGTGCTGTATGTCTACCTGACGGCCACATTCCTCGTTTTCCGCCCGCAGCGCGGCCAAATTCTCGAAGGCAGTGTGAACGTGCAATCCGAGGGCTTCCTCGGCGCCGTCATATTCAACCTTTTCTCCGTCGGTATCGAGCGCAAGCGACTACCGCCTTCGTGGCGCTGGGTCCAGCCCGGCGAGGACGAGAATAATGATACTACGACCGGCACGACGGACGACGAGTCCGGGCCCGAGGGCGTGCCTGCGAACTTTGACGTCGAGAAGGAACTATTCCAGCCGACTGCACTTGCGGTGGACGAGCTTGACCTCGAGGATGGCGAGGAGGAGGACGAGGCGACGGGTCATTTCCAGTCTGTGTCTGGCCACCGTGTGCGTGGGAATGTGAAGTTCCGCGTTGTGGACGTGGATGTTATTCCGGGGTCGGATCGGGATCGTGGCTTTTTGAGCGTTGAGGGGACGATGTTGGAGGCTGAGGATGAGGAAAAGCTTTTGCTTGCTGAGCAGGAGGGTCAGTCGCTTCCTCCGGCTTTCTTGTCTGCGGGTAAGAGGTCGAACCGGGTTGTTCCGATCTCGATCGAGCCTGCTGCGGAGGCGGTTGTTTCTACGGTTGATGTTCATCTGGATGAGGAGGAGGAGAAGCCTAAGAAGGAGAAGAAAGAAAAGAAAGAAAAGAAGGAGAAGAAGGAGAAGAGCGAGGATAAGGACAAGTCCAAGCGGGATAAGTCGAAGCACAGCAAGAAGAAGAGCAAGGAGTGAAGAAGAGGTCTTACTTGCATCTGTGATATTTCCCATGTTATTTACATTCGCGGAGGGCGTTCCGGCTAAAAGGATTACTATGTACAGTCATGCCAAAGTCTACGTGTATACACTACGTTGCTATACTCTTCAAGTTATCAGGTTGAGTAAATTGAACCCAAGTAGACATCAATTTGGCCCAAGCACACCTAAGTAGATATAAAAAACCCAAACGGCAACAATAAACCGAAACCAAGATCACTGGTAGACACAAATCCAATCCAATCCAATCCAATCCATCCTACTCCAACCCCAAAACATCAATCCCAGAAACAACCTCCTTCTTCCCAGCCATCCTGCCAACCCTCATAAGCGCCGCAACCTTAACCATAACCGGATCAACCCCCATAGTAGCAACCGCAACAACAATCTCCCCCCCTAAAATAATACGCAACAAACTTCCCCTCTTCCTCCTTGACAAACACATCATCATACCCATTAACCGTATTCCCCGCATACCGCATCTGACCCCCCCACCGCAGACCAGAAAATCGGTATACTCGGCTTCAAGTTGGTCTCCAACCCCCCCACCACCACCACCAGCATGCAAAATCGACCTCGCAACACTCCGCCCCGCATTCTGCGCGACATTCCAATGCTCAATGCGCGTTAGCGATCCATCACCGCCAGGACCGTGGTACGGAAATCTCGCTATATCCCCAATAGCAAAGACACCGTCCAGTCCGGGAACGGCAAAATGCTCATCCGTCCTCACAGACCCGTCCCCCTCAAGCGAGATTCTCTCATTACCCTTTAAAAAGTCCGTGGCGGGACGCACGCCGACGCCTAGAATGACGATATCGGCCGGGATGACGGATCCATCGCCGAGATGGACGGAGGTGGATGTCGATGCGGATGGAGTGGAAGCTTTCTCGACAGAGGCGTTGAGAATGAATCTTATACCGGCCTTTTCAAGATTACGCTGGAAGATCCGGCCTACTTCTGCGCCCATGACTCGTTCCATTGGTGCTGATTCCATGCCGATTATCGTTACGGCGTTGGCGGTGTCTTGGGCCAGTGCGTTGCCGATTTCCATTCCTATGAATGATGAGCCTATGATGACTACCTTTTTGGGGGCCTTGTTGTCGGTTTTGAGCGTGGTCAGTGCGTCTAGGATTGATTTTACGTCTGCGACGGTGCGAAGGGTGAAGATGTTTTTCACCGAGTCAAATCCAGGCAGGGGGAGTGTTTTGGGAATACCGCCTGTTGCGAGGACGAGTTTGGTATAGGTGTGTTTTGAGGAGGAGGTTGTAACGGTTTTTGCGTCGAAGTCGACGGATGTGACTTCTTCAGATAGAATCTCGACGCCGGCGTCTTTATACCATTGTTTTGGGCGGAGGGCGATCTTGTCCGGGTCCGGGATTAGGGCTTTGGAGAGCTTGGGTCTGTCGATTATGAGGTTTGCGGGCTCTTTGGTTAGGATTGTTATTTTGCCGCGGTATTTTTTTGTTAGGAGGGATTGGATTAGGCCTATTGTGCCGCTTCCTCTGTTTTGGGGTTGGGTTAGATGGATTTTTATATCGGATTCAGGGAGTCGACGTACCCTCCAACAATAAGGACCCTCTCATCCGAGTCAGAAGAAACACTGCATTTCAAGGCGGGATCCCGATGGCCGGATTTAATATCCGATTCTTCAGCCTCGATATAAACGCCATCATCTTTCTCGATGATCTCGTATTTATTCAGCGCGTTTAGGGCCGGTGCGTCTTCGACATCACCGGTAGTAATGTTGAAGCAGGCTGGGAGAAAGTTAGGCCTGTTTTGCTTTTTGCGCATCTCTGCCCAGAAGGCTAGCAGCGAGAAAACTTGAAGGGAAAGGAAACGAAACATACCCCCATGCCACGGACAAGTAAGCCTCTCACCCTCAATGACACCGCCCTTCAACGGCGCCCCATAATGCGTGCATCGCGGGCTAAGCGCGTGAACCGTGTTGCCGGTTTTAACGAGGAGGACTTTGCCGTCGTCTACCCCTTCGACGTCGACTTCGAGTTTTTGGGGAATGTTTTTGAGGGTGGGGAGGTCTTTTAGTTTGAAGTGTGGCATTTTGGAGGTAGAGAGGTGTCGGTGTTCGGTGCGTGTGGGTTTAGTTTTGGTTTCTTTGAGGGGGAAGGGGATTCGTTTTGGGAATTGGTTTAGACTTGGAATTGGGCTTGAGAGGGGGTGCTTTGTTCTGAGAGAATGGAGCGGTGGGGAATTTTGGGCTTTTTCTTTTGTCTGCGGGGGAAGAGGTGTGGTTTTAGGTATGGCTTTAGTGTTGGCTTTGGATAGGCAATGGATGGGTGTTGATGATATACCCCGAGAGGGATGAAATGACGAGGAAGAAAGAGAAAGAGGAAGGTGAAGAGAAAGACCCGTCCGAGTCTGCCAGTGAAGTTGGCTCTGCCTATGACCCTGATCCCGGCCCTGGCTCTGCCACGAATAAAAGTAACGCAGACTGACGCCAGAGGTGCCGCTGATTGGCGATGGATTGTGACGCAGGCGGGGGAGGGGCATTAGCATTGGTATTACGGGATGGGGTGGATGGGATGGGCTTCAAAGAGGTGCGGGAGACACAGAGAGAAGGAAGAAATTAATCAAGTTTTAGAATTTTAGGCTTTGTTTCTCAGCAGAATTGAATTCTAACTTGAACCTGGTCGAGTGCTGGATGCGGTGATGGGGAGATAGTTCGATCGTTTAGTGTTGATCGTGACATCACGTCCAGCCAATCAGGAAGGGGACATTGTCAACATTTCCTGTTTGCTGCTTGGTTGACTGTAACTACATCCTAGTGTGCATACTGCGACAGCCCGGGGGAATCCCGCATAAGATATTCCGAATGAATCTCATCTCATCTCATTTAACTTGAATTCTGCATAGTATTGGGTATAAAAGAATGTCCAGATCCATCATAGTGATTACAGCGAAAAGAACGTGGTAGATAGATACAAAGCCCCGCGCACAGCATGGGGTAGGTAAAGCCGAGTCAGCAAGGTACTAAATAGTACGTAAAGTACAGTACAGCTTTCGATCGAATAAATTCGAACATAGTGGTCCATCCAACCCAATGCTCGTCTTGGGTGGTGGATGCCATTCCGAAGTAGGTTAAGTATGTACCCCCTACCCAAAGCGAGTGATAGGTAAGTTAGGTAGTAGTCTGGTGTATTGATGCATCAAAATCTCCACTCGGGTTTCTTCGGCGAAGGACGCTTCTCAACACGCTTCTCCTTGGCATTCTTCTTGCGCTTTGGAATCTTGCTCGGGGATTGCGACATTGACTGGAGGAGTTGTGCCTTGGACGATGCGCGCGTGCGGCGCGGACGAGGAGGGCTGCTGTCGATGCTGTTTCTGTTGCTGTTCGCGCCCGTTGTCGCTTCGGCCCGAGGCGTCGATGTATCCCGTGGCGGTAGCGGGGAGGAATTCTGCGTTAGACCGATGTAGTCGGAAATCTGCTGAATTTGCGCTGGAGCAGGGGCCTGAGAATTTTTCTGCGAAGTGCGAGAAGATCGCTTTCGGGATCTCGTTGATGCAGACGCAGACGCAGCCGGCGGCGTTAACGATTTCAGTAACGGAGACGGTGAACGCGAGTGTTTCGCGATCGCGGGGTCTGAGTCTGGGCTTGAGTTTGATTCTGGTTCTTGCTGTGCGCTTGTGGGGAGTTTGCGGGAGGAGACGGAGGGGGAGCGTGAGCTTTGCGAGTGTGTAGGTGATGATGAGGGACCCGGGGAGAGGTGGAGGCTTGATTCGTCGTTTAGGACGCGGTCTTCATCTGGGGATAGGTCGAAATTGAAGTCTGGGAGGAGGTCGTCGTCTACGCCGTCGGTTGCAAGTGTTGGTCTTGTTTCGATTTGGACTTCGCCTAGTGCTACGCCCGAGTCTGCGCTGGGTTCGTTGTCGTTGTCGATGTCATCATTCGCAGACTCAGGAGCGTGCAGGCTAGCGAGAAGTGAGTTCTGACTCGAGTCTCCTCCAAACTGGCGTGATGGAGTGAGGAGGGAATCGTTGATTATCTGGCGGCTGGGCGGAATGTGGGATTGATTGATGGACGCCGACGCGAATGATAATGCCGAGCCATCCGGGTTGCTATCGCCTAGCGTCGACGGCTCACCGATCAGGGTATGGCCCAGCATCGATTGCTGCTCGTCGATGAGGGTGTGGCCCTCTAGATGACTTTCCTCATCGGCTTCATTTAGGCGGATGCGGATCCCCGCGCCGGGCGACGATCGCGCGGAGTGGGAATGGGAGTGGAAGCCCGAGAATGAAGGGGATGGTACGGGGGCAGAGTCACTGTGCTCGCTGTGATTATCATCTTCCGCTGTCTTTGGTAGTCGTACTCCACCGGTTGCCTGGATGGACGGCACGTCGGAGGTTCTACCGGGAGTATTTGGCGAATTCCGCGTAACGCTCGTTACGACGGTGGTAGGAATCGGATCATCTAGACCCAGGTCCAGGTCCAGGTCCAGGTCCATATCGACTGGGGGAGCGGACACTACCGCTTGATGGGCGTATGGGCCTGGCATTGAATCTTGGACTACAGAGACACTTTGATTCGTGAGCGAATGAAACAGCAAGCGAGTTAATTGACTGACATGCTACCTTCACGAACAATGTCCTTCCCCTTTTCCGCCTCGTTCTCGTTCTCTAGCTGTGCTGGATGCAAGAGCTTGGGTTCGCTGAGTTCTGCAAAGGCGAGGTCGCGGTATCCGTCGTCCTCTTCGTCGTCCATCCCGGGCATCTCGAATCCATCATACAGGCGAGGTTCATCGTCGTCGTCGCCGGCGGCGTCGACTGTTGGTCGACGGTCACGCAAGGCCAGCCGGAGCTTGAGAATACCGCCGTCGAGAACGTCGTGGACTTCTGCGACTCGGTACTCGGACATTCGGGGCTGCCAGTTTGTCGCTTTGGACATATCCAGTTGTCGGAAGGCGATGATTGATCCAGGCTTGGCTTCCTCTTCGAGAAGGTCCGCGATGCAGGAGGGGTCGGCTGGGAAGAGGGGGAGGTCGTCGGTAGCGGTGGCAGTTTGCTCATTTTCATGCTCGTTCTCATCCTCGGCATCGGCATCAGCATCATGAGCAGGCTCCTCGTAGTCGAGTTCCATGTTACTCTCATCGTAGTTGTCGTAGCCATTCTCATAGGCATACCCTTCCTCATCATACTCCTCATCCCCATAATATTCATTGTAAACCTGGATTCGCTGCTTGCGCTTGCGCTTCTTTCCCCAGCCCATTCGCTCACGCAGAATCGAGTCCGCTTCCTTATCCCAGCGATTTTTGAATGGGAATGGAGGCGCGGTCAGCTTGATGTCGGTGTAAATGCACTCGGTGGCACTGATATCAAGCTTGGATTCCCAATCCACTTCCTCATCGTCCTCCCCGACTGCAGTCTCTTCCGGTTTGGGACGCGCAGGCTGTGATGATTTCCGTCGAGAGCTGACGGCGCTTGCCTGTGCGGCTAGCTTTCTGCGAGTGGTTTCTTCGTCCTCTTTGCTTTTGGGCGTGCGTACTCCCAGAGATCCAAAGAGAAGTCGGCGCGAGCTGCCGATGTCGAGAGTTCGTCGGCGAGAGGATTGTTCTTCAGGCTTATCGTTTGCGTCTTCGAGGCTTTCTTCGGTCGTAGTAGCCGGGGGCACATTCTCCTTCTCGGACGTCTCGTCTACAGCGACACCGCCGGATGAAAGGTCACGAAGAAGCTTTTGACGTCTGGCTTCGAATTCAGCCTGTTCCTGCTCCTTTTTCTCCGCCTTGGAAAGCTTGGGCTGGGCGGGCTCTTCCTTCGTTGTGGTGGAGATCATGCTAGACTCATCGCAGTGCCAGCCGCCGTTGGCATCTGCCCACGACCGCATGGCGGCAAAGTCAGCCTCGGCGGGGAGAATGCCTATTTCTTTGAGTTTGGATAGACGACGGCGCATTTTGAAGCGCTGGTTGCTCTTCTTGGTGCGGATGGATCCTTCGCCGGGAGGGGCCATGACGTGAGACTTCCTCTGGGAGACTGTGTCTTCCTCGCCCTCGGAGTCGGAAGAGTCATCGGAGCTGGAATCAGAGCTGGAGTCGGAGCTTGAATCTGAGGAGTCGGATGAGGCGTCTGCCATTTCCTCGTCCGAGGAGTCAGAGTCGGAATCAGAGTCGGAATCAGAGTCAGAATCCGACGTGACGCTGGACTTCTTCGAAGAGCAAGGGGTAGACTGAGCCTCAGACTCGGTTGATTCAGCTACACTATTATCGATTTGTGGGGGGGGTTGATAGGCGCCTCGCCGCCCTGGCTGAATCTAACGGCCTTGGAATTGCGCGGAGAAAACTCATCCACACGTGAGCGTTTGCTAGAAAGAGAAGAAGCGCCCGCCACCGATCCCCGACGCAGACTATCCGCGGAAGAAGGCCTCTTATCGACCAAGCTGGAGCGCAGCGCGGGGCCAGTACCGGGGATAGCAGGATTAGCGAGCTGGCCATGATTTCGAATATCAATGAACTGCGACGCAGGTTCTTCAAAGTCTGCTTTCAAAGCTTTGAGTTCACTCTCCAGCTCGGCTTCTTCGGGTTCGGAGATATCGGCGTCGCTGTCTTCATCTGCAGAGTGGTCGTCGTCGTGGTCAATCGGGTGCCGAATGACAGTCCCCATCTCTGAGACTTCCTGATCAGCCGGCAAGATAGACAATTCTTTCCCGAATCCCGCATTCGGCGGCAGCCACTCGCCATCACCTTCCTCGTCAGCGCCCGGTTCTTGTTCGTGCCCATTCGCATATCCAGGAACCTGCTCCCACCCCGAAAAAACAGTCCGTCTCTTCTTCCGCGGAGGAATAGTAATAGTCGGCCTGGTGGCAAAACTCCTCTTCGAGAACGGCGATCCAAAAGGAACGCCATCAATCAGATGTCTCCCCTCAGGCGTAATCTGATGACGCCCGCATAATCTTCTCGCGCGTAGATCTACAAGTTCCAGAGACCGAATTCTGCGATCCGTTAGTAACTAAGCGTAAGATGTGGGAAAGACTGCACTTGATTTCACTTACACAACCTCATCGCCATCCCTCAGCAGGCCCCCAATCTCCATAAAATGAAGACACTCCGACCCGTCAACTTCGACGACGTAATCTTCCAACCCCCACGTCCCGCTGAACTCAGGGTCAAGGTCGAACATACTCGGCTCCGTCTCCAGCGGGACAACATCGTTCACGTCTTCCAGCAATTGTGCGACTGTGTATCCGCCGGCAGCGCTGCTGGCTCCATTGGCTAGCGCGAGATGCGGAGTTCGGGTCGACGCGATTGTTGGAGCTGCGCCGCTGCGTTGTTGCGCGCCATAGCCTGGTGGTGAGCCGGGGGTTGTTGTCGTTGTCCAGAGGATGCGCGTGATGGGGAGCCCGTGGCGGGATATTACGAGGTGGAGGCGCATTGTCGGTTGCCTTGCGCGGGAATCGTGAGCTGGACTGAGGTGACGTTTGACGTCTTGCGGGTGAATCAGAGCATTGGGTCGGGTCGGGATCGTGATTGAGACAGGAGAAAATTGTAGTCAAGGTGTAGCTTCGAGTCTGGGGCTCGCGGTTTGTTTTGTTTTGTGTTTTTGGTCGTGAGAAAAGAGGGGGTGTTGGTCGTGTAAGGTTCGATAAGTGCTTTTTTTTTCAGCGCCTGGTTTTTGGGTTTCTTTGTTCTTTTTGCCTGGGGTTTGCCCGGGGTGTTGATTCGATTGGAGATTGCAAGGGTTTGTCTGTTGGAGTTTGGTTCGCGTTCTGGTTTGGGTATTTTTGACCAGGACACGCGACAGCCAGGTGTTGAATGGAGATGTTCGAGGAAGATTGGGCCGAGAGAAGCAAAGCCGAGCAGGAACTGGGAGCTTGGGGCGAGCTAACCGCTTTGGGTGGGATCGGCGGAGTAGAACTGCACGAGTTGAATGCGATATGATACGTATGGTTATGATGGGTTATACTGGGTACTGGGTTGAATTAGGTTGAGCTGGATCTAGTGCAGAAATAGAGAAGTCCATGGATGCACTTTGTTCAATGGTATCTTATGAATAACACCATTGATCACTGGGATTGTTTACTTAATTAGGCCATCTACAACGTCATCCGTGCCTGACGGCCTAACCTAAAGAACTTTGAGCCAGCTGCCTCAAATTACTAGTTTTTACTTCGTACTAGTCCGTCCTTTTACTCCCTTTGAACCACTCTTCGGTAGAAATAACCTCCATTAAATGTTCTATGATATTCATGTCCGATTGAAAAAGCGGTGACCCTTCAACAGAATGCAAGGACTTGGCCAAGACTGAAAAAGAAAAAGAAAAGAAAAAAGATAATCAATAATAGCCCACTTGGTTCTAACCGTAGGGTATCAAATATGCAATCACGGAAGATGGGATGCGATCTGTCATTTTGGCCACCATTGTTAACCAATATACTGTAGTCATATGTGTAGGCGGGTAAGTGGGTAAGTGGGTATAGGTAGGCAAGTACATAGGTATGCATCTGGGGCCAGACCAGGCCAACCTGGCACAGCTACCATCAACGCTGTCCTCCCGAACTTCGCGGCACGGGTTTTCGACTAGGCACACCGAGATTCATCGGGCGCGCATGACTCTGAGAAGTCTGTCTCTGTGCCACACCACCAATTGTCGGCTGACCCTCCGCAACAGGCTGGTATACGGGGGGGACTCTCTTCTTCCACGGGGTGACGCGTGACTTTGACCGTACTCTGTGATCGGCGCACCGGGGAGATGGGAGGGGATCCGGAATTCGACTCGGGCGGGGTCGTCGGGAGCATATCGAATGATTCGGACGAGGACCGGCCCTCGCGACTATCGCGTGCCACGAATCCCTCAGCCGATGGGCCTGCCATGGCTGTGCGGTCGCGTTCCCTGCCAGCCTGGACTGGCGATTTGGCATCAGTTCCTGGTTCCACGGAGCTTCGGGAGGAGGTGGAGGCGTCTGGTGGGTGATACTCGCGACGTGGTCCATCTACCGGTGCTAGATTATCTGCTATCGCATCCTCATAGCTTGGGGGTGCGTCGTCGTAGACGGCTCCCGCGTCTGCGGGAATGGGTTCGCCTTCTGGTCTGGGGGGCATTGCGGGTCTGGGTTGTTCGCTGGAGGCTGGCCAGGGGGGTTGTGGGGTGGTTTTGGTGGGGGATGGCTGGAGTTTGACGGCTGCCATTGCGTCCAGGAGGGCTTGGGGTGGTGCGATTCCAGAGTAGACCTTCACGGGCATCCGTAGGGGGAGGACAATGAGTTGAGGCTGTAGAATATTAGTCACAAAGGATGCGGGGAGAGAGGAAGGGGGTATGTTGCGTACCTTCATGTCTCCGGGTGTGCCGTGCATTAATCCAATGCGAACTTCCAGCTCATATCTTCTCTCAATGTTGCAAGTCTCGAATGACGGAGCTACCGAGTTTGGCAAGGGGAATTTGTTCCATAGTATTGGGTCGATGTTCCAGTCGGTTCCGGGCGCATCGGTTTCACCCCCCAATGCGATGTTCATGTTACTGCGACTCACAATAACCCAGGAGCCGATCTCTTCGCGGGTCAGATCATGGGCGACAATCTTGGTGAACGAGATCAATTCGATTTGCAACATTTGAAGATAGATGCGATCGGGTGAGTCGGTTAACTTCTTCAGTATCAGGCGAAGCGGCACCGGCTCATTGCATGTTAAAATTGAAGGGTTTGGGAGACGGGCATCCAGCGTCACCTTTGGAGGCTCGGTCATGCCATCCTTGAGAGAGCTGGAACTTCGTGAGAAAATACTTTTCTTCCTGTTAGTATTTGGGGGCTTTGAGAATTGGTGTTTTCGCCGGGCATAGGTCTCTTCGTTGGGGTTTCCGGTTCTCGGCGGTTCAATCGGTAGGAAGTTCAATGGTACAATCTATCAGGGTCAGTTCAGTTCAGCTTTGATCACCTTGAGGCAGCTCCGGGGACGATCCACTGGGATCGGCATCGGTGGAACCTACAGCTCGAATATTCTCTTTGTAGAATTGTGGGCGGATGACGGTGACCTTGACGAAATACTTGATATCGGCCATCCCAGCAAACCCACTTAAGCTTGGCGGAAGGGTCTTTTTCACATGGCGGTTGGTGTCGCGGGCCATTTCGACTTTGTACCCGGTGAAGTTGAGATTGGTGAGCATGCTATTGTGGGTGTTGCAGGCATTATTGAAAGGGAACTGGTAGATGTTAGCGGGCTCTGCTCTTCATTGTAAATATCTAGTAGTTGTACCTTGAATTGAAAGGGATATTCATAAGAGCCCGGGGCGAAAGTGTAGGAAGTGGCGGGTTGGCCGGCTTGCATAACTGCCGCGGTGGGAAAAACGGTCGCAACTTTGTACAAGATCTGCGATAGGTTAGACATTGCCTTTATCGGGTCGCTGCGAGCTGTATCCAGCCTGGGACAAGCTTACCTTGTGATGTTCCAGCTCCGTCCGCTTCTTATCCGAGTTCGCATTGTGTGGATTCCGGGGTCCCGAGAGTCGCGTTCGACTCTCTCCTTCCAGCTTGACTTGAATGCCTCCAATGGCAGCTTCGGTCGGCAGGTGGAGGATGACTTTGCCGGAGAGAAAGTCGAGGTTGGTATAGTGCTTGTGTTGGCTTTCTAGCAAGATCGTCGCCGTGGCGGCCATGACGGCGGGCGCCCGGGGTGCGGGACTCTGGGGTTGAAGTTGGGCTGTTGTGTGGATGGGCGAACAAGTTACAAGTACAATGGAGTATAATGGACGCGACCAGTACCAATTGGTGGTGGAGAGAAAAGGCCTTGGGGGGGAGGGGAGAAGGTGAAGGTGGAAACGAAGATGGAAATAGAAATGGAGGGGATTAAATGCAGATCCGGGAATGACGTTTGGGGCGCAAATCAACTGATTTGTAAATATAGGCGTGAGACCCTGGTTAAGGATAAATATTTCTTAATTCTTAATTCAATGTTAATGTTAATACTAATGCTCATGTTAATGCTAGGAATGACTGACTGCGCCTCGCTCAGCCACCTGCGCCAACACAGAAGTAACCCTGGAACATGAAGTACAGTGACCTCACACTAATTAGTTGACTAGTTGCTGTATAGTTAACTACATGCCAAACAGCTATCTCATAAGGCTGAAAATAAAAGACTTGAACAGTGGGTCATAGCATAGTGGACTATGAAGAAGAAAATTATCAGAATTATCCGAATTAATCAATTCAAGAGTTTTACAGAATACCCTAGAATACCCTAGGGTACAGGGACTGAAAGATTGGCAGCTCTAGGCACCAGAATTCCCCGCCAACACATTAAGTGACTTGGAAGTATCATCAATAGGCAGTCATGCAATCGAACCCTGCCATGGTTTAATTATAGCCTTTGTGAAACACTTTCAGCTCTTGATGTATTCCATATGACTAGAACAAAGTTCCCTAGCATTTCAACCAGGTAGAAACAGAAATAAAATAGAAATATATTCAAAGTCTAAGGTATCCGTTGATTGCCGATCAGTTTGGTCTGTGCCCGACGATCCGAGTTTACCGTACTCCGTATATCCGAGGCCATCCCGAATCTCCGAGTAGACAACATCCGAGTCCGAAGCTAGCTAGTAGAACACACCCTACACCACTAATAAGATGGCTCATTTCATAGAGGCAGTGCATGGGATCTCAGTTATTGAGGTATCTGATTAATACCCAAGGATATCAACACTGACAATTATGGCATTCAATTCATGAGCCACGACCCAGGAGAAATTTGAACATTATCCATGGCATAGTTTATATATGCTAGGGCGAGGAGAAGTGATGTACTTTAAATTCAAATCGGCTGTGTTATCTCCCATTAAATAAAGCATCAAAAGAGCAAGACGTAACCATGAACGCTTGTGCTCGCAAACAGCTAGAGAACTAGACTGGGGTTGAGCCCTCTCTTCCCAGTAGGCACACGAATATTGAAGACCCTGGAAGATGATCAGAAAAATCGAAAAAAATCACTCCTTGATAGATTGGGCCCCAACTGAGTCTATCTGATCACGTGACCCATATTTCCAAGATGTATACAGCCGTATAGTCCCGCGGAAACAGTCCTGTGAAAGTAGACTCGGAAGGAATTCGACATCCCGATTGTTGCTCCTCTTGGCCATTGCTTTTGAAAAACTCTAAATCATAGGCCCGGAGATTATACTCTAAGTACCTAGGTATTGGATTTCTGATAAATTATATCAACCGCAGTTTGCCTTCGTCAGATAGCGCATTGTGGTTCCATGGCATCTGAATCTGCCTGGAAATGGCCTCCGAGATCAATTGGCGGAGTGATCGCTCGTAGCCAGCCCTGCCATGATTTGGATTTTTGACTGTCTCCCGGATTGGCAGTTGGGTGCCGCACACCCAAGTAGTCTGCCCATAGTGGGCTCCTATTGCTGCTCGAAAAGAGGGTCTGGTCGTACATTCATGCGTGCCGGAATACAAACTCTGAACGCCTTGCCCTTTTCGCTCGCAGTCCGAGGTGCAGGTTGCCGCTGCTCGTACGAAGCTGAATTTGGTCATACCATCACGACTGAAGTCTTTGTATTCAGATCGAGACATGAAGAGTTGGACCAGTTAATGTATCTCCGCGAGACTGGTTGTCTCGTTGACAAGTTTGATTATGCACATCAAACAGGCCAGCTTGAAGGATTGAATGAATTCACGTCATCCCCGTAGACTCATCTGCCACGCATAGCAGTGCTCATGATTTCACCAGGGGCAGAAGTCTATAATTCTGCCTACAGGCAATTGTAGCACAAAGGCTGCTGACTGCTTCGTTGGTTTCTGTAACCTTGCCAGGCTACATTAAAGAACATGGCATGCTACCGAGAAGAAAAGAAAACCTGTACCTGAATAAAAAAGACCGACTGTCGCCCTATCTCGGTTTGGCCGTCCGTCTGGGGGTGGCGGGGTGTAGAAAGGATCCCGACCACCGGAGTGTCGGGAGGGAATATCTGAGAGTAGTGGAATTCTGGACCTGATGGAGCTGGTAAGCTCTGCTAGTTTGAAGAGATAGCGATTGAGGTGTTTATAAAGATGGGTAAGACGATGACCTACAATTTCATGAAATGTCAGCACATCATTGACCTCCACAACGAGCTTTTCCACCTACTGATTGGTTGTGGCGACAGAATAGACGAGGTAGCATCTCTTCATTTCCTTCAACTCTTCTTGTACAGGTGGAAGGATGATTTGCGGCCTAGGATGTCTTCCCAGTGCCAGGTGGTCCGTGAAGGGCGACAGTAAATGCAGGTATATTTCGAGAGCCCTGCAATTGCTTATTGACTTTCGTTCATGATCTGGCAAAATTCGGTCATGGTATATATCCCGATATAGGACATCTGTTTCGGGCAGGACTGTCATAATTTCTGAGCAGCCCTGGAGGTATCTGTTCGCTGCACACCTGCCAGTGGAGATTGTCAAAGACCAGTCCCGGTCCCCGGCATTTGAGATTTATTTCTCTAAATCTGGGAGCCTGAGAATGAAGATCTAATTTGCAGATATTAGCAACTGCAATAGAGTGAGGCAATGATGACTTGTATGATTTGCATTTTCTGAGCTTCTTCTGGCCACCTCGCGTTTGGTTGAACGCGTCAATGATTGCCCCCCCCAGTTGGAATGCTTTATTTTGAAATTGAAGACGGCTTCCTTGATGATGGTGCTGTAGAAGTTGGCATTTTGGAGCCATTGCAGACTTGTGGCGTTCCGAGTAACTTGAAATTTCACAGTTCTTTTATTTGTCCAGCTTGCATAAACAGCTCGTGATTTGCGGCGAGGATCTGGTTCTTCTCCCTTTCGCTCAGATCTATGCGCAGTGATGCACTTTGGCCTAGGTGATTCTGAAGCATGAGCTTCCTCGAAATTCGAAGCTGCGAACCCTGTATCGATATTCCAAAACGAGCATCAGCACTTTTTTGTTGAGTAGTCGAACAGCAGAGAGATGAGAATTCGGCCTGTTGATATTCGCAATAATCGAATTTCGAGGTATGTACAGTACCCGAAGTTGAGAAAGAGCGGCAGAATCGACGCTTGAATAGTTGCAGGTAGAGATGACTCAAAGAGAAGTCTTGACGGGGAAGTCCAGCATATGTCTGAGGTGATTCGCGAGGGCATTGCTATGTGTAAGTGAATAGGAATTGGGAAATTGAGAAAGAAAGAGGCCATCAACATTCACTGATACGGAAGGTACCACATGCATGACTGGCCCAGAAGGCAAAAGTGTTTACCCATGCCGCCAATGAGAAGAACAATCAGATCGTTGGCTTGATGCTATTGGCTGGGTAGACGCTATGTATCCTGTATGCATGGGAGAGTGTGATGTGCTGGCATAAGCTTGGGGGCCAGCCAGAACCGCATGGGTCATTTGTCGAGGCTTAAAATCACTGATTCCCCCGCTTTGTATTTGGTCAAGTTAATGGAATCCCGGTTCCTACCAAGATCTGCCTCCATCAGCATGGGTGACGACACGGATGAAGGCTATGAGTCTATCGTGAGCTCGACCTCGGGCCAGTCCTGCACAACCTGGGCAGGTATTCAGGGTACTTTGGCCGATCCGCGGGAAAAAGAAAGCAAGGAGCAGGTAATTGCTAAAATCGATGCACTTTATGAGTCTGGCGTCCCCTTCTTTACCAAACGGGCTATCCGTGCACTCTCAGACCAACTGAAGACTAAAACCACACCCGGAGATAAAATCGTTACGGAGGACTTGACTGGTGCTAGCATCGAATGGAAAGTGAAAATCGGAAAATCCATTGAGCTCATATTCGGCGAGGATTGCCCGGAGAATAGGAAGGAATGTGTCTAGTAAGATTTCTGTTCATGATTGGTATTTTCAGTTGGTAGACAATTAGATCGGTAGCTAACACCACTCAGCTCTGAGGCTGGGGTAGGGTACAGATCACGATCTATGCTAAAACAGTCATTGGACTGGTATGGCGTTGAAGACACGGCTTACGAGCCCCTGTCTTTGACGTACCGGATATGCCGACTTGACCCCAACAGTAAGACCAGGGAGACTATCCCCGATGACTTGGAGAATATAAAAGACCGCGAAACGGTAACCAAAGACTTCCAAGAGAAGTTTCAGGCCTGGGAAGAAAGCGAAACTTGTGCTCATTTCAAATCAATCTTGTCTTCGGAGGTCAGTGGCCACGAAATCAACAAGATCGTGGGTCTAGCCTGCGGTAGCTTAGCCTTGCCAAATAACGAACAGGCCACAAACCAAACTGCGGTGCTGGTTAGCGTGAGAAAGTGGTTGAAGGAACGGGAGAAGAAAGATGATATCTCTTGTTACATTCAGGACCCGATGAACACATCTGTTGACAGAGAAGTTCTCACAGATATCGGGTTCGAAATGATTGATGATCCTCGCGGCTGGCTTGAGATTGACGAGCGATCGGTCGTGCTTTCGGTGGCTCCAAATGTACCTGTGAAGGAGATTATCGCAGACACCGCAAGACCCGCTGTTGTGATATGGAACCGAGTCCCTGATGAGGACACAGACTCGTGAGTTTGATGGGGGTCGCTATATGAACGGCTCTTTCCTTCTGAGTTTCGGAACTGACATGTTTGTTAGAACTGACCCCGACACGGCCCGCGTTCGAGAGATGATGGCAGGGTATAAGTTGCATGAATTTGGAGACGAAGAGAGGTGGGCGGATGTGGCTATCTATACCCGCGAATCCAAGGTGGCTCCCGTTCCTAGAGCGGATGGTATGTTCCAGAATTGAAGCTTTGGCAATGGCTATGGGAATCAGCGTGTAGTGAGATTTCATAAATTAATTCATCTATCTAGGAAATTTGATTTGTTCAATCTGTGATGATAAGCGGTAAACCAAGCAAAAGTTTGATGAGGATGGGGAGAGGAGAAATATCCGAAGTTGATGGATCGTCGGATATGTGTAGATAGAAACAGACAATGAGCAAGAAGGAGCTATTCAAGCAAACAAACAAAAGCATCCCAAATAGCCTCAGGCATACCAATCTCCATAGAAATCATCTCCGGCGGCTCTGTTAACCTAGGAGTCGTCAGAAAAATAATAATCTTCCGATTCATCCTCTGTCGTGAGATCGTCGCCTGAAGCATTGTCAGCACCCCTCTCTCGCCAACGATCTAATTGCTTTTGTTGCTTGTCGGTTATGGAAAAGCGCTCCTCATGAGCCGATCGCACTGCAGTCCTCGTGCCACGTTTGAAGGTGCCTGAGTGTGAGAGAACGAAGAGAACGGAGTTGTAAACCTTGGCGGCGTCTTTAACTTCGTCGCCGAACTCACCCCTTATGATCAAGAATAAAAGTCGGAATGCCGCATCCCGTGCTCGAGATTTGTCGCCCTTGATAGCTCGGTAACGCTTATAATCAAGCTCGTAATCAGTCTTACAGGCCTTCAAGTTGGAGAAAATATCATCGATTGACTGCCCGGCAAGTACGTCGATCCCGAGGAAATCATATGTGTCACAGAGAATATGATACTGAGAGATATCACCTTGCAAAGAGCGGAAACACGTCCGGTACCCTGATTCCAAGCCCTTGAGAGCAACATCAAACAGAGCAATATCGCCATGTATTAGATCCGTATTCTCCGGTTGTGAATGACGTTGAAACCGAACAAAGGCTGAGAAATATGGTATTGCCGAGATGTCAACCTTGTAGAAAGTATCTCCAATCTTGATTCTTGTTCTGCGAGGATCTGATTCAGTCTCTTTGGTCGACCCCGATTCATTTGCGAATTTCAAATAAAGATCGTCAGGTAACATCTTGCTCCCTTCTCTCCTATAAATTGCGAGACTGTCACCCTGACCGTCATATCTTATGACGACATTCCCATCGTTCACTCTCGCCACTTTGAAGATTTCCTTGATCAATACAACCAATTTACGAAGGTCATCAACATGGCTTCGTTCCCATTGAGCTATCTCACGAGTCACATCCTCGACTTTCGGTGGTGCAAACACACCACCTTTGTGATAGGCACGGACGAGATTAGGTGTTTGTGATATCCAAAGTTGAGGAATAATTCCTTCAAGGTCCAAAGGCTTATGGAACACGCGTGTCTTGATCTCGAGAGTTGAACTGATCGGCACCCTTTCTCCATTTTCCCGAACTACTAGTCTAGACTCGGTGGAAAGAGGCAGTTGGATATTGCGTTGTGACAAAGACAAATCCCCCATGATGTCTACCAAATCTTCATTTACCGTATCCGCATCATGAGCTTGGGGGTTTGAGACCTCTTTCACGTAAGCGTCGGTCTCGTAGCGAACTATGAAATTCAAACCGCCAAAGCGATACGATATAACCCGATGATGGCCAGTCGTGCCAGATCCCTGGGGCTTCGTGAAAGCTTTCTCAAACTCGTGGCCGAAGCCTTTGAACTCGTTTGGCTTGATGAATTCATGGGTTTTAGTTTCTGCACGAGAGAAGATCATGGTGTTGCCTGTGACCTCGATTTCAATCGTGAAAGGTTCCACGCCATGTGTAGCGAGATCTGGATTGATGAACGACAGGAGCTTGCGGATATTGTTTCGATCGGTTATCAGGTCAACTTGGCGTATGTTGTATGAAGGCTTTTCGATGTACAGGGAACGGAAAAGTGGCTCGAGGGGACTTTCGGGATGCCGATAGGCGTTTTGGGCAATGTAGATCAGTCCAGAGTCCTTGGCCACTTTCTGCGCAATTTTGGGGGGAGACCAGAGAGGCGGGCAGCCGGGGACAGCAATGGTTGGAGTGGACGATTCGATCCAGTTGTATGAAGACAAGTGCTCCACCTTCGTGATGGATGGCTCGATTTTATCAACATTTGTGATATTCGGGATAGGTATGTCTGCGATCCAAGTAGAACTCATTGCTGCATTGCTTGGTTGGTGACACTAATAGAATATTCGGATGCCTCAGTGGGAAAGAGAAGGGCTAGTGATGGTGAAGTTTGATGATAATGAACTATTGGGAATGGGAGGTGGGGCGAGGAAAACCAAGGAGGAAGAAGTTGACATTTCAAACTGGGCTAGGAGCAGTTGAGCGGGGGTAAAGACATCTAGTACTCCGCGAAAATTTCCGGAATTATATAAAAATCATAAAGAACTTGAATCAAAAGGGGAAAACAAAAGTTATACTAAAGCACATATAATCCAAAGGAATCAACGTGTGAAACACATTCAAACTTGGAATATACCAAACTTTCAATCATTCACATTCACCAGTCAATTTTACCAGTGGAAGGTGTACACCCCGATTGAGTGTAGTTCACTAGTATTCTACATGCAAGTTTGCGTTGGCTTTGGAGTTAGCGCCACTGTGGTATAAACTGGTTTCAAGAACGACTCCGGAGTCCCCCATTGGTACACCAGATATTGTCAAATGAGATGACTGCACTGTCCATCCTTAACCCTCACAGCCCCTCCTTAGCCAACATATCTATCCCAAAGGAAACAAGTTAGCACTCCACAAATGTGGCTCATAGTATCCAAGCACTCACCGGCAATATCCAAATAAAAAGCAATAGCATTAAACTTCCTCGGATTCCCCAAGACCTCACCCGCCAACCACTTAACCCGATTCGTCCAATTAATCAAATCCAAATGACTAACGCCCACCAACGTCCCCTTGTACCCATCCTCCCCGCCCCAGCGACTACTAGCCACGCTGACAAGTCCATCATTAGGGCCCTCCGTCGCAGCGAGGATCTTATGCGAGAGCCGGAATACGGACCAGATGCTCGGCTCGACGGCGGCCCCGTAGGAGAAGTATCGTACATCGTCTATGTCGGGGGTATTGGGGTTGAAGGTTTCGGACATGTATTTTTGCGTGAGTTGTTCGAAGGCCCCTGTTTCGACGTTTAGTCGGTTTAGGGTGTAGTAGATTTGTGGGAGGCGGTCGGCTGATGGTGGAATTTAGTGGCTGAGTCGACGTGATATGCCTATGTGTGCTTGCATTACTTACCTCCTATTGTGTTGAAGACGTAGTCTGCCACGGATGATCCTGTTGTGCGAGAATCAGTGAGATGTGCTGCGGCCAGGCTACGGCGGAGTATTCAAACCTCGATGTGGAGATGCGATGGTGGTTAATGATGAGACTTTGAAATTTCGGGGTTTGAGCCGGCTAATCATGTATCGAGAATCAAGGCCGCTGGGGAGAAATATTTGTTAGATCTAAATAAGACCGCGAGCAATATACTGCTTTGTGAAGGAGATGATATAGAACGTACCCCTAAAGCCGAATTAGTAGAGCTCAAGAATATCATGCTTCTCCGATCAAGGGGATGTCTCACCATGCTATGACTATAACCACAAACCATGGGTTAGCAGCTAGAAATCAAATCCACATCAAAGTCTTTACATACGCAATTATATTCACATCCTTCCCCTTCGCCCCAGCCTCAATATCCCGCGCTAATTCCTCAGCACGCTGCTCTATCGATGCAGACGGAGGTACTGTAGCAGTGATGACCTCTACACCTCTTGCTGTTAATGCCTCCCGGATCCCTCGCCAGTATTGGACGCCTGGGAGGTAGGGACCAGCGAGGCGCAACTCGTCGAAGCCTAGGAGGCCATGCGCAAGGACAATGGGGTGCTTGGGCACGTCTGATGAGATTAGCTAGGTATTCAATATTTACTTGGTGATAACTGGATCAGAAAAAAAAGCTGAATATCTACCGTATTTGTCCCGAATCAACGAGTACTCGTCGTGAATGACTCGTCCGTGGTCCTCTAGCCGGGGTTCGAGGATGGGCTTCAGTCTGCGCGCAGATGTGTGGATGGCCCGGTGCGTCGCGTAGCTGGGGATTATATGGCGAGAGCTGGCGATTTTTGATGCAGCTATTCTGGGATTCATTGGTATTCCCATCGTTTGGCCTTGTTGTGGCGCGTTGTAGCTTCCACGCGATGACGCAACGGAAACATTTGATGGGCGGAGCCGGCGGGCTGTCCGGGGTAGAACATTTGGTTGGATCATGACAGGTCTAGATATCGCATCAACCACTTGAATTGTGCTATATCTATGGAACAATTGAATACCGCGCAATGATATTTGTATTCCTAATCGATACAATTTCTTATTCTCAAGCACATTGTGCTGCCAATCATTGACCAACACATACGGAAGATGCCACCACTAACTATTAATACCCATATAGACATACAAGATAAAAGAGGTCATATTTCCCGAACAATGGATATCGATGAACAGCCACGAAAGCGCATCTTTCTAGCGACAACCGAAGAAAAAAAAGGAGGTAAATAACAAGCAAAACAACGAAATGACCGCTTATGCCTTGGCAATCTTCTCGGGAACCTGGGGCTTCACGTCGGTCGTAGCCTTAATCAGATCCGCCACCACCTTGTCACCCTGCTTCTTGCCAGAAGCCTCGATACCCTTCAACTTCTCCTCGGCTTCCTTGTTGGCTTCGGCCTCGGCTGTCTTGAATCCGCTCGAGTGCTGGCGTCGATAGTTAGCATGGATGTAGCGGCTGCCGGGGCGGCAATTGTAGCGACAATGGAGAGTCTCACCTCGGCCTCAAACTTCTTGTACTCATTTTCCTTCTGGTTGCGGTACTCCTCGATCTCCTTCTGGGCCTCGGACTTGGCGTCTCTTATCCGCTTGGTGCGGTCTGTCATGGGGTCATGTTAGATGAGGTCTCAATCGCATATCGACGTATAGGTGGGATAGGAGTAGGGGATGTGGGTAGTTCGTAGTATCGTACATTCTCGGGCTGGTAGGATAGAGCGTTAGTAAAGCTGCTATGATATGGATAGACATGGAAGAAAGATGAGGGGGGCGGCGACGGGTCAGGAACGGGGTACATACCTTGCTGCACAATCTTCTGAGCTTCTCTCTCAGCCTGAAAATAGCGATTAGCACGATATTCCCACCGCAAATCCCCATCAACAGTGCCCGCCACATACATCGAGGAGGGTCTGAATGCCCGCGGAGTTCTGAGCCGACTGTTCACACGTTGATCGTTAGCACCGCCACCAAATGAAACGACCTCGCCAGGTCACCAAAGCCCGCATAATCTCACCATATTGAATCAAAGCCCCTAATATCGTGATAGAGAGGGGGAGAGGGCGACAGGGGGAATTTAGTAACGAGGAGAAGAGTCCGGAGCTTTCGATTTGGAGCTCCAGCTCGATCGGCCACGCATGATTGTCTCCGGGGGCGGTGGGGGTTGGTTCTGCCGACACATACCGCCCCTCTCCGCGGTCTCGCCCATTTTTGGGTGGTCCGGCCTGGCCTGATCTCATCTGATCTGCTCTTGAGATATACCCCGGACGTGACCAAGTCGTTGATCGCAATGTCTCGTGCTTCGAAGCTGACCCTCGCTGCTACCGGTCTGGGCACGGCTGGTATTGTCTACTTTGTGCACTGGGCCCAGGAAAACGACCGTGCGGTATGTTGTTACAGTTGACGGATAATGGACGTTTCTTTGCGCCATTGCGAGAGAGGAGGTGTCTTTCATAGAATGTCCTGGGCTAATTGATCATTTTTCGCTCTTAGGCTATGCACCGCGGTGTCGAGCGAGATATGGAGAAGCAGCGCGTTCGCCAGGAACGTCAGGCCGAGTTTGAATTGCAGAAGGCTCTCGAGAAGGAGTATCTCAAACTTCAGACGGTACACAGCACGACCGATGATTCGAGTGCAGGGACCAATCCGACTACGAATACAGGCACATAAAGGGTGGCTCTTTGGGTTGTTGAATATGCTATATGCTCGTTTTGTCATTTAGCAACTGGATCTTTTGGAATGCATATCTGGTATGTCTGGGTTGAGGTGTTGATTCTCGCGTGGAAGTACTGGCTAACTGTTAGTTCAGGAGTTGGAATTCTGAACACATCACATACATATGTCATACAAAATTGGTGCCGTGTACGATTATCCTGTATTATATTTTACCACGAACTCATCTCTTTTACTTATCTATTTACGATACACCTTCACCTATACATCCCCCGCTCTCGTTATTTCGCGCAGGAACTACACTCTAGCCTCATTGACGCAACTTCGATACACCCTTGTGCAACAGACTTCGGAAGTATGGTTTCTAGATCGAATAGAATGCCCGGGTGCTAATACGATGCTGCTTCCTTCTCAGTCGGTGTTGTCTCATCGACTTCCATGGATTGTCTCCCTGGTTTGCCGTCGTCCGCATGCTCAGAGAGGACATGCTTGGGAATCACGACGTCATCCTCGCCGTTGAAATATTCCGTGTCCTTGATATGGAATGCGGCAATATAAGTAAATATGAGGACACCACTGGTATAGAACGCGAAAATAACAGCGGCTTCCTTCATGAATGGGACTTTGAGGGAATCTACGCCGAAACAAATCGCTTCGCCAGCACCAAGAAATCCACGGAAAACGCCCTATATAATTGTCAGTAGTTCTTTGGTTGAGAATCTTGGAAGAGAAAAAGTTAGTAAAACTCACAGCATAATTGGCAGATTTCTTAGGAGAGTTCGTGAGAGCGCCCAAGAAATAGAGCACTATGTATTGCCACAAAGACCCAGTAACCCAATTCAGAACAAACAGAACCAGAATTGGCCAGAAATCCGGCTCAGTCCAGTCCAAGCCTTGGGCAGGGGGGGTTATGCCGGTCGTAATTTCTGACGCGGATGATTTCCCAAATCCACGCGCCGATGAGAGGGATGCCAACCATGCCGAGTCCTAGAAAAGCTCTATTTCGTCGATTCCACTTTTTGTTGTCCAAAACATACTGGAGAAGGATTCCACAGGGTATTTGGATAACGACTGCTAGGAAAGATAGTAAACATCTTGTGCGCAGGTTGTTGCGGTAAGCGTTGACCGAGCCACCATAGACCAAGAATGTTTCGGCCGGGAGGAAAGCAGGGACCTTTTAAGCAATTAGCATGAGGTGGAAAAGGAGATGCTATAATGCTCACCATAAGAAGAAGCTTCCAGTCACGAAATATCTCCAAATTTGCCTTAAGCTCTTCCCTGAATCCCCGCGGCTTGATCAGAGAAACCTGGGTTCCATCATCTCTGATCACGCGAGATGGTGGCATCAGGAGGAAGGCAGCGCACGCCCCAACACCCATCATAATCATGAAGACAATGTAGACAGCCGAGGGGACGCCGGTGGTTTCACTCTGTAAAAAAAACCAAGGTCAGATACACTGCGCAATCCGAGACGAATCATTGGAGCGGGCAATACCGAGTTTTTGTTGATGATCAATGGAATAATACCACCAATTACCGACCCAACAGCCTGAAGATTCACAGACATAGTGATATACGCTCCTCGGTCCTGCTCCTCAGAGTACGACATGGCGATAGATCCCATCGTAACGAAGATAAGACCAGCGGATATACCAATAGCCACCCCAGCGAAGATTGGAAACCCACTCTTGCCTGTGTTGTCGAAGTACATCAAGCTACCGACGTAGATGATATAACCAATCACCCCGATACAAGCCGTGATGGCGGGACCGATGGTATTGAGAATTGTTCCGCCGAAAGAAGCGGAAAAGAACCACACGGTGCAAAGTGTCGCATTGACTACTTGGACAGTCGAGGCGGAATTTGGCTTGCCGCCCCCTGCCCCGAGGAGATTCAGGGAGACGTAGAGGCCGGCTGTGAGGCCAACGAGAATACCGATGAGAACACTAATGCGTTACTGATTAGTTAAATCTGCACCTTTGGGGTTCGATGTTTCGGAGATAAAAGGGGCATGTTTGGCGTGGTGGGTATGCATACTTTTGCCAATATGGTGAATTGAGTCTTAGTTCAGGTAAAAGGGGGAGCTTAATGCTCCGTTCGTAATATCGGACCATTTTTCAGGAGTTTTGGACAACTTGAAGTCACCTTCGAACTTCAAGCTTTTGGCATGAACCTTGGAATGGCAGTAGTAAGAATTCATGGAAGTGTGCGGTTGAGATAGTTATATAGTGTTAACTTGAACTGATGAGTCGAAGTTGGACAGTAGCTATTGAGCGCCCAGATAATTCCACGCCTAATTCTTGCTGAAAGTTAATCTTTTTTCTGTATCATAGAAGCCGGCTCCTTTTGATATGATCTCGATAGGATATCTTGAGCCGTGGAGGAGGCGTATTGAACAATCTGCGCTCATCTCCGTCGCCCGTGCGCCTTTCTGGTGGATTTTGCTGGCTGCGCTCATCTCCGTTGCCAAGCCATGCGGGGAGATAAGTATGGCGCTCCATAGCGGCAATCGGCCCAGTGTTTCTGCCAATATTTCTGTCATAGGGTTATCAAGGATATCACAGCCCTCGAAGCTATCCTGAGTATACGAATTGCTCCACCCACTGGCTTAGAGGATGTCGTGGGGAGAAGCTATCTATACAGAATTTGAGTCAGCCAAATAAGAGTCAAATGAATTAAACACAATGTTCTACACTTTTCAGCTAAATACTAGTTAGAGTGTCCATAATATTTTGTTTGCCCGACTGGGTTGAATTAGAGTACAAGCCTGTGAAATTGTAAAGTATGGCTTATGAATTTTAACTATGCTAATTAAGGCCTGGTGGTTTAAAAGTGAGGATAAAAAATGGATCCCGGGCTTTGCTCTTAGGCACCCCCCTCAACAGTTGCCCCTGGAATCTTGCCGGCTTTAAACTCATCGACAATGTATTCCATCGTAACCCATTCCACACCCTCATGTGAATTGATATGGTCGATAATATTCTCATGCATAAGAATCACCTGGGGCTTTCCGCTCACCTGCGGATGAATTGTCATCGGGAAAACGAAAGTATCATATTCCCGGTAGAAGTAGTCAAACTGTTTCTTCCACAGCTTCTCAATGACATCTGGATCAACATAGCCATGAGAGTTAGCTGCCTTGCTGACAACGAATGGAGGCCAGTCATCAAGATGCCAATTTGCTGGAATTTCGACGACTTTGCTCGGCATGATCTTGGTCATAGGCTGCATCCAGGTTGACGCTTCCTTCTTGGAGTTGGTTTCTTGCCATTCTTCTTCACCGTTTGGGACATAGTATGGCTGGCAATCATGGTGCATAAAAGAGTGGTCGTACTCCTGGGGTGATCATTAATGATTGGCATTTCTATGAAACCTTGATTTCAATGTGCTTGATCTTGACTCACGATACCAAAATCTTCCAGCACTCGGATGGATTGTCTAGATGTGTTCCATGCAGGAGCGGTCCACCCTCGCGGTCGCTTTCCGAGGAAGTCTGTGAGGACATCGATAGACTTAGTCATGATATCACGCTGTTGCTGCTCATTCATGGTGGCAACGAATTCATGAGAATAGCCATGCAGACCACTACAGAATTGTTAGATTATATGACCATGGTAATCGAATTGGTAAAATCTCGTGACTCACATTTCATGTCCAGTATCACGAACTTTCTTCAACTGACTCGTGAAAGATTCGACAGAGTGGCCCGGAACGAACCATGTTCCTTTGATTCCATACTTGTCGAACAGCTTCAGAATGCGGTCGATCCCAACAGTAGCCCCGAAAACACCCCGAGAAACATCTGTAGGACCAGCAAGCTCTCCTGAGCAAGTATTTATCCTACATGATATAGTGAGTGCTCATCCTTTCTCATAAGATGTTACCATAATGCCCTGTTCATCACGTACCAGCCACTGACCGCATCGACATCAACACCGTAGACAACTAGAACTCTTTTGACCATTGCGATGTGATATTGACCTGTTTGAATCACTTGAATGTGTGACTCTGCGCTTTTGTTGCAGTTCGAGGAACAGATGACCGAAATTGGGACATTGCTTAGATTAAATAATGATTTGGGTTTGCATTTTGCGTACCGAATCAAGGCAATCGAGATCGATCACTATGCTACCAAGTGAAGGCAAAATATCCCATAGTACAAAATGACTCTATCCATCACTTCAAAGGGAAGGAGCGGGGTATCTAGACGAATCAGAGATGCTCGGGCCGTCCTAGAGCGATATGCGCGCAAGTCCGTCGCGCAAGTCCGTCGCTCAAGCCCGCCGTCAGCTCCGCCCTGCGCTAGACCCTTACCATGTCGCCCCATGGTGACTGCATCCAATGAAAGCCAAAGTTTTATACGGGATAGAGTGCAAATTTTGAATATAAATTCAACAAGTTGGAGTTGGATCAGACAACCCACAAAGCCCACGCATGCACGACTATCCAAATTTGCCAAAAGAAGTCAGGAAACCTATGATCAGAATGAAACAAATTGTGTGCTCAGGGACGTCTTACGAGGTTCGTTTAAAATGAAACTTCTGGATGATCATATGTAGCTTACCCGATTAGATTGGCTATACTCATGGCCAAGACTCGAAGGAAGAAATAAAACGGAGTATTGAGCTATATGCTTCTTTATTCTGGAGCAAAAGTGGATTTCAATGGCCTCAGGTCCAAGAAATGGCCAGGGATTTCCAGGTCTTAATTCTCACAAATTGGCCACGTTACTACGAAGAGCTGAAAGGTTAGTCAGATGCAAAAAAAGGGTTGTTAGAGTCAATAAATCAACCCCTGATTAGGTATTGCAGACGGAGCGGAGAAGGATATTCTTGATATTATCGCCTTGAACGTACGCACCGAAATTGTGTTCGGACGTTTTAGTGATGGCTGTACAAGTGCATACTGGAAGCAGGGGAATGTGGCTTATATGGGTCAAAACTGGGATGTAAGTGAAATACAAAGCGAAGGAAACGAAGCCAGTTTTCTAATAGCTCTCACAGTGGGTGGAGGACCAACTCCCTAATTTGATCCAACTTACCATCTTCCAAGAGAGCTTGCCTACCATCAAAATGGTCACAGAAGCTGGAATTATTGGTAAGATTGGTCTCAATTCAGAGGGGGTGGGTGTTTGCTTCAATGCGATACGTGCAAATGGCGTCGACAAAACTCGGATTCCAGTCCATCTTGGATTACGAATGGCACTCGAAAGCAAGACTGCCGAATTAGCAGTCGCAAAGCTGGAGGCAATTGGTATGGCCAGCTCAGCGTATATGGTTGTTGCTGATACGAAATCTGCAATCGGACTTGAATTTACGTCAACAACTTTTCTCAATGTACCAGTTAATAAGCATGGCTTCTTAGTTCATTCGAACCACATGCTACTTTGCCATGAGAATGTTTACGCGCCTAAGTGGCTAGAAGACTCCTATACGAGATTGGAGACCATGGGACAAAGAATCCTTGAAAAAAAGGAGTTGTCCAGAGAGAGCTTTAGCAGTCTCTTTGAAGATGAGTATGACTTTCCATGCTCTATAAGTCGGGCGCAAGAGGGAGCTAGTGATTTCGCAACACTTTTCAATATTGTTATTGACTTTACGGAGGGGGTGGCAGTGGTTAGAGAAGGAAGGCCAACTGGTGAGAGGACTAGTCCGACAATGCGCTTGCACTTGAAAAATGTTAAGTAAATCGATATGAAGTATTACTGCTCATAGCCAGGATGCTCAAAGGGGGTTGGCCGTATGGGAAAAATTTTAGGTCTGTTGTGTGATATGGATAGTTCCACCTTTGTTCCATAAGCACGTATTATACGATGACTAGGATTGCAATATGGCGACCTGCGTGACTGAAGTTAATGAACTTTATTCGAAGTAAGGGAGTTTGGCGTATCATCGAAATTTACGTGCTTCGGAGATTGGGGCAGGCAGTCTTCTTTGTCTACGTCTCCACTTTCGACAAGCTTGGCTGGTTTGGCTCATCGGTTAATGACTTTGGCAGATCTGTTTTCGTTATTTTCATCAATGAGTTTTCGTCATGGTACCGATATTATTACATAATCAAACCCACCTAGAACTGTTTTGTAGCATTGTGAAAGGCCGAAGAACCCGGCGATCGCAAGTTCAGCCGCACCCAAAGAACTTTCGAGGCCTCGCCACTATACACTCAATCAGGATGGAGTGGTGCTTATAAGAAATTTATGCCATTTAATAATCTCAAAGTAGGGGTACACCACATAAACAGCACAAATTCTCTAAATAACCTTATCGAGTAACCACATCTGCAACAAACACTACTATTGACGATAGTTTCTTGGTCTAAACTTGGGGGAGATCGGACAAATCTACCGATGGGCGGCGGACGGGACCAGTACTCACAAGATACGGCGAGATTGTTGTACAATGAGATTCCAAAAAGAGGCATTGGATCGACCAAATGATCAGACTGCATACCCCTTAACAGGTAACGACCTACGTTACGGTGCCTGTCCAGATATTTGGGTCTGTACCTACTAGTAGTAGAAGAGGGGCGAGCGGTATATTACGGAAGAAAGCCCTGTAGAAGAGAGAGAATGAAAGAAATATAAAGCTGAATCCGCGACTTACCCAGGCGATTTCGCATTGGTTCCTAGGCTCAGATTCACCGGCGAGAACTCATCCCTCAAATTTCACGAAGATCATGGAGATAAAGCATCATCTAAATTAATTTTTTTCCACACTCCCAAACGCCGTTCACAATGGGTGTTACCGAAATAAAATCCAAAGAGCAGTTCAACGAGCTCGTCAAGACCGGTTCAGGCGTCGCTCTAAAAGCTACCGCTCAGTGGTATGGCCCCTGCAAAGCCATATCGCCTGTCTTCAACAAGCACGCTGAGGTCTACGCAGAAAAGCCTGTGGTTTTCGCCCGCTTTGACACAGACCATGTGCCTGAACTTGCACAACAGCTTGGTCTCACTAACATTCCCACCTTCTACTTCTTTAAGGACCGTGAACTGGTGACCAACGTGCGAGGCACCAACCCAAAGGCACTTCAGGAAACTGTCCAAAAAGTGTCTTGTTAGAAAACCATTCACACACCAGTTGTTCGGCCACGCCTGTGTGATTGATTTTGCTGATCAATAGCAGTTCCTATGCCGAAGTACTAGCAGAATATAAATCAACTCGATTTTTGTACTGTACAGTGACCACTGGCAGAATTTCAGCTATAAATCACACTCTAATGTGAAATGATTGGGAATGAAATATTGAGCTCATGATCATGGTGCTTAGAGGGGATTGGCCGCATGCAAATGATCCCAGGACCGCTGTGTGATTTTTCTACCTGTATTTATAAGCCGATATGAGAAGTTTTGTGAAATAGTGACCTGCGTGACCGAAATCAGGAAACCTTACATCGAATTTATGTGCTTCGGAGATAGGCGCAGTTTTCCTTGTCTACGGCTCCACTCCCGCGGGATTTCCGATAACGCTTGGTGGCCCCGCATAGATTGATTGGGACGTCGATAGGATGAGAATTACTCGTTCCGGGCCATGTCTCGGCCGTTTACATTTATCGAGTAAGAGAGTGATGACATACTTAAAGTACACCCGGAGACCGAAATTTGATTAAAGAATCTAAACGACCCCAACAGTGTCCATCAGAAAGATTATCGCATTTCGAAAAAAATGGCAGGCAATTCCAGTGCACTTGAAAGTGTAGATGCGGATTTTAAATCGAAAAGCATACTCGATTTGATGGGGTTGAAGGGGAAACTGACAGTAGTGACAGGTATGCTGAACAGACGCAATGACTCGATTGTTGGCTAATGTACAAAGGGGCTGCTCGTGGAATTGGTCTAGCTTTAGCCAGAGGAGCGGCTGAATTGGGTAGTGATGTCGCCATACTGGACACACTCCAGGAGCCTAGTGAAGACTTGAAAATTTGGGAGCAAATGGGTATCCGGGTAAAGTATTACAGGTATCACTCCTGGGGAAGGACTTCTGCTGGAATGTCTTCTGACCTAGTATTATATAGGACCGATGTGACTCAGCTAGATCAGCTGACCAATGTTTTTGGTGACATTTTAGCCGACTTTGGACAGATTGACAACTGGTATGAAGCAGACTTGCAAGCAACAATCATTTTCGGCTAAAAATCTCCACTATAGTATCACTGCAGCTGGGGTGGTTCTGGACAAGCCATTCCACGACCACGAATGGAATGAGAGCTCGAAAGTCTTGAATGTCAATGTAGGTAAGTCAGCCGAAAAATGATCAGAATTGCATAGTAATCTCTTTCAGGTCATGGGAACCTTTTTCTGCGCCCAGCTCGCCTCTAAGGCCATGAAAGAGCGGAATGTCGGAGGCAGTATTGTGATGATTGCCTCAAACGCGGCAAATGTCGCCATTCCATCTCGAAACATGTCAATCTACACAGCCTCAAAAGGTGCAATTCAATCTTTAACTCGCGCCTTGGCTGTCGAGCTGGCAGAATATGGAATAAGAGTCAACTCCGTTTCGCCCGGTTTCATTGCAACGGAGATGATCATGGAGGCATGTCGGAAAGACTCAGACCTTTGGAATGTTTTCAATTCTAAACCGCCACTTGGACGAGTGGGTACGCGCGGCGACTTGAAAGGAATCGTGGGTTATTTACTGAGCGATGCGGCCGCTTATACTACGGGAACGGATGTTGTGGTGGATGGTGGACTGGCTTGTGGCCACAATTAACTTCAAATGGAATACTATGGATCGGAATTCCGAGACAATTTGCATACTAGCTATGATGGATCTGGGGAAGGGGAGTGGAAAAACAGCAGAAAGTGATCAAAACCATGTTTCCTTCTACTGCACCCCTGAGGCTCTAGAAAATACTTCTTGAAGCGACATCCTCAATGCATTGGCGCTGGGCCATCTGCGCGAGCACTGCTCCAAGAACAATAAACAATTTCCGTAGGCCTGATATCTTTTACGTAGACCACCCCCACAGTTTTGAATTGCGTCCGGGTGCAGGTGAGCCGCCCGGGAGATAACAACCAAACCTGCCCGATATGCCCATGAAGGGCTCAACGCGGTTCGGATGTAGAATCTTTGAGAATATATGTCAAGAAGGCAGACCGCACTCTCCTCATCGTCCGGCTGAATCAATAGCCGTGTCTCGTAGACGGTTGCAAGAATGCTACCCCTTGATCGGATCGACATTTGCTCGATAGTGGAGAAATACCCGTCAAGCTCTTGTAGAAGTGGTGTGGAATCGACATTGCCCCTGTGTGACCGGAAGCGAGACTGGATTTGATATATAAGACAGAGAATATCTTGAGATATCCGGGACTCAGGATCTATCACAGGTGGGGGCAGAAGGCCTGGGCGATCCAAGGCTGTAGCGTACTGGTTCTCGAGGCAGTAAACCGACTTGTAAATCTGCTCGATCTTGTTCTCCTCATTCGAGTTAATGTGCGGCCTATCAACAGCTCCCAAGTCAATAGCCAATCGAGCGGCTAATCCGATTAGCTGTCCAATATTCCCCGTTTGTGGGGAAAGTAGACTATGTAACGCGGCGAGGGTGACTGTTTCCAGGGTGCCTATGCTGATGTCTGTCGCGGCTTTGTCGAAGATAAAGAGTGCTTTCCGATGGCATGAATCGGCGAGTTTTTGATAATAGTATATTTTCTCATAGTTTGAAGATTGCGCGATTACCTGATGGCTCGCAATTGAATAAATCAATTCCAACATGAAAAGTTCTCTTGGAGTCAAATCTGCTTCATTGTGTTCGACCGACCACCCGGCGAAAGGCAAGGCAATGTCTCATCCAAAATTGGATAAATATTTTGGATATCCGAGACGTATTTTGAAATGAGATAATTAAGGCTCTCTTGATTGGGTGCCAAATCCAAATCCAAGTCTCTTTGAAAATATAAGCAGGGTGGAGTAGGGGCTTGTGCTGCTTCGGTCTCGGTATTTTTGGCGATTGACAAAGCAGCGCTCAGGCAAGATAGAGGACCGATGTAGTGGCTAGTTTGTAATTTTATCTCAGAATCGGAAGACAGCGAGTCGATAGATGAAGCTAGAGAACTGTCGTCGTTCTGTGTGTTGCCTTTATTTTGCCTATTTTGTAGGCGTTGAATGAGGCTGAGTACATACCTGAACGAGAAAGTGTAAGCGCCAGCATACATAGTAGATATTCAAGGCGAATAGCAATACTCACGATCTTGAAATATTCCTCTCCGTGATATGATCGAAGAAAATGCAATCTGCGCCCGCCTTGGAGCAGTTGCGACAAGAGGGTAGCTGGGTATCACATCTGCGCTTATTCGACCTGCACCGACGACAGGCCGGCAAGGAACTAAGCAGCTCATTAATGTCAGGAGAAGTTGATAGTTCAGGCTCCATCGATTTAGTCCATTGCATTGATATGTATCGAACTGTCAGCTAGCCCTGCGTTCTCGCATGGAATGATGCATGTCGTCGGGATATCCCCGAGGTTGACCCCAAAAAGCGGGGGTGGATCCCGGTTTCGGCGCCCAATTGATTGGGGTCCCAGGTATCTCCTTGCGTTGGCTGGTGTTTTCCGGGCCGCTTATCTATTTTTTCTGTTGAGAATTTGGAATGTTTGATTGGTTTGATAGAGCGGGGGAGCCGAATTGGGCAGAGCAATGGCCATTCTCAGGTCGAGTACTTGGAGATAAATCGTGTGGGGCAATGCGCTCATCTCCGCACCATCGGAAGCAACTCTCTTTCACTGCATGCTGCTCAGTTAGCGTGCATCTGTTCCATGTATATGGCTCCATCAAGAGTACGCAGAAGAGCGATAGCCTGTGCGCGATGCCGGGCACGAAAAATAATGGTGAGCTGTCTGGGTGCCCATGATGTGATTGTTCAGACTACAGACCTAAGCAAACAATAGTGTGACGCACGCTTTCCGAGCTGTTCCAAATGTCTCGAGGTTGGAGCTTCTTGCCTCGCGTCTGGAGAGTCCAAAGAGCGGACAGTGCCTCGCTCCATTGTTCAATTCTTAGAGAGCGAACTTCAAAAGCAGCAAGCATCTCCTGCCGGCCCAGAGAAGGAGGATGATCCAGGCCAAATCCTCGCTGAGCAAGTCATGGATGATATAACACCTCCATTCCTCGGCCTCGCTTCGGCAGTTCCCCTTATACGGTGTACGGTAGCAGGAACTAAGTTGCCATCTACAACTTTTCTTGGTGCTGCCGAATCCAACGACGTACATGGACAGACAAACCTGTTGTCCACGAGTCAGCCAACGAGCGGCCTATCCACGATACCTGCGGCTGTCGCAGAGTTCTTGTTTCAGAACTATGTGACCAGAGTGGTCGCGCAGTGTCCGTTATTCTATTCGATCGACCTAGAGGCTTACTTTCATGCTGTTTTCCATGACCCCCTTCGAATTTTGGAGACAAATGCCCCAGAGAATCCACGCGCAACATTCGTCATCGGTCTTATCATGGCGATATCACTTACGACTGCAGCAAGGACTCAGCAGGTCTGGGCAAACTCGATAGCGACTGGTCTCGTGAAGGAAGCAATGCAGCACATACAGGCTGTTTGCACCAATGATATACACGGACTACAAGCTTTGCTGCTGCTGCTTCAATATACGAATTTAGATCCCACCGCCGCCAATGTTTGGCTCCTGTCGGGATTCACAACACAAGCATGCATTGATCTTGGTTTGCATCACGAGACTCTCACAACTCGGAGACTGGATCCTCTCGCAAAAGATATACGGCGAAGGGTATTCTGGTGCGCATACGAAATGGAGATAGCAACATCCGCGGCACTTCTCAGACCATCCAGCTTCCTCGGCCTGGCGATCAATGTACCGTTCCCCGTTGAGGTTGAAGATAGTTTCATATCACGATACGGTATTGACATGAGCGGCTACCCAACAAAGTTCGCGTCCCGGCGAATCTGGCAATTTCGTCAAATTGAGGCCGAAGTTCTCTTGGTTCAATTTCACAACGGGGCGCTACCACCCCCTTATCTCACACTTGATGAGTGGATGGATGGGATAAAGCAACGGATCGATAATTGGAAGCAGGAAATACTCTGGACCGCATCTCTTAACACCGATACAACCAAAACATCACAATGGGAAGAGATGTGCTTATACGCCGATATTGCCCGAGACGTAATTCTCGTCACATTATTCCGCCCAAGTCCGAGAGTGAGAGAACCCAGCGGCGAAAACCTCATGAAAGCGTTTCTAGCATGTATAGGAGTCGCCGATGGTTACTGGAAACAATCGAATCTCAGTTTTGGCAACAGCAAATTCGTTTTTCACCCTTGTTACCATACATTCTCTGCCGGTATTTTGTTTTTGAAGACACTGCAACGATGCAAGGAAGTTATCTCCGTCACTTATAGCTTGAACGAAGTAGAGAACTTCATTTTCTGCTTCTCCAGACTTTTTACGACAATTTCTGAGAGATGGCCGGCTGCGTCACGATGCCTTGAGGAATTTGAACGATTGATGATTCCAGTAAAGGGGGAATATGTCGACTATACGGTGCAGAAGGCGAGGAATGCGCCGCAAGGCCCGACTTATCACCATGTTCCGACATTTGCAGATGAGGGAGGAGACTTGGCAATGCACTATTCTGCATGGCAGTTGGACAATAGTAACTTCGGGCCTCTCCTCACTACAGGAATATGGGATCATGGAAGTCCTGAGCTGGCGCTATCGGTTCCTCTGGACTGGAATGCCGAATTTGACTTCGGAATGCATTGACCTTTTTTCTAAAATTTCAATAGTTTTACAGCCCGTTACATGGTAAGCAGTCTCATCCACCGTAAGTTATATCAGCGTCGGGTATTAGATCTCTATTCAAAATTTTGTACGTTGATTCTGTGGTTATCTAATGCATCTCCCGTGTGGTAGTTTGCCACGCCTTTTGTACTCAATTCCAAGGACAGCTATTACCAACACGCTTCCAGACATGGCATTTCACGCTTTCATGGAAATACTCAAGTGCTTGCCCCTTCTCGTCAAATCCGTGGAGATTCACATATTTCCTGGTTGCTGTTGCTCAATCCTTCTTCTTGGGCATTACATGCCGCTACGGTATTCCTCACGCAGCCTGATGGCTTCCTCGCGGAGCTTGCCCTCTTTCTCATGGGGCCTGGTCTTTTCTTTCCGGCACCTGGCCTTGGCCGCATCTTTACGGCATTTGACTATTTCCTCCCGAGACTGGATTCGCCAAGGCTGAATGAGCTGGCCCTCCTTGATGGATTAGTGACTTCATTATTCAGGCGCGGCTGGAATATTGAATCTTACTTGACTGCCTTCATGTCGGGGTGAGTCAACCTCCGTCGATGCCTGGGTGGGTTGAGCATGGGTCTCGGCTTGGGCCTGTTCGGTGGCTTCCTCCTTATAAGGGGGGCTCTTCCTGCTCTTTCTGGCCTAGCATAGTCGCAATGATAGTGATGTTCATGGTAACTGTCTGGCTGTTCGTGGCACAGTGGTCTGCGGTGTAGCTCTGGTTGATCGTATGAGGAGAGCCATCTTGTGGGCCAGGGGGTCTGTTAGGACCGCTTATCGCGCTGCCCATCTGGTTTAGAAAAAGGAATTAGATGGTTTATGGATGTAGGTAGAAGGGAACTTGACGACTTGGCAAGTGTTGGTTCAAGTAGATTGACAAGTGTAAGGTGAATGGAGTTCGACGGAAGAAGTGGAAGGTGCAGGCCCGTTGGATAGATGGGAATTACTATTCACTTTTAAGGTCACTAGTGACTCAGTGCCAGGACCATTCAAGTACCTAGATACCATCATCTTTATCTGACGGTAAGCCCTTTCAAAAGAAAAGAAAACTTTAACTGAACCGAAAATTGATCGTCAAATACTCCTCCCAAACAGAAACGCCATCCCGTATTAACATGCTCGCTCATCAGATAGTATTATGTACAGTGCAAATTAGGGTAGTATGAATTTTGGCCCTCTACCGGGAGGGTACGCCCATCAAATCCTCCAACTCGTCAATAGTGAGAGTGCTTCGTCGGCGGTTGCTAGAACGTGTAGCTGTCTTCTCTGGGCGACTGCGCTTTCGTGTCTCGCCCTCTTTGCGCGCTTGCTCAGCAGTGCGAGCTTCATCCTCCGCTGCAGCGAGCTTCTGGCGAACACTCATTCGAGGCTCAGCGCCAGTTGTCTGCTTCTTCAATGTTAATACTAAGCCATGACATTCATTGCGGTTCAACTTACTTGACGAGTGGTTTTCGGATCGGACTTGCGGCGAGATGACCGTCGAGTAACAGCTTCGGATTTGAGGGTCTTGATCTGAAGGTTCTCCTCCGCGACATCCGGACTGGGAATGGCTGGAGACCCTGCTAGGCCCGGGGTAAACGACACCTTTCGGTGGCGTTTTGGCTTGGCAGCCAAAGTTGCGTTATCGCTACGTTCCTTAAGCGCGCGTTCCGACCTTTCAGGCACTTTGCGGATCTTGGATCGTGTTTTCGGAGGGTTGGGGGCCTCGGCAACGGTCGAGTCTTCAGCTTCGCTCATCGGCACATCCTCCTGGTCTTCAATAATTGGCGAAATAGTGTGTGCACCGTCTCTACTCTGCATGCTAACATCCTCTGTTGAGGTGAAGCTCAGATCGAGATTCATGCCTCGGGTCAACTCTTCTACTTGAACAGAGCCACCACCATCCGCCAGGCGTCGCTGCCATCCATCCATCATTGTGACAGCTTGTTTCCATCGGGTCTCCATCTTCTCCCATCCCTCACGAAGTCTGATTATTTCCTCGTCTCTAAGCTCAACCTCTTCCAGTGGCACGAAGGAAGGATTGGTAAGTAGGGTCTGCAGGTGGTCAAGAACGGTATGCATGCGGAGAGAAAGCTCCTCGCAGGAAGTCGGAAGAGAAGTGACGGCGCTTGTGGACTTGCCGTGTCCAACACCAGTGGACACGCCCAAAGCCTCTTCTTCTTTTCCATCTTCGGTTTCCGGCAGGCCTTGAAGCTCCTTGAGCGTGTCAACCGTGTTTCGCGCTAGCTCGATCAGGGTATCGTTCTCATCACTCAGGTTCTGGCAGAGCTCGGTCAAGAACTCCGTCGTTTCTTCTTTCAGGTTGTATTGTGGGTCGTGGACTCTCTCGCCACCACTGGCACCCAGTCGAGAGGCACCCAGTCGAGATCGATCCGCTTGGGGGGTTGATGTTGATTGTAGTGACGCTCAACCCCTCCCGTTTACCCCGCTGTCGTTCGGCAAGATGAGATTTGAGCTTTTGCATTTCGAGATCACGTTTGCGCACGTCATTGGCGCATTGCGCGCGGACTTGTTGGACAGTGGCCTTCATGCGCTGCGACTGTTCCTTGAGCCCGCGGATGGTGGTCTCCGCGTTGGTCATGTTCGAGTTCAGCGTGCGCTGTTGGGCTTCGGCGAGAGCAAGGGATCGTGATAGTTCTGACGATTTAGTTTTCAGTTTGCCCTGTGCGAAGATTCCGATTAGTTCTTAGGTGCCCCCGTACTGTCTCGTGATCAACGTACAATTTCGGTCGTCTGCTCAGTTTCGGTTACGCGCAACGCCCGGATAGTTGTCGCAAGGCTCTCACGGTGGTCGGCCTCGCGCTGAAAGACAGTTAGAACGGTTGCGACACCATAAGAATAACATCAGCGACGAACATCTCTCCTGAGGACCAGGTCATTGACCAGGTTGATGATCCGCGCCATAGTGGCCGCGGTGCCCCCCTCCTCATTGTCGGGCTCCGCGAAATCGATAGGACTCCCGCTCTTCAGAAGGCCCCTGGCCAGTAGAATATTGTTGACATAAGTCGACGCAGCCTGCAAGTTATGCGCCTCCATGGCGATTGTCGATTTGCTTGAAGTGGAGCTTGGGCGATCTCAAAGCGGAAGAAAGTAAACACTGCAGGAACCACATGACTAAGCTAGTCACGTGCCATTCCGGGGGGGGCTTCCAGCAGAATGTCATTCAATCCAAGTTTGGCCTCCATCCATCTTGTTGAAGACTTGAAGACCATCGAGTTTACATTGCTTGACGGTCTGCATGTGATTGGGCATTATGCGGTCCCCATCGGCCTTGCATGCGCAGGGCCAGAAGCTCTATCAAAAAGGGGACTTCAAGGCGGCCATCTCGGCGTTTACAGAGGTACCCCCATTTTCCATTCTAACCCAAAATGGCAGGTTGTTGATCATTTTCTCTAGGCCTTGAAGCAAAAGGATGCCGACACCGTGGGTATTTTGGATAACCGAGCCGCAACATACTGTAAGCTGGAGCAGTATGACCAGGCACGCCGAGATGCAAAACATATGATTAAACAGGCCAAAGAGGATGAACGAGTAAATTGACCACCAAGCTTGCCGATTCAACATGACGCCATGTCTCACATATATTTTACTAGGGTTATTTGCGATGCGCCAAAGTTCTCCTACTTGAGGCTAAACCGGAGAAGGCATTGGAGATTTATGCGTATGGTCTCAAAGTGCTTTCAAGTGCACACCCTCGTCGCGATGTGCGTTTAATCACACGATGCGGGGTCAATTCCACTTGCTGATCTGGCCATAGATTATGGAACAACTGCATAAAAAGCTCGAAGACCGAATGAAATTGAATAGGAAAGATCCCTTCACAATGCTTCCCCTGGAGATGGCAGCACTGGTCATCGAGTACTTCTCATTTAAGGACATTGTGTAAGTGGATACCGCATCCTTCGCTCTACCCTCAAATTCATCTAATGGCTATCAAGGGGTATTCTTCGGGTCTGTAAAAGTTGGGAGCGATTTTTCGGCAACATGCGAGAGCTCTGGATGAAGATAGATCTGACCGGTGCTCGCCAAAAAGTGCCATGGACCGCTGTGAGAGCGTACATCCGTCGCTCCCGGGGATTGCTCACCCATGCCACATTCAAGAACCTCGCTTTGCCGTCGACGCCAAAAAGTATCGAGTTCCTCAGCAGATGTCCGCGTCTGGAGCATCTCGAGCTCTGGGTCAACCACGACTTTAAGGACATCTTCCAAAAATTCAAGGGCTGCAAGTCTTTGAAAAACATCATCTTATCGGCAGAGATTTCCGTGCCGCATAGCTGTCTAGAAAAGCTTTTGACCCAATTCCCGAAACTCGAACGCATTGAATTGTGGAGCGTGAAGCATTCTCTTCTCACTATTGGCGAGGGCAACTGGCCGCGAAGCCTGCCCAACCTCAGAAGCATCACTCTGGCCACCCAGCAAGCAGTATCAACTGCCCCTCCAACCGCCCTTGTCATCCCGAATCTCGATCATGTAAGCCCTAACATCCTCCCCGGGGACTCATCGCCGATCCTGAATACTGACGACCTAGCGAAGAGTCTCACTGATATTCCGAACTATCCAAGCCTACAAGAGCTACGCTTGGATTGGGAGCCTCCAGTATATAGGCCTTGGTTATTTTTTCCTCCGTTACAGGAGGAGGAAAATGAAATACCGCCACCCCCGGTTCAATTCCCACCACTCCGACGCCTCGAATTAAACGGCTTGACGATTGGCAGCAACTTCTGCTCAATTTTGCCAACTACAATTCAATACCTCAGCCTCAAAGGGGGCTCATCAAGATCAACTGCCGATTTCTTCGACACCCAAAGGCTTGAGAAGCTCAGTACCCTCATGCTGAAAGACGCCGGCTGGGTAAATGTGAACACAGCGACCTTCATGATCTGTGGCACCCAAGCACCTCTCCGAGTCTTGCATATCGATGAATGCTTTAATTTGTCGGATGGATGTTTCATGGAGGTGCTGCGATATGCAAGCGAACATAACCCGGAAATTTTCAATTTGACTGAGCTGAGCCTTGTACAAATGCAAGGCTTTGACGACGCTTTCATGAAGCGTGTCTGTGTACAGTTTCCGAAGCTCAAGGTTTTAAATCTTTCGAAGACCCGGATTACGGGCTGCACTATCCGCGATCTCGCGGATGCGAGATCAAACGAGTCTTCCGAGCTACCAAGCTTGGACCGCCTTTTTGTCCGTGGCTGCGAGAGTGTCTCCTCTGATGCGATCGCCTATGGTCGTGAACGTGGGCTAGAAGTCATTAGTTAAGCGCTTCGTATCTAGCTATTCGTCGCTCGAACCTTTGCAGCGACATATAACAACTGCCTACCCCTCTCCTCTCGAGATAGCGTTTCTCCGACTATCTGTGCGCGAACCCCGTCCCCCACGCCACAACCCATTCACAGCGTTACACCGCCAATTCGAAAATCTTTCGGGGATTCTTTTCCCATTTTGGGACACTTGTTCAAACTCGTCATACACAGCGGATCCTTCTTGACTGGATGCCGCACTAAAATATCTCACAATCGGGGAAAGGGCCGTGCAAACGGCGATAACAACGTTGCGCAATGTCTCTAATCACCCGCTGGAGAACCACACGGGCAAATCTAGCCTCACTTTTCAGCGAGAAAAAAAATCACCGCTTCATCAGCAGCTCAAATTCAACGCGCACCCCCCTCATTTTCGGTACCCCTTAGTTATCCAAGAATTAAAATATGTGCACAAGCTAATCAACCATCCATAATAATATCATTGAACTAAAAAACTGGAATTTTATCAAGCCACAAACACATAAACCTCCAGCTGCATCTATATAGTTGGTCATGAGTCATGATGCGTGTGCAAGGTAGAAACGAAAAAAAGGTAAAAGCGCAGCGAAAAAAAAAAGCATCTTAATCTCAATCCGAATCAGCCATTACAATCATTCTAAACCCCACGTTCCTGGCACCACCGCTCAACCTCCTTGGCCAACTTATCCCTCTGATCCCGAACAAGCTCCATCATAGGCTCAACCTGCTTCCGGTGCGACGCAATCAGATCCTCACTCCCCTGGATAGCAACAACACCCTCCTTGGGCGAGAGATAAGTGTCATAGATCGTAACCATTAGATCCATAACGGCGGAAAGCTGGTTTGGCAGCCACTGGAAGAATTGTCAGGATTCGTTTTTTATTTTCTAACCGCGGGAAGGAAACTCACAGTAACAATCGGACTACCACCGGTAGCAGTAGGATGCGGCGTGCGGCGAATAATATACTCACGCGCGAATAGCCAATGACGCCAGCGGAATGAACGGACGTGGTTAAGCACCTTGAGGAACAGGACGGCCGTCTCCGAGTCCTGCACGCAATAATCCCGGACACCGATTTCGACGGACTTTTCGCGGATGTAGGTTAGGAATTCGCGGTGGGGAAGGGGTCTGTAGGCGCGGAATTCGTGGAGGATCTTTGTGAGGGGAGTTTCGGGCATGGGGATTTCGCAGAGATGGTCGAGAAGGGGGATCTATATGGTGAAAATGTTTGTTAACGGATATTTGTCCTTGGGGTGTGTGGAGACTTCATGGGAAACGCACGATACTATCATTTGCTCCGCTCTCGCCACGGAAGTTAAGGGGCTTGTTATCTTCGACGCCGTCGTAGATCACGCCGTTCGGGAACATGGATTGATTAGTGATGCCGAATATGAACACCCGGAAGGAGAGGTAGTCGGCTGGCTTGGAGTTTCCCCACATAGCTAATTCATCACGTTAGATGAGGGCATTCCAGAAACTGGTGGTTGATGAACTTACTCTCCATAGCAGCCTCGATCTTCTCCATCGTATTCAGGATCAGCCGGAAACCATCGTTGACATCCTGACGAGGAGCTTTTTGCTCCAGGTTGTCGACGACCCGAAGCACGCCATTGATAAGTGATCCGGTGTACTTGACCATGTCGACGTGGGTCAGGATGAATCCAGCTTCGGAGCTCTTGGGATCCAGACCCTTCTCGAAGGCGCGGATCAGGCGGAGGTTGGAGTAGTCGTCAAGACCCTTTGCAGGGTCAGCCATTGTGTAGTTGAACAGAGCATATGAAGCTGCATAAGACATGAAAGGAGGAAGGTCAAGGCTGTATTTATGTTAGTTGTGTGTCCTGAAAGTGCCTGTAGCGCCGATGATGTTGGACTTCCAGGAAAGATGGAATAATATGAAAGGGAACTTGGAGTAGATAGAATGTAACTTACATCTGGGCACAGCGATACATAGGACGGGCAACAGACTTTGGTAGGATATCCCGACCAAGACCATAGCTCTGGTCCGGCAACTTGTTCCAGTTCTCCCAGCATGGCTCGAGGAGGTAGGAAGAGGCGACGAAGGTGTAGTCACGGAAGACAGCAGCAATAGTGAACTTGTCATAAGAGCCATCGGCGAGGCGAAGCTTCTCGACTTCATCAGTGAGGTCGGTCAACTCGGACTCAACGGCGGGACCCAGCTCATAGGTCGCCAATAAGCCTGGCTTTCCATCGAGCATGACGACAGGGGAGCGTTCCACCAGCGAAGCAAGAGCCTCGAAGGCATCAGGCAGTGTGGAGGGGGCTGTAGCATAGGGGAGGAAGCCAGTGGACGTGGTGATGGTGAAGGGATCGAGGGAGTGGGCGAGGGTAGAAGGGTCCTCATGAACATGAGGGAACTTCTTGAGGGTAGAAGGGGACGGGAAGGACACTTGGGTTCTAGTCATGATGTCGATGAACAAGAAGTTTCAAGTGGTTGAAGAAGAAGAAGAAGAAGAAGAAGAAGAAGAAGAAGAAGAAGAAGAAGAAGAAGAAGAAGAAGAAGAAGAAGAAGAAGAAGAAGAAGAAGAAGAAGAAGAAGAAGAAGAAGAAGAAGAAGAAGAAGATAGGTATTGTGTTTGGATGGGATGGGTAGGGGGTATGTCTTATGTCTTGGTCGGGTGGAGTATGGGGGGGAGGTTTAAGGTAAAGGCTAAGAAGTAAAGCCAAAGACCAAGTCCGACTATAGATTCGGGGAAAATAAAAGTAGAGAAAAAGAAGTGGGAAAAAGCCAGGCTTCTGGGAGATGCTTAGAGAAGAGAAAAGGAGCAACCTTGGGCGGGTGCGCAGCGGATTCTTATAACCTCAGAGGCCGGTATCAATTCCGGCCTCATGTCGAACGGCGCAGCAATGGCGTGGATCCGGTTACATAAAACTTGCAAGTGGATTCATATGACACGGGCATTTTCAGTCACGCTTATAGAAGTTCAAAATATACTCCCCGGTCATTTTATGATGTTCCCCCCTTCCTTGAAGGTATTCAGAATGTCTATACATCAGCCCTGTCAGGGAGGGTAGAGAACGGTCACGGGAATGCACTAAGCCTATTATAGTAGTGGCTGAGATAGAGTAATGAGTGGCATCTCGGTATATTTAAACCTTTAGATTGATCATCACTGATCTTATTGGGTACTAAGTTACCTATAATGTCGCTTCAATTGGATATAAGCGCCTCAGAAGCTCGCTGGTGGTGTGATTTTGCTCACTGCGCCCCTGATGCAGACCATATACCTGCTCCAATGCCAAGCTAGATGATCCAGATCCCCCGCACTGATTGGCGGAGATCCCAAATTTTGAGTTTGTTAGCGCCATGAGGCCGGAATAGAACCGGCCTCCGAATATAACCGGCCATCCCGATTGTATCCGGCCACCGGTAAACAATGGAATTTGTTAACAAGCTCTCCTAGGCAGAATTATCGTTCACATAGGCAAAACGATAAGTAAGTTGTGTTTGCTCAGCGTTGCAGAAAGCTAAATGTGTGCAAGAACTCCGAGTAGTGTAAATCGCCTGGGCAGCTTCAAATTCCAGTTCAAGTTGCCAATGTAGTCGAAAATTATTGACTCAGTGACAGTCATATATAGCAGTATTTTTATTTCTTTGTTCCAGGCTTGATTTTTCAAGTTCAAACATTCACTAACAGTAGCACTGATTCAATTTTAATGGGCCATGTCATATACCGAAGATTGCGAATAATATAAAAAGCGAAGTATTTGCCATTCCATTTCCATTTCCATCTCTCCCTTTCGCGCGTTGTGTTCACGGCTGAGTGAGGGGGGAGCCACCCAAAAAAAGCACACAGAGACGATTATAGGATAAGAACATGAAAAAAAATAGACAGGAGAAACGGAAAAGCAAAACACACGTCTGAGATCAACATTTAAGGGAGGGAGAGGAAATGGAAGAAGGAAAAATGATGAGATAGAAAAAAAAAGGCCCTGTCTTTGCACCGTCAAGCCATGGAATAAAATGGGGAAACACATTGACATTTTGAGTAACTTCATATATCCATTCCGCGTTCCAGAATTACTTGAAGTCTTCCGTGAGAGAGAGGAAGTGAAAAAGAGAGGAAAGGGTGAGACCCGGGACGAAGTATATTGGACACGTCTGTCAGATTCGTCATAGGTTGTGACTCAGTATTGGAGATCAATTGCCTAGGCGGGAGTAGCAAACCTCTGTTTGACCGAAAATATCGTAACTCTCAGGGAGGCCGACAAAAAGGCAGTTCGCGAATTTGTCTTGTTGTGGAGCGGGAGGCATCGGACTCTGTCGGAAAAGGTGCATCGCCGCGATATCGGCTCTTGCGCTCTTCGAGAAGGACACTGCGCCCCCGGAGAGAAACCACCACATTTTCAGTAACCCGGTCATGGCCCTCCCGAAGCTGGAAATCAACTTTGTGTCAGAACCTTTCAGAAGAGGAAAGGACAAACCATTTCACTTGTGATAGTCACCTTGGCCCGGGATCTCTCGATCCTGAAGCCGTATAGTTTGAATTCCCACTGCGCCCGCTGGTATGAATAGCGGCACGGCTTTCGTAGTGCCTAGTAAGATATGGAGGTAGAGTTGACGTATATTGCACGGCCTATCGGCTTGATTGAAATGCGACTCGCGTGTCAGGAAGGATGTTCGCTGGATCATACAACTCGGGATGACATGTCATATCTGGGGTAGGTCGGACGGCTGGTTTCGCAGAGATGGTGGCGAAGAAAATGTTGATGGTATTTAAACAGACTGAAAGGTAGAAATGGGATGTTAGAAGTGGATCTTAACCAGCGGCAGCCTTGCACAATATTGGTTGGAGTGACCATTGAAATTCCAAGACCATCGGCGATAGAGGCTGATTAATGTCTCTCATGAACAAGGTATGAACCTACTCGATGAAGAGTCCGTATTTTCAGAATGAACGACTCGTTCCTAGGATGGAGGCTGACGGGGAAACTCCACGTCTTTGAGATCAGAAATGACAATCAGCAGCGTATCGTTTTGGCAAACTTGAAAATTGTTGGGGTTCTCAGGAAGGTGCTCGGCTGTTCATTTCCACAGGGCGGAGAATGCCTCTTCTAGATAGATCTCGAGTCTTTCTCACCTGGCATTGAGGCCAGTTCGGACTGTCTTGTACTTGAGTAACTTGAAAAAGTTCAGCCGTCGATGTCAGAGGCAACGACTGCTGCGCCCTAGCAAATTATTCAAATCTGAGTTTTGGACGGCGGAATCCTCGCCACCCACCACCACCCCTCTACTACTACTAGTATATTTAAATACTGACCGAAGAATTAAATTTCTAAAATCAAGTAGTACAGCCTCGGAGCCATGATTAGTACTGTTTATGTCACCACTACTATCATGAACGAATACAAATATTGTGGAACGGAAGCGATGAACTCTGATGTATTATTGATCAGGCGTATAAGCACTGGCGATTAGAGAGAGTACCAAGGATAGAGAGTGAAAATACAGAGTGGAGAGTAGAGACCGGCCCATGGGGTATAAAAAATTGATATCTGAATAATTTTACCCCCGCCCTGGTCATGAATGCGTCAATTCCATGGGGCGGAATAGGGGCGGAGAGGGCGCGGAGATGATGTGGATAGCGGAAATCTCAAATCAGGCCCCAGATGTCAGTTTCTGGGAAACCCAAAAGCGAGCCATACGAATATGGATTGGAACTCTCCGTCCGACGAGTGGGATCTAAGTACAGAGGAGCAGGCTCCAAAACAACCATAGTTCGCAGCCGATACTCAGTTATAGCCACAGGGACCGTTTGGATACCATCATCACCCGATCGGTAAGCCAGCGAGTAAATCGCCTTGGCCGAGAGCTCTGGGCTTATTTTGTCAAACCGTGCCGTGCTGGGGATAGAGCATTTCGACTATTGCTCTTCAATGAGGAATGCCTAGTAGGCACGAGTCATCAGCTCGTGCCGATTACGGCCCTGCCCTTTGTATACACACGCCCGTCGCTACTACCGATTGGATGACTCAGTGAGTCAGGACCGTTATCTTCGGCCGGTTGTCCATGCCCTGCATTACCAGGATATCCTCGATCGACGGAGGTTGCAATTTTCGCAAAGGACGCAAGACGAAGTGTGCTGAGTCCCACGTTCAGCTGGCACGGCGACCTCAGCGTCGATGTATGTTTGGATAGATGTGGGAAGCTGCGCTGTAGGAATCATTTCCTCCGGGCCTTGCGACTGAAATCCGCTATTGTGAGGCTGTGGTATTCCAGGTAAATGCTGCTGTGAGCCAGTTGTGTTCGATGTACGCAGATTGGGCTGCACAGAGGGGACCGAATGGTGGGCTTGAGCGGGTTGGCGATGGACTATCCGCTCTCTGGGCCCGATTGATCAGATTCATTGAGCTGTTCTAGTCGAAACCGTTCCTGTTGATGTCGCATCTGAAGCCGTTGCATCTGAATCAACGATAGCCTGTATCCGTGTGGGAATATGAACCAGACACATGTTGTCCTACAGTATACAGGCGCTGCTGCTGAGCCTGTGGCTGATCAGGGATCGAAGTTTGGAGCCGGATCTGCCTACCAAACTCACTGCCTATTTTGGCGTCCATGGGACTTTCCATACGGTAGACCAATCTTGTGAGATCGAGGCGGGAGACTGGATCGGATGACAAGCGTGCTGCAAGTACCTCCTCCTCATTGGAGGTATCAGGTAGTGTGGATTGCCTTTCAGTGGCGGGCTGCACCGTCTCCTCTGTCGAGATGGGCAAAGGGTTTCGACGATCACGATCATCTGAAACAGATAGACACACTCATGTATGCGTGTGGATGACTTGGTATACCTCACAGGTTCAGATCTATATTGGAAATGCCAAAACTGCAGGGGCACTGCTGCCTAGTGCTTCTTTTTAAGGCTCGTATCTTATCATCTCACATCTGTCTCACGTCATTCTCTTTCTTCTTCTTTGCTATACCTCCCCTCCTAATTTTCCTGTTCGACCTTCCTCTGACATTGCCTCTCTACTCACTCATCCTACCAAGAACGCGAATCGCTTGCTTCGATCTTTGAAGATTGAAATACGAAACTGATTTGTTGGTGAGATTTAAGCCAAAGGCATTTTCTTCCTTTGATCTCAAGTGCTAACCTGATAAGCCTGCTAGCCATGGCTTCACACAACAAGGAGAAAGCTAGTCAACGCGTGCCGATTAACAAGCAAACTGTGACTATTAGCAGTGTGACCAACTATTCAGCCACGGGCTCCATCTCCATGAATGTTCACCAACACTTCGCACTGGCAGGAGATGCTCGCACAAAGGCAGACAAGCAGAAGGAAGAAATTTCTACCGGGCAGACAGACGAACGTACCCCGGGGAGAAACATCCTAATCAATAGGCAGTGGGGCAAGTACAAGTTTTAGTATGAGCACTGCGGTCAACAATTTCCGAGCCAGAATCGTGGCGCCAAACAACAAGTAGCGTTTGCCACGGTACCACGGTGTGAAATACTGGCGTCGGCAAAAGGAATGAGCCTATGGTGGTATGCTCAATGAATTTGCTTCGTTCTATATGAACACAAATGATGCAGGCACTAACAGGACCCCTACAGATGCTCTGGTCGCAGCAGGGGATGGATCAAGTCTGCAGTGGAGGAAATAGGCTCGTGGGATGTCTTTTCTTTTCTTTTTCTTTTCAACAACTCTGATACTTCAAAGAAGACAGTACGCATATCTAATTTTTATTGGTATCGCCCTAACTAGGAGTAAAAGAAAGAAAGATGGCCAAGGAAACTCGTAATGAAACATAGGATCTCTGAATTCTATTCTGGGCGTCAAAGGAAATTATCACACTCCCCATCAAGACAATTCCAGTCAGTACTATAGCATAGTCACTTAGGCATCCATGATGTAGCTATTCAAGCCCCTGGGACTGAACAAAAACCAAGACTCTTTACCTTCCAAGGCCGTGGATAAGCTCCGTGGTATACTTCGACATAGACTTTGAAGTTCCCCAAGTCCCCACTTTTATTTTTAAGCTCGGCTGGCGCAACCTCGGCTCTTTTGTCTTCTCCGCATCGCATGCGCGCGCCAATCTTCCTCCTTGAAAACGAACCCCAAACCGCAATTTTCCCTTGAACAAAAAGTCAAAGAATCTCAAAATTCTCACAGAGGCAATTTACGAACTCAATCCAAGACCGGGCTGCTGAATTCGCCCCACAACCCCACGACACAATGTCCGAGCCCGCCAAAACTTTCAACGGCTGGGTCGCCCATGACGCCACAAACCCCCTCGAATTCGGAAAATTCACGCCAAAGCCATTCACAGAAACAGACGTCGAAATCAGCGTCACACACTGCGGTATCTGCGGCACAGACGTACACACCCTCCGCTCGGGCTGGGCCCCAACCGACTACCCCTGCGTCGTGGGCCACGAAATCATCGGCATAGTCGAGCGAATTGGATCCGGTGTACCGACACTCGCATCATCAACTGCGTCCCGCGAAATCCGCATCGGCGACCGCGTCGGCGTCGGTGCTCAGAGCGGATCTTGTCTCAAAGCGGATTGCGAGGCTTGCGCCGATGGAGAGGAGAGCTATTGTACTCGGATGACGGGCACGTATAATGGGCGATACAGCGATAAGAGCAAATCGTACGGCGGATTCGCGGAGAAATGGCGCGGCCCTGCGCATTTCGTGTTCAAGATCCCGGATGCTTTGCCATCGGCCGAGGCTGCGCCTTTACTATGCGGCGGCGTGACGGTTTTCGCACCGCTGAAGAAATACGGTGTTGGGCCAGGCAAGAAGGTTGGCATCGTTGGTATCGGAGGATTGGGACATATCGGTATTATGTTTGCGAAGGCACTTGGCGCGGATCAGGTCGTTGCTATCTCGCGGTCTTCGAGTAAGAAGGCTGATGCGGTGCAGGGTCTTGGTGCGGACGCGTTCATCGCGACCAGCGAGGAGAAGGGGTGGGCAAAGAAATATTCTCGGACCCTGGATGTGATTATTTCGACTGTTTCGGGACCGGATATGCCCCTTGGGTTGTATCTGCGTTTATTGAAGAGGGATGGCGTCTTTGTGCAGGTTGGCGCGCCCGAGGAGCCGTTGCCGGCTCTCGCGGCTTTCTCGCTCATTCAGAAGGGGGTCAAGGTCACTGGCTCGAATATTGGATCGCCTGAGGATATTCGACAGATGTTGAGCTTGGCGGCAGAGAAGAGGGTTTTGCCTTGGATTCAGAAGAGGGATATGCGGGATGTTAACGCTGCCCTGGTTGATATGCATGATGGCAAGGCGAGATATCGGTACGTGCTGCAGAATGGGGGGAAGGAAGCTAAATTGTAAATACCCTACCAATGCTCGGGTGGGCGAGTGCGTACCTTGATGCCCGGGGACCTTGATAGATTATAAACTCGGCATCTACTGCCTCTTATACAGCCGGGTCGGACTCGAAGTCGATCAAAGAATAGCAAAATCGAAAAGCTGCACCCACCAGTCCATTTGATGTCCTATACCTGCTCGATGCCGCCAGAGTATTCGAAACTTTTACTTTCTAAAGATCTGCCAATAGAGAACGATGCCCAGGTGAGACAGATCGCCTGCAGGATAATTACGCGCACGGGCAAACACCTGCACGTCTCAGCCGCAGCGCCAAACTGTGCTGGGGCCAAAAATACCCCACACCCAAGGAGACCCTCCAAATTTCTCTTCACAGGTGAACGGTTATGGTTCACTCTTTGCCAAACGACATACGATGGAATATTGACACGACAGGCTCAATAATGGAAATTCCATCAAATATCGATAATCGTTTCGGCGACGCGCATGCCAGTAGTGACGGGATCGCATTCCAAGCGGGGGTGAATACAGGCACGATCAACATAAACCGTGAGTCTCTTCTGCTCGACCAAAGGTATTGCGTACAGGTACTGATCATCAGAAAATTTTCAGAGAGACCCCGAAATATCGTTTCCCCGAAAGTGGCCTATGATGCCAAATTTGATGCTGCGAACAAAGAAAATGTGGCGAGTTGTTTGCCAGGCACGCGTGTCCAGGTGCTGGAAGAAATACAAGGATGGATTGACGGTGACAACCCCAAGAAGCTATATTTGCTGAATAGGATGGCTGGAACTGGAAAGTCGACCATCACTCTGACACTTGCCAGGTTTTACAAGGACTTCACGAAGAAACAATGCACAGTCCCACTCCATTATCTCGGAAGTTCCATTCCGGCAAAATCATAATTCGAAGACTGGAGTAGATAGAAGAAAGTCCCTTCGTGTGTAAGGCAAATAAATCCAATATCAGACAATGAAAAAAGGTATCAATTACAAAGGAAGACATCGAATCTTTGTCTTCGTTAATTTCAAAACAAAAGCTGCAACGTGTGGCGTCTAATCATAGCAGCAAAATACTATTATTTAAGACTCATCTAGTACCTAACTCAACAGCTATTTAGTGTCATACGACTTTACTCTTACGCCACTTCGATATCAAACTGAATACATCTTCAGCTATTTAGCACCCCGAAGCCAAAATGTCCGAAATTTCAAAATTGGACCTCGGTCAATACTGGTATGTTGAATAGTATCAAGACCCTATAATATTGGATGAGAGACTAATAATATATAAGCCCCATTTGCAGAACGACTGCTTCAGCTCGATGCGTCCAAGTAGGTCATTTTCTTGAATGTATGCTTCACAGCCTGTACTACCTCCTCGGAGACGAATGTTCCGCTTGTCGTGATGGCGATTTTGAGATAGGCGAGGGGAGGAAGCGAGGGAGGAAAAAAAAGACGATGGGGAAGAAATAAAAAAGAAATCGGTAGGTCGAACCTTCTGCTGACTACCATAATGCTTAGGACTGCTTTCCCCATCGGTTGTGGGTACATATGACCTTTTCTGTTTGTAGTATTACTAGTAGTACTGAATTACACTCTGGCTGTCTTTATCTCCGCACAATTTTACTTCTTACTCCACATATCAATCGATTCACGTAGAAGGGTTTGAAGGGATCTTAGAGGTGCTAAAGGCTGGTACGTCTATATATGACAAGGAGTTATTTTGATTACGATTCGATTCTAGTACTTTCAAACTTTGATTCTTTTCCATTCGCAATCACTTTCTGTGCGGCCTAGTACTAGAGATAGGCAGACAGCCACTAATGCATTTCTATATCTTGTACTAGAGATTCCGGAGGGACTAATGCATTTGCCAAGGAAAATACACAATACTGGCGCTTTATTTATCTTGTACAATTGTCTTCTAAATATCAAGTTCGATTGACCTAAAGGAAAATCTAGATTTTCGATCAACAAGCAAAAGGAACCTCTATAATGTACTCAACTGCATATCACTACCTCTTCTCAGGAAATACTGATTGTGTATCGTCTCGCGCGTATTAGAAAATAATGAGTGAGTGAGCCTCAGACTGGGAAAGGTTTTCTAGAGAAACATAATTCTTGGTCTCCATTTCCTCTATACAGACATAACGCGACTTAGCGTCGATAAATATTGTGATAGGGGAAAGACGAAATGGTTGCTTACCATTGGTGGTGGGTGCTATGACTCCGTTTTCGGCGGCGATCCCAATAAATGGTTTGTTATGCATAGACACACGGATCGCTTTTTGCAAACGGAGACATGAAAATGATTTTATTGACTACCTTGAATGGGATTTTGAGTCGTTTCTTACTGATTGCGGAACCCTGTTTTAAGACCCTTAATTTTTACCAGACTCTTTCCGTTGCCCCTGATTGAACGAAAATTTGGACTTTCGCCCAAGAGAATGGTTTAGGTATCGAAGACACCACTTTGAGATGGTCAGTGCCTTGAAATGAACACCAGAACATCTAATAGCAGCTCAGATACTTGAATACGAAGAAACCAACCCCCGCAGTCCATATAGATGGCTGAAAGAGAGCCCGAATGTAGACGGAAGATAATCTAGTCAATGTCCGACATTTTTGAACCCAGCCAAGCCAAGTGAAGTTCTGTGTATCAACGCCAAATTTCCAAGAAGATTAGTGCCATCCTACAGATACTGGACCCAAAACGGCGGGGCCCGTAGGGAGCGCGAATCAGGGTTGAAATTAGACCTCGGGCTAGCAAGTCGGCTGTATCCTTTATTTGAGGTTCACCACATCATCGAATGACAAAAAAGGAAATAATTGGAAAATCGGGTCCTGAAGACGGAACGAGCTTGGAAGATGTGGGTACAAAGCGTGGCGAGACATTTCAAGGAGGGGGCAAGGTTAATTTCCCCGCTCGGGTTGAGCGAGTCTTGGAAACGAAAAAGTCTCACCCCAAGGCTCAGATCACGAGCTAAACAGCTCGGAGCTTCCAAAGCAGAGCTATGAGAGATAAGGACAGACTTGGTGACTGCCATGCGAGTGTGCATTGATTAGGCTGATCGGTCCCTGTCTTGGTTCCTGGCTCCGAACTCGTGCATGGTGGCTTGTTGACAAGTCGCACGCCACTCAGCGCTCTCGTCACACTAATTTCCACGATCAAACTGCTTGCTCTAGCCGAGCAACTGTTGGTGAGAGCAACTAAAGAAGTTGTGATCTTCGCTTATCTTCTGCTAGCGAAAGCCGGGGCCAGTACGGAGTATGTTGGTGTCGATCTCAGAGGAAGTCCTTGAGCACCAGCAAAGTCTGATATATTAAATCGAGGACCCGTCGCGAGTAGACAAGGTGACTCGGAGAATCTTTAGATAGCAAAGGAATCAAAACGACCGAGGTCCTCATATGCGAACTCCTCAAGCAAAATGCTTATGAAAGAGGAGATCCGTGGACGAGGCTTAGGGGTCAGCCAACAGGATGGCTTGAGGATCACAAGATGGCAAGGAACAAGGGAGATACCGAGGCGCTACAGGGATTGCGTGGCTTTGGCCGTCCGGTCGTGCAGGCGGTGCCCAAAATCCAGCTTTCTGGTTGCTCGCAGAGGTATTGCGACCGATGGAGGATCAATGCGATACGACGAATCCGCAGTGGTGCTCCACTTTCCCCGCATGTTGATTGCAGATCGTATCCTTCCCCACGGGGCTCTATATTCGTCCAGCCAATGATGCAATATGTAATAGTTGCTGCAGGGGAGCAGTACCTCGCTTCCACAAGCGCATTTATGTACACCTTCCCGTCGCCAGATTGACTTGGAGACTTTGTTCCGCTAATTTCCTGCCAAAATGTCTCCCACCGAAGGAAAACACATCCTGGGCGCAAACCGGGGGCCATTGCTGACCCATGGCGACGACAGCTCTCAGGGGCTTGAGAAGGTCGAGTCAGCTGGAGGACTCTCATTACACAGGACGCCGACGCGAACGGAGAAGATACGCCGACACTGGAAACGATTTTGGTTGATTTATTGTATCGGCAATGTTATTTTTCTCGCGATTCTCCTTCCTGTCTTGTGAGTTGTCTGGACCTACAAATATCGCGAAATGCAGCTCTAACCCCTTTCTAGCTTCCTTGTTGCGATTCCTGCGATCGCGCAATTGGTCGTCAGCAAATCCGATATTGTCCTCGTCAATGCGGTCGTGAATGACCCACAGCCAAACTCGACCATGTTGACCTTGGAAACAAAGGTGGATTTGAAAATTGCGCTCGCTGCTCGCATCGAACCTCTTACTTTAAGCCTCTTTCAACGAGATTACGGCGTTGACGAGGCGTATGCCGACATCGATATCGCCGGGCAGACTATCAAGGGCAACCACAGTCTGGGTATCGACAATGTTCACACTCCGATCTTGAACCAAAAGTCCTGGAAGGAATTCGTTCGACAAGTCGTCTTCCAAGAGTCTGTCTCCCTCGCTCTCGATGGCTGGACACACGCCTACTTGGGAGTTCTCAAGTCGCACGTTCACCTCGATAAGAATGTTGTTACACCAGGTATGAACTATATGTTTTGCTTTTTCTGCCGAACCCCCTTGCGCATTGCTCCTTACCCCTGCTTTTCGCGATCCAATAATCGCGTTGCCTTTTGCCGGATTTTTATTGCAGCCAGTGCTAATTAAAATCGATAGGCTTGAATCAATTTGATGGATTTGCAATCTCCGACGCGACCCTCCTACTCCCGGCCGAAGACGACGGCACAAACCTCATCGGCAACGTAACCCTTCCAAACCCGACCGTTATCAGCCTAGAGGTCGGCACACTTGTATTAGACGTCAAGACCGCCAATGTTACGATCGGAAACGTGACAATCGATGACGTTGTCCTCAAGCCGGGCGACAATGTATTCCCAATGAAGGGCGTCCTCGATATCCGAACAATCTTCAAAAATCTCGGCGACGTTCTCAAAGCGCAAGCTAGCGCCCTGAAGAACGGATCCTTGGCCATCGACTCAATTACCAGATCTGTCGAATGGAAAGGAACCCCTGTCGATTATTATGCTGAAGTCCTGAAGACCCTTACCTTGTCGACGGAGATCCCCCTTGGCGACACGATAAAGAATACGCTCAAGAATCTGCTTCATGGGAAGAATCTGACAAGTGCGCTTTCGGGTCTTCTGGGTGATAGCAATAGTTCTCTTTCATCCAGATCCTTGAGCGACCATGAGCGTCGTGGCCCTATTGACCTGGCGCCCTTCCTGAAGGATAATCGCCATGTGCAAGATTTCTTTAGTGACTCAGATATTGATACGGATCAGCGGGATATTTTTATCAATGCGGTAGCTGCAGCCTACCCGAATATTTAACTATAATTAATGAATTTATGTTTTTATGTTTAAATTTTGAAAGGGTCCGATGCCTTTCCAGTGGATACACAAGTACTTCGCCACTGAATAGTTAACTGTTCTTTGTCATTTGACGACAGAGAAATTAAATCATAGCAGCAAGTTCGCGTAAATAAAATTCATACAGTCCCAGTATCTGAATTGTATAGAGTGAGCAGGGCAAGTTTTAAGGTTGAAAAGTGATTTTTAATTCGTTTTTGCGATGCTAAATCAAAGAAGACGCATGTAACTAGGGCCCACTGAACTCTCGGGGCCATCTTATGCACAATCCTGGCCATAGACATAGAGAAACGACTCGGACCTTGATGCCACGTTATGGGGCAAAAGATCGGGGTGATAAATTATTTGAACCAGGCTGTACTCCGTAAGTATGTGGATCAAAAGATAAGTCCCTCGGGCGTCGAGGTTCGGTTCTAATGTCAGACATTGGACGACTACCTAGGTAGGATTTAGAAAAGTCTGCAATTGGGCTCGCGGATTATGTTTCATCCGAGGTCCTAACCGACAGCTGTATATATATTGGGAGATGTGCGTACTGGGGGATATCCGTGAAGGGATTACTCCAATGAATCAGATTGACATGTACCTAGGTAGTGGTGAACAGCTAAGAAAGGAAGCTATGTAGACATGGTGATCACCTACGAATCGAAGATCTCGCCTTGCGGTCTATACAGCATGCGATCAAAATGAAGATGGTGCACATGGATCAAACGCCTCCGTCATACCGATTCTGTGAAAGCCCTTGGAGGTCGTAATCATCAATCCCGTCAAAAAAAAAATGACGGAGAATCTTTAGGCTCGCAAAAAACATCCTGCGCAAGAAAGGCCCGATTGTCAGGTAAAGAGGGGACCTTGTGGTGGTACTCAGAGCAACCCAAGTCACTTTAGTAGGCGTAGTGACCTCTTTGTATCCGTTCCTCCGCTTGCAGTACGGGATATTCTGATAGTGATTGTCAGGGACAGAGCGATGGTCTTTATCAGACCACGGGCTGGGATAGGAACGCGGGCGGAGACAATAGTAATCCCCAGGATATTCAAGCTGGCTGCAATGACTAGGAGAGTAGATTCGTATCTGGACATAGTGACGATTCCAGAAATGGCTTTCATGGTGCCGAAAATAACAGCGAACACTAGAGTAGCTAAGGTAACTTGAATGGCCACGACAGAAACATCGGCCAGAAGAGAAGTAAAGAGGGATGTGTTCAGGGCCTCCATTGTGACGGTAATGAAAAGAATAATTAAGGTGTTCATAATGACTGATAAAGGAGCTGGTTTGGCTAAATCTTTGGACATGAAAAGGGCGTCAATGACCGCCATCATAATGGCTAACAGTGTAGCCAAGCTCACGGTAGTTAAGATGACTAGGATAGCTATGATGATAAGATTGACGAAGAAAGACATGATGATAGTGATTTTGGATGTCGTCATACTGGCAATCCAGCTTGAGATGGCCAAGATCACGCAAGTCATGAAGAAATAGCCGGGGATGATAGTCTCCAGGATCTTCTTACCAAAAGCCATGGCCCCGTCAGTGTTCACCTGCGCAGCAAAACTTGCTGCAATCGTAAGACAAAGGTTGGAAATGGCAGTGGCCATCAAGGCGCTAGTAGCGGCCATAGTGATGGGTGACGTGGAGAGCAGTGATTGAATTGAATTGAGGGAAACGACTGTAATCGAGCCGGGGTCAATAATGGGGAGAAGTGTTGGTCATGGCAAGTTTGGCGTTGGTTCCCGGAGAAAGTGCGAGATAGACGCAACGCCGAGCCGTTGCTCTCCAACCGCAGCCTTTAGGAAGTTTCTGGCGTTCCCTACACAGATCTGAAGAGTGGATATCATATTGCCCGAGCAACTTCAGAATGCCTATAGCCGGGGCCAAGAATTATTTATCTGGCGTTCGTATGTCAATGGCATTAAAACTCAACTTTCAATTTCTCCCTTTCCTTTCCATTCTCGTTACATATTCACTTCTCGTCTCTCGTCCCGATGTAATTTAGAATACTACGTGGTTCAAGAATAAATGATACGGGTGATGCCTATATATTACGAATAGATACCCGAATACCGTATTTGTCTTACAAGACCAGGTCGTTATCACCTGATCTGCATCGGCTCCGCAACTGTCGGATCCGCAGCACAGACCCACTCTCTAAGATGGAATTTCCTTGCTCCAACCTTTCCCTCCAGAAATCTCTCTCCCGGTTATATCGAATCTCTCAATTGTCCGAACGAAAGCACGAAAGTCTGGAGAGCTGGGGACCAGCAGAAAGAAAAACACCAACATGCCGAATCAACCAACCCTCGTCCTTATACCCGGTTCATGGCACAGACCCACATGCTACGACAAGCTTATTGAGCTCCTAGAACCAAGACTGAGATGCGTGACAGTATCACTACCCTCAACATCCGGAAATCCAAAAGCGACCTTCAAAGATGATCTCGACGCAGCTCGAACCGTCGTTTCAGCCGAGACAAGCAACGGCCGTAATGTGGTTGTCATTGCGCATTCATACGGCGGGATGGTCAGCAACAGCGTTATCAAAGGATTCGCAAAGTCAAAAAAATCACCAACCAGTGACGGTGTCAGCGAGTCGGGATACGTGATTGGATTGGTCCTCATAGCTTCTGGCTTTACTTTGACCGGATTATCTTTCATGGACCCGTTCTTCGGCCATCCACCGCCTGCATGGCGCGTGAACAATGAGACCGGCTATGCTGAACTCGTCACGTCCCCGCGGGAATTATTCTATCACGATTTACCGGACGATGAGGCCGAGTACCGGGTTTCTCAACTTGTTACGCAGAGTCTGAAGGCGTTGTTTGAAGGCGGCGAGTATACTTATGCTGGGTGGCAGGATGTGCCGTCTTGGTATATTGGGACCGTGGAGGATCGTGGCTTGCCGGTGCTGGCTCAGCGTATGACGGTTGGTATGGCGAGGGAGATGGGGGCTAGTGTGGAGCATCGCGAGTTGCAGACCAGTCATTCGCCGTTTTTGAGTCAACCTGCTTTGACGGCGAGGATAATATTCGAGGCTGTTGCTTCGTTCACGGGGTCTGGGCGTGATGATTCCACGTCGATGGGCGAAGGGGACGAGACTCCCATAGTTGTCCCGCGCACGGCCCTGTTCAAACCATTGTCCTGGTTTAAATTTGGGATACCGATGGCATTCGGACGCTTCATGGGCAGGGGATTTCTTCTGTTTGGGTGGGTGCGCAGAGTTTGGACAGCTGGGTTGCGTTGAAGTCGGTGCGTCCATCGTGGCTCGGTAGTGCGATTCTCCCACACCCGTTCCAGTAGAAACTAATGTATATTATAATTCACTTGAATGAAACATGTGCTGGAAATGAGATTTTGTGTCTGTCGCTTTGATGGGGAGGTGCCCTTTGAATTGATCGGACCTTGGCAGCAGACGTCGACAAAGATGAGTTCAGACCGAATGAGAAGACGATGAGAATTTCCCTTTGTTACCCGAAGGCATAAATAAGAAGAAAAGTTCGATCACAATTTGCCGGAGGGAGTCCTTTTACAACGCGTCTCAATTCTCAGAAGTTTCGGTGCATCAACATGCCTCGTCGAAGCACGCGAAATAAGCCTAGCCCTAGCTATACCGAAGATCCGAGCTCGGCTGAAGAAAATGTCCCTCAGAAAAGAAAAGAGTAGTTGAAGGTGTGCCTCGTGGGTCGGTCAAAAGAGTTGCTCCTGCATCTTCTAGTACTAGTGCTGCGACTTCTGGATCCTCCATTGGCAGAATGTTCAAACGCGTGGGTTCACCCGAAATCTCTGCAACTTCCGATGAATCGGACGATGACGGCGGACGTTTTCCCCCTAAACCACTTACTAGTGTACACCAAGTTTTGGAGGACTTCAAGGTGTCATACGTGGGCACTCTCCGATTCGATGAGCCAGAAATCTTTCCCAAGGGAAAATGGAAGGTCCCGAAGAAGCCTATCCATGATATCACGAAGGTTCCCAAGGGATGGTCTCCGATAGACTATGGAATTGATCCGAGGTAGGTGTTCTCAGTATCTCAGCAATGAGGCTTTTTATTTTTGCCATTTTCTAACTGCCGACTCAGCGATACCGATGCCCTGATTAAACGTTGCCGAGAGCGAATTGCGGAGAATGTAATGCCGCATATATTCGAGAAAGACCTGAAAAGTCTTCTTGAGAGGAAGGCAAAGGAAGAGTAACTAGCCTGAACACTTGTTGAAAGCCCCATGCTGATGACATTGCTTTGTCCAGTAAGCTCCACGCTTCCGAGCCCGAAGGTGTATCCTTTAACGCAGCAAAGCGTATCAAGCAATTGAACGAAATAAAGAAATGGCTAGAAGGAAATGGCGATGAGTTTAACTACCTACCAACAGTCAAAGCTATCACGAAGGCCTATAAAAAGAAGGAGCTTGACTGGAACCTCGGACTTGTGACTTATTGGATCGATGGCAAGCCGATCTGTCAGCCCAGAGTGCATGACATGCAGGCTGTCGCGATTATTACCCAAGACCCAAAATTCAAAGAGGGCTTTTGGGTAGAAGGTGTAAGTTTTCATCCAGATATTCCAATGAATTCCTTTCGAATACTTATTTTTGCTTTAGAGCCGCTTGGCTGGACCCTTGCCACCTGGCCCGGACAACCTTAATGCCCTAGCTGGGAACCATTACAGACTGTATCCGAAGGTCGATAACAATCAAGGCACTGGTATACGTGCAAATGGATCTGCTTTATGTTACGAGCCCACTGCAGCAGAGGGACCTTTTCAGGTCAAGGTATGATCGATCCCATGGCTAAAAATGATTTCAAATATTGCATACTAATTTCGAGCCCCGTATAGATGAACATGAGACTCAAGATTGCGGGCCCCGACACCCACCCTTGGACCTTTGAATTCTCGGATGATACTGGTGCCGATTATATGACGCTGTATAAGGACGATGTGTTCACTATCTACAATGCGAATCTCTTGGGCAACCCAATGGCGCAGGTTGATCCTAACACGCCATTAGGATTACGACAGATCACTCCTGTTCTAGGAGTTGCCGATACGCGCCTTGCAGATGGTACAAATGCCCTTCACTATGTTATCACGCTTTATTTCAACCTCGAGGCTGCCTGCCCCGAGGACGATATGGTAGGTCTCGGCTACAACCAAGAATTCTTCCCCATCGAAGCTCTTATCCGGGATGGTAATATCCAGGGCGTTGGTGCGCCTCGACTGAACGGACCTGCCATGAGAGTCTTGTTCAACACCGTTTCAACCAATACCGACATGATCCGACTTTATATTGTTGAGAATCTCCATCATGGTACTACATATGCTAAGAAGCCACAGAGAAATAGGCGGCCAATTAAGTTGCCCGACGCGCCAAAAGCCCTTCTACCAGCAAACAAACCCGTTACCGCTATGTTTGATCCAGGTATACTTGCCGAACCTGAAGAAAATGTCACTATGGGCGATGATCCTATGACTCTACCTGAATTCCCACCAGCCGGGCAGGCGATGGAATACCCGGCAAACGTCGGACTCGGGGCACTGGGGGGGCAACCTTTTCCCCCGCAATATACCTAGCTTATCTGGCTGTGAAAGTTCATAATCTAGGTGACGACCGCGGGATGCAGTGCTAGTATGTTTATTTTGCAATCCCGCGGTGGATTATGCGCGGGCTTTCTCACTTCATCCCGGAAGCCTTCAAGTTGATAAATTGTACCATGAGTTTTCTTTTGGGTTACGGGTTTATACTGAATGCTTACATTCGAGTTTGCTTCGCGATATTTTTGTTTTGAGCTCGGTCGCATGATCCGACAACTGCGTAAATCCTTAGTATGCAAGTCAATTTATACTGGAGTTCGAAGAGATGATGGTGTTCTAATTCCGATCCGATCGAAAGCTTATTTTGACGACAAACTAAGACTGCCAATGGGAGTGGAGTGGTCCCGTCACAAGCGAATGCGCGATTCGATTACTGTGGCCCCGACAAAACAGTCTAAGTGTAGAGTGGACGTAAATCAATCCTAGAGGAAGTACTGAGGGCAAAATGGAAGCTGTTTTATGATTCAGTGAGCTGTTTACCACGGGATTGCTGCCATATAGAACGTTACGCGAGGCCCGTAATGGCATCACGAGTTCCTTGTTTGACCACCAAATGAGGCCCGGTGTGTCTGATGGTCACTTGTGAGTCTAATTTCGTGTAAACTAGGAACTTGGAGATGTATTTAACGGGTTTGAAGCCAATCACGTTCTAGAATCGTGATGTAAACAACGGGACGCGTGCGGCAGCATGGGCGGCGTGCGACTCCCAAAACGAGTCCTTGCACTTTTGAACTGATGGGGAAAAAGCCATCTAGTAATAAATCTTCAGTCTGTCTTTGATATTGTTCTTTCTGGTCGCCTGAGCTGGTAAATGACTCGCCATGGCTGGTTGCTCAACGGCTCTCGACGCACGCGCTCTCTCTCGTTCGACATCGCCATGGGCTCCCGCTACTTGGAATTGATAGAGAAGGTGACATGCATGATTTCCTATTCATTCCTTCAAGGGTATTAATCTTCTTGGTCTACTGCGCTGGGGAACCGATCTCATGATGCGGCGTCAACACGCAGACCTCGCCCGTCCACGCCCGCGCTGGGAGACTTTTGATATTGATGTTCCTAGTTTATATGGATCAAGGAACACAAATGACATTACATCTATTGAAATCTATTTACATTGAACTCATTTCTAACACCTAATATCCCCCGTATACACGCTCGCCATTCCCATACCAACCCCCGCCATCAACTCCCCCATATATAATCTCCACGGTGACAACGACTTGTTATTGTCCTGGATGGTGTTCCTTCCTTCCCAACTGCGCTTTCCTGTGATGTTGAGTCACGATCATGGCATTTTGGCCGCCTTCCTTCCACCTTTGGGTGTTGTTTTGGTTTGTTATGATCTTTTGCAAAGGAAGGAACGACGACAACCCCCAAACGAATACATAAACATCTCCCGCTCCCCTCTTCGTCCCTTTTTTTCTTCTCCTCAACAAACCCCTGATCTTGCTGCTAGTCTTGGCTTTTAGCTGACGTTGTCTCTTGATCTCTGGTCACTGTTTTACTTTTGCTTTTGCTTTTTTCTGTTCTTGGAGTTCGAGATGTCCTCTTCGGTGGCTATCGTTTCTCCTTTGGCAGCTCGCATGCTGCTGACTGGTACCATTGATCTACCCAAGGTCGGTGCCCAGTTGGTAGTCGAGGCAAGTTGCCCCCCCCCCTTTCTCTCCTCCTCCCTCCCCTCCCCTTTCACCTTGTGATCTTTCTTGGGCTTATCCCTATGCTTTCTCTTTCGCTCCTGTCCTTCCTCCTGTGTGGCCTGTTCTTCATGCTTCCCGTTCTGTTCCCCCTCCTCGTGGCATTCTGAAGGTTCCGGGAGCCTCCTCTGTTCCTCACGCTCGTCGTGTTGCTTTCGGAGAGGTGACCGTTGACACTTACCCCAACTGGATTCATCAAGCGTCCTCTTGGAAGGAGTCACCATGGTGTCGGAGCACCTCGGAGTCTGATGACTGGTCTGCTGAGTGGTCTGTTGAGGAGCAGTTCCAGTTTGATCTCATGACGGATGTTTCTGCGGTTAAGACGATTGTGTCCTCTGGCCGGCAAGAGGAGGATCATGGGGTCGCGGTTAAGACGATTATGTCCTCTGGCCGGCAAGAGGAGGGAGATGGAACTTGGGATTGGGTCATGTCTTGCGTTTCTGCTTTGCCTGTTGTTGCCGCTGGGGTGATTTCTGCGGTGGGTGTTGCGTTTGTTGGCTATCTTCATCATTGGTGGTGAGCTGTGGTTGTTGATGTCAGATAGTTGGCTGTCCACTCCTTTTGTTTTGCTCTTTTGGGCGTTCCGATCCATCCACTGGGGTTCTCCCGGAGGCCTTCGGGTCTCCGGATCCGTTCTGCTGACGTGCCTCATAGAGGCGGCCTTTTTAGAAGGCTTGTGAATTTACGGTCCGTTGGAAAGTTATGGAAGGATGTGGCCGGAGCGGGCCTGGGCAGCCTGCGTCCGATGAAGCGACCGGGTAAGTTCTTCCATCCTCACCATCATCATCTTCCATACTGACTGACCCTCACAGGTAGTGCACGAAGGGCTTCGTCGGTCCGCGCGCCTGGCAACCGCCGGGCTGACGTTGCCATGAAAATGGGCGTTTTCCTCTTCCCCTTCCCATCCCTCATCTTGTCTTGTTCCATGCTGACCATGTTGCCCCCCGCACCATCTCTCTTCTAGGTCCGGTCCCTTTTTCTTTTTTTAGGTACCGACGCCGACGCCGACCGAACGAATCGAGCCCCGGGGGCTGGTGGGAGATGGCGGAAACTGGCGCGGATCGTCAGTTGTAGTGGCTCGGGGTGGTGGCCACCCCGGTACGTAACCCCCTTTCCTTCATCATGACTTGGTCTAACTGCCCGCACAAAACAAACAGGGAGACTTGACGTGATCGAGGCCGCATGTGGTGGCTTTGGGGTGAGGATGCCCCGGTAAGTCATCTCCTTTCCATGATGGTTGACTTGAGCTGACTTCTTGCATGAACCAAACAGGTGGTTGGTCATTACGGAGGGTGGTGGGTGTTGAGGTTTGAACAATGTACATAGTAGACACTAGCTCTAGCTTTTAGGTAGACCCGTGAATTAAATATGTTTTCTCCTATTATCATTGTCATCTCATTGTACATCGGAACAAAGATCCAAAGCATGAGGACTTGCCCGGCCCATCCCTCGTCGTTCTTCTGCACCCCGAGTCGCCAGCATCAGCAACCCCTGCGTCTCTGAGCGATATCCTTCACCTGTCAATCCCATGATCCAATAGGCAAAAACGGATGGAAGGATCTTGCATGCGACCGGTCGCAAGCCGTGGAGCTAGCGCATGACAGTGTTGACGGTACGGTCTCAGGTGCAGCCCCATGATCGACCATAGACCCCACAGATATCAATCTGAACCCCAGATAGGTATCAGAGTCCTTCGTGTCGTTCTGCAACACCATGACAGGACTAGAAGCATGGATAAGCATTTGTACCGCTACTGCTCCGCGCGGCACGCTGGTCGAAGGCGATCAAGCAGACGACCGTGGGAGTCACCCGCATGCACAGGACTGAAAGGTCGACGACAAAAGATTTGAATGTTCACTCGCACATAAGCATGAGCTTCGCGCTGGATCTGATGCTCGTCCGATCGAATGTATGAGTCCTGATACGGCCAGGGTCGGTTCTGGGGATGCGCCGACTTGGCCAATTCTTCGCCTGGCATGAGACTGGGACGGATTGGAATGAGTTGCTTGAGGGACTTGTCTCTCTGTATGCCTAGATGTGTCTGTATGCTCGTGGTTGCTTGGACAGAGGGCCTAGGCACGGATCAAACATATTCAGGCTGGCTGAGGTGCGACGTGGCGAGGCCATGAGCCGGTCTGCCGGCATTGGGGATGAAAGGACATCTCGGAGTGGGGAGGATGTGATCTCCGGCAGTGTCCGATGCTCCGAGTTGAATCTTCCAGGTTCATGATGGCGCAGGTCATCAAGGGGTTCGGTTAATGAGCGTGGACAATCAACCAACAAGGGTTTCTTCCGGTGAGCATTGACGACGAAAAAAGTCGGCCGACCGATATAATCTACCAGTATCGGGATGTCTATCTCATATTTTGCATGGGGGAGAAGCTCGCTCGGCTATCTTTCACTCCATGCTCGAAATCAAGGGGTTGACTCGGGTCTTCGTTTTGCAGTCCCACTGGGACTTGGAGTATTCAACCGTGTATGCTCATTTCCTGGAGTCTTCGGTTAGTATATGGTTCAGAGAGGAGGATGCTGCACCACATGGAGGTCGCATTCTTGGAGGGTGGGGCCAGAGTTCGGCCTCTCGGGTGTGGCTTGGTTTTTGTGGTCCTGCGGGGAAGCATTTGATGCGTTTTGATATTGGGCAAGTCGGTCTGGAAGGCGGTGTGGACCACTATCAAGCGGCGATGGCAGTCATTTCCAAAGGGGATGGAGGTCGACCCTTGCAGTGGAATGTGCTACATGTCAGACGCGTGGTTCGGGGTTGAAACACGTGTGCGAGGCGAATGTTTCTATCGTGATGGTCAGGGGGTATTTTCTGCATTCTTTTGCTATTTTTAATTTTCTGAATTTGACACTTTTTCCTAGATGATGTATGATATGCTTGCTTGATGATTGTTTTGCGGTTATGTTGCCGGAACCGGGATGGAGCAGGTTACCATGTAGGAATACTCCCAGTTTCATATCTGTCATGAGAACTGCGGAAAAATTGCGCAAGTCAGGCATTAACGGCTTTGGTGAATTATTCCATGGAGTTTGATCACACTGTACCTTGTTTTAATCTCTTGTGCCTTCTTCAATCCCGCAAAATTGCATGCACGGAGTTGTCATAGTTCATTCCGGTACCGGGATGGCATAGTCATCCACCGCAGACTATTGCAGTATTTGACTCTCAACCTTGATAAAAGGATTAGCTAATTTCCTGTTCTCCTCATCGCACTGGATTTTCCCTCTCTATCCCTACTCAAGCGTATGGGACTCGCTGCCATCGTCAAAATGTCCAGCGAGACCACCCCGTCCCAACCTGCAGTCACGGCCGAAGACTGCAAAGAAGCACAGCTTTCTCCGGATCCAAATCCCACCACCGAGCAACGCGACTTCTCAGTCTTCACGGTCGGTCAGAAGAGAGCTATCGTGGCCACTGGATCACTCGCTGCATTCTTCTCGCCGCTATCATCGAGTATTTACTTTCCCGCCCTAGAGACGATCTCACACGAGCTGGGTGTTTCCATCTCAAAGATCAATTTGACAGTCACAACATATCTGGTGAGTTCTAGCCCGTGCATTCTTCCAGCTCCAGCTCTAATAAAATTTCATCTCGCAGATTCTACAAGGCTTCGCGCCCATGCTGATCGCTGGCTTCTCGGATAGTGCTGGTCGACGTCCCGCGTATATCATTTGCTTCACTATTTACATCGGCGCCAACCTCGGCCTTGCTCTACAAAATAGCTACCCAGCCCTAATGGTCCTTCGCTGTCTACAATCAGCCGGAAGCAGTGGAACTGTCGCTCTAGCAAACGGCCTCGTGGGAGACACCATCACATCCGCCGAACGAGGCTCCTACATCGCATTCGCATCCGTCGGCTCAATGCTAGGACCCTCCCTCTCTCCCCGTCATCGGCGGCCTAATAAGCCAATATCTAAACTGGCACTGGATATTCTGGTTCCTACTCATATTCTCCGCCGTATTTGCCACCTTCCTACTCCTCTTCCTCCCCGAAACATGCCGGAAAGTCGTCGGCGACGGATCAATACCCCCACCAGCCCGAAGCATGTCCATAACAGACTCCATCCGACACCGCAACAGAAAACGCCACGGTATCCAACCCTCAACACAAGAAATCGCCGACACGAGAAAAAACTACGCCTTTCGATTTCCGTCACCCTTGCCGACCCTCCGCGTTGCAACGGATCTCGAGACCGGCGCTATTCTCCTAACAACAGGCCTCATGTACGCAGGCTTCTACGCCGTAATGACAGGCGCAACCACCACCTTCCACGAAGTCTACCACTACAACAATATCCAAACAGCCCTCATGTACATCCCCATCGGCGCGGGAGGTATCCTCTCAGCTTTCACAACAGGCCGATTCGTAGACTGGAATTATCGCCGTCACGCGGTTCGCGCCGGCCTGCCCGTCCAAAGAAACAGACACCAAGACATAAGCAACTTCAATATCGAAAAGGTGCGCCTCGAACTCGCCATCCCGGTCTACTACGCGAGTAATACCCTCATGATTGCATTCGGGTGGGTCATCGGTAGACGGGTCCACGTTGCGGCGCCGGTTATTTTGCTGTTTCTTTCGGGTTGGGCTTTGAATGCTACGTCGCAGATTCTGAATGCGCTCATGGTGGATCTTTGGCCTGAGAGTTCGGCGGCGGCTACGGCGGCGAATAATCTTATGCGGTGTGAGCTTGGTGCGGCGGCGAGTGCGGCTATCAATCCTATGCGCGAAGCTATGGGGTGGGGGTGGGCTTTTACGGTGTTGGCGTTTATTTCAATTGCGGCGTCGCCGACGCTTTGGGTTATGACGAGGTATGGGATTGGTTGGAGGCAGAGGAGATTGAAGAAGGAGAAGGAGAGGGTTGAGGAGAAGAGAGGAAGAAATTAGAGAGCCGGGCTGCGGGTGAGAGTTGAGAGTTTAGCAAGGGTTTTTTGTGTGCTTGTCAGACAAATAGCTAGGTACGAAGAAGATTCCAAATTAAATGTGCTTCATCTCATATGTAGCTAATCGGTTGGTCGCTCCAAGTTCTTCTCCTCGTGGAGTGGGAGGAGCTGACGGCTTTCTCTGGCATGGATGCATTCATACACTCACTCGTAAACAGACTTACAAATCACAGCAATTATAAAAAAGCTCGGAGAGATCAAAATTCCAGATAAGGAAAATTGTTGCCATCCACGCGCCGTCCATCGTGGGCGTGAGTCTGATAAGTTTCTCAGCGTATGTTTCGGGGTTCTCCATAGTGTCGAGATGGGGGATCTCGAATTTTGACCAACTTTTTCTGATTACCATACGCTGGTAGCTGAATAGAATGGTTGTGATTGCTGGCGCTGCTCTCTGTGTCCAGTGAGATATCCTCAAGTCCATGGATACTCCACGGTATTTCTAAATCCATGTAAATAGATAGATCGAAAAAATACAAACGTATAAAGTAGGCAAACAGCGACTACCACACAAAGACAGAAAACCCCAGCCAACACCAGAAAAAGAGAGAAATGTACCTCAAATAGTTCCCCTAATATTTCAACAAGATTGTGAACACCGGAGAAGTATTTTGTGAGGTTCATGATGGTCGTTTAGCACAGCGAGCCCAGCTTGAAGGCCAATCTTTCTTATTTGTTTTTGCGGTGTCCTTTTTTGCACTTCTGCCAGGTGAACAATAGATATAGCCCAAACTGGTGCACAAACGCCACCAAAAATAATCAGGGAAAGCCGCGGCAAAACGTCGCGGTCCTTAATAATGCCAAAATTTCGTCGTGGAAGGTCCAAAGGCGAGGATGTGATCTTCGCAAGACCGTCCAAAGGATAATCAAAGAAATCTGCGCAAGAAAATAAGGCTGACAAACAATATTGTAATCAGTGTAGCAGCGATAAGCCCAGGATGGAAGGAACGATAGTTGAAATGATTGGGTGAAGGATAGTTCTCGGGAGTTGTGTTCGAATGCTGCTGGGAGTCAAGTGCCAGATGAAAAAATAGACGCGATTCAGTATGTACGGGTATAAATTGCATCATCTTTCATTCGGTGCGGCTACCAAATAAGGTCCGCCGCGACTAGTATTAGATATCAACCCAAAATTGGAATTTCGACAAAAATAGACTGGTTCACAATTGGGTTTCCAATTCCTGGATAGTCCCAGTACTCTATAATAATGAGAGCCATTTTTCACGCGATAAGCTGTGGAGAACAAGATCCCAGAAACCCCGAGTTACACCTAAGTAGTTGATTTCCTAGAATGTAATGTTGAAGTATATGCCTCAGGCATACGAAAATCGACCTCCCTCTGTGTCTTCCTAATGTACATATTTTATCGTCTTTCGTCCGCCATCTACGGTAGGCCTTTAAGTGAATTGATGTTATATAATCCACCTGGAATGCCTGTTCGCATGTAGTAATTATCTCGATCACAAGGAAGGGCATAGGATTAGATAAATTTTCATTCGAAAAAAGGGGGAAAATGCATGAGAAGAGAATGAAATGAAAGAACTCGAAGAAGCATACGGATGGAAGTGTTTGAAGGATTTGAGCAAATTATTCACTAGTTTTGATTGTTGCCCAGGTGCAAAGCTACTGGAGGTAGAGATCGCCTTGATCCAGTAGTCGAAAGGTCTCTCCTGGTCCATGGGAATTTGGGAATCAATATACATGACACAAATCTTGAAAACAGCAAAGAGGTAAAAGACTAATACAGGTCAGGGAAGGTAAAATCTCTCGATGAGGCCACGGACCCCATAAGCTGTTCAACAAGATCATCTACTCTCTGGCTAACTACTTTGAGACCCATGATGAGAGCTTAGCACGGCGAGTCCAACGATGAACTTGCTCTTTCTTCAAGTTCATCAGGCCAACGACCTGTGTAAAGTTTGTAAATGCACAAACCAAGCCCGCCTATCACAATATAGGCGAGAAATAGGATGAGGAAAGTGGGGATAATTAGGTTCCAGATGAAGAAAAAGATTTGGACCAAAACTGCATAGACACCGTCGCGATAGTTCTCGAAGGCCATAATGAGGCTTTTGTGCGGTAATGACAACTCGGAAGATGTTGTGTCTCGAAATTCAAGGTCAAGAGCGCTTGGTAGTTGTCTTTAATAGTGTACTGTGTGTACTCGTAGGAGTGTGGAAGCAACGAATCCAGTGCTATGGAAAGAAGAGAGAGGAAGTTATAGATGGCTGCCAAATAAATAGTTTACTGTAGGAGAAGAGAAAAATACAAGGTCTGGGCTTCCTCAAAATTTCTCGATATGTATGGATAGTCATTACATCACCCTTTCAACGCCGCTGTCAGACAAGATCGGCAGAGCGGTAAAGAAAACAGCATGCTGAGTTAGATTCAAAGGTTACTACGTAAAGAATCAGGAATATATCTAAATTAGTAAGAAATATAGTACAACAATAATGGAACCCCAATAACTGGAGTTAGAACTGAGATCAAACAGAAGTGTTGAGGATGCTACTCATGCCTCAAGCACCAGATTCCGTCTTTCTCCCTTGCTGCTTTGCTCGCTCCAGGGTGACTCTAAATTTTCGCATGTATCACTATTTTCAAAGTTCTGAGTTTTTGTCAGAAGGTGAATCAAAGCCCCGCTAATTATAGGTCCCACGCCCCACGGGTTTGTCCCGATGTTTACTGAAATCTAAAGAGAAGGAATATGTCCATACCGCGACTGGACCCGCAAACCCTATGATCAGCGTCACAATTTCCTCTTTCACTCGGATATCTAGGCCCTCGGCATTAAGAGGCGCCAGGCGGAAATATCCCACTTATGCCAAACCAGTCATCTGGCGAATTTTGTCTGGTTTACCTAGAACCAAACATCTCCACTCACGAGTACTTGCACTTTGGATTTACCAAGTCAATGGATGTTGCAGTAAGTTGAACACCTGCCACTCCCTTCTCGGCAGTTCTCAGCACTTCGCCTACAACCTCGCCGTCGTTCATAATTTGACCAAGACAATCATAAACAGACACTTCATGAACATGGAAAAGTTTGAGATCCCACTACCCGACGGAGGGATTATCTCCGGCCGATTCAACTTCCCCGCCGCCAATAAAACCCCTGCCAATCCGCCGCTTATCGTCTGTGTCCCTGGGGGAAGTTACGATGCCGAATACTTCGATGTGGACGAAGATTACTCCATAACCAGCACCTCGGCATGGGCAGGAATACCCACTATCGCTTTGACAAGGCCTGGCTATGGATCGAGTACTCCGGCGCCAATGGATGACACCGACCAAGACACAACATATGGCCAATTCCAAGGGAAGTATCTGAACTCTACAGTTTTACCGGCTCTATGGAGGCTGTTCAGCGAGCGGACGGGAACAACGGCCATTGTACTCTTGTCTCACTCTATCGGAGCGATGATCAGTACTATTGTAGCGGGATCATATACGGGAACTGAAGGCTATCCACTGGCGGGTCTTATCACTTCAGGAATAGGCGCCGAATTAGCCGAGGGGCCACGAGGAGGTATGCTTCATGTTTTGGATGAGACAACGGGCTTGATTTCGTTCGAAGCAACTCCCAAGGATGCCATCATGCTTCAAATTCCCATGCAGAATCTTACCGATCGCGAAATGTGCCGCCATACCGATCGCCTCAATCACCCTGTCCCGCCGGGTGAACTGCACGACATCAATCAAACGTGGCTAGGCTACTGGCGGAAATACTCAGATCGCGTGGCTGTTCCAGTGATGCATGGACTGTCCGAATTTGATGGTCTTTGGAATTATTCGCCTAAGATCTTGGAAGAGTACAAAGCCGCTTTCTCAGCTAGTCCAAAGGTTACGAGCGAAATGATTCCCCTAGCTCCCCATTGCATCGAGTTGAGTCTCCAAAGCAAATCTTGGTATATGAAATGTTGCGCCTTTGCCTTGGAGTGCGTGAATTGGTATGAGCTGCGACCGAAGTCTCGACCTGTGTCTGTTAAATCAGGGATTTTGAAGGAGGGTACAGAAGACACTCCAGGTCAGAGTGGGATTGCTACACTCGTTTACAGTACAACACGCTATGAGGAAGGCGGACTTTGAATGAATATTACATTTGTTTCTTCTTCTCCATAAGACTTTGGGGCTTCATTTGTTTTACACGCTCATAATTTTGTTTATGCAAAGCAAAATTGTCAATCATGAACCCTGTCTGAAATCAAACACAAGAATTTTAAGCTTCCACGGAAAACTTCCGATTTCCTGTTTTCTTGTGTTGACCGGGCAATTTTCAAGTGTGACATTCTTTCAATCTCTTCTTCTAGCGCACTCCATCAATTGTTGTACTCACATTCAGAATGGCATTTTCGAAAACATCATGTGCATTGGAACGGAATTGAAATTTGCGGGAAATAGCATGAAAGGAACTGTCAAGCCAAATGCGCCCATGCACACGACTACCTCCCCACCTAATCGGTTGCCGGCTCGAAATTTAGATTCAAAAATGACCCTGGATCACCTGGGCAGTTTGCATGAAGTTTATTGATACCCGGCGATTACCTTAAAGCCGACTTCCAACGAGCTAACCATGGGTGCTCCCTGTCTTATGCACGTGGCCCACCAGTCTTAAAATAAAGTACGTTCCCGTACTGCTCATTATTCCATATTTATTTCCCGAAAGCTCTACGGAACTCTACGGAACTACGGATATGGAGGGTTTCGACCCGGGTCATTCGGTTGTCCCGAAATAGACACTACCACACTGGAAATCTCACGTCGATTGGAATCGAGAACAATCTAGCTTGCATAAGTGAACAACTTCAAGTGTAGAAGAAAACATAATTCATTATGCTTCAACAAGATACTATCATTCCTACTGGCTTATGTGACCACCGGCTTTGACACCCCCGTCGGTTCTCAGGCTTCCGCGCTCGTATGGTCAACCCCCTGGCTCTATGTGGCCCCACTCATAGATTCTCCATTCGCTCGGCCCGAACTAACTTGGCACCGGCGCCACGGGACTAATATTCATGGGCGATTTCCAGTCAGTGGTATCGACTTGAGTATAACAGAAGAAGTTGGCCTAGACACGGCTAGTCTTGACTCCGAGTAAATCTTCGGCGTTGCGGAAAGCAATCTTCTGCAAGTCACCCTCCGTGATTTGACCGCTCCTGCGAATCTCCTCAATAAATGCAAGCCCGGTCTCATTTGCAGAGAAGGGATAGTCCACACTGTACATGACATGTTCAATCGAGGTCGTCTGGAGTAGGCACAATAGCGGAGGAAGTGCAAACATGCCACTCGTCGTGATCCAGATGTTGTTCTTCCAAACTTCCCTGAAGTTTCTCTTTTTGCCCCACTTATCTGAGATCGTGATCACTCTTTCAAATTGAAAAGGAAGCATCTCACCCATGTGTCCGATGATGATTTTTATCTTGGGAAAGCGGTCGAAAATTCCGCTAGCGAACATCTTCAAGATGTTTAGTGCTGTCTCCGAATGCCATCCCCATCCAAATGCGCCTAATGCCATAGCTATCGAGTCGTCGTAGTTTCCTTTGTATCGTTCATTGTCGGCTGCAAATGAAGGGTGAATGTAAAGAGGAACGTCTAGCTCCTGTGCTTTCTCGAACACCTTCCAGAAACGTTCATCGTCGTACATTTGTCCGTTGACGTGGTTATCGATTAACGTACCGACAAAGCCGAGGTCACGAACACATCTTTCAAGTTCTAAGGCGGCTGCATTTGGGTCGTCCATCGGCAGCATCGCGAATCCTGCCATTCGATTCGGATTCTTGGATATGGCGGAGAATAATTCATCGTTCGCTGCTGTACAGATCGTCGGGGGTCTTATACCCGGGCCATGTGAAATAATTTGCAGCGACACATTGCCATTGTCCATATCTCTAATCCGCTCGTCGCCCATCGAGATCAACTTGGCCACGATCTGGGGTGGAAAGCTAGCATAGCGATCCACCTTTTGTGAGGCTCGTACTGCCGATGAGGCGTAATGCTCTTCGAGGGCAATTAAAGGTAACATAGCGTACTTTTCTGTCGGGTGATTGACAAAAGTCTGGAGCTCGGCGCATCGAGCCTTTATTGAATTTTCGCTGTATATTGTTACTCAAAATTAAAGTTTTCACCGTGACCTTTGATGTAATACGACAAAATAAATTTGTCCATATAGTTGCCCGCCGCGTCATCCATTACAAAGAGCCATTGAATACTACTACTAGCATGCACTTATATCCGAAAAAGGGTCGGTCTTAAACCGCTCGGACATCGAAAGCCCCGAACCCGAATGGCCGAAGCCACATTCTGCGCCAAAGCTTCATTAATCCACTACGTAACATTCCAGGTACCACAACCAGCTAAAGACGACGAATCTTTGTCTACGGGAAGTTTTGCGCGTTTGAATCCAGGTCCCGCAGTGGCTTCAACTTCACAGCAGAGGAATCGCATTATTCTAGTAGCGTGAGCGGGCCAGAATAATTAAACTACGCCCGGGGACTACCTGACCTAGTCCTAGCTAGGAATTTTTAAGCTTTTATCATGTTCGACTCTTAATCGCGGCCTAAACTTGTTTTCAATCTGCAAAGCTCGTTGAACTTGTTTCTCTTGGTATAAATTGAAATTCGAACGCAAAATAGATTATGATACCCTGCATGAGACGAGTGAAAAATGAAAGAAGAAACAAGAGATAATTGGCTAGATATAAGCATCTTCAGCGCAACAACTCCCCCTCGTGAATCAAGAGTCCACACTGGAGATCTTGAAACCCAGTGGGAACCGAGTCTGGAATAGTTCTTCGGGGTCATAGCGCTCAGCCACCCTCTTTAGATAATTCACATTGTTAGCGCCGTAGCTTCCAAGGGGATCTTGAGTTGTATCGGCATAGTTCAGATAGACTAAATCAGTGGCCCCACCAACCGATTTCGAATAACTTTTGAGATCGGCGGCCATGTTGTTCATTAGGCTTTGGGCGTAAATGCGGTCTTGTTGGTTTGTCTTGATTTCCACACCGGCGGTCCAAAGAACGGAGTTTTTCTCTTCGAGATCGAACCCTATCATGTTCCCACCTCTCTTTTTTGAGATATATCCGAACATAGTGGGCATAGGCTGGAAGAAAAACATGGTTGTAAAATTCTCTTCCCCGATTGCTTTCTTCAATTCCTTCACGTATTGCTCGTGCATACTTATGGCTTTCTTCATAAGGCCTTTGGTATTGGAAAATGTGAGTGTAGCTTCACACATCCTGAATCGAACATGAAGTCAGTACGCTGTTTGGATTAACTGGAAAATTTATTGATACGTACCAAACACCACCTGCAACTTGAGATCCCGCTGCGGCTTCCGCAAGAGTAACGTGTTCATATGGTGCCGGTTTTATATCGGGGATTTTGTCCAGTTTCGCAAAACCCGTGCTATTAATCTTGCCCTGAGTGTTGACTTGAATGGTTCCCACCATGCTCTCTTTGATAATCGTTGCATTGTGCGTGAGATAAAGAACCAAAGCGTCACTGGTGAACTTTTCATAGTTGTCGGTGAAGTCAACAAAGTCACTTGCAATTTGAAGGGCATGAGTTATATTGATGGATCGGAGCTTATAGGAGAGTTTTGTGTTCGGTAAAGCCTCCATATCGTAACGAGTCACAATGCCGAAATTACTGCCACCTCCCTTGAGAGCCAGCCAAAGGTCAGAATTTTCTTTGTCATTGGCGTTGACAATAGTGCCATTGGTGAGAACAATCTCGTAATTTTTGACGGCATCGCAGCCAAAGCCTTCAGTGCCCATGAAAAACGTGGATCCGCCGCCCAGCAGGAACCCTCCGACTCCAACGTCGCCATCACGACCTCCAGTGACTAGGACATCATGCTTGGCAAGTTTAGCGTAGACATCCATCCACTTGGCTCCAGGGCCGACACTCGCGAGGTTTGTCTCCTTGTCGTATGTAGCTTGGTCGAGATGCATGAGATCGATGGTCACACCGTTGTCGATGTTGTTTGCTCCTCCAGAGCTGTGTCCGCCTGAGCGAATAGCGATATGCCAGTCACCCGCTTTGTCTGCACCAAGAAGAGCCGTCATCGATGTTGCGACTTCTTTCGCATTACGCGGCTGCACGATGCAGAATGGATGTTGGCGGCTGTTCAGGGACCAATAACTGTCAACCCGATCGGCGTAGCTGGGCTCTGTAGGAAGGAGAATACTCTTTCCCAGCCCGGCTTGGATGAGCGCATCGCACTAATCATTATTAGTAACGTGGGAAACATCACAATGTAGAGCACCTACAGGAGGGAAGCCAGTTGGCGCTTGTGTGGAATTGAATGAAGTGCCGATCGCGAGTTCGCTCATAAATAAACCACTTGACAACAGTAACTGAAGAAACATGCTGTCGGTGTTCGCAATATTCGAAAATGCGAAACTTGGAAATCGATCGGGCTTCGAATTCTTCTTGGTTGGGGCTATATAAATTTAAGAATGAATCTTCCAATTTTCACGTCCGGGCCAGCGATACTTATAGAAATTATGTCTCGACGGAGATATCTACAGTTGGGGCTATGTTCCTGGCAAACAATTTGTGGGTGCCTTGTTAGTACGTCACACGCAAATCGCGCGGAATGCGGAATTTGTCCAGGTGAAAGTGCTGCGTGGTTGGTTGGCTAGTATTTTGCGCCAAGAGCCATGAGAATAGTGGCTAAGCTCTGTAAATCAAGAATCTCTTGACGTGCGGCTTATCTCATATCATAATATTAGCTATAGGTTCCAGTTTCTAATCCAGCCATGACTGATCGCCTCAACTCTATCCTCAAATCGGAAGTTCGGGTGGATACCAAAGGCTTGGCCCAAATACATTGCCCATTATTCCAGAATATACGACTTAGTATAATGAATGCCAACTCCGAACTTCAATTTCGAAAATTTTCAGCCTTCAGAACTGAGTTTCTACGCTACTGTTGAAATAGATGGCTCCAAAAGTCCCCGAAATGTACATTATAGCCGACCGACCAACGATAATAAGATCTTCAAGGCTCCCTCAGATGGTTCTCCACGTGGCTAACTGATATGTATCGATCAACTTGACCCCAGTCATTTTGCAGCCACCGATATTTCAGCTCTTTTTGACTAAATATGGAGGAGTGGTCTTAGCAGAGTGGCTGTAGCCGCATCCCAAATTCATGAAATGCCCATCCCTTTACATCTCGGAAGTTCCGAAATTCTGTCGAGGTATAATCAAATTCAGGCACAAATAATTCGTCTAGTCTAGAAGCAAACGCCGAGAGAAAACAGTCTCGAAACACGAGCCATATATACACTATCTGTTCCACTAGCCGGCGAAGCAATCGGCGAGCGAATATGCAGCAGCAAAGCAGTTTGGGATTGAATAAGAGTGGCTAGCACCCGATATGCGATTATTTCTAGCTCTGCCCGCGCTTAATTGAAATATTTTGTCGCAAGGACGTCAGTAAAGCCTTGAAATATACCTCATCACCACAATATCACATTCGAGTAGATCATTGTGAGTCTAATAATGCCAATTCATTCAAGCTACTCTTGATATCAGATTTTGCTAACCGAAAGAAAGGCAAACAAATTCGGCTTCTCGGCGAGTCTTTCAGCAAAATTATAAGGAAGGTGCGCGTTGATCATAAAACCTCCCACCTTCTCCCCACGCCTCTTCCCAGTTTGCTTCCCACAACAATCCCACCTCATCATCCATATTCCTTTTCATCACTCAAAACATCACCTCTCAGCAGATAAAGCGTTTCCTGACCATCTCTATCAATCATGCCTCCAGGCAGAGTCTGGAATGCCGAGGCAGACGCAAAGGTAGAAATACTCACCCAGCTCAATATATATCTAGTTACTGACTTTTCCAGCTCTTTTGTGGCGTTTTAGCCCAGTTGCAGGACGCGAGTCTCAAGCTTGACTACGATGCGCTAGCCAAATACATGGGTCCTGGTGCGCAACATTCTACTCGAAGCATACGGAAAAGCAAATCTAACCATTTCTACAGACACCGTTGTAGGCGCCGTGAGGGGAAGGATGCAGAGGCTCAGAGCCACTGCTAGGGCGGAGGGCCGTTCTACCCCCAGCGCCGGCCAAGCTTCTTCCCCTGTCTCTGCCCCAGATTCCGCATCGCCTTCCGTCAAGCGCAAGCGGGCCACCGGTCCTCGCACCCCTCGCACCCCTCACACCAAGAAGCCCAAGAACGGCCAGGGAGTTGAGAATCCTCCCGAGGTAGAAATAAATCCCCTCGTTGCGAAGGAAGAGGGCGAAGAGGCTCTGGTCGTCAAGACCGAGGGAGCAGAAGAGGCAGAAACTGCCATCAAGACCGATCCTGAGGAGACCGAGGATGACCCCTCGATGGATGTTTGATTTGGCAAACTTTGCCGTTTGACGAGCATGTGTCAAACATCCACTGGGGGAAAATCCCGGTACTCGTCAGGCTTTTTACGTTCTCAAACAATATCCTGTTCAGTTTGAGGGTTTTTTTCACCCAGATAAAAACCTGTGTCAATATTCTTAGTTCTTTCGAATCCAACTTTTTTCTTGCTCTTGCTAGTTCTAGCACTCTGGGGGTATCGATTGATGACCTTTCAAGGAATTGATGGCCTGGAGATCCATGAATAATTTCAAGCGCACGAATAGTGATACTAGTACGATCTCCAGATTTTCTCAATTTGATTCAAATAAAGATCCCAGTGCATAGAGCTAGCTATCTTTGCCATCGCGAAGTGACGAAATGACATCAACTATCTCTGCATGGTAATATCGTCACTGGTTCAAAGAACTACAGCTTTCCCTGTCCCGCGTTCGAAGGAACACTGCTCTGCGCCACGCTATACGTATCCGCCGACGCAATATTTTTCCCACTGAAGTTAACCAGGAAACTCGTATCCGACTGACTGAAAGTTCCTGAGCTTCCAAATCCATTCACCTGGCATACGTGTCCCAAATAAGTCGAGCAGACCTTGTTTGTGGTGGCATCCGGTGAGGTGAACAGCTGTCCCTCGACGGTTCCCTCGACAATAGTGGCGATATTTTGGAAGACATTGCCCTCTGCGAGAACGTAGCCGCCAGATCCAATCTCGAAGGCATGTCCGGTGGAATCATACCAGTAATTGTTGACCTGGAGTGGTGGTTAGCGCTTGATGCCTATGGCGAGGTGGGGAAATGAAGAGACTTACTGCGTGGAGAAGCGTATTTCCTTGGACTTTGGGACTGCGACCGCTGAAGTGGTATATATAGTTGCCCTTCAGGGTAATCAGATCACTCGATCCGGCGAAGTAGATGCCCCAGTACGCGTAACTGTTGCATGTGGCTGAGTAGCTTGCAACGCCGTTGAAATAGTTGTTCGAGATTGTGACGCGCTTCGATGCGTCGGTGCCCAGAACAAGATGTTGGCGGCCAATTCGTGCAGTCTATCTATTTTAGTACCAGTGATCATGTAGCTTTTTTTGGGTCCAGACTTACCGTAACATGATCAATCCAGACCATATCAGCATTGTTGATGGTGAGTGCGTCACCTCCCCAAACATACTTTTCATTGATATCGGTAATGGCAATATTTCTGTCAGATTGAAATGCAGTTAGCATATTTCCAGAACATATAATTGCGGAATTCCCACTTACTGGATGATGATATTGCTTGCGCCGCTGACAATCCGCAGTCCCTTACCCTTGATCACACCGCTAGAACCAGATCCAATCAAAGTCTTGTCTGAGTTCACCGTAATGCCAAGGACTCCGGCGTTATAACTGAAACCGTTAGGCTGGGAAATAGCTCCAGAGAGAACCACGTACTATGAGACAGAGACCTTGGCAGCACTCGCCTGGTAATTGTCACACCAACTGTTCTGGTTGATGGCCAACTGACACGAAGAGCCAGTCCCCCATGGCGCACATCCAGTCGCGGTCGTTGTACCTTCGGTACTCGTGAAGTCGAATCTGGAAGGCATAGAATCAGTATTGAACAAGGCATGTTTGCTACCCAACATACGTTTTCGACAGCACAATCACTCGCGCCGAGCTGTCTCCAAGATAAGAGACAAGTTCAGCGGTAGTACTCGGATAGACAGGCGTTGCACTCCCACCACCAGTGACGCCCTTTGCGAATCCTTCTGCGGCACCAGAAACGCCGACAGCACTGATGCTGCGTACATAACTTGCCAGAGCAAGAAAAAAAAATTTGACCCTTCATTTTCGCGGGTGTCACTGATGAATTTCAGGTCCCGGGATTGAAGAAAGTACGAATCTGGTTCAAGTTTTCTTTGCCAGATCTATGGCTATCGGCTGCTTCTTATATTTCGACTTTATCATGCCACGATACTCCGCCTGAGTGCGGAATAATTCATCCCCGTGGGGATTACCCCAATATTTCAGCCACTCAGCAAAGGAGTCCCTGAATAAATCACTCCTCGTGGGGATCTAAGCTAAAAGTCTGCGTTCACTTTGCTTAATTGGTGGATTGGAGAAATGGTCCTCAGGTTACACTCTTCATCCCCGCAGATGGCCGGATAGGATGAAGAGGCTTGAACTTTAAATTCAGTTGGCGCCTTGGACTCTGCAGGTTTATGGTAAAAAGGACGGATTAATTTATTGCAAGTTCTTGGCATATATGGGGCAACAAATTGCACCAATGGAAGATTGTGAAGAGAAGTGGAAAGCAGGAAACTATTTCTCAGAAAGGATTCTGTCGCCGAAGATTTTAATATTTCAAGAACAACCTTGGAATAACACTAGTTGTCATTATCGGGTTTATCCAAAGGAGGAACTTGAAAGTATTTGAAAAAAGAGGGGATTTTGCGGTTAGCTTTAAACGAGTTTTCTTCCATTTTATGCTGCTGTTCAAGGCTTTTCTATCACGATAATTCTTTAAGTACAAGCCAATAAGCAAGTAAAATAAAAGAAGGTTGACCGAAGCTAAACGGGATAGGTCAATGTGGAGTCTTTTTGACAAAAGCCTAAGCCTAGGTATTGTCAGACTTCCCGTGAATAAGCCAAGATTGATCTGATTAGCACCGTGACTTCTACAACCTTACTTTCTTACGGAACGATGAAGCTTATTTCTTCCTACCCTCAGGGGTGATATATTGAGCAAACATGACATTTCAAGTATTTTTGATTTCATTCGACGCTACCAAGTGAAAAATCCGTTGTAGCCTGAGTTCATCCCCGTTCAAAAACTCTATTCCTGAATCATAACAAATGGCGTAAGATAGTCCCTCTTTCCGAGTGGCACGCCTTCTTTTCGCAGGATACCATACGCAGTAGTGACATGGAAGAATATATTCGCCTGGAAAATTCCAGCGTACGCGACACCCGAAAAAGGCTGCAGATTGGGGCCGAGCGGAGCAGGCGTGACATCCTCGCAGTGCTCAACGATGTAGTTCTTGTCCGTAGCGTCGATGGCTCTGAGAGCCTCATCGATACGAGTGTGCATTTCTTCATATGTGTAGAGGACATCTTTGCTTGCGTCCACGTCGGGGAAGGGGGTGTTGTTCAATTTCGCCAGGACCATGAGTGTGTGTGTGGTTGCGGCGAAGACTTGGTAGCTGAGAGATTTCATGTCCTCGTAAAGGCGAGAGGATGGCAGTTCCGAAGCATTGGGTTGTTCCTGGGCTTTGCGGAGAATGTCGGAGAGGGTGGTTAGGGAGCGCTTTGTTTGGAGGACGAAGCCTTCGTAGATTGTGTAGGTCATCGTTGCGGTTGGGTTGGATTGGGAGGTGGATGGGTACAAGTTGCTTCGTCTTTAAGAGAAGGAAGACTTAGTATGTTCATGTTCAGGTGTGCCGATCAAGTGTTTTATATGTCAGCTCTGATTACTGCAAATTCGGCGAGGGGGGGCTGATGGAGGGGTCATAAGCACTAGTGATCAGCGCTAGAAAGGCAGCAGGATAAGCACATGTACTAGTACACGGACCATCTACGGGTAGAGCAGTTGGATGTTATTAGTGGAGCTTTCCGTATTAAGATAATGTTATGTTCTAGTTAAAGTTGGTGGAAATTCGGCGTGGATTCTGATTCGCATGTTGCTGATCCCTCGTTCCGGGTTAAGAATATCCCATCATGATGCCCAAGTGCTACTATGGTACAATCAGCATGCTAATGGCCGCGGAAACAATTTTAAATGATCCTGAATTTCGATAATCATAATAATAATCGCCGTCATATTATCTGTTAAACATATTAAGTACATAAAGGGTGGCTCATTTTCGCGAACAATATCCATCCCCGTCTCCATTAGGCTCTTCAAGTGAATTAGGTCTCCCGAAAACATAGACATGAAAATTACCGATCAGAAACCTGCATCCGCGTGGAATACAAATGTGTGGGCTCATTTCCTCCCGTATCCTCAATTCACAGGTTTTCAGTTGGGTTTAAGCACTCAAAAAGTTCGGCCCGTGCCATAATCATTCCCTTCTTGATATTATCCATCATCTTCTTCAGACAAGGATCTCTGCCGTTTTCGGAGTATTTCTTGCGCTTGGCCACCGTCCAACCAGTCACAACATACTTATCCCCGCTCATCTTCTTCTCCTCTCCCGCTGGCCTGTACCTCTTCAGAGCCATCTCCAATCTTCAGGGGTCGCTGTCGTTCGCGTCATTTTCACGGAGACTAAATGTACGGGTCTTCTCGGAGAGCCGCTTGATGTGTTGTTGCGATCCGAGAACGTCTAGCAGAAGGATATTGTGTTTTAGCGCATAGGCTAGAACGGCCTCGTCAAGTTCTTCGAAATCTAGGCCATAGTTGGCCAGTCCCTCTGTATTTTCGATAGTCAAGGAAATGATCGCAGCGAGATTTTCACCTCCGGGTTCGCTTTCAGGAGATCGAGGCTCTCAAGCTTGGCAAACATCGTGAGGAAAACTTGCTCGATCGGTGTCAGGAAACCAGTGGGATCCTTGGATCTAGTATCAAATCGTTTAGTGAATATCCCAAATTAGGCAAGATATGAGTCACATACCATTCCATATCGCTAAGTTCTTCGGCACCGAGTAAAATGGCAAGGGCTTCGCAGACTGCCCATTGTTCCTTCCAGTCATTCGCCTCCTGGAAGTCCAGAATCTGATTGTCTATCACTTTGATCGTACCCCAGATGGAATACTCGCCGAAAATCTGGATTCCAAACGATCCCGCATCTCGATATTGAAGTTGTTCGCGCATCATGTTGAATCTTCTCACGGCAGCTCGGCTAAGGGACCATTTTGCTTCTGGGTGTTCAGCCAGCGGTTTCATGCAGGAGCAGGCCCGGCCACCATCACATGGGTCCTCCTGTTCCTTTAAACCCCGTAAACATTCAGAAGCCAAGTTTGCAGGAGTCACCGGACACACCTCGTCATCATTGTCTTCGCAGCGCTGGGCTAGAACGTGTTCTGGGATTTGTTTTAACAGTTGCTGACACACGGTGAGGATTCGAAGGAGTCTTGCTAGGGGTCACTCATGAATGCACGGACGCAGAGACAACTGATCAGCGTGGGTGTCGCCAGAGTGGTGCCTCGTCGGGTTGGTCTCCAGTGGCATTGGTGGGCCTTTGGCAGCACGGGTTCCCACGGCGCCGTCCGATTTTCTTTTAGGTGCTATTTCGATGTGTATATCCGCTCTTTAGAGGGAAAAAATAGATTTGAAATCCTTGGTGACTCGTAGAATTGAGGAAGTTGGCGCGAATCGCAAAGTTCAAAGACGCGTCGACAGGCGCGTTCGCGTGGTTATCCGCGGTATGTCATTTCCCCACAAACCACTCACTCTACATCAACAGCAATCCATAGATATTAGTCTGAATGACTCTTGTACATAATTATATAGTGATAAATAATTCCCAGTGTTGGAATGTACCTTGAAATGGATCTCACTGGCAGTCCTACTATCCACTGGCAGATAGGGCGCACGATTTTCTTACAACCTTGGCCCTTGGAATATATACCAACTCCAGGGCTGTGGTGTTACTTACTAGTTAATAAGTCAAACCTAGTAAGTTTCAATATCCCAATCAAGTTTTGGAGCGAAACTGGTAGAAGGATGAGGATGGCGGGGCAATATTTAGGAGCCGCCGATCAGAGAGGCTGCCGAGGGTGACGAAGAGTCCCAGTCTGATATCAGCACAAACGAATCAATTTTCGATTTTTTTCTACTAGTGAGATATCACTAATTCGCTGATCTTGCAAGCTGGATGGATCTGAATAATCATTTGAGAAATCAGGAGGCTCAAATTCCGCACGAAGCGATTGGCCCCCAACCTCACGTGAAATTATTCGATTCATGCGAAAATTGGCAAGAATTGTAGACACTATCTAAGTACAATATAATCGGATGTAACATAGCAAAAATACCTTGTTTTTTCTTCTCTCTCAACAGACCGAGCTCGTATTGCTAGCCGATGAGAAACCTTCATACATCGTCATCGAATGCCAAGGCCGGGGATTTCATTGCTCAGCCATGCTGTGGCAGTGCAGCACATGGCCGGAAATTAGGCGACCCACCCAGAAATACGCGGCGAAATGCATTAAAATAAGTCATAGTTCGCATCGCCCATCATCTATATCGCCCATCCACTATTTTCTCACATTTACGACTTTGGTGCCTGCTCAACCCACTTGCACGACTTCAACTATCGCGGGGCTCCGAAGAGAATACTCCCAGCATATTTCGCCCTTCGTTCAAATACATTCAACCATGTCCGGCGATGTCGGCTCTTCACAAAGTGACCAATGGTCTCTAGCAAGTGCCTCAACCAAATTGAATTGCACACTAGAAAGCGATGCATCAACCATAATTCCGCATTCTCAAAAGTCATCAAGATCACGATCGCAGACCTTAATATTCTCCCGCTTAGCGCCGCTAAGAGTAAACATGCGAATATCCGCAAAACATCACGAAAATAACCCACTTTATTTCATACATGTCGGAGGAATGCTGGGCGACCATACGGATATAACGATGTACAAAGGCAATAAAAACGGCCAACAACTCGGAACCTGTCGATTCAACAAATTCCGATCTTCGAAAATCCACTTCAAGTTGAGCGCGGGTGAAAAATCCGCTCTTGATCTCGTCTCTCAACATGGATATTATCAATGGTCCATTCCTCGAACACTGGAAGCGAGTGACCGTAAGGAAGATGTTGGGGAAATATTCTTCCTCTGGAGAAGATCGCTGGATCTAGATCGGGATACACGAAATGCAGATGCTCTCAATTTAGAGTTGTGTAGCCCTGATCCTTATGAAGTGCATGCTACATATGCGGGTGCATTACCGGGAAGTGGAAAAGGGGGTGTACTTGAGATCAAGGATGACTTGGGGGAGGACTTTAAGGTTATGGCCGTTCTGACACTTTCCGTATTGGTGGAAAAGGCGAGGCAGAAACGAGATCGGAACGGGGATAATACTGCTCGCTTGATGGCTTTTGGGTAATTCTATTAAGTAATTTGTTATTAGGTCCTACTAGTAATATAAGTTATTCTTTTTAGATAGTGAGTACCTAGTATTTTATACTAAATTATAGGTTTATAAATTTTCCTACAGTCCCTAAGTTAATCATAAATTAGATCTTAATAATTACTCCCTTAGGTAATTTTATCAGAGTTCCCATTTGCAAAGGAGACTTTTTAGGCATATTTGCTGGCGCAGCTCGTTTCTCAGAGGAGCTCAGTATAGCCCATGGCATTCCTGGACCTACCGGGAGACTTTGGCTTCATTATTCCAAGTCACAGGGGTACTGAACCAGATACAGGTGTCTGAACCTAGTGGTAAAGCAAACGTGTGCCTTCATTGGGATATTTTCTGCGGCGGCATCGAGACACAGTGTAACATTTCGTGGCGAGTTTCTTTTATGGCCATCAAATAAATTATGCCCTTTGAGCCTCTAATTCGTATGGCTGCTCAGCACGGGCAATATGAATTGCACTCATCGTCTGAATATGCTGAAAGAGGTTTTCTCGAAATTGTTATCAGCCAATAATTAAGTTTCGAAGCTCTCCTTCGCTCTCCTATGGATTTTAGATGTGTTTCGCTCATATTAATCAGGAAATTTCAAGCCACTCAACGTCCAAGCGCTTTTATCCTCTCTTATCCTTTTTGTGGGTTCCAATCATGCGCTACAGAGCGCACAGTGGTTGGGAGGCATGACCGAGAAATAATCCTAATGGAGGCTTATCATTGAGGCTAATTGGTCGAATAAAGCTCCCCTGCTCTATATTCGACTAGATACATACAGCTCATTTACCCCGCTCGTTCCTCATTTCGCAGCTCTTCTTTCCCTGTCAGAGAACGTGGAATAGTATCGCGTCGGCCCGGTTCCGTTCACGGCCCGGGCGATCATCAGCACCACACATAAGCTTGTTGGATAAGCTATCTCCATGATGGTCACCAAAGACTGAAGATAAAGTAGTTACTTGTAGTAGTCCATCTACTGCTGTAGACTTATTGAATTTCAATGACTGACACTAGATTACCATTCACTGCATAGATGACGTGTTCTGGCCGCTTTGCAGGACAACTCATACTTGCATTAATTACCCTGCTTCTCCCCATTCCCGGCTATATTATATGTAGTCGGGCCTTCTCTCCCTTTTATCTTTCATAGACTTCTTGTGACATCTCCAGGGATAACTTGATAGCCAGCAAAGTTACAGTAGACCAAAAGATGGCAAAGAAGAAAACGAAACAGCGCAAGTCCAATGTGATTCCGCAACCCCTCACCCCAGAGATCTCTCCCAAAATTGACTATCATCGGCCTTCGTCATCGTGAGTTCTTTGAATGAGTAGCAACCAGCATTTTCTGACTTATTTACTGGCCCTACGAGTACCCTATTGTTACCCTCATCATAGGAAGCAAGCGCTATGGCATTCCCGCTCATTTCCTTCGGAACTACCCAAAGCTTGCCCCTGCAAGACTCGGATTATCGACTTTTATCTTGTCTCATGTTGACGAAGATGTTGGGCATACCGTGGTACACTTCTTATATACAGGTGGCTACGAGACGGTCAGCTCGCCTCTTAGTGGATGCCCGTCAGATCTCGCTAGAGAGTACAAGAGGAGCGTTTTAGTCTACCACGCGTCAAGGACTTGGGGTCTCACTGATCTTGAAGTCCTTGCTCAGCAAAAGATGCAGCACTTTGATAACGAGCTTTCTATTATTGAGATACTGCGGGTCATGAGGGATGTTTTTTCAAGCCTCCCTGCTGGTGAAACTTGGCTTCCAAGTTACATTCAAGAAAACCTGCAGCGACAATTAAAGCCTAATGATCCAGGGCTTGGGTTACGCGAATTTTACGATATCATCGGCCAAGACCATCAGTTTGATAATGCGGTGATGAAATTGATTATCGAGATACTATCTATGCGTATATTTTCTATGAAAGATCAGCGCGGTAAGTCACTTCCAAAAATTAACGATGTGCTGATTAGGCTGAACCAATTTTTCGTACATTATTAGTGAAGACACCCAATATGATCTCAAATGAATCTCCTCTTCAAGGGCCTGCCTCCGAAGGGACTGAGCCTGCCCCAGAAGACACTGAGCGTCTCAGCGAAGAGCCTGAGCCCGTTCCAGAAGAGCCGGAGTGTTTCCCTGAGCCTGTCCCTGAGCCTGTCCCTGAGCCTGTTCCAGAAGAGCCTGAGCCTATTCCAGAAGAGCCTGAGCCTGTTCCAGAAGAGCCTGAGCCTGTTCCAGAAGAGCCTGAGCCTGTTCCAGAAGAGCCTGAGCCTGTTCCAGAAGAGCCTGAGCCTGTTCCAGAAGAGCCTGAGCCTGTTCCAGAAGAGCCTGAGCCTGTTCCAGAAGAGCCTGTCTCAGAAGAGACCGAGTCTTTCATCGAAGAGCCTGAGCCTGTTCCAGAAGAGCCTGATTGTTTCCCTGAGCCTGCCCCAGAAGAGACCGAGTCTCTCATCGAAGAGCCTGAGCCAGTTCCAGAAGAGACCCCTGCTGAGGGAAATAGCGAACAGTGGACTATTCCCCAAGTGCCTGCTAATGCTGACGGCTGGCCGCGCGCTTCTTTGTTACCGGGGGGTACGCCTGACACCGAATTACTACAAGAGACTCCTGATCAGGGCCACATAGCGAGGATTTCATGCTCGGACTTGAATCTGTATGAGAATTGGGGAAGCCTGTCTTCGAAGAGAAGAGCTATAAGGGCTAGCAAGCTTAGGTCTAGAGGACTTCCTGTCCCAAGCGAGACTGGTTTCATTTCTATAGTTGCAGATTGAGATTGAGAGTGATTTAGGACAGCTTCAGCCAGGTAATCAAACCATTTAACTCCTATTCATAAATTCGTAAGGTACTAAAAAGAGGTATAGAGGTAATCTATGGGGCTGGGGCAAATTGGGAGTTTTCGCTCTCCAGTTTCATGGAGGTAACAACGATCAGGAGCGGCTTCTATAAAATTGATAAATGATTGGTTCGATGTTACTCCTTTCTCCACTTTGGAGTGGCTCGGTCTCCCCAGCAAGTCAGGACAGCGAGTGCGGGTGCGTAATGGATCGTGCGGGGTAATAGCTAGACATAATTGGTTAAAAAAGGCCGTCTTCCTCACTGAGAAAGGAGCTATTCAAACCACGGTCTAGATCGTAGGGATTGTAGCTGATAGCTCATACGAAACTGAGGCACATCCTAGAAATGGGAGTTCGAAGGACCGTCTCCATCGAGAAATCTCAGCTAAATTCGAGGGCCGCGGCTTATCTCAGGAAACAGGACTCCGAGGATCGTGTACATCGTGGGTATTTTCGCTAGTGCCAGCACCGTGGCACATCCTAGGACATAGAAGTTTGGAAGACAATGTGTATCGTGGGGCATCCACGTTTTACGACAACCCTAGCATCCTGTGAAATGTACCTTTGTTTTGCGCCGTTCGCCTCGGCGAAACGCTGACGATCAAGCGAGACGCCGACGAACGCCCCACCGCTAGCGAAAATTCTACTAACGGAATATCCAGTAGGGAGAAAATTCTGATAGGTATAATTGTTTCGCTCCTGAATATTATAGAATTCTAACGTTGTTTGGTACCGAAACATATAACCCAGGAATATTTTACGTTAATAATTTCACGTTTATGTCCCTAGAATTCTCGGCCAAAAGTTTTGTCCCAGGAACAATGTTTTTGTCTCGAAATATTAAGTAACGCAAAACCTTTCTATCCTCAGATTATTAATATTATTCTTGTGAAATTTGACAGATTCTTTATATTACGAGCCAAGAAGTCCCAGTCTCCAAAGATGCACTTATCTCATGAGCATGCAAAGAGAGGCTTTCTCGAACCTTGCGAAACTGACTAAAACTATGTTGAACATCTTGATTACTATTTTCTATCGAGGACGGCATTTTCCAACACCACGAGTCTTCGATGTTGCGCTGCTCATCTAACATTTTGCCAGGGGCCGTTAGAAGACGGTTAGAGAACGTATTCATTCGCTGCTTGGACAGGCGTCAACCCAGGAAGCTCATGATGTTGAAAACAAGATAAAGATTCTAAAAACAAGACTCAGATAGCGCATAATTGGATATAATAATCTTTTTTTTAGATACGCCAGTGGTGTGACTTCATAGTCGTGCGCGCCCAACCATGTTTCAGACGGGGAGGCGTATAGCCTTACTACTGCCTACTAGAACTCGTGGCCAGTCGAGGGGCGCATTAAAGGTGGGCAGGTAGTCCACAGTTCGATAATCTGGGTGCGCAGCCTAGCACTGAATACTTTAATGGATATGGGCAAAACAGTAGCTCACCGGCGATTCATCGGCGAGCGTCTCCAGAACTTTTAGTTAAATGAGAAACTGTCATCACTTTGATGAGGCTGGCCTCAAAACGAAAGCCCTGTTCTTCTAAGAAATACGCGCTTTGTAACTACTACCCCGCCCGCCACCCTGTTTGAGCAAGCCGCCCCACCTGACCTGACCCCACCGCCTTAGAATCTTCACCATCACAGAACCATTGTAAGATGAACCCGGCGCTTACAACTTAACGCCACTTGGTGTTCTATTCTATAATATTGATACCCCTCCTCTGCTCTGAGAAACACTTCGTTCACCTTTTTTTCTTCTACTCTACACGAACAAAAACATGGCTGAACCAATCGGACTGGCCTCTGGAATCCTTGCTTTAGCGACGTTTGCATTTCGAAACAGTGTTTCGCTTTATGAGACAGTGGACAGCTTCCGTTCACATCCAAAGCGTGTGCGCGATCTTCTCGACGAGCTGGGGGGGCCTTAGTGATGTGCTGACAGGTCTCGTTGACCTGGTTAAGTCGAACTCTGGTGTCGATCTCTCAACTTTGGACCTGCCGCTATTGCGATGTGGTAATATTTGCAACGAGTTTCGGCAGGAAGTCCTTCAATGCGCATCACGGTCAAACAGTAGCAGAACAAGCTTCCGTGACTGGGCTAGGCTGACGTTCATGGGTAATAATATTGACGATTTCCGCGACTTGCTGGCGGGATATAAAGCCACGCTCAATATTGCCTTAACCGATGCAAATTTGTAAGTTACTTCTAGCTGTGACAGCGCCTTGTTCTGTTTTGTTGGACCCATTTCGGACTTTTGGCTCATAATTAGCAAGGCGTCTATCAGCGGCTGCTGTTGAGAATATCGAGGAGTATGAGAGTCTCATCCAAGATGCGAAAGAGGATCTAGGAGCTCGACTCGAAGGCATCGATAGGAAACTCGAAGAACTGGTTGAGAAGGACACGACTCAGCCTGGAGCAGATGCAGCAGAGATGCGCTCGCTGAGAGAAGAGCGTCTGAGTACAGAGAAGTGCCTTCAGATCTGCGCCCAGTTGTCGAGGCATATTGATCAGATTCAGCTGATGTCCGACGAGACGGGTTCATCTCGGGGATCAGGTTTAGCTGAAGCCTCACCCGAATCGGTCACAAATGAAGGTCTACAAGAGTGCAAAATTAGCTTAACTGCGACGACTGTTAAATTAGAAAAACATATGCGAGATGTCATGGATAGGCTGCTCGCCAAATCAAAGACTACGATCTTCTCTGATGAAGATGCTCAAGATCTATCGAGGCTGCGCGATGAGTGGGAAACAGCTCGGCAATGCTTGGATATCTGCTCACGGGCCGATAATCATTTAAAGGATAACGTCAGCATCATCGAAAACCACGGCACTGGCGACGCCCTGCAGTTTATGGTGTCCACAAATGGAAAGATTCTCCACGGGAAGAACCGGGGCTTGGGTTGGAGGAGCAGACAAGTGGGAGGCTACATGAGCGACGATTCAATCCAACAATTATCACGAGACCTCACTACTATTCATACTAGTCACCTGAAGGGTGAAGTATCTATTTCAAATGATGGTACCCCTCCAAACCCAGGCAATGTGATGGAAGGCGAAATGACTGCCGAATTCAAGGAACGATATGGGCGAGGCTTCACTCTGAAACCGGTGCGCACACCAGACACGCAGACTTATTCACGGAGTGCGAGCAATGAATGAGTAGATCTGCCAGGGACGGTCTGCTGGAAATATACATTCTCTTTTCATGATTAAGGACCATAGTATACATTTTCTTTCTCCGAGAAGGCTTCTGTCTCATTCGCCATCGTAACATTTTTCTACCATATCCGACAAAGGTACTCACTCCAACCTATACTAGGTTGATGAGGGGACTACGCAAAACATGAAGATTTTAAGCCCACGTGGCCAAATGTCTATATTGGATCTTTGTTACTTGTTGTAAAGCTAGTTTCGATGGCTATCCGGTGATTTACGTCCATGGTGGCTCCCGCTCAACTGGCAGGTCTCCATGGCTAGGAAGCCGTGGTGGGATGTCTGCAGCCTTAGGCATCAAGCTTTAGAGCAGGTGATGTGGGATCAGATCCTTCTGGCTATGGATTCAAGGCTGAGACGTTATGGATTAGGTCCTAAGGTAAATCCTGTATTTCATTGTACGCGTTAGTTTGTGTGTCTTGACTACAGGCTTATGTATATCGGGAGCAGCTACACGCCCAAGATGGAATCTTCGGTGCAAATGCTTTCATTGAATCAGAGAAGTTGCAAAAGGCTGAAGTAATTTATACGGTTGAGACTGTATCTTCCTTGTTTCAATGAGCGGCGCGAAGGATTTTTTTTAAATAGCGATCCAATGTATTTCATAATGTGCGTTGTATTCAGAGGAGAATTCTCCGTCTAGCCTCGAGGTCTTGAGTCTCCTTCTACAATCTGTGATGACTCCTCTGAATAGATAGGTCCTCCTCGGCTATATTTTCTAATTGATCAGGAGAAAGGAATTAGACCCAAGACGGCGAGAAGGTATTTATCGGGGTCTCGGGTCCAGTGGCTAGATAAAAGTCCGTCGCTTGCATACATACATTGTCAACAAATCTTTTTCGTGTGATCTTGTAGTATGATTTCAGAATATCATGGACATCCTTGACCGTCTGTTTAAAATTACTTATGTGATGAATTCTCACAAGATGAGAAAATTGCTAACAATCTTGTCTTGAGCTATTGTATATTCACAGAGAATAAAGACTTTTTAACAATAGACTTAATTTGTTTCTAGCGAGTAAAGCCAGAATTACCTAATAAGCCATAGTTAAATTAAGTTTAGGTTTAAGACTTACTACTTTAATAAATTACTGCCCTAAGGTAAAACTAGACCACGACTACTGCGCTGGTGTCGGGTCTTGGCTACTACTTTGGGAGAACCCACGAGCCCAGTTCTTCTCTTTCATCTTTCACAGTTCATGGATGAAGTGGTGGATGCGGATGTTTGAGGAATCAGATGAAATTCAATGAAGAGGTCATGCAGACACGAGGAAATGTTGCCAGGAAATTATATCCCAAGGAAAGGGGTCAAGGTCAAGGGTTCAGCCACCAGACGGCTTTTACCGCACTAACTAATTTCCTAGATATTTACTACTTCCACGCTAACAAAGCGACTTCATTCCTTCCGGCACGGAATGGCCAGAATGGACTTAGTGGACAACAAAATCCGCCACCATGTGACATTAAATCCTCTCCTCTTGATTTAGTCGAGAACCACCGAAATCTCTGAGACCGTGACCCAATCAACCCATCGCTAGGTTGGATACTGCCCCGCCTGGAGCCGAGATATAGTACTACTAGCACACAGGGCTCCTCGCTCCATCTACACCATGGGGGCGATTTCGGTCTCATGGGAAATTACGCTGTTCTTTTCGCTTCCGGTTGATGGCACTTAAAAAAAAGTATTTAGTACATTGAGAGAAGACGTCAAAATGAAGAGAGCCAGAACCCTCAGCCAGCACTATGCGCATTTCTTTCCTGGCCACAGGTGTGCTGTTGCTACAGCACGCCTGCCATGTGCAGGCCAAGGCTGTCTTTGCTCATTTTATGGTACTTTTCTCCATTGGTCATCGATTCTTTCAAAGCTGATGATTCTCTCAGGTGGGAAACACTCCGACGTGGGAACTGTCCGACTGGAAGAACAACATTCAATTGGCCGTCGATGCCCACCTTGACGCATTTGCCCTGAACATCGCCAACGGCTGGTATGCCAACGATGCATCTCTTGCTCTGGCCTTTGAGGCAGCAGCTAGTCTTAACTTCCAGCTCTTCTTCTCCTTTGACTATGCCGGGAACGGGTCGTGGGCCAAGGCAGATGTAATCAGTCTCATCACCCAGTACGGTAGATCCGGTGCTTACTTCCAGTACAACGGTGAGCCTTTTGTCTCGACCTTTGAAGGGCCTGGTAATGCGGACGACTGGGTCGAGATTAAATCCCAGACGGGCTGCTTCTTCATTCCGGATTGGTCGTCGCTTGGTGCGATCCCCGCGGCTGCAGCGGCCGATGGTGTTGTCGATGGTCTCTTCAGTAAATCTCCCTGCCACCGGTATTCTCCTCGTTGAAAATTCAATCGCTAACGAAAATAGGCTGGGCGGGGTGGCCCTGGGGAGATAAGAACATCACTACGTTTGTGGACGCTTCGTACATGCAAACTCTCAACGCCAGCGGGAAGCCCTACATGATGCCGGTGTCGCCCTGGTTCTACACCAACATGCCCGGCTACGACAAGAACTGGCTGTGGCGCGGTGATGACTCTTGGTATCAGCGCTGGCAGCAGGTGTGGTATATACAGCCTGAGTTTGTCGAGATCATCTCGTGGAACGACTTTGGGGAGTCGCACTATATCGGGCCACTCGATAACAGCTCCTTTGACGCCTTCACCGTGGGACAGGCACCATTCAACTATGTTGAAAACATGCCGCATGACGGATGGCGTGACCTGTTGCCCTTCATGATCGATACCTACAAGAACGAGCGGGCTCTAGTCACGGATGAGAAGCTGGTGGTGTGGTACCGTACCTCGCTAGCCGATGATTGTAATAATGGCAACACTACCGGCAACACAGCCTCACAGCTGCAGCTCGAGTTCGCACCTGAGAATGTCTCGCAGGACCGGCTCTTCTTCACCGCGCTGCTGTCCAAGTACGCAGATGTCGGGGTCATGGTCGACGGATACTACCACAAAGCCGAGTGGGACTTCCTACCCCCCGGGCCCCAGTCAACAGGCGGCCCCGGCCTCTATCACGGCAGCATTGCGCTATCGCACCTAGAGAGAGCTGAGGTTTTTATCACCCGCAATGATGTCGATATCTTTTCCGTCTTCACTGTCCAGAATGTGTCCCCAGACAACTGTGTCGGCGGTCTGACCAACTGGAACGCGTTCGTGGTCTCTGGCTCAGGCGGCACGTTGCCAGTACCCGTATACTCGACATTCGATCTGAGTGTGCAGACCTGCGTGGCTGGCTACAGCGTTGACGCCTTCACTGATCTGTGCGAGTTTACCTGCGCGTGGGGATACTGCCCCATCGGCGCCTGCGTATGCACCAACATGGGCATCATTCTCAAAGAGGCCAACCAGACCAGCGCCGTAGGATACCCGGCTAACGGCGACGCTAATTACGCGGGGCTGTGCGGCTTTGCCTGCGCGGCGGGCTTCTGTCCCTCCAAATACTGCTCCCTGGAAGTTCAAGCGGCCTATATACCGACCAGCTCGCCCTTTGATCCGCCCACATGCACCGGAGGCAACACCACTAACGGAAATTTCCTGGGTCTGTGCAGCTATGCGTGCAACTTTGGCTTCTGTCCACGGAACACCTGCTCATGCAGCTCCGAGGGCCCTCTCATCCAACCTCCGGCCCAGACGAGCACCGGCACCGGCAAATCCCTCGTTGGGCCAGACTCGGATCTATGTAATTTTGCTTGCACGCGCGGATATTGCCCCAGCGGCACCTGTACTACCTCTGTCAATTTTGACGTATCTGTGATAGCTGCACTTGGTGACTCGTTTGCTTCGGGTCCGAGTGCTGGAGATGAGTACGACGAGTCGCCGTGTCGTCGATACACCGAGGCATTTGGCCCTCAGCTCTCACGCTCCGGCGAGATAACCGGCCCCAAACCGATTGACTTTGAATTTCTCGCATGCTCGGGATCAAAGACCATGCATATCTGGGAAGATCGAGGTGCTAGCTCGAGTTCTAGTGGCGAGGTAAAACCAAAGCGCGCTCAAGCCAACCAGCTCAAAGATTTGAATCTCGACTTCAACATGATAACATTGAGCATTGGGGGGAATGATGCCGCGTTCGTCACAGTTTTGGACAGAGTAAGTCTAAATTGTTTCACCACCGCCTCACAAGCGTCGTGAAAAGAAAATGCTGACGGTGTAGTGTGTCTATCGCTTCTATGATGTGTCGGGTTGCTCAGGCTGCACGCCAAGTTTCTTTCACAATGACTGCTCTGATGACTGCTCAGCCGCGATTGATGAAATGAACCAACGTTTGACTGGAGATAAAATTGCCACAGGCCTCAAAATATCCTATGATGCCATCATAGCTGCGGCACCCAATGCTCACCTTTACGTGACCAGCTATCCGGCTTTCTGGAATGAGGATACAGACGCATGTGATCAAGTCAGCTTCAAATTCGGCTGCATCAACAATTCTGTCTTACCGTTGATAAAAGAACGCCGCCGACGCATGAACGATCTGACCAAAAAGTTAAACGGAATAATCAAATCTGTTGTTGCTGCAACAAGCACACAAGGTGCAGGGTCGATTCACTACGTCGACGTGGATCCTTACTTTGACGGACACCGATTTTGCGAAGAAGGTGTCAGTGAGCCCAGCTATCGCAATTCGGATATCTGGTTCTACCCATTTGAGTATACGACTGGGGGAACCTTGTCTATCTCTGCTACGGGCTCAGGCACAACCAATTGCACTGCTATTTTGGATGATGAGGGGGATAATGGAGATTATTTCAACTGTGAGCTTCAGAATTCCATGGCAGCTGATGGTATTACTCTCGATTTAAGCTCGATGTCAAATAATGTTGCTGGCAATGACAGCTTGGGGGTTCTTAGTGACAGTAGTGGAGATGTACTCCCGGATTTTGCAGCCAGGATTTTCCATCCCACAGTCCTTGGGATGGCGGCGTACACACAGGCTATACTTGATGTATACCATGGGTCGGCATGATTTGAACAAGATTTGGAGGCTGAGGTATGCATAACCTAATTACAGATCATCTTATTCTTATTTTCAATCACCTGTTAATCTTTCTATATGTGATCCCCAAACAAAAAGAAAAGCTCACAAATATTTTCGCTTGATTAGATTTCACATAACAAAATCAATAAACAAGTCTGAATATGAGTTGACGTTTCTTCCATGTTCAATCTTTTAAATCTTCACTTTAACCTAGACACCCCTGAGATAAGATACATTAACTCCCAAGACCTTCATATCTTAATAGAAAAAACGTTATATTGGTATCGTTTTATCGATTAGATAAATCCTTTAGCACTGATTATATGTTTCATTAGCTAGCAACGAAGTTCGAATCTATGCTTACTTTTTTAGTTCTAATTTGATCCACGATTCGAAAGATACCATCTCTCTAGAGCATGATAGTCAAAAATTGCCAAATATCTACTAGAGCTTATCAGGTTGCATGTACTATCAGCCACATTTCCGTTTTCAAGATTTTTGGCTGACCTTTGCAGGCTCAAGCTTGAAAATGGCAAGGAGCTACGTTCCCATAGATGATTATATCTATGTAATCTTTATATCAGGAATATCCTGGTTGATAAATCAACATAGAATTAGTCGCAAGCTTCTCTGAAGGCTTCTCCTACTCAATTTACAAGAAGTAAAGACGTTTGAAAAGAGAGATAATGACGGTTATATTGCCAGAATGTCTCTTTCTATCTCTCTTTCTCTCTCTCTTTCATTCCCAACGAGCGTAACCACCCCAACTTTTCAAGGCAGATCAAGAAGATGCCATAACATTCACTCTCCGCGCAAGCTCCGCAGACCCCCCTAGCTGCAACGAACTCAGTTTTAGACGCAAGCATTTGAGCATTCGGCACCACTCTCCCCGCCGCATCTCGAATAGCCTCTTCTATACCATCATCCATGATACCCGTCATGATAATCAAAAGCTCATCAGGAACTCCAATAGGAACATTTCCATACCAGGAGCTTAAAAACCGATAAACAAATTCCGCCACCCGCGACGCATGATTATCAACGCTTGAATGAGCACCCAATTCAAAAGAAGCTATTGAATGAGGGTCCGTAGATCCATAATCCACATCCAACGCCGTCTGTAAATACTCCGTTTGCAGTAAAATAGCTTGATCGGTATATTCAACCAAGAAAGTTTCGCGCATCGGTAGTTGACTTCCTTCATCCTGGCACCTATCCTTGGCCTCGAAGTGCTCACATAATCCAAGCCCGTGTCCCGCAAAAGAAGCGTAAATTTCCGACGGATGGAAATTGTAAAAGCCCGTGAGTTTCGGAAGACCTAGATACTCGGCCACGTCGTTGATATCTTCCTTGTAGAGGGCTGCGATTCCAGGATAGCTTATGACGACGTATGGAGCTGTGGGGGGATTTAGTCAAAGAGAGGAGATTTTTGACTAGGTTGCTTATGGTTGCCACGTCTGGAGATGGTGCCAGGCCTATCTTTTTGCGTAAAGATCGCCATGCTTGTCGGGGTGTGTCTTCCCACATATCTTCCATTGAAGAGTAAGGGGGGCTGTTTTGCCAAAGGTTAAGGTTAATATGGTGGAAGGTGTATTTTATAGGAAGATTCTTTGTTTTGAGAATGTACCAAGCATGCTGTGCCGCGCGTGATGAGAGTCGCTTTATCATTTCGATGTAGCTAGAGTCACCATCGACGCGACCGAGGTCTTCGAAAGAACCATCGGCGTGACGAAGGGATATAACCCTGAGGAATTTGTGAGTGTGATTCCATTTACAAGGTAGGGTAGCATCCATACCCATATGAAGCCGTGAGAGAAATGCCTATTGACGGATCCGATAACGTCATTGGACCCAGTTCGTAAGGCGCAGTCGAAGGCCAAAGGTAATAGATGAAAATAAACGACAGCCCTGCGATGAGGTATTTTGAGAGCATCGTTGTGCTCAACTGAGGTGATGCAATCGATGGATTGGATCGCGGGGCTGTTTTTGCAACATCGGACGTTGTAGGCACGGGGCTGTCTCCGGCACTGCCATCTTCATTATAGGGGCGACTCAGTAGGCCTGCCAAGGGTATTTAATTTCGGCTGACCGCCCAGGAGGCCGACCATAACCAGAACTAGCGTTTGAATTTACCAGCTCTCAATACAAATTAGGAGCGGCCTTGTGCAAATAGCAAAGGTAGCACTAGTGTGCATACATTCAAAATTGAAAGGGTTTCTGGATATCATCAACACTTTCTCCACCATGAACGTAGGTCCGTGCATTCCCCTATACCCCCGCATGTCTCGGGTCTCTGTGAGAAACTGGCGACGCGCGCTCTCGCACGCTGTACGCCCTAAAACGACCAAGAAAGGGGAAACCCCGATCACGTGGTACTACATCACGTGCATTTACAAATACCAGACCAATAAGAGAGAGGCTTGGCGCGAAATAGGGTCTCTCGCAGCGTGACTCTGCCTTCAAGTCAGCCTCGCACACTGACCTACAGTTTGTAACCCCTTCCACTCCGTTCCTTCGTTTCAGGGCATTTCACCCCTGACCACCTCCGCTTCACCCCGAACGAACGAGCTAAACCGGAGAACTCGAATCCGCAATGATCAGGCTCTTCTGATTTACATCGAAACCTGGCATCTTTCTACAATACGTGTACGGAGCAATAAACAATCTTGTTATCAACTCTGAGCAGAGTAAAGACAGGGCGATGTTACAGCGACCCCCCCTTGTAATTAGTTATCTGGAAAGAACTTTTTATAAACCCCTAAATCTTGTGACAGGCTGTAGCGACAACCGTTCAATTAGAGCTAGGCCTGCATGCTGTTTACAATAATCTTGAACAAGAGTCATCTATGTGAGCCTCCTGGCTCAAATCCCAAGATCCAAGCACCGGCGTCACAAACGAAGACAAAGCAAAACTCCTAACCGAGGCTGCATACGCGAAGAAATTCGACGACCAAGATCCTGACATGGTCGAGGACGCGCAGTCCTTGCTAGCCACCGTTTCCGGCAATCAAAGCGCCCCCGCCGCTCTCCCTGTCTTCTGACTGAGTTATCGGCATACGGTGTTCTGGCCAGACTGCGTCTCATATTTCTCCTGCGAGTGCGGGAAGACGTGTCCGTTTCATCTCAGGACGAATCGGTCGCCTCGCAGTGTTTGCGCGCGGCAGGGTGGGTCGCACTGTTGCGTTAGCTGGTCTACGTATGAGATTAGCGAGTGGTTTTTCTCGACTACCTTGGTATATTGTAATGGGATGACCCATGATCAGGGTAGATCAAGAGCTTCCTGCAAGGGCTATGGCAGTAGTAATGACGGGGGTAATGTATGTCTAAGCAATCGTGCTGGTTCGTGTACTTAGCTAAGTGCTGTTATATCTCGCCGCTCTGTGGAAAAACTTGTATCGTATATTGCAAGTTGATCCCACGGGCTCTTCTTAAGTCTATTTACTTTGTTCATCACTCTTCCCCTCTTCTTCCTTGATAGTCGGTACTTTCTTGGATAGAGTCAGATTATCCCATTCATCAAGGAGCCGGTCTAATTCCGCATCATCGGCCGCCGCGCCCATCCCTTCCTTGAACTCCGTAGAGACGGCGAAATTCGGATAAAGGCTGCTAAACCGTTGACGATCGCTCGCGGACCAAAGCTCTTCTTCGAAATCGCGGAGAAGAATCTGGGCCTCGGCGGGAAGTTTGGCTTCTTGTTTCATTGCTGTCAGTTGGATGAGTCGAAGCATGCCCTTGGCTAATTGCCAGCGACGTGCGAGAGCTCTCAGACTGATCAAGATATCCGTAAATGATTTTCTTTCCTCCTCGTGTTCGAGACTGCCGAGGAGCGCGAATAGGGCCATCGTGGCGTACTGCATCAGATTCATCGGCATGTACTCTACCGGCCAGAGGGAGCGGAATTTGTTGAGCCCGTCGCCGATTTCACGGGCTGATGATGTGCAGATTGCGTTGATTCTGGCTTTTTCTGTTGATTGTGTTTCGTCGAGGGCGGGTAGAATAAATCCGTACATTATCAATATTGCGTTATGGTATCTCATGCTATCGGGTCGCATTAGTAGGGTATTCGTTTAGGTTATTCCTCAAAGGGGCTGAAATTACTGGATATCCATAACGCCGGGTGTTGCGTTGCTTTCCTTGTCAATGCAACTAGGGAGACATTTCGCCCAATTCTGCAAACGCTCGTAGAATGCGTCAATCTTTGTCGTGTCGGGAGTAGCAGGCTTTTCATCTCCAAAGAGATACTCAGACACCTCCCAGAGTATGTTGCTTAAATCGAAGAGTCCGTTCTTGACGCAGTTCGTGTGGGCTGGCTGCGGGTCGGCTTGTCGGGGATACGGCGTCCAATCATCCGATGGACGATGATCCTGCGGGGAATATTTGAGCTGCGGTCGTTTTATAATTGTTGGTTTCTGGAAACTAAGGGTCGCGAATCTTCAAAGACGCCAAGCATTAGTTTTGGTAGAGGAGAGAATTGGCGGTGGCCTTTCTCACGGATTCAAGCTGAATAGCCCATGGAGCGTGGTATCGATGCTTCTTGACACTTCTTCAACTTCGTCGTTTGCTTCTTTGAGGAATATTTCTCGCTTGTTGATAAATTGGCGGGCGCAGTCTGCTATTTCCACCAGATACTGCCAACCAAGTCTATCTTTGCCCATGACACAAACGCTGGTTTTTCATGTCACCTTTCCTTCGCTCGCCTCGGTCTATAGATCATAGTAGAGAATACGTACCTGGTATAAATGTCTCCCCTTGCCTGAAGGGTAGTAAGAGTCAATCTGCCTTGTTCTTCTGCCAAAAGACGTGTCGCCTCTTTGAAAAAGTGCTCGCCCCGAGAGCTCTGCTCATCTGGATTGGCGAACCCTTCCGGATACCAGGAATAGAACTTTGTTCAAAGTTAATCAGCTACCCTCTCTTCATCGGGAAGTGATTTCAAAAGGAGATCCAAAAACTCACACATGCGACAGCCAGTATACTATTTACCAAAAGCGGCGAGCAAAATTTCGAGCCCAATTTCTTCGACCGCATATCTCTCAGAAAAAGATCCCGATCAATCCAATTCAACCCAGGATGCTGCCACGTAAAGTAAAGCGAGATAAGATGCGACACAAAGCTGGCATCCGACGTAACCTCAGTCCACGGGTGCGCGGGAACTTCGTAAAGAGGAATATCAGACAAACTCTTGATATCCATATATTTCGACGACTTTCTCCGCACCTTGGCGGGCATTTCATCAGCAGTGCTCGAGCTGGGATCTAAGTCCAAGAATTGTCGAATCTCGCCGACAGACGCATTGCTTCGAATCAAATTCAGGACTCCGGGCGCTGTCCGGTTATCGTCGCTGCGGATAGTTTCCATCAGTTGCAGGAGCAAATTGCGGTCCTGCTCCAGGGAGTGAATCTTGCGCTTGAAGACGACTCGCCGTCGGCCGTCTGTGTCGAAGTCGAGTTCGCACTCTGTTTCCGCTTTACGGCATGGCTCGCATGGTACGCCTCCGACACACTGCTCGAGTCAGGATGTGAGATTGGGCTAATCTGGGCGCAAAAACGTACCCTCGACTTGCGCCGCCGGCATGCGGAGCAGGCGCTGCTGGCGTTTTTCACGAGCTTTGGGGTGTTAGTGTCCGGTTTTTCAGATTCATGGGACTCATCCGAGGGTGGGTGGGTTGATCTGTTAGTGTTTCGTGCTGTCATCTCGCGTTGGCTGGAGAAATCGCCCTGGGGGATTCGACAAGTGGCAGCAGTAGGAGACCGGAGAAGTTCTCCTGCCGGGTAAGTGGGGGTTGAATGTGGAGTGGTGGGATGTGCCGGAGATGTTCTCCGGTCAATTAAGGTCGTGATCTGCTAGGCTTTTTGGGGCGGGGTAAGGGTAAAGATCATCGAGATTGTAGATTCCAGCAATGTCTCGTATGTCGTAGAATGATTTTTGCACCAAGATTTGTGCATCATCCAGAAAAATGAACCAAAATTTGAAGTGCGGTTGCTTAGTAACCAACCAGGTCTCCCAAGAGTTATAGATATCACTAGATTGGTTTGAACTCGTTTCCTCACGGAATTCTCCTCATTTTTAATCTCAGGTCACATACAGCTGTCGCTACTTCCACATGTACCTGGACCTGGACCTGGCGGGATCATACTCCGCCATCTCCTAGGCTGACCTAAGGTAGTGCGAGTAGGAAGCCCCCACGCAACAACAGCCTGCAGCGTATCGACGTATCACAGCAGAGTACCGAGCCTAACCTAACCCCCCCAACCAAAGAAAGCAAACCCAAAATAAGAATGAAAATGAAACCCAAAATCCCAAACCCTCGTCTCGCCGTTCAACGCAGGAACCCAGCCCACCTAGCCTACCCAGCCAGCCCCAATCTCCACCAACACGAGATCCAAAAAACTCAATTCAAACCAAATTCTAGGCAGACAGAAAAACTTCTTCTAAAATCGAAAAAAAACCGCCCTAAGCCCTTCCGGGCCATACAAACGAAAGAGAGCTGAAGTCCATCTACACTACCGAAAGCAATCCGCGCTAACCCCTTCTAGGGCATTGGTACGAAGTATACGAAATCACTCCACTATTAGACAATATTGATAGAATTATTAACATTAGTCTATGGGATAAAGTGGAGAGCAAGGGTTTCAAATGTCGTTCTCGTGTCCGTATCCATATCCCGTTCGAAAGAAAGTTGAATAAATAATGTTTTGAGGGGTATATAAGTAAAGAACTACATACTGATCCGCACGAGAAATCGAACTCCAGCGAACCGAACCGTCCACCAACACCACCACCCAGGCTAGTAGCCAACACCCAAACCAAAATGGCCCCAGCAGGATGGAAAGCATACGCCTACAACCCGTCAATGGGCGCGGCAATAATCTTCATAATCCTCTTCGGCGCAACAACTCTAGTCCACACATGGCGCCTCTTCGGCACAAGAACTTGGTTCTTCATCCCGATAATGATAGGCGGATACTGTACCCCCTCCCCCTTTCGTCCATCCACCTTGCTCTTAATGGGATCCCGCTAACATATCATGATCCAGTCGAAACAGTCGGCTATATCGGCCGCGCAATGTCCGCAAATCAATCGCCGAACTGGACAATAGGCCCGTACATAATCCAAAGCACACTCCTGCTCATCGCGCCGGCGCTCTTCGCAGCGAGTATTTATATGGAACTGGGCCGGGTGATTGTACTCGTGCGCGGTGAGAAATTCTCGCTTATTAGGGTGCGGTGGTTGACGAAGATTTTTGTTGGGGGGGGATGTGTTGAGTTTTTTGATGCAGGCTTCTGGTAAGCTTCTCCCTGGCCAGCTTCAGCCAACTCCTTCGTGTGTGTGTGTGTGTGTGTCGCTAATCACGGTGCTGGATAACTAGGTGCCGGTCTCATGGTGACGGCTGCGAATGGCGGGTCGGCGGACTCGGCGAGTATGGGGAAAAACGTTATTATTGGGGGCTTGTTTGTGCAGATTATTTTCTTTGGGTTCTTTTTGCTTAGTGCGGTTGTTTTTCAGAGGAGGCTTGTGACGGCTGTCGGTGGTGGTGGTGAGGGGTATGTTTCAACCACGTCGAGTGCCAGTGTTGATCATCTTCCGTGGAGAAAACATATGTTTGCGCTGCACACGTCCAGCGTGTTAATTCTTGTGAGGTCTGTTGTGAGGGTGGTGGAGTATGTGCAGGGGACGGATGGGTTTGTCATGAGTAATGAGGTGTTTATTTATGCATTTGATGGGTTATTGGTGTGGGTTGTTTTGGTCATTTTGGTTGTGGTGCATCCGTGTGAGGTTGGGAGGTTGTTGAAGAGGGAGAAGATGAGGATGGGGAGGGGGTTTGGCATTGATGGGGCTGAGCCGCTGGTGTGATGCAGTGTGGTGTGGTGGTTGAACCGGTCTGGCTTGTGCTTGTGCTTGTGCTTGTGCTTGTGCTTGTGCTTGTGCTTGTGCTTGCGCATGGCCATGGCCATTGTATACATAGCTGGGAGCTTGTAGGAGCGGGAGCCGTGACTTTAGCGTGATCCGACGAATATCAGCGTTCATGTTTTCTTTTGTTGTGCACTAATATCACTAGTGTGTCGATCCAGTCTGAGTCGCAGTGAATATCGGGATGGCGCATCCATGCTCGGGAGAGGATCAGCTTGGATTTCCTTTTCTTCTTCGTTTCGCTTTTGCCTCATTTCGCTTCGCTTTTGCCCAGCACCCCCGCTTGTCGAATCTGTCGCATTCCTCACCCCTCAGACAACCATCTGCTCAATATAATTCGCACCAAGTATAGCCCGCATCGCCCAATCAATCAAAGGCCTCCACTCCTCATCAAGAATAGCCCAAACAGCCTTCGCAACACGAAGACACCACTCTCCAAAGCACCACCGATGCCTCATCGCCTGCAAAAGCACGCCATAATGCGCCAACATGACCAACGCCATCGGCTCGCGCTCGCGAAGCAATTCCATAAACCGCGCCGGTAGTCGAATCGCCCAGCGGCCCGCGATAACACTGGCAGTCATACCGCCATACACCCAGCCCAACATTTCGGCAACGTTGTCGATGGTCGCGGTGTAGATTTCCGTTTCATGTGACTCGTTTCTTGAGCCGCAGACTTCGTTCGCTTCGTGGAGCTGGTTGATTGTTGCTGCTGCGTCGGCGGGCAGCGGGGCGGATACGGGCTCTACTTGCAGGATTGGGGCGAAGGTGCTCGTGCTTAGATATTCGGCTGGAGAGCGGATGACTTGTTGAATACCGCGCGTCAGGACGAGAACTTGGTACAGATCGTCGATTGAGGTCCAGGGGTCTTGGACGTCTGGAGGTGCGGGAAAGCCGAATGTGTAGACGACGACCATGCTTGCGAAGGCGAACATTGCTTTTGCGTTGCTTTCGTTGATGTCGCCCAGGATCTCGCGGAAGAGGGCGAGGGCTTGGTTTTGGTGCGCGACGGCGCGGGTTAGGTATGCTGAGCGTGAGGGGGGGGTCTTTGGATGTTCGCGCCAGGTGTAGCGCTGAGACGGCGAGGAGGCCGTGCATGAGGAATGGGTGGGAGAGGGCTTCTTCGGGGACATTGGTGCGCCAGACTGGGTCTGTTCGCTCGCTGCGAGAGAGCGTTTGAAAGGTCGTGTTACACCATTGCATCATTAGTTCGAGGTCGGGCAGGTTGAGTACTGGGGCTGTTGATGTTGGGTCGGATATGCGGTTTAGTAGACCCAGTGTGTCGGCGGTTGTGGCGGGGCTTCCTGTTGATACGGAGACTGAGCCCATACCGCTGTTGCTGAAAGTACCTAGCATCAAGTCACGATCACGGTCACGATCTCGATCACGGTCTCGATCCCGGTCTTGATCGGATGGGCCTCTCGGCCGCTCGTCGTTGGCCCACAGGAGCGAGCTAGATGAGCCGTATTCGCATTCGGCATGGCGTTTGGCGCAGTTGGAGCAGACTGGTCTCTCCTCATCGCACTGTCTCTGGTTAGTGTTGAACTTAATGAAATGGGCGCATTCAACATACCTTCACCCGTCGCCGCTTACACTCCAGACAGCCATGGCGAGATTTGCGGTGCGGTCTTCTTAGGGCCATTGTCAGGGAGCCATATCTGGAGATGAGATGAAGAGGGGGGGGAAGGAAAATAAACTATAAGATCAAGTCTGGGCACTGGGCACAGAGCACGGGGAAATAAAGAATAAGAATAAGAATAGTATACAACGGGGACGAGACACAAGGCTAGGCAATGTGGAAAAAGCGTGACAGGACAAGGCTGCAGTACGAAGCCAAGCCAAGTCAAAAAAAGTGAACCCCAGAGTTACAGAACCAAGAAAAAATAAAACAGAAAAATAAAAAAAAAGAAGTAAAACAAAAAGAGATTGGAACGCAAAAAAAGAGGGAATTCCCGACTGGGCCAGGCAACAGGATTCAGTGGGAAAAAAAGGGCGAAAGTACACGGTGAGAGAGCTCAAATACGGGCTGACTAAACGTGGTGAACCCTGTCGATCAAACAAGAAAAAGGCTTATCGGTTTGAAACATGTCTTTCGCTTATATTCTTATTATGGGGCGGAGTACGGTGTACATGGCCATAATGTAGTTTTGGGCCGAGGTGCCTGAGGCAGTGTGTAGTGTGCAGTGTGCAGTGCGCAGTGCCTGGCCCCGGGGGCCATGCACTGCCTCAATCGAGTGTAACAATAAGTGCGGGTGGAAACTAGCGCAGGGTTTACTCTTCAACTGCACTGATTGGGCCGAAGTGGGGGAGATCGGGACACTCATCTCCCACTGTTATCACGCAAGAGGGTGAGAGAGGGAATTCGTAACTACTGACCACTGTGGAGGGAGGAGGGAAGAGAGAGGAAGAGGGTTACGTATAGTTCACACAATAAATTAGGCAGCCTTTTAAGTATTCATACCATTACCAAAGTATTTATGTCACTAATACTTAAACTTAACATTAAGATGTGCGGCCCGCGGGACCCGAGGAATCCGAGACATGCCAAGCCATCCCGATGGTACCGAAACATAAAATAACCATAACTTGAATCAAAAGTAGAACCATATCCCGATCTGATCCCGATCTTTGGAACTCCCCGAACGCTGCAGCCTGAATCTGAACCTGAACCTGAACCTGAACCTGTACCAAAAACCTGAACCCAAACCCGCCCTGAGACAAACGCTAAACAGACAAGACTAACTCTATTCGCCATGTGGCTGCCCCTTAGAGTGCCAGCTACTCCATATTGGGTTTTAAGCTGCTGCCGCCGCACTCGCACTGGCACTGGCACTGCTAGCCGCTCCAGCGGCTGCCGCCTCATTCCGTCTCCGGGTTTTCTCCGCCAGGGTGATACATGTCATTAAAACCAGCAATTGGAACCGATGGTCATGGCAAGCATTAATGGTCAACACGTGGTCGGATCCCTTTAACCCACAATGGCTAGCGAAGACAGCTTCAACGGCCCCTGTCCGATCATGCACTAGTTCCAGGCTTCCGCCCCGGGTGAGTGACATCTTGTGCGTCGAGTGCCAGGTAAAAGTCTCGCGTCTCCCGTTCACCTCGGCGGTGAATTTATATTTTGACGAGCGCCAGCCGTCGCGGTGGAGGGTGTCCCAGCTCATGGAGTTGGTGGGCCCCTCGCTGAGTCCGATCTCGATGTCCGAGGAGAAGTGCTTGTATTTAGATAGGGCGATGATGGGTCCGCCTTTGTTGCCGGAGTGGAAGGTGAGGTCGGGTTTGCCGGGGGTCATTTGGGAGTTGTCCACGTAGAGGTTGTGAGAGCCGGTGATCTCGTAGTGGTGTTTCCAGAAGGTGCTGGTGATGTTGTATCGGGCTGGGAGGGGCAGGGTGTTTTGAGAGTAATACATGATGTGCGGGTCACGGTGAGTTGAGGTTGACGAGATGGATAGCCCTAGAGGATGAGATGATACACTGCAGGTGCTTAAAGATGATGTTTGATTAAGTTGGTGACCTTCAAAGTTGAACAGAGGGATGATTGCATTTATATGTTCGAATCTCACAGCCCTTCTCCTATGCTAAGAATATTCAACAGCAGGGCTGAGCCAGGGAGTTCTTGAACCTTTTGGAAAGTTGAACCAATCAGCGAACCGCCCCCACGAAATATGATCGCATCGCACGACTGTCAACCCTGTCGAGTCTAAAAAGAGTAGTGTCGATGCCAATCTGCTGAGCTTGGCAGCCAGCGCAACTCCATTTGGCCCCTTCGCGCTAAGCCAAATCGGCACTCATGCGCCGCCGGGCTGATCGAGCGGAGGGTAGAGTATGGATTCTTCAGTGGCGGAGCTTTTGAAGATCTGGGGTTGAACTTGGTGTATTTAGGCTTTGACACACTAAGACTAATTTTGGATTAGGTCTGTGAGCGAAAGTAGACCAGGTGGACATCTGAAAATATACTCCTATACCACTGCAGAAGTACTAGTCAATTGCATGCTATATGTAGAACCGAGTCCCCGACCGGAGTACAACTAATACCCGATACTACCTAGGTAGTATTATCCATTGTTACCTGGTTGTGTTGACGATAGAACCAAAGAACCGCAAAAAACAATAATAATGATAATATTCCACTTTTACCAACAAATATTGAGCTACTACATATAATCGTAAATAGCATGTAGTTGATTGAGAGCAACAGTTTAGTAGATACCTAGGTAATTGATCATGTGATCGCACGTGACCCGGCGCGTCGAAATTATGGCAAACATCCCGTTTGGGTACACTTGAAGCTCCAGTCATGGGCCTTGCGTGACCTGCAATTCTCTCCCACTCCCCTCTTTCACACCTCTTTCACTCTTTGCCCTCACAGTGTCACCACGCGCCATTCTTTCCGACATTTCTCCCATCACCTGATTCCCCACGCATTGCATTGCTGCTCCTGCAGCGTTGTGGCCCAAAAGTTGCTCCCTCCGTTAATCCTTTGTTTCCTGCGCAATGTCCTTCGAAGTCCCTTACGACTCGAGTCCGCCGTCCACCCCGGATAAGACCAAGACTCAGAGCTTCTTCAGCCACGTCTCGACAACCCCGGCCGGCCTACCGCCATCAGACGCCTCGTTCACCCCCCAAGGCAATCCGACCTCTACCATCTTCAACACTTCCCAACTCGAGTCGCATTCCAAGCAGCATGATTTCGCGACCTCTACAAACTCGCTCTTCACGAAATCCGGCGGTTTCAAGAAGGGTGACAGCATTTTCGGCTCGTCCTTCGGCTCCGACTTTGGCATGCCCAAAACAAAGGCCCCGTCATTTGGAACAAAGCAGACTCGTTTCAGCGCTGCGACGAATGGAGGCGGATTCGGTCGGCCCGGCGGCCTTGCCCAGGCAAACAACTTTGGCATGTCGAATGGCTTCGCGTCATCGCAGATGAGCGAGTACAACGAAGAGTACACCAGAGACTTCGAAGAGGAAATGGAACCCGAGGAAGAGCAGGTCGAAGAGGAATACGAGGAATATGACGAGGAGGATGCGGAAGGTGATATGGATTTGAGCATTCAACAGCCATCAGCCCGTCTCAGCTTCCTCGACTCCAACTACGGCAACCCACTGCCACCGCAATCAACCGGCCTCAACTTGAACGAACCGCGCAAACCCATCTACACAAATCCCACCGATGCAAAGCGCCCCAAGCTCGACGAACGATGGGCGACCCGGTCGCCTCTACGCAAAGGAAAGCTGTCCCCGAAGAAGGCCTCGGCCATGCCATCCATCCTGCACAATCTTTCCACTCGATCTCGCAGCGCCGCGGTCGACGAACCCGCCGATATGATCATCAACACAGAGGACTCGCTGGGCCGGTTGTACGATGAGCTCCGCGAGGCCGAGTACCGACACATTGACTTGGACCAGACTCTGGCCTACGTCGCGAACCGATTGATAAACACCTGGGATACATGCGCCGACCGTAGCGGTATTAAGCGTCCCTACGGCGTCGGGTCTAGCATTGGCCCCGGTGAGCAAGCACCAACTCTGGTCAAGGCCAGCTTTCTCGCTTCTCTTCTTCTTCAGATCCACCATCCTTCCCGCGCTTCAATGCCGATTGCCTCTGCATCCAATCCGTCTGCTCATGGCGGTAACAGCATGGTCAAGGCGCTTCAGCGTGCCAGCGTTGCTACGCCAGTTCCTCAGATCCTCCTCGACTGGCTCAATGGTAACCACGCTTCCCAAAACAAGGACCTCCAAGCCCTGCGCTACGTCGAGCCCAATCCGGCTGCATCCTCCAATTTCTGGGATATCATCAATGCGGCTATTCTTCGTGGACGATTTGCTGAAGCAGCTCAAATCCTGCGATCCGCCGATTTCAACTATGCGCGATCGGCACTGGAAGATGGTCTGCCTCAGCCCGGTTATCGTGGTGTCCAACTCCAGAACATCCAACGCTGTGTGAACAAGGCTCTTCAAATTCTCGACTCCTGCCCCGGATTCTCAGACGACGACTGGGACATCACCGGCTCGGACTGGACTCACTACCGCAAGCGCGTTCTGTCGGCCGTGGAAGATTTGGAGGAATTCGCCGAAGGCGAGGAGCGAGAAGAAGCGGCCGTGCCGCAGAGTAACGGATTCCAGGCCGTCAACTTTGGCATGGCGAACTTCGGGCAGAACCCTGTCAGCTTCGCGCAGTCAGCGCGTATGGCAGAGAGCCGTGTGCCGTGGACTATCTACCAGAGCCTAAAATCTCTGTACAGGATCATTCTCGGCGATACCACTACCATCAAGAATTACTCACAAGACTGGGTGGAGGCTACAATCGGTCTCACTGTTTGGTGGGATGGCGAGGATGACGTTGCCGGAGGAATCGATTGTGGCGCCAGCGCCAACAGCATGGACTTTTCGCGCTCGCGCGGCTCTCGGTCGCAGTTACGAGCCGTTGATCGCAATATGCGAGATGCCTACCTTGCGCGTCTAGACTTGGCCTTCGGCAGCGCTACCAGTGAGCCGTCAGACGATGCCGGATTCCGCGTCAACACGATGAACGGCCTGGAAGTCGGCCTGGCTTCTGTCTTTGAGGGAAATGTCAACGGTGTTATTGAGCTGTTGCAGTCCTGGTCGCAGTGCGTTGCCGCGGCTGTCACCGAAGTTGCTAGTCTCGGAGGCTGGTTAGAAGTTGGCTCTAAGAACATGCCTGGTCTCAGTGATAATGACCTAATGGTGCTCTCATACGGACAGAATGGTCCCCCGTCGCGTGGACTCAACAGAGATGACATTCTCAAGAGCTATGCTTTCAGCCTGTTTGACCGCGGCTCTATCGAGAATGAGAGCGGTACCCGCGAGGGCTGGGAGATGGCACTGGAAGTGCTGAGCCGAGTACAAGACGCGAGTGCGATGAAAAAGGCCGTCTCGGAGATTGTCGACAAGTTGCCGTTAGAGAATACCTCCCAGTTGGACAAGTTGGTGGTACTGTGCTCTGATCTAGGATTAGAAGATCAAGGCCGCAAGGTCTCGGAGGTATGTTCACTTAGCACCCATCGCCGAAGCATCAGCATAAGCACAGCGTGAGATAAGACTAACATTGTTACTTCTAGCGATTCGGTGACATGACAACGGAGAAAACCGACAAATTCGGCCTGGCACTCGTCTGCTACGCCCGCGCTCAAAACAGACGAAAGGTCAAATCCGTCGTCGACCTGCTGATCTCATACTCTCTCGTCCAATCGCGCGCCTACCCAGCCACAGCTGATCTAGACCAGGAGCTGCGCTCCATGATCAAAGACCCCAAGGCGTGCCTGTCGTCCATTGCCTCGGTCGACGAAGAAGCCGCCCGCATTCTCCAATTTTACATCAGCGGTTACGCCACACTGCGCCGCTTCTACGAGATCCGCGACGAAGCCTGCTCCCTCGCCGATGGCCAGCGCCCCCGCTTCAAACCCCTCGCCAGACGCCGTGCGGCGGCCAAGGCCTTGACTGCCGTCATCAGCAGTGCCGCTGATAACATTTACGGCGGATTGTACGACCCGAGTCGGGATTCTGCTGTACAGGTTGATGGGCTGCTTGCACTGTTGGGCGAGGCGCTGGTTTTTGTTAACCGTGAGTTTTCTGACAACCCCCGACCCACCCATCGCTATGCAGTATAGTATGTACTAACATCACCCAGAACAATCACCCACCCTAACCGTCCAAGAACAATTCACAATCCTCTCCGCAATCGAAGATCTCGAAACAATCACCCCGCGCGTCTTCGCACAGTGCGAAGAATGTTTCCGCTCAACTCTCCTCTCGGCCGCTGCCTCTAGCAACGGTCACCCCTCCCCACGCGCCATTCTCAAGAAATCCGTCTCCTCCCTCTCAGCCTCGACATTCTCCCTCCTCGGATCCTCGGATCTTCTCCCTTCTACTTCTACCGCTACGTCCTCGGGCGTGCTGGTCTCGCCGCCTGGTTCTGAGACCGAGCGCGGGTGGGATTGGAGGGTTGGGTTGGCTGGGGATACGAGTGGACGGGATGTGCTTGCATTGTTGAGGGTTGGTCTTGCGCGCGGCTTGAGTTTTGGGGCTTTGGGTCGTGTTTAGATCGAGTGTGTGTATTAGTTCAGTCTGTTGAGAAAAATATGCAAGGAAAACGGGGCGTTTTGTTTTTATCTGCTTAGCGGTTCCATGCATTGTTTGTTTGTGTGGCCTGTTGGTTGGAGTGAATAATAATCTTATCGTACCATCACACTTGGAGTAAACTGAACTGTTAGTGCCTAGCTATTAACTAGTAGTAAGTACCATAACCTATACCTCGCCGATCTATCTGTTGGAAAGCAATAGTACCTGAGTACTATTCGAATCTTAAACCGAGCTCGGCTCAACTCGACTAGACAACTTAAACCCCCGGCAAACGCGCCTCCATCTACGGATAAACTGCCACCTGGACAGTGAGGTCATCAACAGTATAACCCAGGCTACAAGAAAACAAGAACCGTTGTTATCGGAAAGAACCAACGGCTCCAGAGACAACATGAAACAACATGCACAACCCGCAGTAGTCCCCGTCACCCCCAGCTGAACCGAACAAGTTCAAGTTGCAGACATGTCTCAGCCCTACGAAGCCGGTGAGTATTGACCACGAGATGGTCCCAGTGATATGGTAAGGGTCGGGGTCCGGTTTGGGATACTTTAAATAAAGGTAATAATCCTTTTGGTCAGGGCCGTCAGCAGCTGAATGTGGGTGCCTGGTTTTTGATCTTGATCCACTGTGACTACTCCGTATGTATGTGCAGTTTATGGAGTACGGAGTATTGTGAGGAGAAGGGGAGGGGAAAGCCGGGTAGTCTATTGGTGATTTGTTTTCTTTTTCTTTGCTTGGGTTACTTTTTGGAGGGTTGATCGTACGGAGTCGCCGTTGCTGGAAGATGAGGAAGTCAAGTTGGCTGATTTGATTATGGAACTACTATGGTGAAGCTTGAGTTGGACTAACTTGTTAGGGCTTGTAGGGTGTATTATCCTGGTTTTTTTTGGGGTCTCTAGCCACATCTAAGATGAATGTGTATTATTATTAGTATTATTAGTATTCTAATATTGTATGGGTAATAGGGTGGAGTCTATAGATCGCCGAATGCATACATTATGCAATGTATCATTTGTACGGAGTACGCAGTGATGTACTGCATACTCCGAGCCTGTGTCTCTTCTCTCTGCAGTCACCGACTCTTGCCCCGCAAACCAACCTCTAATGTATAGCAATCCGTCACAATCCGACGGTGTACCACCAAGCTGGCTCCATCTGCGCCTGCAGCCGCGGCCGCGACTAAACTAAAGTAACAAGTGTAACTCGCCCAAGTCGAGATGACAGAATGAGGCGCAGTCTCCACCTTGTGCCCGTCTTCCCAGGCAGAAACTCACTAAACCAGACCAAGTCAGCGTATCCCATCATACTGGAATACATCTGACCACTCAGGGAACAGGCTAGTGTCTAGCGTGTCTCCACTCTAAACGCAAAGCAGGGCAAGGCAAGGCAGAGCATGCAAAGCAGAGCCACAGGAGAAAGTGAAAGATGGAAGTGTGATCCACTGTGCTTTCAGCCTCGCGCAGGCTCACCGACTCCCCTCCGTGAAATGGGTGTCGTGACTGTCTGACCGCGGTGATGTCTAGGGTGTGTTCACCGGTTCTTTGCCAAGCCCCCTTCCATTCTCTCTTCACTCTTTCCAATTTCAGAGTGGTTCTATTCTGCTCTTTGCTTTGGGTTGGTATTCTGTTTCTGTTGATTACGAGAGGTGTGGCGAGGGAGAGAGCTGGTGGTGGGGCTGTCATGGGCTGGTGTTTTCCCATTGTGAAGTCTTGGTCCGATATGACGCATCGTGTTCGTATTATAGGATGGACTATTCTGGTTATACATTGTAATTTGGCATGAACTACTATAGTTGTTTTCTTTTGTTTTATTTTCCTTCGTTTAATTTTACTTTAATTTGGTTTTTACTTATTATTTTCTATCAAATTACATTGAAGGGGAGTTTGTTCCTCGCGAGTATAACCAAATCGCACCTCTCTGAAGCACTCACTCACTGGTCACACCATTTCTTTCAATCGAAAGTCCATCATTAGAATATCTCCATATCCCCATTTGGAAAACACTATATTCTACTCCGTGCCTTCCGTAAATCGTCCCCCCCCCCCTTATTAATAGCCATCCGAACTGACCAAGTGGATCGCCAACCGGGGTACGCTAGGCCCACGCTGTACTCCATCAGGGCAAGATTCCCCCATCCTAACTGGCTACGCGAGCAATACCAAGCTAAGCTCTCCGACATCTTCAGCTGTTCGTATCCACCGATTGGCGCGTGCGTCGGTCTTTTCCGGTGGCCCTGCCCACTTTTCTGCCTGAGTCCAGTCAAGTCCCATAGGGCTGGCCGTTGGATGGCCTTGCATGCGGGTCTTGCACTTGTACTTGCTCTGCTTCACGGGCCAGGGCGATGCGCGGTTCCACTGTTTGGTTTAGCCAAGGATGATCTGCGAGGAGTCAGAGATGGGAGTGATGGAGTCTGGGTCGTTTGGTTCCGCCAGTGTCGGCTAGTAAGGTTTCAGGTGTATATAACAGGCTGGGATTGTGGCTTCTTTTTCAATTTGATTCATGCAGACTTGTCTTTCTTTCGACCTTTTTTATATTTGAAGGTTCTCTTGCTTTGATTTGCTTGCTTCGATTCTTTTCTCCGCAATCGTTGACGATTCTCTTTGTTCCTTTCTGACTTTAACTTCCACTTCCATTTTCACCTCGGGCTGGCACTCGCTGCATTCGCTTCGACACCGTACTTCTACTACCTTTCTCGGACATTCTCACTTTTCAACTTGAAGTTGATCCGTCAACCCTCATTATCATTCCACCTACTCTCCCTCAAACTCAATCTACCCGTCAAAATGTGCTACAAAGTCGTCGAGCGCTACTCCGTCTGCAAATGCGTCTACTTCCAACACTCCATCGACCCATGCTCCGCCTACGGCCAACGCGGCCACTCCATTCAAGAAAAGACCGTACTGGTCGGTTACGCCTGTGCACGACACTCCGCCCACTCCTCCCCTACTTCACCGACGGCGGGCCGCTGGCCTGATTCTGGATACTCCAGTTCGAAGGGATCGGGCAGGTAGTTCTTATTCTTGCCTGGGGTAGCTGGGTGGTTTCAGTCTACTGGTTAGACTGACTGGTGAACCACTGCTATTACTATGTTTATGATTCTATCTGTCACGCTACGCTGCGATGCGATGATCTTCTTCTGGGGCTGAGGTCTTCTTGGGGGAGATCGAGTCCGGTTTGGCCCGAGTCAATTCGGTTGGGGGCTCATGAGAATATGTATGGATGACGATGATGCGACGATATCTATTATTCACGTTACGAGGATAGCTGGGATGTTTGGTTCTGCTCTATCACAACTACAACAAAAAACAATCATTGCCCCGGGCGGGTGAGATGAATGACTGAGCCCTGCAGGTGGGGTGGGGGAATCGGGATGGGATGGGATGGGCGCCGGTCGCCTTCCCAGTTTGAAACAACCCTACTACCTAGGTATGTGACGAATCAGATTGTATTTCCGGGCGAAATACAATTTGCCTCACGACTGGTGAATTCGGTGTAAGATGAATGAGGAAAAGCTTTCGGTTCAATTCGATCCTTGTCGTGTTTGTGGATTTGGATTCGTGGACGGCTTGTACAGTACATTGCACTGCTATTTTTTTTCATTTTTTTCTTTCCTTGCAGTTCCCTGGACTAGCGGTGTTTGTTCTACTCGGGTAGTAGGCTGCATGAGATGGTTGGAACTGTTCGGCTTCTGTTCATTTTTGCTTTGAGCTTTTTCTTTCCTATGTTTATTTCCTGCGTTCTTTTCTCTCTGCTGCGCTGGTTCTGTAGCACTGCATCCTGCATGGGCGAGCGAGTATCTTCTGTCGTTATCAGGTACTATTGAACAATATCCACTCTTTGATTGGGTCCTGGCATAGTAGATGTAGAGTGTAGACGAATGCTTCGGGATGAATATGGATTCTGATGTCGTCGATATCAGCTTCCCCTTGTTAAAGACTCAGCATCGGGCGTCCTATTGACTTGAATCATGAGCTTGACACTTTGCGATCCGGCATATATTTAATAAAATCGGACTGTGGCGTTTGGTGAAATGCTTGGTATCGAGCGACTTCTGCTTGGGTTAGGCGTCAGAGAGCCGGGGGCGCCGTTAGATGCGCTGTCTCAGCCACTCAACTGCTGACATTCATTTGATCCATGCACTGCCAATAGGATAAGTGGAATCGGAGTGCTTCGATCTGTTTTCCGATTCGCTATTTTGCATATTTAAATAGGAATTTGGATTGACAGTGCGAGTCAGCATTAAATTGTTCATGATGTGCTGACAGCCCCTTCGCACCTGATCGATTACTTGATCCATTGGTATGACATTCAAAAACACTCAGATTCTACTTCATCTCAGTACTTCTCGCCAACCCCATTTGCACTCTAAGATTGTTCGAAATGCAATTATGGGGATTCTCCGGCTTTTCCTGCCACTCGTCCCCATCACATCCGACAGCCCCGCTCGGAATTCCCGAGTTCTCCAGTCCGGGGCAATCGACTGCTATAAAACTTCCCCCCCACGCCCCCTGTCGCTGAAATCCAATACAAACACCTAAAAGCAACATCATGACGACCGAAAATCCCCTCACAACACTCTACAAAGAGGCCGACGGCAGCAAGATCTCAACAGACATCTACCTGCCTCAATCGAACGCGTCATCACCGCGAAAATATCCCGTCGGTGGGTGCCGATCAACCCTATCCAATCGTCATGAAGAACAGTTGACCAATTCATAACAGTCATCGACATCCATGGCGGCGCTTTCATGCTCGGTCATTCCCGCATGGTCTCCATCCCCCAGGTAAACGACTGTCTGAACCGAGGCTGGATTGTTCTCGTCCCGAACCACCGGCTTTGCCCCGGCGTGAACTTGCTAGACGGCCCGATGCGGGATATCCGCGATCTACTAGCCTGGATTCACAACGGCCATCTCGATACATTCTTAAAGGATCACGGCCCCTACCAGGCTGATTTGGATAATGTCGCTGCGTTCGGAACGTCGTCCGGTGGCCATTTAGCTCTTAGCTTGGTATGCCCACACCCAAAGCCCGACATCTACCAGTGAAGAAAGCTAATAAATGCAGGGTTTCGGCGTGCCCGTCCCCGTCAAGGCAATCCTGTCCCTATACGGCGCGGTGAACTTCTCAAACCCACTCTGGTCAAAACCAATCCCGCACGTCGCTGCCAAACTGCCCCAGAATCTTTCCGCGGAGTTTCTGAACAGGATCTATGATGAAATTCCCATTCCGACGGACTCTTCCGTCTCACTGGAAGGCCAGACTGAATCTGGTGCGTCGAAGGGCCCTGATTTCTCGAAGGCCCGGGACGCGTTCGCTTTTACGCAGATCGCGGGCGGAACAGTGCCGAGTGTTATTTATCCCCAGAGTCAGAGTACGGATCCTGGCTTTGATCTTGTTGATCCGGCGCGGAATGTGTCGGCGGGGTTTCCGCCTACTTATATCGTGCATGGGCAGGCGGATACGATGGTTCCCATTGATCTTAGTAGGGATTTCTTGGATACGTTGAAAGGGGCTGGGGTGGAGTGCGGAATGACCGAGGTCCCTGGGGAGGAACATACCTTTGCAGCTATGATGAAGGTTGGGTCTCAGACTTGGTGGTTGCAGAGGGAGGGATTTGATTTTCTGGAGGGGATTATTGGGAAGGGGCCTAAGTAGAGGTTGTCTTGTTGTTATAGAGCAGTGAAACTAGAATATAGGGGCTGGAGAAGGCCATTTTTCATTCATGGATTGTTATTCATTTTGGTTTCGTTGGATATAGAACGAAATGCATAAACTAAGGACTCAAGTTCCATCTATCCCCAGGAATCCCACGAGTGATGAATTTTGGGTCTCCTGCTATGCACATGTGGTCCATTCACCCGCTAATCGAAGGGGACTTGGGCCTCCGGTGCTGGCGTCTCTCTTGCAATTAACCACAAGATAAGAACATCCCGTTGAAATCCACAAAAGCCAGATGTCACCTAAGCCACCACCTGTACCAGACGTCGCTAGAACTCGCACAGTTTGGCTCTGTACTATCGTTATTGCCTCAACACGTGGTTTGTTTCCACTGAATCCTGATCTGGGACGAAGCTCATTCCACCTTCTTGAGGACGGAACGGCGGCTTAGTCCGTTCGGAGCATTGTTTGCGTATTCGTATCGCTGGCTTGTCGGTTCCTGACCCTAAAATCACGAAGGGGTGGTCTTGCAGTGTCCTTTGGCGAAATTGGATGAATTTTCAAGATGAGCATGTTTTTATTGCTGAGCTGGAGCCACACACGTCTCTAACATGAAGCGTTCGCAGTCTCTGAGAGAGCCTTCAAAGTATGCCGGAATTGAACAGCGCATCCTGTAGAGCCCTGAGGTCTTCTGGCAACCTCTTTTGTACTCTAGTCGAGAGGATCGAACCGTTCATCAGTATGACCAATGAAGGCAACACCATTCGAAGAGGATGGAATCATCTAGGCGAGGATGTGATATGTTGTTCGAAACACTCGAGACGAGTCTGTTTTCAAGACCTGTGGTTGGCCCTCACCCGGATGAAATAGAGCGATGGACGGTTTGCGCCACCAGGATGAGAGAGAGAAATAGGGAAGCCTCGAGGTGTGGTGCGATGCGAGAAAAAAATGTGAGGCCATCCAGAATGCAAGGACCACTATTCAAAGAGGATGAATGTCATCCAGAGAAGGATGTGGTCTGTCATCCGAAACGAACTGGAAGGAGTCTGTCTTGAATATTTGGCCCCACCTAGCATCATGAAATCGAGAGATGGTTCCTTCCCCCCATCACCGGGATGAAAGAGAGAGATAGGGACACCCTGTGGTGTGATGGGAGGAAACGATGTGAGACTATCCAGAACTATCTATAGTGGGCAAGAGATGACTCAGCACACTGCAGCCTGAACCCTCAGGTATCAACATAAATGAATATACTCCGAAGCATATGCAACGAATCATCATGCGTTTGGAGTTTTTTGATCAACCTCATGAACCATAGCGATATATGACCGCAAAAAGATCAATGAATGGGGGAAAGCGAGAAAGTTAAAAAAAAAATACAAAAAAGCAGAGTCCGAATCAATACTCCTGAGAGGTATACAGCCTCCGAATGCTGATCTAATTTGCGAAAAGAAAGAAGCCCCCCGATATGCCAAACACCCCATAGTTCGCTCATGAAACATGCCGGACATTATCCCACATATAATGCTTGAGCCTCAACGGCCCATCATGTGATCGGGGTAGAAGGTATTGAAGCCGTTCATATCCAGTCCCACGTTGTTGTTGGTAGTACCACTAGGCGGCGAACACATCATCATTGAGTTGCTTCCGTTGGCCCATATTCCCAGGCCGGAGTTGTGATTGAAGCTATTGTTACCAATAATGGCGTGGGGGTGACCTTGGCCTTGACCCTGGTTGTGCATTGGGTTGCCGCCGCCGTTTCGCTGTGGCATAGGCATAGCCAGACCAGGGGGAGCAGCCAGGCTTGGAGGTGGACTGGGTGGAGAGAAGAGAGCGAAAGTACCCGGATGAGGAAATCAGACAGTCTTAATGCCTGAGGCATGAGAGTTGGAACGCTCCGTTCGCCGTTGAGAAACCCGCAGCTAGTATACTAGATAGAACGTTGAAATGACATACAGTGAATTCAACAGGAATATTTGAGTAATTATGTAGTATGCAAGATAATGTCGACGGAACCATACTTGGCAATATCGCGGTTCTTGCCAGTCCTAAAGGTTCTCCGCCCTTAGCCAGATAAGCATATTGAAACGCGCGAACCAAGAATGCTACGGCATTCTGTGAAATTGATGTTGGCATGTAAAATCTGCATCGACTGTCGAAAATCTTCGGAGAACTGAGAAGCTTGGTGCAGAAGGTGATGTAGCCTCTGCTCGTTTGCTCGCTCACTTGTTTCAATGCGACTGGCAGCAGACCTGAACACAAAGATAGAGGATAATTATCTGTTAGATACAAAGATCAAAATGAGGATCCGCTAAATTGACTGCACTCACCATATAAAGGTGCTCAGAAGCAAGTTAAGCGAGTCGGTGTGCAATTGAAGCTTTTGTCGGTATTTGGTAAATGTATCTCCACGAAAGCTCCACAGGACTCGTTTCCATTGAATCTTAGCTTGCGATCTGAAACATTTGGTTGTCCTTCCAACATCGATGATCTCTCGGTAGTAGGCCGTGGCAGTGTCGAGCTCTTGAAGCGTCGCTTGACAAGACTGAATCATGTAACCCAAGTATTCATTCTTCTCTACTCTTGTTATTACAGTCTCATACTCCTTTCTCAATATGTGAAGAGTATAACAAAGGCTAAATAAAACATCGGGTAGTTCTTTGAGGTCCTTTGATGCCTCTTTGCGTCCCGTCGTGACACATGAGAAGAGCTTGTGAGCAATTTTTGCACAGAGAACAATATCACCGATGGAGATACCAAGGGACATGATGCGGGAATTATGGGAGCTTGCGAAGGAAGTTTCTGAGAGAGAGAGACCGAAGCAAACCGAGGCACGTGTGTTCGTGTCTGTACTTAAATCAGAGACGAATAGAAAGGAATACTGGCTTTGGTAGAAGCTTGAAAGGTGTATATTTGACTGAGAGGCTATGTGCTGTGTAGTACCGAGAGTTCCTAGAGTAGAATCAACATTTATAAATCTATGACACTGCATTTGAAATTATCAGAGGGAAATCTCAGGATGTGTTGTGGCCTGATAGCAAATTGCCTAAAATAGTAATTCGGGGACCCCATATCTCCGGCCGAGGAACTGCCATCGGCGCGTTTCCCCAACTTCCAAGGTTAATTAGGGGCCAAAGCGTCAAGCTTTAAGGATATCAGTTGAAATCACGGAGTACTTACAAGTAGTTTAGATGCAAGCTAGTGCAAGTTGACATATTTAGAGGGCCCAAGCTGTCTTTCCCCACCAATGAAAAACATGGATGCTAGTACGTTTACGGAGAGGCGAGAAGTTAGCGACCGGATGAGCCTCGGGGCGCGAGATCCTCGGAGCGCGAGTCCCTAAGTGCGAGTCCTTAAATGCGAATTGTTGGGATCAAGAATTTCCAGGTTTGGGCATGATCAGAGGCCAGGCACAAATTGAAGAGCAACGTCCCGACGCAAGGCTGGTGAAATGACGATATTAAGGCTTTCAAGTTGGTTGCTCCGGCATGCCCTGCATGCTGACTTTTAGCGAAGGTTCTAATTTACTCAGGCGCAGTAAATCGCGTCACTAGTTTTTATACCTAACCCCTCGTCATCGCCAAACACAAAGCTTTGGCAACAAAAGACGGAGGGGGAAGAGATTGAAAGGTATTGTTCTCCCAAGTGGTAATTTGAATGCGGGCCGTGACAGAAATTTACCATTGATATCCTAAAGTCCAGAACTGGATATCATTCCTTACACTACATATGCAAAAAGAACTTCAACAGGAAACAAAGAGATCCGAGTCATTTCTCATTATTCATAACATCTGAACTAGACGCAAAGCCTGAGCAACGAATAACTCATGACATCCAGATGCTCTTCGGAAATACATCCGCGGGGCTTTATCCCAGCCAAATTTTCATTTTCAAGTGGCTAAATGCAGGACATAGAGCGGACTTGTCCTTATGGCTTGCGAATGCAAGGTCGCAAGATAAGCTTGTCAATAACAGTAGTGCCGGGTCCGATCCTCGCAAAGAACGAAAGGAATCAGCGGCATGTTGTCTGGCGCATCGGATAGGGTTCATCGATGTCTTTTATCCTCTGCTCTCCCTCCGCAACGGTTACATTAACTGTATCATATTCCCCACTCACTCGCGGAGTGAAGCCTGTTCACCCGCGGCGAAGGGTTATATTTCTTTCCTTTTTTTGGGGTCGTTTTGTGTTGGTTTTCGGTATCTTTCGTAGAAATCATCAAGCAAAGCAAAGAACGATGACCGGGGTTCCTGCGGCCAAGATCCAAGTGGATTATTCGCAAAGCAGAAGCTCATTGACCCAGACTAGACAAGGCAAGGGCAATGATCGACTGTAGGCACCTAGCGGCGGACGACGATGCCCTGGCGACGGACACCACGGCGGGCACGGCGGTACTCCTCATCGCTGTCCTCGGATTCGGAGCAGCTGGCCTCGGAGGACTCGGAGATGTAGCCACAGCGGCTACCACCACAGTCTAGCTTGACGCGGTCGCCCTTGCGAGTGATGCCGTAACGCTCACAGCGACACTGCACGGGGGGGATCGCTCATGGAGGACAGAGAGGATGGCGAGGTCGAGCCCGAAGAGCGGGATGACAGGGAGGAACCGGCAGAGCTGGGTGGGCTGTTGGAGTACGAGTACTCATCGGACATGCGGGAGCCTGCGAAGCGACGGGTGAGATCGTCGACGGTGGGAGCATACTCGGCCTCGCGAAGTTGACGGGAAGCGTAGGGCTTGGAAGGCTTGGGGTGCTGGATTCTGGAGGGCGAGAGAGCGCGGCCAGTGGCGACGTTGGCGGAGGCACGGTGAGCCTTGGGGGCCTCACTGCGACGGCTTGACTTGCCACCGGGGACATCGAGGATGTTGAGCTTGCGGCCGGTGGTGGGCTCGACGGTGTACTCGACGGCTGGATCGTGCGAGACGTGGTGGCCATCCATGATATAATAGTACCAGTAGCGGCTACCGAGTTGCAGCATGGAGGACTGGAAGCGGAACTTGCCAACCCATGCACCGGGCTTGTCCTCACCGGACAGAGGCAATTGACGAGAGTAGTTGTCCCAAGATCCGACTAGGTGGACGGTCCTGACATTGGACGAGGTGCGCAGAGAAAACTTGAGTTGAACGGCGGCCATTATGAAGACGTGAAGATCAAATGATGCAAAGTTGTAAGATGAAGTATAAAGTTGTCGTAGATAGAGATAAAACAACAAAACTACCAGAGTTGAGTTGTTGTTGATGCTCTTTGAAGGGAACCAGTCCACGACAATGAGAATATAATAATTATATCCGAGCGAGATTAGATTAAAATTGATTTGTTGATAGAGCTGGCACAGCAAGGCGTAACGTTGACCGGCAACGATGAGGCGCAGACTGTTAAAAGTTGAAAAGAATTTCGAGTGTAAAAAACCGGCGAGGCTGAATAATGGGGTAAAGACACAGAGAGCGCAGCTCGAACTGTGTGTAGAGTAGTGAGTATGATTTTGGTTGGTTGAAAATGTGGCTGAGAAAAATTGGGGGGGCAGTAATTAGAATAGTAGAATAGTAGAAAGAAAAGAACCTGACAACCAGTGCCGGGGTTCACTCGAAAAAAGATGGGCAGCTCTAACAAACAAACGCTCGCTGAAGAAAGAAAAGAAGAAATCCGCCTGGGCGGTTATGGCCAGTTTTAAGGGAATCGAATCGATCAGCGCTGCAGAATGTTGGCCCCGTCGATGTGGGCGGGTAATTCTCGTTATTCATTGGTGGTTGACTGTGTTGCGCAGTGATGGGCTGGCTGCAGGGTTGATTCCCCGTCACATCCAATCGATTATGCCCAGTTGACGCTCGCGGTGAGACCTAGAATGAGGGGCTGATCGAATCAGATCTCACCGTCCCCATTGTTCATCATCCTGGGCTTTTAGCTGCTGTCAACTTGTCTTGTTCTCGGGACGGCCTGCATAAGATCTGGCCATGTACCTGGTACAGGGCACCCCAGCCGCATGTTACAAGGTTATTGGCAGTCAAAACCGTGGTTGGAGTGCGGATCAGTCCATGTGGAAGCATCCAAGGTCCTGTTTGTAATGAATTAATTGAAATCAATGGGGAAATGCCTTCATATTGATTGAATTCTTTCCGGCGACGGGACGAGAATAGATGCAAGTATCGAGTACAGCATGCCGATCCGGTCGCAAATGACATCTATTCCGTGTCATCTGGACTCTTATGCGCACAGTCCATTTCCTCGTAATTCGGAGAATTTCGCCGACTCGATTGGACTCGACTAGGCAGGTCAATCGAAGAGGAAAGTGGGCTGTCCCCGCACGATCCGACCGCCCAGCCTCTGAATTATCATTCCTTCCAACAACAAAAAGGATATTGTGGAGTGAATAATTCATGAAGATGATACACAATCGAATGGAAACAACCAGATCTAATCAATACCTCATCACAGCTACTCAGCGGAGGCTCGCTGATGTAAAACCCTTCTGATTACGTCGTGCAGCGCAGCAGCACTTCATCCTGCAACAGAAGCCACCAGCACGCCCAGTCCAAGCCCCACGCATACCGAGTCAAATCCCTGCAAAAATGTCAGCAATTTATTGGCACGGCAAGACGGGATCCCCCAACGGTGTACGGAGTACAAGACTTTTGACAATGCTGTGCCGCGGGGCAGGTCCCCCCAAGTGCGAAATACTTGAGAGGTGAGCATTTGCAAAAGGATCATAGCGTAACTATGCTCATTGTCAGCAAAAACATCCAGTCGATATCTAAAGCTGTGGATGGTCCCTTCACTTGGACAGAGATGCAGGCTAGACCTAGATCATACAGAGTAATCGTTTAGAATTATCTTATGTATTAGTAACTTTGGTCGCGTCCCTCGTGTCAATTATTATTATTCTGACTTCAAATCGTCGTTGCAGCCGTCCTGCTCGTTTGGCGCTTCTGCTTTGAATCCTCGGTCGCATCTCATACCAGTAGCATTGTAATGCCTGACCACTAAGCCATGTAAGGGTAGGTCGAAGGTGGAAGAAGCCAGTGTACTCTGAAAAGCCTACTTCACTGGCAGCATATACAGCAGGCAAGAAAATTGACCGAGTTCCTAGATAGTAGGGGTGTGCGAAACGGCTCGAGCCGTTAGCTTCTCTCCAAGGCTTTCAACAATAAGCCAAGAGTCGACTGCTTCACTCTAACATCTAAGACAGACTTGAAGTAACACCAACTTGAAGGTATTCTAATATAAAGGAGAGATTGAAATTTATAGAACGGAAGTTCCCCATTTGCAGAAACCTATGAAGGAAACCATCCTTGATGCGTGTCCCAGGGCGAGGAGATTGCAGTATATCGCCGAACATTCAGGTCGAAACCTTGGAACTCGACATGAAGCCATGGTGCCTTCAAGTTCTTCCCGTAGATATTTCCAAGGTTATTCCCCGCTCCTTCCAGATGCTTGATGCCCAGGTTTCTATACTTATCTCTCTATAGTCAAACTTCTTTAGACCTTTTTGTCTTGATACCCTCTCTCTAGCTAGACAAAGATGTTAAGCATTTTGCGTCTACAGGTACAAGTTTTTTATACTATGATTGTATCTGCTTACTCAGATTATCGAGATATAGTATTTTAGCTCAATTATCTGATTGCTGGTCCGCTTTGGTATACTGTATTCTGGATGTTTATAGATCGACGTTTGTTGCCTTGGAGTTAGGTGTCAACCTTGGAAGGCTGACTGGTATCAATCCACCTGTTTACGGCTGACTGCATGTACGAGAGATTCGTTGGATTGGCAACCATTCAACACATTTTGTATGTCCGTGTCAATATCATGATGTCGCGCAAGTTAGGTCAAGGCTGAAGAACGTGTGAGAATCTGCGTGCTTCAAGATCAAATTTTGCTGAGATTTGCAATTATTGCATCAAATCACTTCCCAGCCAATATTTTGACGGATCTTTTCAAAAGTTTTGTATTCGCAAACTTGAAAAGCACGTCTCATATTGACCTTTCTAGATTTCTTCTTTGTCACAGCAGCGACCCCAAGTGTTGTTCACAGTCTGATATTTGATCTGTATACAACTCCACTACCTTGGGATTCAATGACGTCTGTTTCCTTAGATGTTTGGACGACTAATCGAGATGCGGATATTAAACTTCCCGATCGGCTCCACAGTTCTAGATGGTATGTAAGAACTTCGCTGCGGGGTTTGTCTGGGCGGCACGGCTGAAGATGTAGTTGTTCCAAATTTCACCGACATTTCAGAGCCGGAAATAGCGAAGATATGAGATTACCAAATCATAAGAACTTATTTAGACCCACAAGTATCCATACTGACGTCAGGAGCTGAACCTTCAGCTCCTCTACAGCACCGAAGCGAATGAATAAATCCGCTGACGATTGTATCTGATTTTGCCTATAAATGTCTGTTTCACTCAGGGAGAAGATTGCATATTTATTGCATCCTATCTGAAAGAAAAATCTACCAGAAAGCTTAAACACTCAAAATGGCTGCACTTCCGGTCGAAAAGTATGAATTCCATCATTCCTTGCTGTCTGATGAATATTAATATATTCTCTTAGTTTTGCTGAGTTTCAAGACGTCATCAACCGCTCTGAGCCTACGATAATTTATTTCTTCGATGAAAATGGTGGCCCCGGTCCAGAGTTAGAACATTTATTGAACGGTGCCGCTGGGGTGGCAGCTTTCTTTGCTGACATTGACCAATGCCATATTGAACGAGATGCCAGGAAGTTGCCACAGACGGTTCTGTACAAGGGCGGCGAGGAATTGGGTGATGCTGATGGAGGCGATATGGACATGTTTTTTGAGCTCTGTGAGAGGGCGCAATCCGAGGCATAAATATGGCAAATACTTAAGACGTCCTAGATTGTAGGATGCCGCCAATTAAGACAGCTTGCCCCGTTGAATAAGCACCTTGATAATCAAATATTGTTGAGGCTCACTGTACACGACATATCAATATGCGGGCGGATATTTGGTACTTGTAACTGATAGCAGCCCTACTGCCGCGCTACGGGGCTTTTCAGCTGGCTTAGCTGAAGACACGTCAAAGGTATTATCGAGGAACTTAGCCCACCGCAATCTCGATTGTATCGAAATTGCGCCTGTTTTTCTCAAAAGTTATACCATGGACTAATAAACGCAGAAAAGTGTAGAACTTGAGCGGCCGACCGTCACTGCTGACGGCCGTCCTTTTTTTTTCATCCAAAAATGATATTTGAGCCATTTATTGAATTCGTCACCTTTTTAAATGCCGATTGAAGGAGACATCCTCATGTGCACTGGTACGTGTGCGGTTTCTATTCATTGCGGTTTCTCGCATTGACGCAAACCCTTATAGTACCCGGTTAACACCGCCGTGATTCACAACCTTGGAATCCGAGGTCTCGAAATATTAACATTCTGAATAGTACCGTCAATCTCTGCACTTGGGCATGAAGACATAGCTCTGACTCGGCCCTCACTAAAATTGGCGTTCAGGTGCTAGTACTAAGGTACTGTGTGAGCAGCAGCACAACAAGCTTGAAATGTCAATTAGGTCTCGTTAACATTGAGATTTTTCTATTGCGCCCACCAAAAAGAAGAGAACAAGTAGAAAGCGAATTGATGCGGATGTAGGAATGTCATGACTTGGAGCAGTAGAAACACTAGAGAATGGCGGAGTGGGACGTAATACCTCGTGCGACTAGCAACCAAAATCTGTGATATAAAGCGGATGAAGTTAAAAGCACATCCGAGCCGAATCATCTTGATGATCCTTTCAATGATATTCTTGATGGTACCCAGGCTCAGGCTCCATTAGAGCGACTGGAAGGAAACCGCCAACAATCATACAGTGACTACAAATAGTAAAAGGAGCGGCCCGAATGCTGATTTCTATAAGACCTGTGGGATAACTCGGAGCTTAGGATGCATGAATAGAAGGAGCGGCAGCAGTGAAGGGGTGATAACCAATAATGTTATACTGCCTTTGTCATCCCTTTTCACTTCTTCTTTTTCTTCTCAATGTGATAACTTCATGGTTTTGTTGTATGCTACTATACTACGATGCCTAACCTACGTTATTGTGACTGAGCTCCTCACAAGCATCCTCGGAACCAAGAAACGTTTATTATGTCAAAATCGACGAATTTCATTCAAAACGTTAGGAATTAACTGGAAATAGAAAAAGAAATGGGCCAAAATAAGGTAAAATTACAAACCGGCCTGGAGCTGCTTTGAAATCTGCTACCACTGCACAACCCCGAGTTATTGATGATATTATTCCATGCTTTGGTCAAGGCCGCGATAATGTCAGGAATTTCATGCTGTGGTCAAAGTAGCCAGGTTATTGTATGGCAACCGAATGGTGGGTAAAGTTGGAAAGGGGACGACGAAGGGTGAGGGAAAGTGAATGATGGTGACTGAGGAGGGAGGGAGGGTGACAGTGGAGGGTGAGGGACAGTGGAGGGTGAGGGACAGCGGAGGGTGAGGGACAGCGGAGGGTGCAGGCCGGTGGAAGGTGAGGCGAAATGCGTATATTGAGATATATTAAAAAGGCACTGGGCGGGTGGGTGGTTGGGGGTTTCATCCATAGCTTCTATACTTCGGCAATGGATAAGACTGACTAAGCTTTAATCTGCCGGCCCCACCCAACCAATGGGAAATCGTGTTGTACATGGGTTTCAACCAACCACTGGCATGTCAATCACTCTAAATTCGGGAAATTGGCCAAACAAGAGGCTAGCAGGACCCTCTTACATACCTTCGATGAATGTTACATTATACAAAGAGTGCGGGGGGAAAAGACGACTCAAGATGACGGTGAGGGTGATGGGATGGTTGTTTCAAGATGCACGGATAGAGTGTCGGCAAAGCAGTTGAGGTGTATTATTTTCATAGCTACAAGCTATGCGACTATACAAAAAAAAGCAATATGATCCATTGACTATGTATGACCAGATGAAAGAAGATGCGATGTGCCAACCTCCAGACGCCGCAACAACCCAGCGGACGCATTTTTCGAAATCATTAAAATACAATAAAAGGAGAGAGAGAGGGAAAGGAGATAGAGTCAAGTCCACAACAGGATTATCGCACCGAGACACCCGACCGGTCGGTAAACATCCGAGCGGCAATGTTCATCGAGGCCAGCTCTTGGAACAGAAGCTTGGCGGCATAGGGGATGTGTACCTGCGAGATGCGATGCTTGTTGTTGCAGAGACGGCACTCGAATAGACCCTTCTTCAGTTTCCTGTTTGTTTGCGTATTAGTGATCTGTCTGTATCTCGGGGAATGCTATGATGTGTTGAAAAGGGGAATGAGGGACTTACGCAATGGGGGTCATCAGACCGCAGTCGTCGCAAATGTGGACACGGAAAGGATCCGACACGTCGAAGAGACGCTCCTTCAAGAATGCACTAGCGCCGTGCGCAATCATACAATCACGTTCCATCTCTCCGAAACGCAGACCACCATCACGGGCACGACCTTCAACGGGCTGGCGGGTGAGGATCTGGGTAGGACCACGGGCACGGGCGTGAATCTTGTCGTCGACCATGTGGCGCAGACGTTGATAGTAGGTGGGACCCAGGAAGACCTGCGCAACCAGCTTCCGACCAGTGTGGCCGTTGAACATCACCTCGAAACCGCGAGATTGGTAACCGTGCTCACGAAGCAGACGGGAGACCGAGTCGACAGTGACATCAGTGAACGGGGTAGCATCACCTTCGAAACCACGCAGGGCTGACACCTTACTCAATTGACACTCGATCAAGTGAGCAATAGTCATACGAGAGGGAATGGCGTGGGGATTGATAATCAGATCAGGCACAACACCCTCGCGGGTAAAGGGCATATCCTCCTGTCGGTAGGTGATACCAATAGTACCCTTTTGACCGTGACGAGAGGCGAACTTGTCACCAATTTGGGGAATCTTGGTAGTACGCATACGGACCTTGACGAATTTGAGATCGTCGTTGCCAGTGGAGATCAACACCTGGTCGACAATACCATTCTCGGTACTTCGCAGCGGTGTGGACACATCGATCTTGGTGTGAGCCTTGGTACGCTGGCCAAGTTCCTCTGCGTCGGCGGCCAGAGGAGCGGTCTTTCCGATGATAATATCTTCTCCGGAAACACGAACACCAGGAGCGATAATTCCATCATCATCCAGCTTGTCGTAAGTACCCTTGCGCATTCCAATTGTATCGGAGCGCATTGGCTTCTCGAATCGCTCGACAACCGTCAAGCCAACCATCTTCTCGGAGTCGGTGTATGTGCGGTAGAACAGACTGCGGAATAGACCACGATCGATACTGCTCTGGTTCATAATGACGGAATCTTCTTGGTTGTAGCCAGAGTAGGTGGCAATGGCGACAATGGCGTTCTGTCCGGCAGGCAGCTCGCGGAAACGCAGGAACTCCATTGACCGAGTGGTGGCTAAAGGTTTTTGCGGGTAATAGAGAATATTCGCCATGGTCTCCATACGCTGGGAAAAGTTGGTCAAGAAAACACCCATGGCCTGCTTACCCATGGCAGACTGGTAGGTATTACGGGGAGACTGGTTGTGATCGGGGAAAGGAATGATACTGGCACAGACACCAAGAATCATACTGGGGTGAATCTCGCAGTGAGTCCAGGTGTGCGCCCGCTGGCTCAGAATGGAACGGACTCGCTTGTTCGGGTCGCTGGTCTCGTCCTCGGGCAGTGCATAACCGGCCTGGAGCTGCTTTGAAATCTCCAAATCTTCTGGCGTCATCACAATCATAATCGTCTCTTCTTCCTCCGCGTCCACATATTCAACCGCACCGGAGCGGACCAGACCCTCCCATCCGAAGTAGCGCTCCCGGCGCTCTTCCACGTCCATATCAGGGGGCAGGTCCTTGTCCTGTTCCAGCTTATGAATGTGCTCCTTGTTGAGAATCAAGGATCCAGCATTCTCGCTCTTTGGATCATTGTCAACCACAAACAATGGACGGCAGACACGACCAGTATCAGTGAAGATCTTGAACTCTCGCTCACGGATATCCCGAATCAAACTGACTTCGTGAGAAATCATGTTTCGTCGACGAAGAGATTGCATGGTGTTGACCAGGTGCGATGGGTCACGGTGGATACCAACCCAGACACCGTTGACGAAGACCTTTGTGGCATTCGGTGTCACTTGGGGCTCGAACTCTTCTAAAACTTCCATATTTCGCTGAATCATGAAATCAATGATGGGCTCACTAGGAGTACCAACAGTGATGTAACACATGAGTGCCAAATTCTTGACAAGACCACAAGCCTGTCCCTCGGGTGTTTCTGCGGGACACACCAAGCCCCAGTGGGTGTTGTGAAGCTGACGCGGTTTGGCAATCTTACCATCACGACCAATAGGCGTGTTGGTACGGCGCAAATGCGAAAGCGAAGAAGCGAATGTGTAACGACTCAGCACCTGGGACACACCGGCCTTGGCGCTAGCTGCCTTCTTTTGTTCACCCCAGTTACCAGTGGCAAGGGCGTACTTCAGACCACCTGTCAAGGTAGCAGCCTTGAGACCAATGTTCAAGTAGATCTCACGGTTGGTCTCAACGCAGCGCTGGACATAACGCTGCAAATCGCGAGTGACTCGAGTGAAAAGGACACGGAAAAGGTTGGCGAGAAGGGGACCACCCAGATCAAGACGCTTCTTTCCGAAGTGATCACGGTCGTCAACGTCGCGGCGACCGAGAGCACATTGGAGAAGACGGTGAACCATATAACCCAGGAAGAAAGCCTTGCGGGTTTCACTACCCTCGCTCTGCGAGATGTGAGGCAGCAGCTCCTTCTGCATAATCTCCCGAGCATATCGCACACGGCGCTCGTGGTTCAGGTTAGACTGAGATGAGCCACGCTTGGCGATGAAATCCAGAGCAACCTCTCGGTCTTGAATGACGAAACCCTCCTCAATACACGGCTTGAGCATCTCCAGCATCGGGGTATCATTGCGATCGTAGCAAATGTGGTTGAGAATATCTTCGTCAGAGACAACACCCAGGGCTCGGAAAACGACAACAATGGGGATATCGGACTTGACGTAGGGAAGAGTAGAGCGAATAGTTGGGCCGAATCCACCCTTTGCGCTGTCACCCTTAGCGAACAGCTTAAGCGCAAGCTGGGAGAGGAGTCGAGATCCCTTCTCAACAGCACTTCGAATTTCGGCGACGTAGGGTGTCGGGCTCGGGGGCGCTTTCTTGAAGACTTGTACGATATTTCCAGCACTGCGCTCCTGCGCGATCAGTACCTTTTCACTTCCGTTGATGATGAAATAACCACCGGAATCGTAAGGGCACTCGTTCCAGGCGTAGAGGGACTGCTCGTTCAGGTCCTTCAAGATACAGTACTTGGACTTCAGCATGATGGGCATCTTTCCGATGAAGACTGTATCCTCTTTCCTTTGTTGCTCAGGAAGCTCCTTGGTCTCCCATTGCAGATATGTTCCACGGTTCTTCCGATCCTCGTCGGCCTCGCCCTCATCCTCATCGCCATCACCGACCATGCGCTCTCGGCCTTCCATGATTTTCTTCGAGACGTTCAGGTACAGCGGGCTGGCGTAGGTCAGGTTTCGGAGACGGGCCTCCTGCGGCAACATAATTGTCGTCGCGCCGTCACCTTCTGTCACTGATGGTCGCGAAAGCATGATGGTTCCGAACTTGAGCTCATAACGGCGGACGACAACCGGGTCGACTTCGTCTTCGGCCGGGGAAGGGTTTGATCGAGAACCACCTGTCCTTGTTCCTCCACTAGTTCCTGCATCGTCGAAGAGATGAATTCATCGAAAGAGTCGAGCTGCTGGGACACGAGACCCTTGGTGTCGAAGAAGGAAGAGATGACGGACCAGCAGTCCTCGGAGGTGATTCCCTCATCCGCGTCGTCGTAGAACTCATCCTCGTAAGCTTCGTCGTAGTCGGCCATGGTGGCGGTGTGGTGAGAACCCCCTGGTGCGATCACCAAGGAGGGGGAGATAAGAATGGGGAGATCGGGGTGACGAAAGTGAAAGGCAAGGAAGCCTCAAAAGCGCAGGGAGGCGCGTCGGCCGAGGAAGGCAATCTAGCCCGTGAGAATTCACCCAACGCGCAGTCCCGTCGATGACTAGAAACAAGACACGAGGGTCGTCACAGGCAATCGAAAGGAGTGCGACGGTGAGGGGGTTGGTGGGATGCAGAGATCACCGATGGCAGTGAAGACTTTAGTTGATCTCCAAGCAATTCGAGATTCGAGCCGGGCTCCGCTAGTCTGGGTCACGTGTCACCAAATGTTGATATCACGTGATATGCCGCAGTATGACATTGTAGGCACCAATTGGTAGATGAATGATGGAAATGTTCAGTCTCTATTTCACTTTCCATTGGAAGATGTTTGCTTCCAAGGTTGAATTTATGTCTACTACCAGTACCTGTTATTATCACAGTATCCATCTCTTCAAGGTTTTGAGCAAAACAGCCTGTCTAGCAACGGCGATTCAATTAGTAACTTTACTTCAAATTTCAAGGTCATCCAGGAATATTCAAGTTCAAGTTATTTATTAGTATCAAAATTCAAGCGGAAATAGACTGAACGTGGTGCCTGCCGGTCCAAACACAGCCCTGGAGGCACGCCTGAGCGAGTTTTGGGATTCCAAAATTTCCGAATACTAATCCCTATCCGGATATATATATCTACCTACCTAGGTAGGTAGTATTAGGTTCATGTCAAGTACTTACTAGTAGGTGTCTCTAAACCCAGTACTGCAAATCTTCTGTTGTTAACTGATTTATTCATTTGGGTTCCAATAGTCATCAATTATATTACATCTCAATAATTAACCTCAAACAAACTGCAGCAGAGTGCTCAGCATATCTTTCAAATCCTTCTGACTAGGCTCCTCCTCGTCAAGTCCCTCGAGTTGTTCTACATTTCAAAAGAGTCAGCACCGAAGCAAAATTCTCTTACTCTCCTCCATTTAGATACATACCTTGCAAAGTACCACGAACCAAAGATAAATCTTCGTCCCGGTCTGCTAGCAGCGCAAGAACCTTCTTCTTAGCGCCGTCATCCTCAGCAATCAGCCAAGCCAAAATGACATCGATGGTCTAAAATCCATTATGATTAGTACTAGGAGCATGCGTTACAAGCAAATAAAAACCACTGCGCTTACCTGCAACGAGAAGAGTCCGGCGTCGAGTCGACGTGAGAGCCACTCGCCCGCCATATATTCTTGATCCTCCTTCGAATACCCCTTCCGTTCCTTCTCAATAGCTTGTTCAACCGGCGAGACGCGGGCAGCGTACTCCCGACGCAACTTGACTAGTTTCCCAATCTTCTCGTACTCCTTCTCCATGAACTTGGCCAGTGTGCGAATACGCGGTGCCGACCCACCGGGTAAAAGCCGGAGCAGCGAGGCAAATATACCGAGAAGATGTTCGATATTTTGTCCTTCTTGCTTCTTCATAAACATGCCGAATACCGTTCGGAGACCAGCGGCTTCAATGAGGCGCTCACAAGCAGGCCCGCCGCTGATTCCGCCGAATGCGTGGTCGAGGACCCGTAGAGCACGCGGCTTGCTGAATTTGCCTTCTTTCAGCATGATCTGTGCTAACTCAATACCTTCGGCTTCGATGAACTTGTCCTTTCCTGAGTCCTCGTCCACAAGGCAGATCAGGCAATCAAAGAGATTCTCCACGTATTCTTCCTCATCTGAATCCTTCTCTGGGTCGCGTTTGCGGTACTGGCTGAGAAGTTGGAGGATGAGGTCGATGCCATCAAGACCGATGAACCGTTCTCTGTTTTTTGGGGATGACTGCAGGAGAATCGCCAGGATTTCTGCAGAGTATTGTTTGTTTTGGGTAACGGGGGATTCCTTCTGTTGGATGCGGGATAAGATCCATGGGAGAATGGAGGCGTCTTGTCCGATTTTCTCCGCGAGGGCGGTTTGAGAAGCTAAGTTCTCCATGACACCTTACAAAAGTTAGCGGGCACTGACTTGGCTTGATAGAGAAACGTACCGAGAATGTAGTAAACACCTGCTCGGTCGGTGTCAACTTTCTCATCTAGTCGAGAGAGATTTGAGGTCAACAGCTCGATAAGATCGGCATCCATCTGTCATATCGTTAGCTTGTAATTTCGTAGCGCATGTCGTAATGCATATCACAGCACTTACCATCGCATTGACTAGGGCATCCCATTGCTCCTGTTGAGCCTCCACGTCCTCATCTGTAAGTTCGCTGATGATTTGGACAACATCAATCGCGATATCTGCATTTTCGTGCGCAAGGAGGGAAACCAAGGATCCGACACAGCCCATCTTGGCGAATTCCTCGTAAAGCTCTGAATGTTCAGACAAAATCGACAGTCCCTTAATCTCGGCATCGAGGTCGGCCTCGGAGGCCATGAATCTGCGATACGGTTGATCAGTAAACTTCTTTTCCTGTCATTCTTCGACACAAATTAAACGTACTTTTGAGGATCATTTTCAAACTTGGCTCGTAGCTCGGCGTTCTTGGAGATCTTCTTCTCAAAGTTCAGCGCAAATCGGCGCACCCATGCCGTATCGAATTTCTCGGGCGCAGCTTCATCTTCTTCTTGTTGGTCGATGTATTGCATTGCCTGCGCTGTCTTTTGTTCCATGCCTCCACCGAAGAACCGGCCTTCTTCATCGTCTGGTATGTCATCTTCGAAATCTGGAGGTAGCTCGGGGCCGGCCTCTTCATCGTCCTCCATATCGTCTTCCACCATAGGTTCCTTTCCTTTTCCTTTCACATCGCCATTGGGATCGGTCTTTGCTGCCTTGTAGAGCTCATCTTGGGTATGTCGTTAGCACATAATTGACGGGAAGTGGGCGAGTGGGAGGAGAAGCGTACTAGGGTCTTGGACGGGTTCAAACTTGCGCTTGGAGCTCCCGGAGGCAGACTGTTTGAAGATGTTAGCGGCATCACAGCGATTCGACGCAAATAAGTTGTATACCACTTACCCTGAATAGCTCATCGACGCTCGTCATGGCTGCGGCGTGGTGTTGGAAGGAGATGGCAGCAGGCGCAGTTTTCTGAAGGGGGACCACGATCGATCAAAATGACCAGAGTGGGATGGAAAAAGCGAATAAGAGCGCAATTCCGCCAAAGAAAAGCCCTTGATCAAGAAGAGGGAATATATCAAGACGAGCAGTGCAAGTTGGTCGCGAGTCGCGCAAAAGAATGCGGGCGGTGAGAGGAACCAACTGCGCAGTCCGCAGTCCGCAGATTTCTCGATCTCCGAAGTCACTCAGCATCATCACTTACAACTCCATCAACTCCTACTCCACCTCCATCTCCATCTCTTATACTCCCACCGCAGCAATGGCCCCCAACCGTGTCGCCCTCTCCAAGAATGCTGGTTCCAACAAGAGCCTGTTCAGCACCGTCTATGACGAGGCCACCAACCCCGAGAACACCACTATTGTCCGCAGCCTGATGGTCTTCACTGTACGTGCAGAACTTCCCTCCATCTCGACCTCGACCTCGACCTCGACCTCCGCTTGAGACCATCCCAAACTGACCGATTTTCCTCATCTAGGCCGGTGTCGCTTTCCTCCACAGCAGCCTCGGCGAGCTCCTCCTCCCTCCGTAAGTTGCGCCACGCCGCGCCGCGTTCCTCCGATGTGTCTATCGTCGACCAGCCGCCAGAACGAAATCGTACTAATTTATCACTGCAGTATGTAAAACATTATCCTTCGAACCCATCGGATGAATTGTCGATCAATTCCAACCGTTTTTTCTGGATACCATGAAGCATATTGGCGTCGGTCGGGGAATCGTGCATAGACATCTCTCAGTCGATGTTCTTCTGGATCTTTCTGTATAATAGTCTGTTGGACGGGGCGTATGTTACCGAGAACTACATGCGTGGCCTGTTGATTTTGTCATGAATACCAATCTCGATTAACTATTGTTTCTTTCATGTGATGGTTGGTACTAGTAGGGGCGTATCTTGAAACGCGATGGAAAGTCATACATAGATGTTTGGCATCGCCCAGGTAGTCAATGGGGCCCTAGAGCCTGCAGCTCGCCCTGCTCGATGCATCCCATGACATGACTGATTTCCTCAACTATCAAGTTCTTCCACCCCGTCCGTGTTCTCTACCAGGAACTTCCGACCACCCGGAACCAAATCCGTGACGCCAGGAATGGCGTTCTCACAATAGAACTGGAACTCAGACGGAGTGCACAACTCCTTCCCAAGGGATCCCACCCTTTCAACCGTGACTCCATGTTTGGTCTTCTTCTCCGATCCTTCCACCCTCTGCCCAACCAACCATCGCTCGTCTATAGTCCCGAGATAAAGATCCAAAGTATCTGTTTTATCCTCAGACCGCCATATCAATGGACTCCCACAGTTACCGCAAAAGCCTCGGAATCGCCGGGGCGAGGACGAGCATTCTTTATATGCGGCAAATGATGATAATGGCGGGACGATCTGTTCAGGCGCAATAACCATGAATTGGGTTAGGAGGCTGGCTGTCCATTTACGGCACATGGTGCATTGACATGTTGCCGACTGTTACAATCCAGGTGGTTAGATCTCGAGCTTGCTATGATCGGGCTTTCAAGGCCTTGACTGAGGACTTACTGGCGGTGGCCATGGTGTGTTCTTGTCAAACACAATCTCGTACTTGATGGATTGACATAAACAGCCTCCGGATATTTTGTCTGGCTGAGCGCTATCGTGAGACATTTCCACTGACGAGATAATTGAAGACTTGAAAACGGGCTATAAATTTCAAGAGTAAATAGAAATGATATTGCGGGGAAATGCGAGTATCAAGTATGATTGTAACCGAATACAATAGGATGACTCATTCAACAAACGGACTCTGCAGGTTGGTTATTTTCCGTTGAATATCTCCATCCATTGATTCATACTCCAAAAGATAATAACAATCCCCCACAGTCCACATGACAGAGTCTTCAATCTCGGATGGTGATTGTAATAATAAGAGTGATAGGATTTTGGCGCGACTAGGGATATGCTTGCTGCAAATAAGATGAAACGAGACTAGTACAAGGTAGTAAACTTATGTACTATAGTTAGAGTTATAGCTCCACTGGAAAATGCCGGTATCAGAATCTAGCGTGCTGCGTCTCAAGCTCACAGAAAGACAACAAATACTAAAGCTCAATACCCAGGAAAAAAAAATTGGACCATATCAGACGATATTTCCCGGATGTCCTGATAATGTCGGCATTTGAAAAATGGCTTAGTTAGTTTTCTTGGCACTTTAATGCGGTAATAAAAATGTCTCATCAGACGTATTCATCCATTACCTACTGCTAGCTAAGAGCTACTGTTTATTGATGACAAGCTGTGATGGGGTCACTGTTGAGCTCGGGCCGTTCAAAATTGGGGGCTTTTCATGTCTATTTCCCAATCGGTGGTATATAAGCGGATTTACCCGTTGGTCATTGGTTCTATAAAATATCTCTCACCCTGGGGCAGGGGTTCTTTGGCAAAAAGGCTAAATACTAGTAGATTGCAGCGCCGATAGAACCTCGTTTTTGTATAGTTTCGCATGCCCCCCATTCCAAGGTTCTATAGCCAAATACCTAGTATTAGGAGATTAAGTTATCAGATATGAGAAATCCTTGTTTATCGCTTTTTATCTTAGGAAGAGAGGGGCTTGGCTTCAGCCAGAATTCGATTCATCAATCTAGTATCTGTCAAACACATGGCGTGGTGAGAAAACATGGCCGAACCCCATTGGGGAAATAAGCCACATGGGGGCCAGAGAATTTGAGATTCTCATTTGAGATTGGTGAAGTCCCTCGCGGCTCACTCACTGACACTTCTGTGTGGGACCAATGAATTCCGAAGCTGAATCGGACTAAAAGGCGTTAGCGTTGAAGTTCTGTCTCATCATTGGCCACTCAAATCACTCAACTAGTTTACTACATAGTCCCCAAAGAAATTACATGCTCTTTTCAGCGAAGTGAATATGGACGATGCGCGATTAACGAAGAAAAGAAAAGACTCGCGGAGTTATAAAAGGGTTATGCGCACCCTTGTACTTTGTATTTCTTAATAGCTTCGTTCTACCTCCCGTTTTGTGACAGAGTGCCTCTTATCTCTATCATGGCCAATCCGGGAACTGCCCTGCGCTGGAAAGTTGGGGACGAAGAGGCAGTGGATGGAATTTCAGTGGAGAGAAAAGACACTGAGTATGACAAAGACAAGGAAAAGAGGCTTCGTCGACACTCAAGCTCCAGGACAATTGATCCGAAAACTGCAATTCCTATTGAATATCGGAGCCTGTATTTGACGCCCACCACTGCCTGATGCATATCCTGAGACTTGGCTAATAAATTGGCTTCAGTTCGTTCGAGATCGAGGATGAAGGGGAGAGAAAAAAACGAAACAAACGACAGGCGGATAGTGATAAGATGGTCGAAGGTAAGTCCCTTTGTACTACTTGATCCTTGTGAATTATGGTTGGCTCACGCGCGAGGTGACAGAGTGGCGCAACATTGAATGGCACACCTTATCCACGGAAGAAATCCAAAAGCGTCTCGATGTAGATGCATCGCTTGGAATCTCCAACGCCTCTGTAAAGGAACGTACTGAAAAATATGGCGCAAACAAAATCTCGCCGCTTCCAAATCCTTGGCTCTGGAAAATCCTGGGCTACTTCTTCAAGGGATTTGGCTCGATTCTTCTGGTCGGTGGAATTTTGGTCTTCATTTCGTGGAAGCCGCTAGGACAGCCCCCTTCAGTTGCCAATCTGGCTCTTGGTATTGTTCTCATTGCGGTGTTTGTCATTCAAGCCGCTTTCAACGCGTGGCAGGACTTCTCTTCCTCACGAGTGATGGCCTCGATTACTGCAATGCTTCCCGAGTCATGCATTGTTCTCCGTGGTGGCTCGCGTGTGGAGATATCTGCTGTTGATCTTGTCCCAGGAGATGTGCTGACCATCAAGGCTGGTAACAAGATCCCGGCGGACATTCGGTTTATCGAAGTATCGCATGATTTGAGTATCAATAGATCCGTGATCACCGGAGAGTCAAACCCGATTAAGGGCAGTACCGAAAGCACATCTGACAATTATCTTGAGACGAGATGCATTGGGCTTCAAGGAACTCACTGTGCCGCTGGTAATGGACTTGGTATTGTGGTTGCCATTGGCGACTCCACGATTTTCGGTCGAATCGCAAAGTTGGCAGGTGAACCAAAGACCGGCCTTACAACAATTGAAAAGGAAGTTCTTCGCTTTGTGGCTCTAATCTTTGTTATCATGGTTACTTGGATTATCGTTCTGGCTGCCGTCTGGTATGTTTGTTATGCTCATTAACCTGCTGTTATACCATGGCTAACACATTCCCAGGGGCGGCTGGCTTCATAAAGTCCATCCCGATTATATCAATGTGCCGACGCTGATAGTGGATTGCGTGAGTGTGGCTATCGCTTATATCCCCGAAGGTCTTCCCATCGCCGTCACAGCAAGTTTGACTATCACTGCAAACATCATGAAGAAGAACAAGGTTCTTTGCAAGTCACTCAAGACTGTTGAGACCTTGGGCTCGGTTACCGTCATTTGCACCGACAAGACAGGTACATTGACCAGGGTAAGCATTATCTATGGACTGGAAGCAGGAATTTACCTTGATACTGACGTTTTGGTAGAATCGCATGGCTGTTACTGATTATGCCGTACACGTAACAAAATCCGTTCTTGACTCTACAGGCGAACACACGGCGGCTAAGCTGAATGATACCGTACTCCGACAAATTCAAGCCTTAACCGGTCTTTGCAATGCAGGTGAATTTGATACCGAGTCGGCGAATGCTCCACTGAGCGAGAGGCGCATTTTCGGCGATGCCACAGATCAAGCCATTCTGAGATATTCCGAGAGTCTTGGATCCGTTGCTGAGCTTCGCAAATCCTGGCAAACAATTTTTACTCTTGGATTTGACAGCAAGAATAAATTCATGATCAAAGTGATCAAAGCTGCCACTCCAGGGGCCCCGGCTATCACTCTTTCGCCTGCCGAGGCCGAGAAATTTGATTCCAATGACGTGTATGTATTCCGATCAGTCGAGGTCTGGATATATGCTAATTACGTGTAGGCTTTTTACCATCAAGGGAGCTCCAGATATCTTGATTGAGCGATGCTCAAAAGTACTTTGCCCAGATGGTGAAGTCAAGTCCTTGACAGATGCTGATCTTGCCGCCATCAAGCACTTGAAGGATGAATGGTCTTCCCAAGGCAAGAGAGTCATCATGCTGGCTCGCAAGGTTCTCGAAAAAGACACGATACTAGCAAACCCTGGCGACGCGGAATTTGAGGCTCAAATGCTGAGTGAAGCTAGAACAGGTCTTACCTTGGTCGGAATGGTTGGCTTGATCGATCCACCACGATCTGAGATCCCAGAGGTCTTTCAGGTGCTCCGACAGGCACAGATTCGAGCTTTTATGGTTTGTTCAATGACGCGAAGCTATAAACCATGGATCTCACTAAATACTTTATACAGGTTACTGGTGATTTCGGACTCACGGCCCTTGCTATTGCCCGGAAATGCAACATTGTCACCGCCGATTCCGTCCACGATGCATCCTATCTTTCTAAATCTGCAGTCTCGTATGAGAAAGAGACGCTCATATCCCAGTCTGCTTTGTCGATCAGTGGGCCGGAGTTGATGACTCTCAACGATCATCAATGGGACCAACTGTGCAAGTATCCTGAGATCGTCTTCTCTCGTACCACTCCCAATCAGAAACTGCGGATTGTGCGCGAGCTTCAGTCAAGAGAAGAGATTGTCGCAATGACAGGAGACGGTGTCAACGACGCTCCTGCCCTTAAAGCAGCTGATATTGGCATCAGTCTCGCCAGCGGCTCAGACATTGCCATCGAGGCTGCCGATATGGTGTTGCTTGATTCATTCGCTGCGATCGTTGAAGCTGTGCGCTATGGTCGCGTGGTTTTTGATAACCTGAAAAAGACAGTTGCTTATCTGCTACCGGCTGGTTCATGGTCTGAGTTCTGGCCTGTCTTCTGCAATCTTGTTTTCGGAATTCCTCAGATTCTTTCCTCTTTCCTCATGATCATCATTTGGTATGTTCTGGCAATGAAAGAACTCTATTAATCACGTCAGACTAACATATTTTCAAGTTGTTTTACTGACTGTGCTGCCGCTGTTGCTTTGGCATATGAGACCCCGGAAGCAGATGTGCTATTCCGACCCCCGAGACATCCGAAGAAAACACGACTTGTGGACTGGAAATTAATGTTCCATGCCTACGCTTTTATCGGCATGGTTGAGACAGCTTTATCGTTCACCATGGCATTCTGGTACCTGGAACGGAGTGGAATCCATTTCTCTGACCTTTGGTTCAAGTTCGGAGCCATACCCGAAAATGTGACAGAAGACTATTATACAGCCAAGGTAAATGAAGCAAGCTCAATCTACTTCATCAATCTTGTGGTCATGTAAGTGCCTCCGAGTCCCCTTGATTCTCCTCTTTCCCGACAACTAACAACCCCAGGCAATGGTTCAACCTAATGGCGGTACGAACGCGTCATCTTTCAATATTCCAACACCCTCCGGCATTCAATAAACAGACCCAAAATCTGTACCTATTCCCTGCTATTGCATTTGCCCTGGGAATTTCGGTTATTTGGCTGTATGTTCCTAGTTTGCAGGTCGTTCTGTCTACTTCGGGTATTCCTGCCGAGTACTATTTCCTCCCAGCTGCGCTTGGAATTGGGCTATTGTGTCTAGATGAAGCGCGAAAGGCTGCTGTTCGTCGTTGGCCAGATGGAATTTTGGCAAAAATGGCTTGGTAACCGCTACATACAAGGTATGAGCTTTTGTGATGGCTGGTTCGGACTCGGAAAGGGAAAGAAAATTCGAAATAATAGCGAGAGGGCGAGACTTTTACTGGTGGGGGATTCTGAGGTGTTAATTTGGATTACGGAGTTCAAATGCTACTATGGAGGGAGGATCAGAGAGATAATTTGTATATAGACAAAGAAGGTGGGCTGCAATTTGATATTGAATGCAAAGTTTGAGGAATCTAGTCTCAACAGATTTTCTCGACATAACTTGTTCTAGATAAATACTCACATGCGACGAAGCTCCACTAATAAAGTCTTAACCTTAGAAGCAAATTGCTGATCTGTAAACATTTAGTGTACACAAACACAGCGACGTTGTGGAGGCCGCGTGGTTAAGGCCCAGTCAGGCCCATAGGCCATCACTAGCATTCTTCGAAGGCATTCGTACTCTCCGTTGTCGCTTTGTTCTGCGGCTAGTGCCCTAAGAGACACTCTCCACCGAGTCAGCTCTAATAATTCTCAATAACCCTTTTCATGGCTTCCGTAATGATGCCTGAGGCCTGAGGCAACAATGCTTCAACGCAGTAATTGATCTAACTATAGGTGCACATAAGCTCACTCCTTGTTGGTACCTTCCCCTAGACCGGATTAAAATACTCTCTTCGATACATTAGTAGTGTGTAAATGCCAAAAATTGCCGCGATCTGAATTACCACCCACGAATTGCCCCAGTAAATAGCTAGTTAGTTACTTAGGATGTCAGGTTGCCTCAGGATCCACGTACGCCCCCCACAAAACCCCACATCTCCCCAGTTCCGAACACCGCCTTTGGCCACTTTGCCGTTTGTGGCCTCGCCATTATCCATGTCGATCGCATCGAAGACTCCGGCAGTTGAATTTCATTAGCCGCCGTACCGAGACATCCGTACGCTTCACTCCGTAGTGTTTCTTTCAACCGAGACCGAGCAGGCATGCAGAGCCCCGCTTGAACGTGAAAGCCATGTCTCTGTCCCCCAATAGCAATGCGCTGGCCCTGAAGCGCAAGCTGCAGAGTGCGGACGCTCGCTTCGAGCCCGGGAAGCGGCATCATCTTCAAGGCTACGATCCCCAGGCCCCATGGCTCTCCGAAGCAAAGCAGCACAGTGGTTGGAGTCGGCTCGGGAATCCGGCCGTGCAAAACTCCTTGCCACTGGATAATATGGTCTCTGCCGTGCAGGACTTGATTGATCCGGACTTTGACCCGTTGACAGCTATGTTGGATGACGAGCCTAGATTCTTGAAACCTTTACCAAATTGTATTGCGCCAGAGGATGTCGAGTTCCTACGCTTTCGTGGGGCCTTGTCGATTCCGGAGAGTGGATTGCGGAATGAGTTGCTCAGGTCGTATATCCAATGGGTGCATAGCTTTATGCCAGTTCTGAATCTACAGGAGTTTTTGCGATGCGTCGCTGAGAATGATCCTAATGGCAACGTTAGCGTGCTGCTCTTCCAGGCTGTCATGTTTGTTGGGACGGCATTTGTCGACCTTCAACATTTGCAAGATGCAGGTTATTCTACCAGGAAGGATGCTCGCAATGCATTCTTTACCCGATTACGAGTATGATACCTCTGCGGACTGTGGCGAGTTTTTCATTAACGTGGTATTTGATAGTTACTATACTCCCTCGATTGCGAAGAGGATCGCATTGTCATTCTGCAGACAGTCTTGTTGATGACATACTGGTCTGACCCCTGGAATAGTCTACAGCGCGATATCTGGGATTGGATTGGAGTTTGCAATATACAAGCACAATCAATCGGATTAAATACAGACCCTTCATCGGCGAGAGATATCGACCCAAAGACCCGACGACTGCGCACGCGAATTTGGTGGTGTCTATATTCCCGAGATCGGCTCATAGCCATGGGGATGCGACGACCGCTACAAGTTAATGAAGGAACTTGCAATGTCCCAATGCTTCGGATGGAGGATTTCGACTTCGAGCCCTTTTGCCCATCGGCGGTGGCGCAATTTCGCTGTCGTCAACTCGAAGACGTCTCGCATCAAAAACGACTAGCAACGATGTTCATTGAGAAGGTGAAGCTTTGCCAGTGTATCGGGAGAGTGTTATTCGCACAATATGCCCCATCACAGCGCCAGTTTGGCGCAACGGATCGCACAACTGTTACCATCGTCCCTGAGACAAGCCTCCGAGTCAGAATTCACGCGATGCTGTCAGAAACTTGATTCATGGCTAAGTTCGTTGCCGAAAGATGCTCAATTCATACCGGCATCAAAAAGCAATTTCCGCGACGGTGAAGATGTCCTACTTCTACACGGTGCTATGCTACGTATGCTCTTCCACGCTACAACGAGTTCCCTTCATCGGCCGTGGGCAGCAAATTCGAAAGATCCATCAAAAACCGGAGTGGAGTGGCGCGACGCTGCTCGCAAGAAAATGCATGACGCCGCTGCTGGCATCACGCATATCATTCAGGGCCTCAACCAACTAAAGCTGACGCGATTCCTGCCTCAATCTGGCGTTACGGTCATTCTCCCTGCGGCAGTTGCCCATTTATCAAATTCGATGTCGGATAACCCCGCTGTACGCGAGAGCAGTATTTCCAACTTCCACCGCTGTATCAAAGTTCTGCATTGTCTGAAAGATATCTACCCAGCCGCCGAAAGCGAATTTGCAAATCTTGAAGCAGCTATAAAGCTGCGTTCTGGAAGCGCCAACTCCAACACATTCTTCCAGATCATGCAAAATAACTTCGACCCATCGCCCTCGCCCACTAACATGAATCCACCAAGGAGACCGAGCATGGCCGAATCTATCGCATCCCCAATGAGTCAACGATACGAACAGAACAGAATGACAGAGACGATGAACAAAGCACAGCCTCGTCAACGAACACAGTCTTCATCCTCCACACCTCGACCCAATATCCAACAACATCAAAGAAAGCCCAGCGCAGTGACGCCCCTGAACGAATTCCCTAACCTAAATCTCAACTCCAATACCACCGACCCAAATGCCAATACTCAACACCAACGCCGTCCTTTCCCCAATGACTTCGACGACCACTTCGCCGTAACAGAAACAAATCCCACCCCATCCACCGATAACCCCTTCAACTTCCTAAACATCGACTTCTCCACCTTCCCAAATTTCTCCGACCAACCGAGTCAAGAAATCAACATCTCCCCCTCAAATAGCGACCTGGAAGGCATGGACTGGACACAAGCGCTATTCAGAGGCTCGTCGACGATACCCGATCTCGAGAAAGATCTTTTCGGCGATGCCAGTTCGAATACGAATAGGACACAAAGCGTGCCGAATCCGCAGGCCGAAAGCCAGGAAGAGCATGATCTTTTCCCTTTCGCTATGAAGGATGATCATGGGAGTCGGCATCATTCCGCTAGTCATGTCTCTGGTATCACGGGGGGATCTGGATCGGGATTTAGGGTTTCAGACTGGCGATGAGATGTTTTGAGCGTTCTTGTACGAATAGTAGCAGAAATACATAGGTATACATTTCAAGTTCACATCAAGTTCTCGCCCAATTCATTTCTTTACTGGGTCATGTCCAAAGATTTGATAGTCAACAGAGCGGCTTTGGGATGTACACACAAGCATATGTGCTGTCAAGATACATCTCCGTGCACGGTATTAGGGATTACCATTGGTTGCGAGATGGAGGTCAGCACGGGCGGTAGTTCTGGATATCTCATCAGAAGCCCCTAGCTACCCTAATCAGGATAGCTACTAGTTATACCAATGGAAAGTAAACAAAAGTTTCGCCACCACGTTCGAATATCAATCTTTCACTGATATAAGCTCGATATTTTCTATCTCTATTAGTGGATATCATAACACTGTACCGCCTCTATCAGATACACGGTCTTAAAAGCAAATAGCAGAAAGCAAACAAAGCCACAGCCCACAGCAGTAAGAAATCTACTTTTGCGTCCAGCGATTCCTCTCATCTCCGTCCTTCCAATCCTGCTCGACATAGCCCAGAGTCTTCTTGACTTCTAGAACCTTCTCATGGTCGCCGGTATTCTTGCCCAGATTGTCGCTTAGCTTGACGGCTGGCCGGCCATTTGCAGTGGCGATTTTGATGACGATGTTTAGGGGCTTGGACTTTTCTTGCGTTGTTGTGTTGAGGTAATCATCTAGGCCTGAGTTAGCAAATGCCATTCGGGTTATACTCCACGCTGCACTTACTTGTGAAGAAAGTTCCCACGCCAAAGGTGGGTGTGAAACCAGCCTCCTCGGCAATAGTCTTGTATTCTAGACAGTGCTCGATATCCAGCGAGTCGGAGAAGACCACAACCTTCTTGTCGGTGATACCCTCGCGGTCGTAAAATTCGCGCACCGTCTTGACGAAGAAGGTAGGGTCTCCAGAGTCTTGGCGGACACCAGTGTAAACTTGGGCAAATGTCTTGACCTCGCCGTTGTCCTTGGGAGCAGGGTCGGACTTTGGCGTTGAGATGGGCTTGCGGAAAGCGTCTAGGAAAGCGGGTGTTCCGAATGTATCGGTGAGAGCGATTCCAAGGACCTGCGGTTGATTGTAAATAATGGGTCGGTATAAATAAGGCAATTGGAGTGCAAAGACTTACCCCCTCGCCAAAGCAGCCAAGCCAGTATTGCAGAGCCAGTTCATTGGCATTCTTGTAATCATCCGTGATGGCCGCGATAGTCATGTACCATTCGTGGGCCACCGTTCCAACAGCGTTAGTGTCATACTTCATAGCAAAGTGCACATTGCTGGTGCCGCTGAAAACACCCTTCCAGCCCTGCTTCTTTCCCTCGGCAGCGGCCCGGCTGAGTCCTCGCATGACGAGATCGTGAGTGTGATAGTCTCGGCGGCGGCGCGAGCCGAATTCTGAAAACACACATCCGTTCTCTAGCAAAGTGCATCCCTTGCGGTATGCCTTTTCCTCTTGTTGATCGTAATCCCACTCTTTGTCGGTGAACATGAAGTAGGCTTGGCTGGTCAAAGCCAACAAAGGAATCTCGTAGAGGATCGTGTCGAGCCAGAGTCCTTTGATGACGTACTCAATATTTCCCTCATCTTCGTCGCTGCCGGTATCTTCTGTAGGGGTGAATTTTATCTCGATCTGCTCGGCGGGCTTGAGGTGGAAGGTCTCGAGGAAGGTGATGTATGCGTCATTGAGGTAGGGGCATTTGCGCTTGAGGAATGCGCGCTCTTCGGCGGTGACGCGAATGTTGGCGAGCTCTGGAAGGTGTTAGATTTGAATTGTGAATGGTGGTATTGTGGTTATCTCAGGGTGACGCGTACTGTCCATCTGCTGCAGAAGCCATTTGTAAGCCCCGCGGCGCAATTTCATGTGCGGGGTCCGATTCGTGAAGCTGTAGGTCACATCTACCGCGTGTTAGAAGACCTTATCTTTCTATTCCGGATCAGCTAGCCTTACCAACTTTAGGGAAGTACTTCAGGATAGCGCATTGCATGGTCAGCTTGTAGAGATCGGTATCCAAGAGGGAAGTGATGCCCTCCGGCAATGGAGGGGTAGCTTCCTGGCCCATTCTGCTGGTTGGGGTTCCGGATAGGCAGGGATGTAGGTTAGAGAGGGATATCGGAGGGAGAGATTGGACTATCAGTAGAGAGGAAGAGAGAAAAGAAAAGGAGGGAGTAACGGGGGAATGTAAGTAGAGAAGTAAAGAAGCAAAGCGGGCGAGGGCGGGTTTTCCTTTCGCGCAACGCGGGGAAGAAAACGGTCTGTTTGTCCTGTTTGCATTGAAGTATACCAGTTAGCAACAAAGTGCCATTGTCACTCACATTGCTGTGTACCTATGGTTTTCTTTAATCTGACATGTTTGAACAGCTTGGGGATATTCAATTCTTTGATTTCCTTCAGATAGAGAGGGCAGTGGCTGGCAGTAGCGGCTGCTCTGTAGTGCGGAGAGTCATCTTGTTGGAATACTTGTAATAGATAACATAATGTAAAAGGCAGATAAAGTTTGAAAGTGTTCTAAGCAAGAACTTGAAAGAGGAAATATGTGTTACTAGTGACAATTGTTTTGTGGCATGATAATGAAAGCCCAATGTTGAAAGAGGTGGTACTACCTCAAGTTATATGGCATACTATCTATGTGGTCCTTCACTCTACTAGTATACTGAAAATCCATTTCAGTATGTACCCCAGCCTTTATTGAAATTATGATGTTTGGAATAAGGGTAAAAATAGTTGATAGAGTTTGGGATCAGTCTGATCTTATTCAGCAAAAGTGCACTACTACGAGTACTACTAGAGATCTATAACTAGGGCACTGGCACAGGCACAGCTGCCTGTGAATGCCCATTCCTCTTTTACCACAATTCTTCATCTCCCTCTCCTTCTCCCTCACCTCTCATCTTCCCTATCCTATTACTTCCACCCTCTGATTAGGACTTTCTCTAATTTACTCTTCTCTCTTTTTTCTACTCGCACCATGAATCCCTTCATGCCTGAATTCTCAGGCATCAATGATAACGTGATCAAGATGGAGTCACCTGACAGTCCAACGATAGCCGCCGTCAAAAGTCCGACGACATCCCTTCGATTAACAGTCCGTCACGAGCGGGGCAATTCTGAGGAATATCAGCCGTCCGAAAGCGCATCATCCTCGAGATCGCGTCCCCGTGGCCGCAAACTTGACCACTTCCGATCCCGCAAGACCCAGAAAGAACCCCGTCCATCGCAGCCGCCGAAGCCACCGAGGCCACCGAGGCCAACAAGGGTATCGAAAGCACCGAAGCAACAACCCAAACGCCCAGAGATGGCCCACGGCGCCGAAGACTGCGCGACTGTTCTTGAGCAGTTCGTCCACGATGTCGCCAACTTGCCACTGGAGATCAATCATCTGATGGAGGAGATTCAGGCGAAAGACAAAGTCATGCAGGATTGTCGAGCTACCATCAACTCGCGCGACGGCAGTATCCAGAAATTCATCAAGTTGAACGGCAGTCTAGCCCCGAACCCAAAGGAAGACCAATACAGCAAATCGGTTCTACAGAGTCTAGACAAATGCTCGCAACTACAGGACGAAAAGATCCAACTCAGCGAGAAAGCATGCGTCCTCCTAGACCGGCAGATCAAACGCCTCGACGTGCGCATCCGCGATCTAGTAAACGAAGGCCTCCTCTCAAATGACCCGCCCTTGCCCTCAATGTTCGATAAAAAGGTCGACTACCGCGAGCCTCCAAAGGTGTTTTTCCCGGATTCCACGCCCTCAGAAACACCCGCGTACTCGACCCCCCCTTAATCCGACCTCGGGCAATTCAAACCCAATTCTCGCGGCCGCGCATCGTCTAAATCAAGCAACGCCCCGTATTTCGACCGCTGCCGCCCTGGCAGCTGCACAAGGTAGCGGCCGGAGTTCGGCGCCAGCTACACCCGCCGCAGCGGGTATGCATCTCCAACAACGGCAGCGCGAATCCTCCGCTGGCGCAATAGACAGCAAGCGTCGCCGTCTGAACCCGCCATTCGGTACACTCCCGGCCGCATCCTCAAATCTGCGTCAATCATCTCTAGGCCCTGGCACGCCCAAGGCCGGAACACCCGCGGGAAGTCGAGCGGGGAGTGTCCAGCCTCGCGGCGTGAGCAGCGGAATCAAGAAAGCGCTCACGAAGAAGATCGCCCCGCACCAACAAGTCAAGAAAATAAAGTCTTCCGCCGGAACGAAGTCGAATAAGCGCTCATCCAGCGCGAGTGGGCGGATTAAAGCGTCGAAGAAATCCCCTGGTGAAGGTGCGGATGACGATGACGACTCCATGCTCAGTAGTGCGGACATGTCTGAGTCGGATAAGAATGATGACAGTGCCGAGGACGATCTTGATGATGATGACGATGAGGACGAGGGTAATGAGGATACCAAGGTGTACTGCACTTGTCGGACTGTCAGTCACGGCGATATGGTTGCTTGTGACAACGATAACTGTCCGTATGAATGGTTCCACTGGAAATGTGTCGGGCTCACGAGAGAGCCCGTGGGTACTTGGTATTGTGATGAGTGCCGCAGGACCCTCGGCAAGTAGAATCTCAATTTGCGGCCGAGGGTAGTTGATAGCTGTCGTGCTTGATGCACTCCCCCCCTTTTTTTTCCTATTCTCCGGTTACCTGGTTCGGTTGATATCCCCACGGCGTTGGGTAATGATTGCTTTCTTTTTTCACTCTTCTACTTTTCCTGCGGCGCGTGAAGAAGTTGATGTAAATTAATGCACTGGTACTATGTTCTATACTGAACTGAAATCACCCTCTTTCCTTTTGAAACTACTTTGGATCTTGATTCTTCGAACTTGTGAAAGAAAGAACTTCCTAGTTATCTCGACCCTACATTCCCTCTCCTCTCCTTCAAACAAAATTATGGGGCTAGAGAATCGAGAAGAGGCATACCGTATAAGATCTTCAGGTATGCACTAAAAGTCACCATAAGCAGCATAGGCAGTACACGGTGTTGCCTATGCCTCTGGTGACTCTTAAAGTCTTACCCCTTGCATTCCATAGGTACTCGGATCCGAACGCTGAGCCTAGTTATTGGTATCTGAAAATTTGCAACCAGTATCGGGCCGTGTCTCGGTGCGCTAATTCAAATACGGGCATTTCGGAAGAACTTCTCAATGGATAGAGTGAATAAAACTGTGCTTGATGCCCTAGAAGAGCATCAGTCGATCCGGATCCATGGCGATTTGCCTACCAAGAAGTTAGATAGCGACGATTATCTAGCTTCAACACGTAAGACTATCAGCGAATTTGTCTCTTTTTGGAACGACATAGCCAACTTGCAGCTTCTTGCGGTAGAAATCTGGCCTCGACGTTCCTACTTTGCTCTCGATTTCAACAATAGCAAGTACGACTATGACAAAGCCCATACTCAGGTGATTGTTCTACCTGTGTATCTGCTTCGGATGTCTCGAAGAAGTGGTTCCTGGAGGATATTTCGACATAAGCCCGAGGATTCTCACCTGGCGAAGCGAATTGCGTTCTTACATGAAGGGAATGGGCAAGATCCAACTCCTTTCCTTGAGGATCACATTAAAGGTGTGGTATACGGTAACCCACGGAACCTTCTACCTCCTCTAGAACCTTGAAGTTACTTTCGGTGAATTCGGGCCTGATTGTGAGACTTATCGCTTTAGTTCTTGCTGTGGCGACCGCCAACTAATTGGACCCCTAGAAACCAGCTATTCAATATTTTTCACCGTGACTCTACAAGTAAACGGCCATACTATACTATTGATACCGAAGAAGCCTATATCCAGATGGGAAGCTCACCAGTTCGTCTTGTACTTCAATGAACTGCCCACATTCAATGAGTTGAGACATCCATGGATCAACTTGAACTTGAATCTCAGAAATCCTGTAGAATATAGAAGCGTCATGATATGATCAACCACTACGGATTATTGAGCATTATACAGACAAGTCATACTGTGCCCAGGTAGTAATATCTACATTTATTTCCTTCGAGGCTAGCACGTTTTGGATCAGCCACGGTAGTACAGTCGAGGTGCGTACCCCCACTTAGGCAGCCAAGATGAGGCTCAAACAGCCCCATCAGACCCCGCTACAAGCGGGCCAACGCCAACTTGAGCTTCGCAACAATGGAACAGTTCATCTTTATGCCCAACTAGCACGTGCCTACTATCTCATTCACTCTATATGGACTCTCCCACCTCCAATCCCGAGATAGCCTTCATCTCCGGCCCCATCAGCACAGATCCGCAAGAAGATTACTTTCCCCTCCACTATGCCCCGACAATCGACCAAGCCATCCGACGAGGCGACCACTTCGTCATCGGCCCTATCCCCAGTGGCGTGGACGCAGAAGCCCTTGCATACCTCCTCGCCTGGCCCACTTCCCCAGGCCGCATAACCATCTTTGTAACCCCCGCCGAAGATGGAATGTGGGGCGCCAAATTTCGTGCATTCGGCGTGAACGTTCGTGTTATTGCGGGTCAGATGCCGCGGGAACGAGATGCCGAGTTGACGAAGGCGAGCACCTATGATATATGTCGGGTGCGCACGAAGGAAGAGGGGAAGGCGTTCTATGGGAAATCGTGGCGTGATGGGTTTGTGACTAATACTGAGCGGAACTGGAAACGGCGGCGGAATATTGGGGAGGATGTGGTGGTTGAACCGGATGTTATTAATCGTTCGTTGGGATTCGATGATAATTTGGGTGCACCGTCTTCGGAGAAGGATATCAAGTTGCGGATTGGTATTTTGGGTCGGTGGGTGGAAAGTTTACAACGGCATCGTTGAGGAATGCGGAGAGAAAGCAGTTCTCTACTCAGTGCGATTGTACATGTGCCTCTTCTATGTAAATAATCCACAGCCGCTAGGTCTATCACAACTTGTGGAATAGTACATACGTACAGGATTTCCCATGCAAGATCTTGGCTTTCCCTTTCTGTTTTAGTGCCCAGTGAGCGCTGCTTTTACTCACTGAGTAGATCAAAGCACATAGACCTCTATTGACATCAGCAACAGAGGTCTATGTGATATGGCATGGTATTCATTATCTTCGAATTCAGCCTTAGAGTAGAGCTTATTCGGTGAGAGTTTTATTCGAATCACATCAAACGACCCCCATCTCAAAAGAAATTAACATACTAGAATAGTATAAAACAACCCAGCGAAGACTTTTAATAGGGTTATAATGAGAGCGTTGAAAATATTTCAGCTAGTGTTGTTCTTGCTGCCACACAAATAGCAAAGTGAAAAGAAGAACAGGATTCAAAGATTTTCTATTGGTTGGTGAGTGTTACAACAAATAGAATGGGCGAATACACCATGAGTAGATGGTGTCATAGGAGACAATATGTACCACCTCTTGGTTTAGCCTCTCTTCTGCTCCAGAAATTTCATCAGCTCCTCCTTATCTTCAGACACATTCTTCTCCGCCGCCTGAATCAAGTTGTCCGTGATTGAGAGTTCTGCGTGGTTCAAGAATACTTCAACGTCCTCTTTGTCGCATCTTTCCAAGACAATCTCGGCGGCTCGTTGAGTAACAAGCATGTCAGGATAATCATCATTTGTACACAACTCTCCGACAAAATACCCAAGGCTGAAGTCCCGTCCACTTGGAAGCTCAAAGGGCCAATCCTCTAGCATGTCGATCGTGAACTCTGACCCTGTCTTCTGAAGGAAGGCAGTTATCATCAAAAAGTGGAATGGGTTGTATTCTGGGCCAACAGTTTTCCAAGTTTTCTCCCAAAAGTTTCTAACAAAGGACTCTGACTGTTGTTTCAGGAGCCAGATCAGGATTCTCTTATCCAACGCTAGAAAAGTGGCCTGTAAGATAACTTCCATAGTTTTAAAAGACCAACGTCCCTGTGTGGCGGCTAGTAGAACGTTGTCCGTGACAGGTAAAGAATCTCTATGCGAAGCCATCATTAGACGCATCAATCCTGGCTCCCTCGCAGCCTTCCGGGGAGCATTTTCTGTAATCGTAGCATCGGGCTTCCAGGAAAGCAGTGCTTCCGAGCAACGGAAGCTTCCGGTAAAGAGCTCGACTACATGCTCGTCAACATTCACGAGTTGCCGCTCAAGGAGGGCTTGAAACGTCTTTCCGAATAATGGGTCATCAGACGTTGCATTTGCACCTTCCGAAAGCTTGGTCAAGATATCTTCAATTGGGAGCTCCCTTCGTTTTTGATCCAAAAGCGCCAGCATGGCTCTCTTGTTTTCACAGGCCTGCTCGAACATACTGTCTGCTAAAATGTTCAGAACCTTAATCAGAATGCTACAGAGCTGCTATTCGAGCTTAGTAGTAATCTGAAGCTGCTTAAGCCCGAAAAGGTTAAGGATATCCTCGAAACAGTGAGAAGATTAACCAACAAGCCTGTCCATTTGCCCCTGTATTATTAGTATTAGGAGCTGGATACACTGCGCTAGGATCTCTGTAAGGAGATCTAGGCGATTAAGATCATTATTATGGAGCTTTTAGCAGACTTCAGCACGGGTTATTTATCAGAATAGCTGTATTATCGCCGTCGCTAGTGTACTAGCTCTCCCTTTGGCAGAACTATTTTATGGAGCAGAAGAAAGTTTATATCCTATAGATATAACAAGAAAATAAATTTAGTACTGCGAAGACAAGAATAAAATATAAACCAAACAGATTGAATGAAAGTAAATAATATGATAATAGCAATAGATAGTGGAGAGTTTTAGAGCTTCAATCTATACATAACCTTTAAATCGGATGTGGAGATAGCAGTAGATAGAACAAATAACATACCTTGTAGCGCTACATAACAAACTTGGACACAACTTTTTGTTTTTGTTCTTAATTTTTTTCGTCATATCGTTTTTTTTTTAATCTGTTCCGGACCGGGAATGGGAAAAACACTTCAAGAAGCTCATATTTAGTAAACCATCAAAAAAATATTTTATTAAACACTGTTGTAGGGCTTAACACCAAATTTGGAATGGGCAGAGCATAGACTGGATGCTGGTGTAGATGGTCTCTGATCAGTCTCTGAGTAATCACAGAGTAATCAGTGAGCAATCACTGATCAACTCCCTAGGTCAGAGATACTCAAAGCCTTAGTAATACACTACATAATCTGCTCTGAGCTGCTCAGTGAGTCTGATTCTGAGCGCCCTCATTTAAGCGGCGGCACCCAGAATAGGAAAGCTCCACATTGCGTAGGAAATAGTATGCTACATATAGGTACCTAGTTACACTCATCTTGACTAGTAGCACAATATAGCATGAGAGACTCAAGAGAGAAATCATTGGCCTTGACCCTCTTAACTACTATTCTACTATATATTCACTAACTGCCCAGATATCTCCCCTTCGTTCAAATTCTGTAAGAAACCTTGCAATATCCCGAGGCAGATTTCTTAAGCCTTGAGCATATCGATCGCCATCGAGTACGCCCTCCACTTAGCTTCTTCCTGCACAGCTCCAACATTCGGATCTTTATCCCATCCATGCCCACAGTACTCCATCCTATGCAACACAACATCATCAACACGACCAGTCTGTTTCCTAACACTAGAGACAAACTCTTCAGCCTCGGGCGCCATATTATCCCTCGCAGCAGTAACAACCAAAAGCCTCGCCTCGAACCCCGAAAGATCCGCGAAAAGTGGCGAAATGCGAGGATCTCGCGCATCGACCCCAACAGGAATATAACAGCGATGAAAAAACCGCGCTATCCACGGCGGAATCAATTTTCCTGTCGGGTCAGGCGCGATCTTTCCAGCGGGGTCAGAGGCCAGATCCACGCCGGGATAAAAGGTCAAGACAGAGTGGAAAGTGTGCTTGGGCATGAGGACGGCTGCGGCGACGATGACGAGATTTCCCCCGGCGCTGAAGCCGGAAATACTTAGTCGAGCTGGATCGTAGATTTCTGGTTGGCTAAGGACCCAGCGGATGGTGTCTTCTGCGTCGTTTATGGCGGCGGGGAATGGGTTTTCGGGGGAGAGGCGGTATTTCACGTCTATTACGGCGTGGTTTGATTCTTGCGAAATGTGGTTGCAGAAGGCATCGTCGGAGCTGAATGCTGGGAAGATCATTCCACTGCCGTGGAAGTTTATTAGGGTTGGTTGTGGAGTTGATGGGGATTTGTTGTCTTTTGTGTATAGGTTTGCTGTGATGGTTCTGCCTGCATCTCGACTTGGGATGTTTAGAGTGGAATGGGCATTGCTTGCAACTGGTGTTGCGCGTGTTAGTTTGAACACGCTTCGGAGGAGGTTCACGGTGATTCGGAGGTAGATATTTCTGAAAAAGAGCGTTATCCGCCACATGGTTGTCGTGAAAAAGGTTGTGCGGTCGTTTGTCTGGGTGGACTCGGAGGTGTGTTTGTATGTTTTGATGAAAATTGACAGAATGAGGTATCTTTTGTGATTTTATGTCTATGTCGACGAAGTAAAGATGGCTATCCAAACCGTCGGAGTCCCAAAGGAGAGGCTGAGTGGATCCAGGCCACCCAATTAGAAACTCTAAGAAACGGACTAACGAGCTGCAATCCCCTTTGGGAAATAGGCGGATCATCGAATCTGCCAGTAAATAATGTGGAAACGATACCTATACTTTCAAGTTTCGCTTCCACTTTGTTTCGGGAATGTCGCGTACCTAGGTAGACATGGGGATCAGTGTAGCTCCCAAGCGGGCCCTGGGGGTTTCAAGTCCCTGCATATTATTCAAACTTGAAATGTCAAAACATAGGACGCATTTCGATTGCTGGAGGACATCAATCACTCCAATTGCTTTCTACTAGTACTAGTGATTGATCTCTACTAGTATTAACGGTCATCGATATTTGCAAATACATTCAAAGAATAAATACAAGTGGTACGAGATTGGCCGACGGCTACCCGAATTTAAAAAAAAAAACACCCATAGAAACGGAAATGAAGTCATTGAATTCGTCTATCATATGGCCTTCGCCAGAAAACCTACCTTTCACCACGGGCAAGCACGGGGTAGTATAGGTGAAGGCCGTGATGTCGTTCCGTTCAGCTCCTCTTCATTCCCTTCAAATCCCTTCCCTTCCCTTATCTTGTCTTTCTATGCTAAGCGAACACGAACTGGCTAGGCGCATCCACTCGAGCCACCAGGAAGACAGCTATGCCAAAAATCAAAAAGCAACGCCAACGCTATGCACAGTTTCCTTTTTTGTTTTCCTCCGTCTGTATGCAAGTTGGCTGGCACCTTTGCCAGACCATAGTGAGGGGAATGTGGATGACGTGTTCCGCATTCCTTTTTAGGTCTGTCACTATCAACTGCCCCGGCACCTGCGATGTAATGAGGACACTTGATGCCCAGCACAGACAACCGAGATAGCAAATCCTTCGTAATAATGCTGAGGTGCTGCTGACTGGTTGGTGTAACATGTGACAGACCGGGTGTGATTGAGGTGTGACGAGCGGGTATCACATCATCTCAACTTCTCAGAACCCGAGAACCTTCTCCTTCCAAGGGTCGAAATATTCACAGGTTTCGGGGCTGATGGCGGCGCCGGGGGAGCACAGCTTGAAGTTCGGGCAGGGTCCGCAGGGCGATTCAGTCATGCCATTCTTGCCGAGAATATCGAGAGGTGCAGGGTCGCCACCTTCGCCGGGGGGGCTTTCGGGCTTGAAGGGCCTTGATGATGTCGGGGTTTTTAACGGATTTGTAGGAGCGGCCCTCGCCGAGAGAGACGAGCTTTTTGTCGTAGCAGAGCATCTGAAGTAATTGGATGATACTCTCGCCGTGGAGTTGGACAGGAGTGATACCGCTCTCGTTCACGGCTCGAGTGATGTCTTCCACGGATGGGTAGCCCTTGTAGTTCATGGGGTAGGGGATGAAGGTGCGCTTTGTGGGTTCGCCGTTCACTTCTGCTTTTCCGGTGGCGGTTTTGACTCGCTTGGCGCTGCGGCCGCGATCACGATCGGCGGCTACTTCGTACCAGCTCTTTCGGCTAACAGTGTACTCGATGAAGCCTGCCACAGTGTTGATAAAATTAGTGTCGAGGACACCATCTGTGAACCAGGCGCCTCCAGTAACGTCCTCATTTGGTGCCAGGCCGGACAGCATGTACATCTTCCGGTTGGGGGCTTTGACATTGTGAATGCTTTTGATGTAGTTTTTGCCTTCGAGCGATTTCAGGCAGCGGTCGAGGATTGATTTATGCAGGTTGGTACGGTTTTGGATATTGCGCACCCAGACGCCGGAACGTCCAGTCGAGTGGACGACATTATAAACCAAGGCCTCGTCGGGGTTCAGGCTTGAGAGTCTGCACAAAGGAAAAAAAGAATAGGTTAGCACTATGTTCCTCTGTAGAGATGTATACTTTCCACCAAAGGCAGTAGCTCAGGTAGCGGTACTTACTTTTCAGCATCTTCACGGGCAATTACTTTCCATCCGATGCGGTTCTGGCTCTGGTGGAGCCGGAACAGTTTCTGATCGACCAGAGACTGGGTGCACTGGAGGAGTAGCGCAACATCACCCTTAGGGACGACTTCTAAGTCAAGGAGATCGGGTTGGTAGAATAAGGTATCCGGGTCAAAGGTGTCTGCACAGGCGTCGTAGAGCTTCGAGGCGAGCTTCGCGATACGGGACTCCGCGGCGGCGGCCATTGTTGGAGGGGGATCGGTAACAGCTCTAGGGAGAAGGAGGGGACAGGATCATTGGAGGGGGTGGTTCATGATCTAATCGCAAGGTTGCGAGATCTGGACTGAGTCAGAGGAGCATGGCGGCACTCTTCCTCTCTGTGTGATGATTGAGTCAAAGTTGAAATGAATCTCTGTGGTTCTTTTTTTCAGGCGGGGAGCCCCATTCCTAGAAGAGTTTAGTGTGAGGAGCTGTCAATGCCTGGGAGGTCAGGTGTCTGGTTAGTCAGCAGGCCTAGACAGCAGGCGGTGAAAGTACAGCGGAAAAAGCGTGCAGAATTGGTGAGAAGTCAGCAGGTCCATTCAGGCACCAAGGCATCACAGAAATTTCGAGAACCTTCATGGTTGAAGCTCCGAGCTATACCACGCCCAGCCTTTAACTCAAGTGGCCACCCTCAATCATCTGCATAGCTTCACTTTTATTCCCACTATGGCTGACGCATTGAAATCCGAAGGCAACAAGGCCTTCTCGGCCAAGGACTACCCCACGGCCATGTAAGTCTCCAAGACATGCTTCACACTACCCCGCGTATAGTGAAAATCTGGGGCGCTAACGAGTCTGCTATGAATCGACAGTGAGAAGTTCACCCAGGCCATTGAGATCGAGCCCGAGAACCACATCCTTTACTCCAACCGTTCCGCCGTTTACAACGCTCAGAGCGAATACCAAAAAGCTCTCGACGATGCCGAGAAGGCGATTGGCATTAAGGGTGATTGGTCAAAGGGCCACCTTCGCAAGGGTGCCGCCTACCGTGGTCTTGGAGACCTCTGTAAGTTTGACTGGATGTTGTTATTATAGCAGCTTACTTGCTGTGTGTGACTATGGCTGACTTTCACAGTGGCCGCTCACGACTCATACGAGGAGGCTCTGAACCTGGAGCCCGGTAACACCCAGGCCAAGTCCGGTCTCGATGCAGTCAAACGTGCTATTCAGGCCGAGGCCACCGCCGATGGTGTCCAGGGAGACCCTCTCGGTGGTCTGGGCGGCATGTTTAACGACCCCCAGATGATCCAGAAGCTGGCCAGCAACCCCAAGACCTCTGCCCTGCTGGCTGATAGCGAGTTCATGGCCAAGCTGGAGCGCCTCAAGACCAACCCTAACGCCATTGGTGAGGAGATGCGTGACCCCCGCTTCCTGCAGGTTATGAGCGTTCTGCTCGGTATCGACATGAACTTCGGTGGCGAGGGTGGTCCTTCCGACGCGCCTCCTGCACCCCAGTCTCAGCCCGCTCCTCCCGCCAAGGAGCCTACCCCCGAACCTACCCCCGAGGATGAGGAGACTATCGCCAAGCGCAAGGCCCAGGAGGCTGGTGATGCTGAGAAGAAGATCGGTAACGAGTTCTATAAGAAGAAGGAGCACGACAAGGCCATTGAGCACTACGAGAAGGCTTGGGAGCTGAACAAGGACATCACTTACCTGAACAACATCGGTGCCGCTAAGTTCGAGAAGGGTGACTACCAAGGCACCATTGATGTGTGCAAGAAGGCTGTCGAGGAGGCCCGTGACCTACGCGCTGACTTCAAGGTTGTCGCCAAGTAAGTGTTGCCCATGTTGGAATATATAGCCAGAAGCTAACCTCCGCAGGTCCTTCACCCGCATTGGTTCCGCCTACGAGAAGCTCGGTGACCTCACCCAGGCCATCGAGTCCTACAACAAGTCTCTGATGGAGTTCCGCACCCCCGAAGCTCTGACCAAGTTGCGCGCCGCTGAGAAGGCCCGCGATAAGTACGAGAAGGACTCATACATTGACCCCGCCAAGGCTGAAGAGGCCCGCGAGCTCGGCCAGAAGAAGTTCCAGGAGGCCGACTGGCCCGGTGCTGTCGACGCTTTCACCGAGATGACCAAGCGCGCCCCCGCCGATCCCCGCGGATACTCAAACCGTGCCGCGGCACTGGTCAAGCTGATGGCCTTCCCCCAGGCTGTGACCGACTGCGACGAGGCTATCAAGCGCGACCCCAAGTTCTTCCGTGCTTATATGCGCAAGGGCCAGGCTCTAGTCGCGATGAAGGAATTTAACCGTGCCCTGGATACTTTCACCGAGGCCGCGGAGAAGGATGATGGTAGCCATGCTCGCGAAATCGAGCAGCAGCAGCAGAAGTGTCTGGATGCGCAGTTCAGTGCTCGCGCTGGTGAGACCGAGGAGCAGACTTCCGAGCGTATCCAGAATGATCCTGAGGTATGATCCCATCCACTCTCATTCCGTACTCGGATTTATACTAACTTGATGCCAGATCATGTCCATCCTCCAGGACCCCGTCATGCAGAGCATTCTGCAGCAGGCAAAGAGCGACCCGGCTGCTCTGCAGGAGCACATGAAGAACCCGCAGGTGCGAATCAGCGTGCAGAAGCTCATGGCGGCGGGTGTCATCCGCATGGGGCGGTAAAGGGGAAGCCTTTCTCGCGACGAATTCAAGATGTGACGAGCTGTTTGCAGATATCATTCTTTGTTCACCTTGCTTTACTACTATTAGTTCATCTATTACCTATAGCCTAGCTTCATGTATTGATTGATGATTGATATTTATGTTGAGGGAGCTGGTGTATGCTATTACTACTAGCATATATGCAGTTGTAGTGGCTTCGGAGCAGTTGTAGTATTCCCCGCAGAGTCGATGAAATAAGCTTAACGTAGTGACCGTGCCTGGTGGTCAGGTGTTGTCTAGACTCTCAGGCTACTATCCGAGACAAGACGACCGATGCATCAGCCACAGATAAAGACTCGGCTACAGGCACAGGCACAGACACAGACACAGACACAGACACATGGCAGCACGAATGTCTCAGATAACACAGTAACTACTAGTTTCAGTATTTTCCATTGCCAGCTCGTACTAGTACTAGTTAGTATTTATTCCATACTACCGATGCAGATCTCGGAACACGAACCACAGATCACAGTGGAGACGAGCGAAAGTCAAAACCAGATACGGGCATCACGAGAAGAAAAAAGGAAAAAAAAAACACACAGACTCGGCGCCGATTAGGCAGTGCGAACTCGGAATACGGAGCTGTAAACACCAGTCCGAGTCCAGCAGAGATTTCAGCTGTGCCACATCTACATACCCACACGGGCAGCACACATGTTAACCTCGGTGAACTTGGCTGATCGAACTCCACCAAGGCCGCTGTGGTGGATTCAGGGACTGCTACATAGGGTAGGGTAGGGTAGGGTAGAGCAGAGCAGGATAAGTAGGGTTGGGTAGGGCTATGTACTACCTTGGAAGAGAGTACTCTCAGTGCGTATTCTAGGCACAGTACTCAGCTGAAGAAGGAAAATAAAAGTGATACTCCGTATATGTACAGACACTGGCACGTTCCTAGACCCAGCCCCCCTCAGGCAAAGTGATGTATCGATTGGAATTGACTCCGAGTCGGATCGGATTGCGTGGGCTGCATGGTTGGACGTAGAGATTGGTGGATATCGGGCGCTTGCCCCGGTTCTCTGCAAGTGGTTATGGGGATCGGACTTGGCGCTAGAAAACCTTGCGGGCAGCTATCGAGTTGGTGTGGGTTGGACAGCTGGGATGGGATCTGCCACGTGTACGGAGTACAGTTACTAGTAGGGTATTTGGGACAGCTGGTAGTATATGCAAGGAGGATGTAGGTAGAAAGTGCTCTCTATACCCCGTACTTCGTATACATAAGATACTCCTGGATAAGGGAAAGGGGAAAGGGGATATTTGGTTGCCTATGCCCAGGGAAAGGTAGGGCTGTCCCCAGCCACAGAGACCCACAGTGAGTGGGGGACATATCCTCGGGCATCATCTCATTGGCTGCTGGCACTGGTGGGTCTGCTCAAAAGGGAAGGATAAGTGTGGTCGACGCAATGACTTGTGGCGGTGCGCCAATAGTTCGGAGCTCAGATCTGGGTATTGAAAGGAGTATTAGGAGTATATTGTTGGATAGGGGTGTATTCTATATTTGTGAACTCTAGAGGTACCTAGATAGCATACCTAGGTAGTACACTCTCGTGTACACTTAGGCAGTGTATATAGTATTGTGTGTATACTGTGTATGTACCTGCTTACAGCTCATACGTCACTGATCTTCATCTCCGATCGCCCCAGTCGATCGCATTAATTACCAATTACATTCAAGTTCGCTTACTCCGTACAGGGCAGGTAATACTAGTTTTCTGATTAAATTAATTTATTCTATCTATACTAGTACTACTCAATTAATAGGTACTCGGCTGATACGCTGTAGTACTATTCTCGTATCAGTAATACAGCCACCCCAACTCAGTACAACTTGACGCAAGCGGCTGGGGATTTCCAATTGGCTTCCCCCCCTCTTTCTTCCCCCAGGCACTACCAACCTTCTCTCTTCTCCTCTCGCCATTTCACGACCACTTTCCCCGTCATCCACCCTAGGGCTTCTCCCGAGCCCGCCATTGTAAGCGCCAATCTCTATTTCTCTGCCTCTCTCTACCCTCACATTCCAATCCCCGGATTTGGTATCGCATTCTTCCATCGGATTGGTCCGATTGCCTTTCGTCCCACCATCAGCCCATGGGAACCTCGAAGCCTACATAGTCCCCTAACCACCACATTCTCTCCAGGCTACGACCTCATCACCATCTCGCCCTCTCGCCTGTACTAACAAATTTGATCCGACCGGCGCCATGGCGTCTCTGGAGGCGGAGAAGACCGAGCTGAGGGAGGAGGGGGTTATCCAGGCCGCAACCGAGCTGCAACAAGACCCCGAGTCCAAGGTCAACCCCGACACTGTCGAGCAGACGCTAGTCGAAGAGTCGCGCAAAGCTGGCTCCGCTGCATATCAATTCGACCCGGACGCCTCTCCAGAAGACAAGGCTGCCGCCGCCGAAGCTGTACGTTCAACCTGGGGAGCTTCGCAAGCTCCCTTCCAGCTCGCCCCCAGTTGCTCCTATCGCGTGCGCGCACACGCTAACACACACACAGCGAGTACCACCCGGATTCCATCACGATAAAAAGCCCAAGGGAAT